ATCTGTGTCCACCGGGGGGTTTGGCGGAAAAATGATCTGAGTCCAAACATAGCGAAGGAGCTGTCAACTGCGATCAACAAGAAGATACCATGTCTGGGGGATCCAAGATGGACGGAGCGAATGGCGATGACGAAGGCAGACAAACAGGGCAAACTCATGTGACTGCGCGTTTGCGGCCGCGCTGCGAGTACAAGCGGTTCTTTCGTCTTTCGTCTTTCTCCCTCCTCCCCGTCGAGGACTTCATTATGTATCTATTTTGACTGCGATTGCGATTCTTCTCTTATTCAAATTAAGCAGCGACTGCGCGTTTGCTATTCGTGTGACTACTACGCGCCCTCCAGAGATGAGATGAGACCCGCATGATTCCAGTCCCTGGCTTTGAATTATCATCATTATCTCATTGTCTCATGCCTGATACCCCGTTGGCTTCTGCTTGAGCTTTGTAAATTTGCGATCTTGCGTGGACATACATTTCCTATTTTTTTTCCCCCCTGAACCAAAAAACCCCCATGGCCACGCCGTCTTCCAAGCAGAATCCGGGTGCGACCCCGACGCATCTGACCTCGTCCCCTCGCCCGTCAGGCGCACACATGGCCCGACCCATCGCGCATAAGTCGCCCTCGACAAGAACCCCGTCAGCGTCCGGGCATGCGCTCAATCTGCCTCTCTCGACCCATCAGTATGCCACCCCTCTCGCGCCGACGTCCGGCGCCGACGACCCCGTCACGTTCAGCTCGCCCTCCGCGCTCCTCGCTCTCGGTGGCTACAGCGGCATCAGCCCGTCCCCTGCCGGCCACGATGGTCTCGTCGGCGCCGCCATGAACGACAACGAAATCCAGGCATTAGGTATGCAGGGTCTGAAGCTGGCAGGGGGTCGAGACAACGACGAGGAGCGCCGACGACACATCGAAGACGTGGTGCAGCTCCTCCGGACCCGGGTGTCGGGTCGAGGCGTGTGCAGGGAGGGAATCGAGCGATTGGGCCAGCTTGAAGGGTTCGAGTCGATCTGGCAGGAGGACAGTCTGAGCATTGCGGGCAACTTCGTGGATCTGGAGATCGACTTCCACCGGGGGTACAATGTCGTGAAGGATGTTAGTTTGTCGTACGCCACACCCGAAGCTACGGACGGGGAGCGCAGAGACGAGGCGACGGCGGTTCTCAAGCGCGACTTGGTACAATCTCCCGAGGAGGGGGAGCGGGGGGCCTGGAAATCGTTGAATGGGTTCCATGAGAATCTCCAGTGGCTTGCCAAACATGACCGGCTCAGCCAGGAGGTCAACTGTTTCGAGGCGATCGAAGGTCTCTACAACAGCTTGAAGCGGGTGTGGGATGGGGAGTGGGACCGTCGCAAGTTCGCGGGTGTCTATGACCATCTCTGCAGTGGCTGGGTTGGTCGGCCGTGTCTGCACAAGGGAGGGCGTATTGGGCTTGGGCTGGACTACTGGGTGCAGCAGGCGCGTGTTTTGGACGCGAAGCAGAGGAAGTCTCCTGACGAGATGGTGGTTGACCAACCGAATGGCCAGCTGTCGGACGATGAGTCGGGTTTGATTGGGAAGTGGAGTGTCGTGGTCGAGTGCGAGGAGGGATATCCTTCCCTTCGCGTGTCCAAGGACTGGGTTGGACCCGAAGTCCTTTCGGGGGTTGGCAACGGGAACGAACCGTCATCTAGTGATGTTTCTGGCTCTGATATTGCCGTGGTTAATTGGGTGGATCCGCCAGCGACGATGAGTTCGGTCAATCAGCACCACTCGGATGACATGACGCTCAATTCCGGCATGCTAGGCTCTTCACCAAACCGGCGATTTGTCGCTCGGATGGAACCGCCCTTGGATCTACCGATCTTGGCTGCATCGGATATCTACCGACACCTGGGCATTCAGATGCCGCAGGAGTTCAAGATGGTTACCTACGATGGACTGTTGGCCCCGGGATGGTCGCCTTTGTCGGCTGCAGGTGCCATGGGATTGGGTCCTGAGGAAGCGTCCCAGCTTGGTCGGAGAAGGCGTAGAATGTCCGTTCGGGCGGTGGACAGCGAGGGCAAGTCGTGCACCAAGCATCACAGCTATACCTTCCAGCCTTTTGAGTCTGTTGCTGGCCGGACCATGAGAGACATCCCATTCTCGCACCCCCGACAGCTTGCAGACATTCTTCCGGTATGATCTGGCCATGGAAAGTAGAAACCGGCAGTGCTAACGTATGCTACATCTAGATCCTGCGCCAGTATGCGTTCCTCGCGAATCTGATCCGCAGCATTTTCGGTTCCTCATACAAACCCGAACAAAGCAAGGCCGATGCCCCAGCCGATCTCAAGAACCTTTCCGGACCCCTGAAATTCCCCAAGCCTGGAAAGTCGAAGAAAGACAACATTATAATCCTGAGCAATGACGACCCAAACGAGAAGAGACTGGATGCGTTGCTGGAGGGATTTGACAACGGCGCTTTTGCCGACGCGAAAGGCAAGGGTTCGGTCAACGGCAGCTTTGGCAATGGGCTTGCTCTCGACGACGACGACGTCAAAGTAGACGTGACCCTGCGGACGCAGCTCGGACAGGCACCGGTGATTATGCTACTCTTTACCGTGGGTAGTTCCGACGGGGGGTCGGAGCCGGTCAGTGGGGAAGCTACAATAAGCAAGGTCTCCATCAGTCTTGAAGTTGGACTGAATGGCCGGGTAGCCGTGGTGGATATGACGGGGTTGATGGACGACGACAGTCCCAATGCGAACGTCATGGACCAAGCGGCGGACGGCCAGAGCGAAGCATTCGAGCTGCAGACCAAGATCGCACGAGTGCTAGAGGTGTCCCAGGACATCGGGACGCTGGTGGAATGGATCCTGCGCTGGTCCCGGCAGCGAAAAGGCCGCTGAAACATCAATCTCCGACGGCCTCCGACCCGGCTGGGGGTCATCGTCAGAGCTGCACCGGAGTGGAGGCAACCTCATCCACCGGGCCAAGCGGTGGCGCGAGCTGGGATATCCATGATGAACGGCACTAGCCCAGCAACGTGGGGGTGTCCCGGACTCACGGATTCCACCGACGTTCTGGAACAGGCCGGCCCATCTTTCTTGAATCGATGTCTGTACAGCCTGCCAGCCCTGCATCGGTGTGGTCGCACTCCATCGCCCCAGAGCTAATTGTAACACCCCAGCCAGGTCATACCCCGGCTGGGCCGGTCTGGCCACATGCGATGCAATTATGATTAACCTGTCGCGTTGCTCTGGGGGGTTGGACACGGGCATACCCACCTACTGAGGTAGGGTCATACGACTGACCCATGCCGTGTCATGACCTCGCGGAAGGCGATCGATGAGGGTGAACAAACAAGATGAAGATCTCAGTATCAGACAGACAGGCAGACAGGCAGACAGCATGAGATGAGATTGACCATCAATACCAGATCGCCGCCGATCTGCCAAGTAACGTGACAGCGTGCCCAGGATGTGGGAATTGTACCTGCAGGGCAAGACGAAGAGCCTCCGGTCTAGACCAGCCCTTATGAGAAATAGAATAGACACACTACAATACTAGCAACGGTTGGTATACCTACCTACCTACCTACAAAGCAATATCACCCGAGTATCTAGTTTTTAAAAAAAAAAAAAGAAAGAAAGAAATAGAATGTGATACCCAGTCCCCCAATTCAATAGCGCAGCAGATCCGCTGAGAACCGAAAGTGGAAAGTGGAAATTAAAGATCCCAACCTGAAACCATTTCCGAGCAGTCACAAGGCAACCAAACCCCAACCCCCGCAAAATATGAGGGATTATTTTCCCGCGGCCCCAACGACATGTAAGGAGGCATGCATGTGCTTTCTGCCCTCCTACCGGACCGATTTCCCCAGGCGACACGAGAGTAGTATTCTCAACCAGAAATACAGAGCACCCGGAAAAGCGTAAGAATGAGTTGTCCAAACCCCAAACCCCAAACCCGAAGAATAAGTGGCATGAAAAAAGAACACAAAACAAGATAGCAGACAATACTGGAGAAAGACAGGAACAATTATTTACTGTGTGTGCATGGATCGATCAACTGCGCGAATTACTCTCCCTGACTGGCTGGCTGGCGGCCTAACTATGGATCCAGTCAGGTATCGTATCGAGTAAGTCAGTAGCCTGAGGTATTTGTTTTGTTTCCACACCAACGTTGCTAACTACTATTACTTGCTACGTAGTGAGGGATACTTTAACTAGTAGTTGGTTAGTTAGGTCGGAGCTATTTCTATTCTTACATACCTAGTAAATTCTATTTGATCTCTGTTACAGTTACGCAGCTAGATACCTACAATTCAAAGAAAGATTGTAGGTGGCGTAATTTGTGTATCTGCGTATAGAAACTGCAGATGTTGAAATTTACCTCGGAGTACATGAGTAAAGTCGCGAGGTAACTAGTAACTACGGCAGTACCCAGTGCATACGTAGTTACCTACCCCATATTTCACAAGAATGCCGGGGGGTCTATGTGAGGATGGCAGATGCTGCTGCTCGACAGATCCGAGATCGCTGCTGCTGTTGCTGCTACTTGCTAATAGCATTGCCAGGTTGAGTGGCAGGTAGGCAGCCAGGAAGGGATGGAATGCGCTGCAGTTTGCAGTTGACACGTTCGGCGATGCGCTTGGACGGGATCGGATTGGACTGCTCTGGAATTTTTTTTTTCTTGCCTGAGGGGTGACCGGATCGGCCAGCTGGCTTACTTAATACTGCTCCAAAGTACTTTGTAAGGGGGAGTTGTGTAGTTATGCATCTATGGTGTATCTACGGAGTAGGTGTCTATCTACGTATATTCTATGGGAGAAAAAGATTCGAGGAGGATGGGTAGGGTTACACAGTCTAAATACTATCCAAGGGAAACTTTTTGCTTTGCTATACGTACAGAATAGAGTCCACTGTGATAGATCTTTCCATATTGGATATGTAGCATGTATAATTTCTATTACCTAGAAAGCATAAGTAGTGCATGAGCAATGCAGATCAGACAGAGATACTCCGTACAGAGCACAGATTCTTCACGTATATTCCGCACTTGTTTAGGCTTAGCTACCTACTGAGCTCCTACCTACTTACTACCTACCTATGTAGCATGTAGCTAACTTGGCTTGATCCAAACCAAACTGCAGTGCACAGTAAGTATGTCCACAGTAAGTTCAATAAAACCATGTGAGTCACATCAATAGTCTTTAATCATGGTGATGTGTAAAGTGATAAATCTACACTCATCGGGTGCATTGTATGTGTCAATTGATCGACCGGATTATGGGGGCACGGGGAGGGGGGGGGGGGCTCTAGAATCTGACTTCCGGGTCGCTTCCGCTTTGGGGGGACGCAATGATGTCGTTTGACAAAGAGTTACTTACTTAGGTACTTTGTACGGAGTAGTATATTATCAGGTTACGAGAGATTGCGCGTACTTGGTACTTCTTCTGTCAGCTATGGAGTACAATGGAGGGTATTCAGTGTAGATGGGTGGGTTTATAGTATATGTCTGGGTTTTGCTCTGTATGGATAGTGCTCAATATCACCAGACTGGATAGACCCATGACTTGAATATACAGAGTAGTACTCTGTAGTCTGTAGTCTGTAGTCTGTACATCATTCTAGAAAACTCCCTCGTTGTCTGTAGTCTGTTGTTGCGTACCTGACCCGGCTGTCCACCGGCCCGAAACCAGTCAGCGGCGTGTGTCATGAACTCGGCGCGCCAACCAATCAGCCGCACCCGATAAGCATCACGAACTGGGCGAGGGGATCTACAGGCAGAACCGTGTTCGCGCCAGTTTTATCGCCCGTTTCATTGAGGGGTTAATTCGGCGATGGGGTGATGGATCATGGCTGCTCCTACTATTGGGGCCTTGGCCGACCGGGCCGGTGAGAGTGAGGGATATATTGAAATTATTATTCATTATCATCGGGCTTGAAAACCCTTCACGATGGGATCATTCGAGGATTGGTTGTTTTGGGGCTGGAAAGCTGGTGGTTGGGATTTGATACTGGGGACTGTGATGCGGCTTGGTCCACATTTTATTTTATAAAATACTTTTTATCAGCTGGTTCTGGTTGATGTGACTCAACCGGGTCTGTCTTGGAACGGTGTCACTTTTTTGAAACTTGATACTCCATACTAGGTAGGTACGGAGTAGATACTGATACTCGAACTGCCAGTGTGCTCCGTGAATATGCGCGCCGGCTGCTTTGGTGGGCTTGTGTACGGGTGTTTATAGTACCCAGCGATGTAGTTTGTGTGACTAACCTGGTCTCGGCTAGGGGTGCTGCGCCACTCATGGCTGTGCTACGTACTATTCTTGGATAGAGTAGAGAGACATGGGATAAGCAGGACTACCAGGTCAGACCCTTGAGTCCGTACCATGATACTATTGTTAGTCCTGGGACTCCGTATGGAGTAAAGACATCGAATTAAGCTCCCTGCCCAGTTCCTACATCTGATACCTCACAATTACCGCATCGGTGGAGGCCAACCATGACGTCCACAGGGCTGATCGGAACGCAGCCACTCGCTCCCTCGCCGATTCCTGAATCTCCCGATCGCGCCCCTCTGTCACTGGCCGGCAAGACAAAGACTCGGGGAGAAAGGGTCGAACAAACCCACGATCGGACACTAACCGCCAAAGGGGGAAAATCCTGGGGTTGGACAAGGATAGTACAGACCTGGAGAAGCTGGAAGATCTGTTCTTCATCGTTTCCCTTCATATTTCCATCCCATCCCAACCCGCCCATCCATTCTCCCGCCGCCCCCTTTGACTTTTTCCCTCCCTGCGAACCGTTTATCCCTCCCCTCCCCTCGGCTACGAGGCGGTGCCGGCCATTAGTCACCAGAAACCTAATTATAACTCTTGCGAACATGGAAACCTGGCCGGTCTCGGGGCGGCGCTGTTTGCTCTCCTCCTCTCGCCCTTCGAGGATCCAGGAATGTTTTGCCACGCCCCACACCCCTTCCGGCAGTCCGTCCGTCCAGCTGCGTGTAAAGGAGTGTAACTGGCAAAGCAAAAGCAAAACAAGCAAGTACAAAGCTCCCCCCTTGTAACTACGGAGTATGTATCGGCCTTACCCGTTTGTGCGTCACGGTAGGTCAGCTGTCAGAGTGCGGTATCAGAATAGTTCTTTCCGTCTTCCTCTGTCTGGATTGGTGGCTTTGAAAAAGAAATAAAAATTTTTTAAAAAAAAGGATACGTGGGATCGCGATTCCCTTTTCCGGGCAACGCGGAACGGGAAAGCGCGGTCGGTCAACCCAAGTTGAACTTGAACCCAAGTCCATGCGCGATTAAAAAAAAATCAAATACGGAGTACATATCTGAAAAAAAAAATCAAAGAAAAAAAAATTCACTCGGCAGGCGCGCCATGATCCACCCACGCGACTCATGGCGGGGTTTGAGGGGCAGCCACTGATAAGGAATCCCCTCCTAATTTAGATAACCGCAAGTACAAGGTCTGTCTACAAACTAGAGTACGGAGTGTGCAAATGTGCGTATTTTGCTCGGCTGTATTGGGTGGTATCTTTGAAGGTGGTACTACGCCGTACAGTGGCCGGATCTCGATTGCTGCGCGCCCTATCAGTCGCTGTGCTAGTTACTACCCAGAGAGGATCAGGAACCCCGGTGTAGGTCCGCGATATCGAGTTTGTAGGTAGTAGTCCTATCTATCTAGTACTCCGTAGCAGTGCCAGCGCCAGGACCAGCACCAGCGCCAGCACCAGCACCAGCAGCACTTAATATCCCACCGCACGGCCAGATAAGCCGGAAAGATAGAGCAACGGCGCATGGAATGCCTTTCCTATCACAGTGACAGGCCTACCAATAGGAGCCCCGGTTAATGCGATTAGGCGCAGGCAGCGTTGGAGCTATCCGGGTCCTGCAGCTGATATGCATCGGAACCGACCACTGGTTGATAATTGATAATTCCTCTTAGCAACCCTCCTGGCACGCTATCTCTGGACGTCGAGGGCAGAAGGGAGGGGTGAGGGATCAGACAATGGCATATTACTTTTTGACAGGTGGTCAGCAGACCTGCATTGGGGGGAGTGGGAGTGAGAGAGTTCTGAAAGTGTATCTATGGCATCTTTGCTTTTTTTGATTTTTTATTTTTTATTTTGAAGGTGGGAACTGGAAGGGTCGCTGTCGGATTTCAGATCACCGTCGCGTGGGGGGGAGGGACGATTATCTGGGGAAGACCAACCCGCTTCCGGGTTGCGAATGAGAGTCTCTGTGATTCATCCTTCCTATCATTATCCGTGGAGTCGGGATGACTACTCCTGTTCCAGGGAGTGGGAATTACCCGACTGCGGGCAGTCAGTCGTGGTGGTGTCGTGTCGCGAGGGTACCCAGTTTCGCATCGAGATGTCCCGATCGGGTAAGAGGGCTGGTTGTGTTGGGGATGAGCCTTGGACGCTGTCACACAGCCATGCAGCCATGCAGCCATTGTTACGTAGAATTGAACCCCCCCCCCTTCTCCAAAATGGCCCGACGGAAGACATCCCCTCCCCTTGTCGTTCAGCAGATCGATATCGACCGCGTGGGTGAAAGTGACAGATAAACTATGGCGGGGGGCCGCCTACGTAGACTTGATATCGGAAAGCCAGAGTCGGGTCTAGTCCTATCGATTGAAATGGTGGCGTAACGAACCCTGGTCATGCCTTGCAGCCTCGCCGCATTCTATTTATTGTATTGATGCGTCTGGAGGGTTTGGACCGTCGCGGGTCGGTATCCTGCTGCGGTCTGTCCGCTGTTTGTTGCTGTCGGGCGCTGGCGATGCAGAGCGTCTAACGGATGAATCAATGAATCACTACTCAATGGCAGGTGGGAAAGCATGGGGATTGGGAAGGGCGTTGTTCGTTCGTGGTACGGCGCCGTAAGGAGAAAGGGTCATCGATACGCGGATGCGCAGCAACCGAGCGCCAGGCCGGGCGTGACGGTAATTTTCAGAAGGGAGGAGGGGGGGGCTTATTTTTGAATTTTGTGGGACTTTTTTTGCCCCCCTCCCCGGGCAGCAAGTGAGTTGCCCGCGGCCGCCAACCAGCGGGCAGCAGTCGGCCTGCCTGCCTGCCAGCCTTTGCCTCCTTCTCTTAAATTGAAAGGACATCCCTCCCCACCCACAGAACCGCCTTGCTTGCATCTCCATCTCTCCTCCTCTCCCCATCTTTTATCCCGCCCGCTCTCGCTCTTATATCTCTGGGTCCATCCTCCCTTTCGCTACTGATACTTGCTATCCACCAATCTTTGATTGTATCCTGCATTGTCGTTATCTGACTTCATTGCTTGAATCGAAGTCGTCAGCTTTGCATCTGCAAGCTCTATAACTACGAAAAAAAAAGATCTTTCTTAATCCTCACCCACCACACATATTCACAATGGTATGGCCCTTTCAACCCTCCTTCGACCATCATCTGGCAATCTCCCTGCCAGCTCACTGCTTCTGAACGGCTCGCTGACTCTTTTTCTTCCACCACAGGCTGAATCAACAACCATCTCCAACACGGAGAATGTGCGTTATTTCTTCCGCTGATTATTTGCATAATCATTCTTCAGCCGCCTTGCGGTTTTGAGGAAAATGCATACTGACTGGCTGGCAACAGCTCATGAAGTACATGACTCTCGACCAGCGTGGACAGGTCCAGGCTGAGTACATCTGGATTGATGCCGTCAACGGCTGCCGCAGCAAGACCAAGGTATGCAATGCAACCCATACACAGTTCACCGCGGGAATGGAGTGGGAGGACGCAACGCAATGGGGCTCCCCATCCCATCTGAGGACTCCTTATCTGGAGGAGGCCTCGAACCGATAAGCCCTGCGCACGGGGATCCGATCCTGCACGCGCGCCTATGCATCCACCCGCAACACGTGACCCGGACCCAGCGACATCGGCTGACCCCTGTTTTTTCCTTAGACTCTCTCCAAGCCCGTCACCTCCGTCGATGAGCTCCCCGAGTGGAACTTCGACGGCTCCTCCACTGGCCAGGCCCCCGGCGACAACTCCGACGTCTACCTCCGCCCCGTTGCCATCTTCCCCGACCCCTTCCGCCGTGGCGACAACATCCTCGTCCTCTGTGAGACCTGGGACTCCGATGGAACCCCCAACAAGTACAACCACCGCCATGAGGCTAACCGCCTGATGGAGATTCACGCCAAGGAGGACTGGTGGTTCGGTCTGGAGCAGGAGTACACCCTCCTCGGTAACGACGGCTGGCCTTACGGATGGCCCAAGGGCGGTTTCCCCGGTGCCCAGGGTCCTTACTACTGTGGTGTCGGAACCGGCAAGGTCTACTGCCGTGATATCGTCGAGGCTCACTACCGCGCCTGCCTGTTCGCCGGCATCAAGATCTCCGGTATCAACGCCGAGGTCATGCCTTCCCAGTGGGAGTACCAGGTCGGCCCTTGCGACGGCATTGAGAGTGAGTTTGCCTGCATTCCGGCATATATGTTGATGAGCAAAGCTAATTTTCCGCAGTGGGTGACCACCTCTGGATGTCCCGTTTCCTCCTCCACCGTGTCGCCGAAGAGTTCGGTGTCCGGATTTCCTTCGACCCCAAGCCCATCAAGGGTGACTGGAACGGAGCTGGTCTCCACAGCAACGTCTCCACCGCTGCCATGCGTGCGGACGGTGGTATGAAGGTCATCGAGGCCGCCATGAAGAAGCTCGAGGCCCGCCACATCGAGCACATTGCCGTCTACGGCGAGGGTAACGAGGAGCGTCTCACTGGTCGCCACGAGACCGGTAACATCGACAAGTTCAGCTACGGTGTTGCCGACCGTGGTGGCTCGATCCGTATTCCCCGCCAGGTGGCCAAGGATGGCAAGGGTTACTTCGAGGACCGTCGTCCCGCCAGTAACGCCTGCCCCTACCAGATCACCGGTATCATTGTTGAGACTGTAAGTTGATTCGATCTCCTGATGAGTAACGTCACTAACTTTTCCAGCTCATGGGTGGCAACTAAATGCGTTACATACCATCTCAAAATGTGAATACATTTCATATTAGCGCTCGTATACCCTCCGGCGTCAACAGGGAGACGGACAATATGGCCTGGCACTGGGAGCAAACATAGAACTTTTCTTTCTTATGATGGTATTCCGGGGTCTCTTAACTCTCAGCCAGAGCCGGCTTGGTCTCGTACCCTCTGCTGGTTTGCATTTCGTTTCTTTCGTTACTGGGTTATGTGTTACGTACAGCATAGAGGGCTTTTCGGAGGAGAACCGACAGTCACTTGAAAATGGAGTGCTAGGATGCACTGGAAGGACCTGAGATAGAATGGCAGTCTCCGACATTGTCATACACATTTGCAGTGTTGACGTAGACTGTAGAACACTTGCCTGATACTATGTGCTTAAAAGTGTCTGCCTCTCTAGCACTTGACTATGTCCAGGGATCACATACTTGATTGATCTGTGATATGGATTGAATCATAGTCCCTACCCAGAAGACGTGTTATGATCATTGCACAAGATTTGTGTCCGCTGAGGATCGGATCTGTTGGATCGGCGATGGCTTGCCTCCATCCAATCTAGCCTGTCCTTTGCTCACGTCTGTCTACAACCATTTCAATTGTCAGACAGAGGCCTGAACAACTCAACCAAGCCATAGTAAGAAAAAAAAAAAAAAAAAAAGAAACCAACCCGTCATCTTCATAACCGCCATAACAGCATGTTTGGAAATAGTATACGACCCCTTCCCCGGCAAGCCGGCGAACCCATTCGCAGACGCAATATTGACGATCGCGCCGCGACCAATATCCCGCGTGCCGTTGCGACTGGTGAACGATTTAAGGGATTGCTTGCGCATACTGCAATGGGAGAGTGGGTGCCGTTGTCGACCTTTATTAATTATTATTACATACCAAATTGTTGTTAGTTTGGTTTGTTGAGAGGGAGGAGAGAGGGAGGAGTATCGAGGGTTTTATATCGAGATTGGCGGAGATGGATGATGATGCGGTGTCTTTGTCCGAATCAGCACTAAAGCATGTAGAACCATGGAGGGAAGGCTGTGATAGTTGGTCCTGGAGCAGATGATCCTTGTCAGTTAGTGGAGGGAAGCGCAAATGGCGCGACATAAACTGGTAAGAGAGATAAAATACAGGGAAAGCCCATGATGATGGGAGTGTTTCCAGTGACGGATTGCAGAGCCAGTGTGATCATGTTAGAAAGAGGTAAGTGTCTCCCAGTTGGGGGGGATCACTACTTCTCTAACGCTGGATTGATACTCCCTGAGTTCTATTCTCCACATCCATCCAACAACCCCCCATTCACCCAGCCTTCTCCACAGCAGAGCCAACAAACAGTCTCTCGCGCTTCATGCACATTGCCAAAACCACCGACTAACGCCGCCGCAGCAATCATCATAACAAAAACATCATCCATACTCCTAACAATCATATCCAACACAGTCGCCCTATCCCAGGACTCAGGGTCTCAAAGACCTCCCCCCTGACCCCAGATATAGCGTGCTGAATCTCCCCCCTCGAAACAGAAGCAGGAAGATTACGTGCAATGCGCGAAGTAGCGCGGTTCAAGAAGATGCTGTTGGAGATGGTCAAGGCCAGGGCAATTTATGCGTGACGATTCAGGACCAGACTGATGGCGGACGCGAGCGCCATATCACAGCCGATATCGTTCTCGGGGCAGATGGACCCAACTCGACAGTGCGAAGAATGTTTCTCGACCCGGGCGTGGCTGTCCCCCGGTACGATGATGAGTGGTGTGCGGTATTGGCTGGTGGCTGGTGTGAATCGCGTCCGGTCCTGGTTGGGTTGGTTGCCGGAGCAAGTGGTCTGAGGGTAATCAAGAGACTTCATGATAAATTGATCAGACAGCTGCACTTGGAAGACTGATTAAGTCTGTGCGTCTAGGACAGAAGGTGTCATGACGTAAAGAGATTTTGGTAAAGATGCGGCCGTTGATCTCGGTGGAGATAATACTGGGGAAACGTCACGGCTTCCTGTTCCGGAAGGAGCGTATCCCCGTCGGTGCCTTAGTCCCAATTCGGAGATGACGGGAGCAGGCTGGTTGTTGAGTTGCAGAGAGAGAGATGACAGAGACCAACACAACAACGTGCGTGGTTGATTACACACTACAAAGCCTTCAACGGTGTTCGGAAAGTCAATGATTTATATCAATTATATCCATTACATCAATTATTCAATTATACATCTTCATTCATATACATACCATGCCATCATCCTAAGTCGACTTCTTGCCAAAAAACCCAAGCACGCTAGACCCTAAGCCATCCAAGCCCCTCTGGCGCGCCTCGCGCCTTGCAGCACCATCCACAATCTTATCGGGATCATGCGCATCGTCCTTCTTCCGACCATCGATCACGCGGAGCAAAACCTCCATGAGAACCGCAGCAAGAATACTAGCACAGAGGATCCCGACCATGACGAGGTTACTCTTGCGGTACTTGGCCCGCCCTGGGGCCTCGTAGTCGCTCTTCCAGCCGGAGTACAGCGCGTAAGTGGTCAGAATACTGCCGAGATTGCCCCATCCCGAGACGACGGCGGAGGCGGCCGCAACGCCGACCTCGCCATGGCGGTTCTGGAACACTTCCGCGGTCCAGGTCATGGTGATAGGGACGGTGGGGCCGAGGCCGAAGCCCACGATCAGGAGGCCGCCGTAGCGCGGCCAGGAGTTAGTGTCGCTGCCGGCGTAGGTGGTGAGGAGGAGCCCGAGGATTTGGAGTAATACGGGGATGGAGAAAAAGACGGCACGGTGGCGGTGGAAGCGGTCGGAGAAGGGGGTTACGAGGACGATGGCGATTAGGTCCATCTGGTGGATAAGTCAGTGGCAGGGCTTTCAAGGGTGGTAGTTGATGGACAATGGGGGAGTAGCTTACGATCCAGATAGGAGCGGAGAGCAGACTCAGGTCGATGCTGCTCAGAGACGGGTTGATGGCTTCGATGATCACCGTGGCGTAGCTCTGCACGCCAATACCCACGCCCACGACGCCAAAGTACATGATGAGGAGCGGCCAGAGGCGCCAGTCGAGGAAGACATACAGTAGATCCTTCCAGGTCCATTGTGCGCGGTGGTAGACGCGCTTGAGGTCGTGGTAGTGGATCTCAGCATCCCGGCCGGTCAGGGCAGGGCGGCTGCGGGGGAACCACCAAAGGTATTTGCGGGTTGGGGGCTCAGTTCCCGGAGGCAGAGGCCGGTCAGGCAGCCACCAGAGGAGGAGGATGCCGCACGCGATCGTGATGACGCCCCAGACGAGAAACATCCATTGGAAACCCACCAGACCACGCTCTCCGTCCATCTCTTGGAAACCGGCCGAAACCAGACCGACAACCGCGGCAGATACCTGGGCTGCGGTGTAGTATTGACCGATGCGCTTGCCGGTTCGGGTTGGAGGGTAGAAAAGGGTGAGGTAGTAGGTCATGCCGGGCCACATGCCTGCGATGACAATACCCAAGAGGAGACGGAGAAGGCTACACACTGTCAGCTTTGGGAAAAAGGATGGTATCCCGGTAACGAGATGAAGGGTGTGAGGAACGTACTATAGACTCCATGCGGCTTTCATAGCCGTCATGCAGCTTCCAATAACACCGACACTAATGACAATACGACTCATCCACACATGCGGGCTCAGACGGGTCATGATCAGGTTGGACGGCAGATCGAAGACGACGTAACACACGTAGAACAGAGCCAGACCGGTGGAGATCTGATGCGGCGAGATATGAAGGACAGATCCCAGGTCGTGGCCGGCTGTGGTGTTCATGGTCTGTGCCAGACTCACGTTGGACCGGACGGCGGCGCAGAGGAAATAAAGAACCCAGAATGCGGGGATGATGCGCCAATCCAGTTTCCTGCGTCCATTAGAACCAGCTGGGATGTAGCAGCAAACAAACGACAGGTCTCACCTGTAGATGCGTTCGATATCCACGTCATCAGGCTCACTGTCACAGCCACTGACGGTTTCCGGGTCCCCATCGCGACTGCTGAGGGCTCGCTCATAGACATCATCGGCGCTGGGCTGTTTCCCCATCCCATGGGCCTGGGACTGCGGTTCCATCAAGGACATGATAAATTGATTTCGGGCGAGCGCCGTCGACGCCACAGCCGACAGCCAAGCGAGGGAAGTAAAACGGTCGACCTAACGAGGTGGAAGAAGGGCGATGGAAGAGTGCAAGAGGGGAGAGATCCTGGGAATTATCTGACTGATGGTGCAGCTACCGACCCCGCACCGGCAGGGGTTGTTGCAGGTTGAGAATCCGTGCGAGGGAAAGTCGATTGTGAGTGGAGGTTCACGATGGGAGGGGTCAGCCCTGGAGAGATTGCCACCATGATTAGCATTGTGGATTCCTCAATGGAAACTGACTGAATTGTTGGGGAAGGGAAGCTTCCAAGCGATGGGGCAAAAAAAAAAAAAGAAGAGCTCGGATGGGGCAGTCAGTGCCCACACCTTATCGATAGCTCTGGGAGGGATTAGATTTCTTGCCGGTCGGCAGAATGCATACCTGGACAGGAACGGCCATGAGGGGCGGGTGATACTGAAGGATTCCGGGGAGAACGCAGAAGCAACGGCAACAAAGACCAAGCAGACCAAGAGCAGACAATGGCTGGAGGGAGGGAAAAAGCAGCCGGTGTTGGTGTTGGTGGTATTGATTGATAACCCTGTCCCAAAGCGGGGATGGCGCGCCGGGTCAACGATCATCCGAGGATCGACGTTTTCGGCGGGTAAACCAGATACTGGCAGTACGAGTGCTACTCCCTACTAGTAGTGTGTGTATTCCGACCCTCGGCACAAAGTTGCCCTCATCCCTCATCAATCGCCCTCAACCGCCGAGGGAGCCCGTCCTCGCCCGTCCTCAACCGCCCTCCGCCTTTCAACCGCACGCCCGCGCGGTGACTCACCCGCTCCCAGACTCACCCACCACAACAGTTGGCCTACATCCATCAACAGCTTCATTCCGATGTCGGTCCCTCCGTGCCTTTCGTCCGAGCGAGTGGACGTCGAGCATGATCTGCAGCTTTGCTGGACCGGTGACTGCATCCATGGCCCGGTGAACCACCGCCCCCCCGTGGTTGCTCAACTGGTGGCCAAAGTCTAGCCCGGCATCTGATTCGACTTGGACTCCTGAGTGGCGAACTCTCCTCGGCAAGATGAATGGGGTCGCGGTGAATCAATCCCGTTTAACCGTAGGTCAGCGGCATCCTGGTGGAACTGTATTTCAACGACATGGTGCTAGGTACTTGTGGAACCCCGTGCGGTTCTGCGAGGACTACATAGGTGGTAGTACAACTACGCATGTCAAATAATCTGTACCCTGAAGCCGCCAGAGTTCGAGGCTGTTGCTTAACCCACGGGTTCGCCGAATTCTAAATTTACTTCTGCGCATTATACTCGCATCTGGAACACATCAGATCTCGGGTGCCTCGGGAGGTCCCTTACCTCACTCGTCCCGATCGAGGATAACCTAGACCCGGCTCGATCATTGATAAGAGTCCGCATTATTGAAGTCCGTGGCCTTGTCGCCAGCCCATGGGCTGGGCCCGTGGCTGTATGGCCGGGCTGGTCTTTCCATCGGCACAGATGCACCGCGCAAGGGGTTGTCGAACTATCGGATCATCAACCGATGACAGGCTATACATCCGACGGGCTCCGGCTCGGCCCCAGCTCGGTCGCCCGTCTGAGGCCAGGGGAAAGGTAGTAAACCCCAAATCTTAAGTAAGTTATGGTCTACACATACACGGAATCTGTCGGGGTATAAACAAAGTTCATCACTGGGACCGCCTAGCCCAGGGTAAAGTGGCCCAGTAACAGGAAAAGGTGATTGGGCCGGAAATCCAACAGGTCCGCAGCCTACAACTTGCTGGTGGTAATGTTTTCCTCGCTGCCCTTCTCCGTATCCTTCGCGTGGTGGCTCAGCACGCTCGCGCGCCGCACCGCGTCGTCTTCCACATCGTCCAGCATGAACAGGAGCTCTCCCTTCTTGCCGTACATATGAGGCTCCTCGTTGGCCACCTTGACCAGCGAGAACACGTTCTTAGTCTTGCGGAAGATCCGGTCCATCTCCTCCAGGGATCGACGGGCTGTCTCCGGGTAGAAGAAGAGCACCACTGGGAAGATGAACGCATTACTGCCCAGAATTAGTATGAGAGGGACCCAATGAACAAGCGACGGGATATAGAGAACTTACATGACCGCAAAGATGATATAGGTTCGGTAGCCGATGGTGTCGAATGCCACAGGGGTGATCATGACTACCAGGAAGTTGAAGATCCAGTTCGACGACGTAGCCAGCGCATTCGCCGGAGCACGGATCCTCAGGGGTACAACCTCCGCCGGGTACAGCCACGTCATGCCCAGCCAACCGATGGCGAAGAACGTGTTGAACACGAACAGGAAGACAACACAGGCGACGCGAGCCCCGTCGCTGCTCATGCTGGCGGTGATGGCAAGGATGACCATGGATATCGACATGCCCGCCGCACCGAAAAGCATCAGGGATCGACGGCCGAACCGCTCGATGGTAAAGACGGCCACCCACGAAGCAAGGAAGTACTCAGTCCCGTTACAAGCGGCAATTAAACGAGACATCTCAAGGCTCATTCCCAGCTGATTTTCCAAGACCGTCGGGATGTAGTATGTGATTAAATTGATGCCACTGATTTGCTGGAACATCTGATTGACGTAGGCTAAGACGACGCGGTGGAAATGGCGGTCTTCAGTCATGGTAAACATGTCGCGGAATGATCCTTTTGCCATCTCCAAGACAGTGGCCTTGATGGCAGTGAATTCGGTGTCGATGAAAGTCTCGTCTTCATCACCCAGCAGTGAGTGCAGGACAGTCCTTGCTTCATCCTCACGGCCCTTGAGAATGAGCCAGCGGGGGGATTCGGGGAGAGACAGGACGAAGAATAGGATAATGAGGGCGAAGAAGATCTGGAAGGCCAATGGGAATCTCCAGGCCACTTCACTGGGATCGGCAAATAGCAAGCCGAAGTCAATCCAATAGCTGATAGTAATACCGCAGGTAATCATGGCACCTTCGATCATGACCAGCTGGCCACGATGGTTGGACTTACAGCACTCAGACTGCCATGTGGGAACGGTCGACGTGTTCATGCCGTTTCCTATTGGCCGTACCTGTTAGTGATGCTCGCCCAATTCCCTCAAATCCACCTACCAAACCCAGTCACCAGACGTCCAACAATGAACTGGCCCAAACTGTATGAGGTACACTGCAGAAGTGCCCCGATGACCATGATGAAAGACCCAACGAAGATCGTCTTGCGCCGGCCGAGCCAATTCCCAATCCAGATCGTCGGGATAGATCCAGCGAAGCATCCCAGGTTGTAAGCAGCGACGACAACACCTAAGCGGGGGGGTTAGCACATGCGACTCTGGATGGCGGGGCGCAAACGCCCTCAAAGCGTGAACTTACCCTGACGAGTGGACTGAGTGCTTTGCTGTGATGTGGATAGGCTGTCATAGTATGCACCGTTGGTCGCAATAGTTGGGAAGTATTTAATGAACGAGTCCAGGGTCAAGAGACCACCCGTCACACCTTGGTCGTAACCGAACAGCAGGAAATCCATACCAGCGATCACACTGATAGCGATCTGCAGCTTGCCTCCAGTGAGGCCCAGGTAGCTCCGCGCCATCTTGGGAAGAGGCCTTTTAGAAGAGCCAAGATCGAATTACAAGAGCAGAGGTGGGAGAAGAGGAGGTAGGGGAAGACAACACCACGCGACAATTGAGGATCAGGGGGGGTGGCTCATTGGCGGGGAGCGGGAGTATAGTCAGTTGGAGTGGATGACGGGGTAGTGAGGAACGGAGTAGAAGGGATCGAGAAAAGAGGAAAGCACCAGCAAGTTGCACAGAGGAGGAGGCCGACGGGGGTTTTAAACAGAGCCGGAGCCTCGTGAGAATTGGCTCTGACAGCAGTCATGATGACTGAAAGGCCGGGATTAAACCTCAAGATAAGGACTAGATGAGTCGAGCCAGCCCAGTGAATGGCTGCAGACCCCGTTTCGCAGTGTACTACTAGCAGTGCTACTAGATAGTACAGTAGTAGCGGCAGATGTTGGGAAGGAATCAGCCAGTGGTCGGCAGCCAGGAATGGGTTGGTTCAACAAGCATTGGGAATTGAAATTGCGAATGATCGAAAGCTGGTCCTGCACCCCGGAGGTTGATTGGTGGTCTAGGCCACTGAGGGCAGGAAAGGGAAGCTGCCATTCTCCGGATCGAGCAGAATATTGTTTTTCCCCCCCAGTTTATTTCAGGCCCATATGGGCTCAGCTGCCCTTTGCTACCAACCAACAGAGTAATGGCTGTTCCCCCACATGGAATCCCCCCCCCTCTCCCCTCCTCAGGCACGCACACACACACACACACACGACCCTCTCAGACCCTAATATTAATCCCGCCGATGTGGGCGGGCATGACAAGTGATGTAAAAAGTGTGGAGGGTGTGGAGGCCGACCGACCACTTCTCCACAGTCAATACTGGGCCGGCGTCGCGATCAGCGGGGGCTGAACGGGGGGGAAAGACTGTGTGGTCAGTAATGAGTCTCCAGACTTCAGCGAGCCGGGGATTTCCTTCGATGCCGTCATGCCAGTCGAGCCCGCAGCTGGCTAGCCGCTTCTGGGTAAACCGAGAGCGCCGGTGGGTTTGCTCTGTGCCGTTCGTTATTGCGCTGCCGCCCGTGGTTGTGGTTGGCTCTGTCTGTCTCGGATGAGTGCCGCCCGGGATGCAATGTCGGGGGTCATTCTCGCAGGATCGATCCTACATATCCCCATACATACATACAAATGGGGATGGCTTGCGGATGGTACAGTCTTTGCTGGGTGACTTCGCGTATGATGACTAGGGAGAGGCGAAGGTCGACCATGTCGAGCCTGGAGAGAAAAAACCCGTTCGATGCGACTTTTGCGATCTGGACATAGCAATCCGGTTCGCGTGGCTTCTCGCGTGGTGGAAAATCAAGGAAGGGCAACGATCGGAGGCGGGAACTGGGCAATCTAATCGTCACCTGCTCAGTTGACCGGCCTGACCGTGGAATTAGCAGGCAGCTATGCTACGGTGGTATGCCCAAAGCCCCCATTATCAGTGGGCCCCATGGACCCTCCGGGGCTGATTATTCAGAATCCGGGGATTTTGGAGTCTCCGCAAAGCGACCCCTCCTGGACTACGGACTACGGAGTACTACGGAGCATACCTTACCGCTTCCAGTAAAGGTGGGCTGGCCTCGGTTCTATCCGCCCGGTGGAGAGACCCCGTGCTGGTGCTGGTGTTTCTCAATTTCTCATGAGCCATTGGATGAATGTCCCCCAATCTTTCCAGTTTCCAAACTGGCTAACAGTGTCCTAGACATCCGTACGTTCGTTCACATTAGGAACTCGACTGAGGCTCCTGCGGACGGCCGTCGCGTCTCATCCCGTAATATTCTCGTCAACCGCCCCTAGTCCAGATCGGTCAGGCTGATCCTCGGTATCCTGCCAACCCAAACTTTGCCTCCGCGCAGCCAGGATATTCCGTGGGAGAAAGAGATGCGTCTTTTGCATGCTGTTACACTCGTGAAAGATTATCCCTACCAATCAGCGCTGGGCGCGCTGTTCGGATGAAGCTCCACTTTGTCGTGGGGACTGGGTAGAGTGTCGCCAGAAGTCCCGGCGAGTCGTTTGATGAAGAAGCAATTGAGAAAAGCACGCAAACCAGCCGGCCGCGGTGAAGCAAACATGCAGTCATCATGTTGGCTTGGAAGAAAGGGGGAAGGACGGAAAGGAGGCCATCGGTCAGGCCAGATGGTCGAGAGGATGTTTCTCAAGCAGGCCGAAGTCCTGCCGATTCTGGATGGAGCAACCTTAACTGCGGCGGACGGTCTATACGTTTGCCCTGGCCTGGCCGAAAGGGCCCCGAACCATCGGCCCCAAAATCTCGCTGCAGCTTTGCTGCACCCATGGCACGATTGCCTAGATGCATTCCTTCCTACGATTCTCAAACAATTTTCTCATTACCCCTTTAACAAATGTGATTTTGGGTGAAGAGTGGGTTGAATGTCAGACGTTTGTCCCGAAGAGCAATTCCTCGGTGGAGGGGCCCTACGTACCCCCGGGCCATAGTGCGTGGTAGTCCTGGCGAGTAGCGACTACCGGGGCGGGCCCGGGGTAGACTCCAACTCCAAGTCTTCCAGGCCGACGGGCGGGAAACAAGCGTACTAAAGCGCAACCCTGGCCGGCGGTGGCAAAATATTGTCTGAATGCTACCCCGTACATAGGCTCCATGGCCCGACCGCCGTATCAGGTGCCCCCTCGGACTAGCCGGCTCCAGTTAGGCGTCAAAGGTGAGGGATCAAGACCCTGTTAGCCAATCCTCCTTCTCCCGTCTATTCCTCCCACCCACTCCCATCCAACCGTGAAACTCGCCCACTTCCCCTCGGCCTCCCCGCAGTTGAGTCATCGGTTGGGGCCGAGCGTGTCTCCAGATTTGCCTTTTGCCTGCGGCTTGCTTCTTCGGGCAACCCGCGTGTCAATCGCTTTCCACTAGACACCAGCTTGCAACGTGAGTCGTCAGACGTATCTTCTCCTCTGCATCCATCCTTCCACCTAGGGCTCAGCGGTCTCTAACATTTCCCCGTTTGTCGAATAGCATGATATCCCTCTCTCCTTTCCATTTTCGGTCGACTGGGGGGATGATTCCCCGTGTTCTGCCATGTAAGCCGGGGAGGTGTCAGAGCACCACGCGGCGATCGAACTTTCGTTCACGGCAGGAAGATTATTTCCAGCTGATCTGACACACAGACACACAGACACCCGCTCATCTCATCAGTAAACACAGCCTTGGACCCTACATGGGAAGGATACTGGCAGTGTGACGCAATCCACCTCGTCATGCCACGCTGCCCAGTACAAATTCTGGCTGACTGGGACCTTGTAAGATCTCGATAACGGTGGGTTAGGGTTGATTATGAGCTCTATACAACAGTCAATAGTGAAACCATTACGTCACTCGCAAGCAACTGACTCGCAAGCTCAATGTCTGTGCCGTCCTGACCCAGAGGTGGACCGTGAATACCCGCCCTGGCCCAGCCTCTACACTTATTTGGTACTTGACCATTCTTGGGTGGTAAACTTTGCCAATCGATATCGAAATGCATAACGTGTGTTAGATGTTTGGGCGAGTAGATACATCATACGGGATACCCGTCATTCCAAGCCAATAAACACCCCTCGGAAAATATGGTTCCACTGGCCAGTGACCCTTGTGCTAGCACATGTTAGACAGGTACAATTAGATGCCCATGCTGAATGCTGGATCATAGACAGCTGTGACGGATATACTTGGGTACTTATATTATCGTGCCGTTGTTCTTGGGACGCGGAAATTACTATTGCTTCTTCCCAGAACGACAAAGGTCACTTTTCCTTTGGATACTGTTCTTGCTAATAACGGCAGCACTAAACCTTGCAAAATAGGGGATAATGAGCGACTTGTCTGCGTGTCCGAATTAGCACGCAATTCCTTCGCTTCACTTGACTGACAAAATAATCCCTTTAGAGGCAACACCGAGGTATACAAAAAACCTCTCCCTCAGACCTATCCATCCCTATAACCCATCTTTCTTCCGTTTCCGTCCAACGCAACAACACATTGGTCTAGTACCTATTGGTTTATCTCGCCCATCAGGTCCACCAAAACTCCCCAGCCGTTAAGCATCAGTCATCGGATGCTGACTGTCCAATGCATTTTTACTCAACCCATAGCCAGAGCATGTAATCCAACTCTATCCATGCATGATCCATTGAGGCGCAAAACCCGGTCATGGTCAAGGGTGGTTGAGGCGAAATCCCGAAGCCTTTCCTGACCACTGCTCGAAATGTATCCAAATCAGCAGTTTCAAGATGGACATTATAGGGGCCTTTGCCCCAGATGATTTCGCAATTGGCGTAAATACGTTCGATTTGGGAGGGGGGCATGATGGAAGGGTTGTTGAGGAGTATGAGGGAAGGATGTGCTATAGAAGTCAGTTCAGTGGTAGCCACCAAAGAGGCTGCTACCTTTTCAAACAGTGGCCAGGATGATTGGGCGTGGAAAGGTGCATAAAGTGGTGGAGTAAAACACAGAGGCTATCTCACCTTATTATCGCTCTGTGCTTGGTATACTGGATAAAGGGTAGGTAGTATAACAGCAGTAAGTGAGCCCTCGATATGATAATGGAGTTTCTGTGGGGAGCAGATTCAGAGGTCGCAAGAGTTATTCAATCAAGGCTTCAGGAGTCAGTCACCGTGAGGGACAATGTTTCCCGTTGGGGAAGGTGCCCTTCGCCTGTTCCCACCCACCAGCAATTCATCCCTCTATCTAGATTCCGACCGATGCACAGGGTCTTTATCAAAGAAGTTTCGCGATACACATATAGCTTCCGGGAAAAGTTAAGATCCAAGCTTTATAGGTACTGCCAAAGCAGGTAAAGTATCTACCCCTGGGTCGCAAACTCAATCTGCTTTCTGCTCTTGGATTTCTGGCCATCATGGTTTGGTTGACAACTATATTGGTAGGAAATATTGGGCGTCTGCTCCGATAAGAATCCTTTGGAGATGACTGGCTATAGTGACAGAGGTTGAATGGTAAATTCACACAGGAAGAAGATCAAGTCTCCACTAACAAGACATGTACGGAGTGCACGGTAGACATAGGCTACTGATGCCATATTGATCTGGCACGGAGTAATGCCTGGGTTGGTCGGCAGTAGGTAGTCAGCACTAGGCGGGCAGATGTACATCGTGGGCGCCGATCTAGATACAATCAATCAACCATCAACAACCATCCACCAAGCCGGGTACCATCGGCGAATAACCCCATTTTTTCTCTCTAACGCCCAGCCCTTCTACCTGCTGTCTGAATCTAATATAATTTCCTTATATACGACAATGAAACTTCTCGCCCTCACCGGGATTCTCCGCTCGGCACCGGACTAGCTATTCGTGCATATCTTCAGCTCCGAGCTCATCTGTGCAGATCAGTGGGTACCACAGAGCTCCCCCCCTCCAATGCTTTAGCACAATACACCTCATGCTTGCTTGTTTTCCCAGAAGACTAGTCGCCGTCTATTGATTGGAATCTGCAAGCACGAGCTGAATCACACGCATTTTTGAGTCGGATGATTGAGGCAATGGCGCTGTACAATGGGGTGGGAGGTACCCTGAATCTGCTTTAGTAGCAGTGCTTGGGGGGTTCTTCTCCTGATATTCTGAGGGCTTTGGTATATGTTGGTCAAGCGTTCCGCAGGTTTGTTGCGTTGTGTACCCTGCTTTCTCAGCTTTACCAATTGACGGCTCTTTTGACTGACACTGAGAGGCTTTCACCCATAATAGCTGCGATCTGAACCCAATATGTCCGACAGACAAGAATCAACCAGTGCCAAGAATCATGGGGACGGAGATGATGATGGCTACAATCAATCGCAGTTGTGGTCCACATCATCAACCTTCTTCTCTACCTCCGGGATGGTCGAGGACACGGAAATTCACACAATAGGAGGGTTTAGCCAGGAGCTTGAGACGGAATTTACTTCCACCAATGCCGATATTACATCAAGCTTTACGTCTACGTCTGGAGTAGTGCAGGAGAGAGCGACTTATAACTCCGGATGGCTTGGGGAGAGTACCCAGAAGAATGCGATTCCTCACACGCAATCTGTATTTTCGGGTAATTTGTCTACATCCGGGGTGACCCAGAATCATTGTGGGCTAGACAGGTCTGAGGCAATGGAAGGAAGCTTTGCTTTGCCTCATGCTCAACCTGGTTCGTTGACTGTCGTCCTCACGTCTGCAAATGCTGAAGAGGGAGAGACACGTGGGTTAACTGGGTCGGGGCCCTTGGGGAGGAGCCTCCATTTGTCGCATCCTGCATTGTCGACTTCCGTCTCTATGTCCGGGGCAATCGAAGAGATGGAAACATGTGAAGCAGAACGCTCCGCGAAAAGAACCCAAAGCGATTCATCTTCTCCTGCACAGCTTCAATTTTCGAAGTTTACCTCTACGTCTCGGAGTTTCCAAAAGGGCGAGGCTTATGAATCAGAGAGATTAGATGGAAAGAGGAAAGTTCTCAATTCTTTTGAAACTCAGCCCGAACCTTCAAGTTCAGTCTTCGAATCGAGATTGACGGTCGAGAGGCAGGAACCTGAAGCGGTCATATCTAGAGAGGGTACTGAGAGAGAATCGCTTTCCCATACAAAGTCTACATCGTCAGAGATTCTAGTTACAACCGAAACCACGACAACCGAACAGAATTATGAAGAAAACGAGCCAAGTCAGGAAGAGATTGAAAAGCTTGCTATCTCTCGTGCGCATTCTTCAGCATCAATTTATGCTTCTGAGAATTCCAGACATGACGAAGCGGCTTCCATTGACGGAAGTGGCATGGAAGGCTCGGTTGTATCCCTCACCGAGCCAACATCGTGTTCGTCGATACTCGTATCCACAACCACCGAAGTGCAAGAGTCAAGAGAACCCGGAATCCCCGCTACTGTGACTGAAGAAGACTTTATGGAATTGGACTTGCAACCTACATCGTCTCCATCATATGCCATATCAACGACAGTTGATGATCAGGAATTCATCGATGCTGACAATTCTGGAAATTTATTTACGGAAGAACCGACTGAATATCATGTCAGCCCTGCATCGATTTCATCGCTCTCTCTCTCTACAACACCAGATGAGAAGGAAGCGATCGAAGCAAACAGATATGAAAGTGATTATTATGAAACGAATGCCCCTAAATCTCAGTTTGTACCATCAATAGGCTCACCAGCCGAGGTTGAGGAGAATGAAGGAGCTCTGGGCTTCGCTGCCAGACATCGTGTCTCTCTGGATCCGATTGAAGAGGCGTATTTGGCTGAAATTGCAATGACTGATGGTAGCATTACCAGCATCAGTGGTTTCGCAAACACCTTGCCAGGGGAGGACCCATGGTTTTATCCAGACAATTCAGACTTTGATTTATACAGGTGGCTTCACAAGCTAATTCGCATGCTAAATAAGAGCAAGCTTCCTGGAGAGAGGCCATCAGTGGCGTTTCAAAATCTTCACGTCTTGGGGACTCGATCTACAATACGGTACAATTGGAATATGCTCGATATCTTGACCGCTCCCCTGAGGCCACGAGGCTCCTTTAACTCGAACCATGAATCTCCTAAACCAATCCTTCAGAGCGTACATGGTGTTTTGAACAGGGGAGAGCTGCTACTAGTTCTAGGGCGACTTGAATCGGGGTGCAGCTCCCTTGCGAAGGCACTGTGTGGGGAATTCCATGGGTTACAGTTGAATTCAGAATCAGCCATTTACCACGGCGGCATGCCACAACAAACAATACCCAATACATTTAAGACTGGAACTGTTTACAATTCGGACTTTAATGGTTTTTTCCCCAGTTCAACAGTGGGCCAGACACTAGAGTTCGCGGTATCGGCGCGGACCTCTTCGAATCAGCTAAAGAGTGTGTCTCGCAAAAGATACACAAAGCTGATGGCGAAAGTGATCGGTGCAGTGTTTGAGCTGCGCCATGTCTACAAGAAAAGAATTTGTGATATTTCAACAAGTGAGCACAAGCGGCTCGCTGTGGCAGAGATGGTCTTGTCGGGGGGGTTTTTGGCTGCATGGAACAATCCGACTCAGGGAACGGACTCATATTTGACACTGAACTTCATACAGTCACTCAGATTGGCCGCAGATCTAGGCTCATCTTCCCATATCATACCAGCTCGTCAAGTGAGCCAGGCCATCTACGACCTTTTTGATAAGACTGTGTTATTGCACGAAGGGCGTCAGATCTACTACGGATCCACTGTTAAAGTCCGACAATTCTTCGAGCACCAAGGCTGGTACTGCGGTCCACAACAAACCACTGCTGACTTTTTGGCCGCTATCACCAATCCAGCAAGTAGAAAACTACGCCCTGGATTTGAAGGTCAAGTGCCCCGGACTCCCGATGAATTTGAGGCGTACTGGCACCAGTCTTCAGAGTTTTTAGAGCTACAACGAGAGATGGCATCTCATCAGCTTCTTGAAACATCTCAGCAGAAGCACGAGTTCCCTGAAAGCCGACAGAACAAGTCTCGGAACTCAAAATATTGTACGTGGGCTGATTCGCCATACACGAGCTTGTCATTACAAATCAAGCTCTGCATCAAAAGCGCATACCAGCGGGCCTGGAACGAACGTGTGTCGGCCGCATACAAGCTTGCTCTCAACCTAGCCATAGCCTTGATTATTGGGTCCATGTTTCACAACACACCCGATACGACATCAGGATTCTTCGCCAAGGGAGCCGTGATATTCTACATGGTGCTGCTAAACTCCTTCATCCCAATAAGCGAAATCAGCAGCCACCATTCGCGACATCCGATTGTGCAAAAACATGCCTTGCTTGGGTTTTATCACCCAGCAATTGAGGCAATAGCCCATTTCCTGAGTGTAATACCGCTCAGGTTTCTTCTAGCTCTGACAAACAATATAGTCATCTACTTTATGAGCAACCTTCGTCGCGAACCTTCTCAGTTCTTTCTATGTCTACTTATCAACTTCCTGACCATACTCGTTACAAGTGCGGCCTTCCAAGCCAATGCAGCGATAGCAAAAACAGTTTCACAGGCTATAGTACTTGCTGGCTTGCTAGTCCTTCCGGTGACTATCTACACAGGTTTCATCATTCCGGTCCCCCAAATTCACCCGTGGTTCAAGTTCATCCGCTATTTAACCCCCACATACTACGCGTTCGAGAGCCTGGTTGCCAATGAATTCCATGGCCGTCATTTTGGCTGTGCTGCATTTGTTCCATCTTATCCGAACATTCAAAACAACTCATTTATCTGCTCCGCTGTTGGGGCGGTCGCTGGTCAGTGGACTGTTAGTGGTGATGATTATATTCGGGCTACATATGAATTCACCTACCATCATGTGTGGAGGAACTTTGGTATTCTCATCGCAATGATGCTTGGTTGGATGATGATTCATCTTGTTGTGACTGAGATGATTTCATATACAAACACGGCACCTGAGAGTCTATCATTTCGTCGAGGTAATGGGCTCAAAAAAGGTGGGAATAGCGCGGACGAAGAGACAGGCCAGTCAGTCGTGGCTATAAACAACTCTATGGTGGGTGATGCACAAAACAAGAACCCAAGTTTCATTCCAGCTCAACAAGGCATCTTCACATGGCGGGATGTGACATACAAAACTGTTTTTAAGCGCGAACATCGTCAGATTTTGGACCAGGTGACCGGCTGGGTCAAGCCAGGATCGCTGATGGCAGTGATGAGTGTTAACGAGATCGAAAGAAAAGCATTCCTCGAGATATTGGCGCAACACACCACAGTGGGTGTTTTCACTGGTGACATGTTCATCAATAGCCGCCCTGTAGGCTCGAACTCCCAGCGAAAATTCGGCTATATCCAAAAACAAGACCTTCATCTGGAGACAGCAACAGTTCGTGAAAGCCTTCAGTTTAGTGCACTGCTGCGACAGCCGAGCTCGGTTTCCAAAGAAGAGAAATACGCGTACGTTGAGGAAATAATCCGGATACTGTGTCTGGAAGAGATCGCAGAGGCATTTGTTGGAGTTCCTGGAGAAGGGTTGAACAGAGAACAGCGTAAGCTGTTGAGCATCGGAGTGGAATTGGCAGCCAAGCCTCAGATTCTATTCCTGGATGAGCCGACCAGGTACATAGTACATCTTACTTCCTGAATCTATCGAGAACTAACATGTATGACAGTGGTCTTGACGAGCATGGCTCCCGGGCTATATGGAGTCTTCTCCGGAAACTCGCCAACGCAGGACAAGCCATCGTCTGTACCATCCACCAGCCCAGCGCATCCATATTCAAGCAATGTGATCAGCTTCTACTCCTCACCAACGAAGGAAAGACAGCATATTTCGGCCCAACTGGCGAGAACTCCCTGATCCTGCTCGACTATTTCCACAGAAACGAAGCCCATCGAGCCATCAAAGACAACGAAAACCCCGCCGAGTACATCATGGAGGTCCTCAAAACAGAAACCAACAAGAACAACGGCACCTGGTCCTCTATCTGGAGCACAAGCAGAGAAGCAGCCACCATCCAAGAAGAAATCAAGCACATCCACTCCCACAAACAAACCCAACAAAACCAACCAAACACCCCTCCAGACCCCCGCGAACACGGCGAATTCGCCCTTCCCCTCCGGAACCAACTCCCCATCATCCTGCGCCGCATATCCCAACACTACCACCGCACCCCCCTCACCATCCTATCCAGAATAGCCCTCACCACAACGGCATTCCTCTTCATCGGCTTCTCCTTCTACAAACAAAACCCCTCCCTCCACGGCCTCCAAGGAACCCTCTTCTCCCTCTTCATGCTCTGCGCGCTCTTCCCACCCCTAGTCCAACAAACCATCCCAACTCTCCACACACACATATCACTATACATCCACCGCGAACACCACAGCAGAACCTACTCCTGGCTCGCCCTCCTCCTATGCACCCTCCTCATAGAACTCCCCCACACCATCTTCCTCGCTATAACCTCCTACGCAAGCTACACCTACCCCATCTTCAACATCCAATCCCCGCCCCAACAAGGCCTCACCCTCCTCTTCTTCCTACAATACTTCCTCTCCGCCACCACCTTCGCAATAGCAATCGCCATCCTCTCTCCCACCCCCCAACTCGCAACCCTCCTCACCTACGCCCTCTCATTCTTATCCATATCCTTCAACGGCATCATGCAACCCCCCTCCACCCCCCCTCTCCACACCTTCTGGATCTTCATGTACCGCATCTCCCCATTCACATACCTCGTCAGCGGAATCTCAGCAACCCAGCTCCACAACCGCGCCGTGAAATGCAGCACCATCGAACTATCCACTTTCCATCCCCCGAGCGGGCAATCATGCGCGGAGTATCTGGGTACATTTCTCCAAACAGCGACGGGGTATTTGGTCTCTCCTGATGCGAGGGATAAATGTGAGTATTGTGCGGTAGATGTTGCGGATCAGTTTCTGGCCCAAAGGGAGTATTTTTGGGATGAAAGGTGGAGGAATTGGGCGGTGGGGTGGGGGTTTGTGGTTTTCAATTTGGGTGTTGCGGGGTTGGCGCTTTACTATCGTGTGAGGGTTGGGGGGTTAGGAAGGATGGGGTAGATGAGATGATGGATTTGGATGGTCTGTTTCTGGAATATGGTATAGTTGGATAGATCGTTTCTCTTATGTTTGAGATCAGTGTCGCTTGCGTATTTGCTTTTGCCGTTTCGTTTACTGTTTTATATGATATTGTCATGTCATGTGTCTACCCATCGTTCCAACCTACGTATGACTGCTGCAGATAGCATGACGGCAAGGAAATGATTTTTTTTATTTCAGTCAGTCAGCTGATCAATCAATCAATCAATCAGTCAGGATACAGGTCACTCAGTCTGACGGGTCCTGCTCTCATCTCAATGACAAAAGTTGGTCCCGTCTACCAAGCGCACCCTGCAACAGTCGATCAATCTATCAACCGGCCTGACGCAATAGCAAGAAGGTAAATACAAGAGAAGAACAGCCACGGAGACACCACATCAACGAGTTCATCAGCCATGTCAACCCTGAGTAGATTGACAGCACAGTCAACAGGTCGAAAACACTATGGGTGATCAATGCAGTCGCGCCAGATATCGGACATCGTGTCAAACGAAGCTCCGACTTCTATGCACCATGCAATCCGATCCGACCGAGTATCCCATTCAACCGTTTTACCAGGCGGCACGCAAACCCTTGGTGTTCTCCTCAGCTGGAGATTCATCCTGGGTAGCGCCTTCGGCATTCCAGTCACCACTAGACTCGTTGTTCCAATCGCCGCCACTGGTGTCTGCGACGTCGGCTCCGGGGGCGGAATCATCGGGAGCGGGAGCGGTAGGGCAGCGTCTGATGGTGTGGCCCACTGTTGATCGGTTGAGGTTAGTATATTGTATGTGGGAAGACGTTTGCGAGAAGATAAGTATGGCGAGGGCCGTGACTTACTCTCGCCGCAATTGTTGCACTTGACCCGAGAATAATCTCTCTTCTTAGGACAGTCGCGGCTGAAGTGCCCGACTGTGTCAATGTGTCAGTAATTTTTAGCAGTGGGTAGTGGATCGAGTCCGTACCTTCGTCGCAGTTGCGGCAGGTCACAGTAGAGACATCACGAGGTTTGTCACAGTCGCGTGCCATATGATCCTCGGATCTATTCAATTAGAGACGGAATCACTGCAAAGATAGCATGCGACTTACCCGCAGTTGCGACAGGTTCGAGGAGCGGGAGCCTGAGGACACTCCTTTGCGAAATGGCCCACTGGTTAAGGTGTCAGTGAAATGTTTAGCAAGGGGAAGGCCGAATTTGTTACTTTCACCGCAACGCTTGCATTCAACGCCTTCCGCAGAGCGAGGGTTGGGACAGTCAGATGCTTTGTGTTCATTCGAACTTTCATAGTCAGTAGGTAGTCTTTGAGCCTCTTGGGATGGTCATACCCGCAGTTACGACAGGCGAAAGGATCACGACGAGGCTCAGGGCAGTCGCGTGCACGATGTCCGACATTGCTGCAGTTGACGCATTTGACCTCAACACGCTCAATCAATTCACGCTCCTGAGCACAACCACGGGCAGTATGACCCATCTCTGTAATTTGTTAGCAAAGCTGAGATGATCAATGTCAGGCTAGATCTCAATATACCGCCACAGTTGCCGCACTTGGGAACCTGTCGATCAAAAGGCAAGCCAGCATCGGCAAGACGCTCGAGGTTATCCTCATCGGAAGGTGGCCAACGGTCACGCAAGTTTGCACGCTGCGGCTTGGAGCTGTAGAAGAAACCCACTACGTAGGTGCAGTTCAGCTTGCCCTGAAGATCGATGAGGCTGATGCAATCGTTTACTTCTCTCTCCTGTCAACCCAGTCATATTAGTACCTATTCAAAGATGAGCATCATAGAATAAGCTGATATTACCATGGCAATAAGATGAAAGTTGAGATTATCCTCGCGCAACTTGTTCTCAATATCGACGAAGGTTGCTTGAGGCATCGACTTGGAGTAGACTTTGATACCCTGTACTGTGTCAGCACATCTGACTATGACAGCGTAATTATCTACATAGAAGAAAGTTGTAGAAAATGGGGAGATTTTCTCACCTCGCGTAAATCTTCAAGGTCTTTTTCAGCGCTGGCCTTCTTCACAATATCCCAGGCCTCTTCGGGGAGCTTGTCAGGGACACTGTTCAGGTCAAAGCGACGGTTCTCCTTGCAGTCAATAGTCTTGTGACCTTGTCTGAGGATTAGTATATGTACTCAATTACAAGCCGCCATGCGTCAGACCTTCCATCTTGCAGTTCTTGCACACCTCAGGAGGTCTCTCGGGACACTCGGCGGCAGGGTGTCCTTCCTGGCTGCATATACGACAAGTGCCCTTAAAGACACGAGGTTTTGTGCACTCTGCTTTGGTATGTCTGGTGTAGTGTCAGTAAGCAGAGCAACCAAGTTGTGATTATGTGAACTCATACCCGTCCTCGCCGCAGTTGAAGCAAGCCATGCCCTTACGAGGTTCGGTGCAGTTACGCGCAAAGTGGTCCTCGCTTCCGCAGCTGTCTTCTGTTAACAAGAGCATTCAAGTAGACACAGAGATGGAAACACTTACTTGCGGCAACGATTGTCATTGTCTTTTTCCTGTCCTCCGGGGGCCGACGAGGGATCATAGTCGTTACCACCGAAGCCAGCATCGGCACCGAAACCACCGGGCTTAGTGTTCTCATCGCTGCCAAAACCTATCATATCCATCAGTATTGTTATGGGTATGTAGCGCGATTGTTGGTCGTGACAGAAAACGTGTCTCCAGCCAAACAGATAAGATTCACTCCTGTCGAGCAGGGACACGTACCGCCATCATTGTCATCATTCCAGCCGGAATTATCGTTCCAGCCGGAATCTTCGGCGGAGGGCCAGTCCGACATCGTGAGGACGAGGTATACCGCTCCTAGAGGGAGTGGTTGGTCAGCTTTGTCAGTTGAAGTGACTGGGTGACTAGATACAGGGACGTCTGACAGTTGTCCCACACGCGCTTGAGCGTGAGCAGGGTAGAAGTTCCTAAGTCTCTGTTGACTCAACTGCCACATTTGCAAAGAGATAGATCACTCACCGAGTATCTAGTAGAAAGGAGAATGGTCTGTACGAAGGCCCCGAGGGGGAGATGGGATGGAGCAGGAGGTGAAAGAGAGAGGGAGGACGAGAGAAGACAAGAGAAGACGAGAGTTGAGGGGGGGAAGAGAACTCAGAAGGAAAACCCGCCGGCAGCCTTGCAGCCTTGCAATTCACTGCTGCTCTTCGGTTTGCAAACGGAGGCCTGAAGGCCAAAACGTGTGTTTGTCCGTTTCGCGTCACTGTGAAACCTCGACCTCTTGGGACTCTCAACAACTTGTGACAATTGGCTGTCTTGCTTTTTTTTTTTTTTGCTTTTCAAGGCATGATTGAGGCAATACTCTGTACTCTACATGCTGCTGTGACCTAGGTCTGTTGGAATGTTGGAACTTCCTTTATAGGGGGCCCTCAAGGCTCTCAAATACGTCTGGTCAGGATGGGTGGCTCATATTAAGTGTTATTGTTGCTGTCGCAAAGCAAAAGCAAAACCACCAGAGGGCGTTTACATGCCACCGAAGCTTCGTGTGGTAGTTACGCGACCCAACAACTGTGTGTTCTTGATATTAGGAGCAGACCTTCATTGCACCTTATATTAACTCAACCTTTTCTTGCATTGAATGAAACTCTCGGAGTGCCGATTCCAGCATGTGCATGTCTGGTGGTTCTGAAAGACGGAAAAAGCGAGGAGTGGGGCTTGGAGGTTCTCCACGATCCTTTTCAGGCGCAGCCTTGCTCCCTTTGTTTGCTGTGTGAGCTGTATTTTCAGGTCTATCCCCAGCTGACGGACTGTTCTCCCTCGAGGTCGAGACAGCGGAAGGCTTCTGAGAATAGACGTTGTTGCGTGACGTGTCGGGGGGCTTTTGGAATGATCAGTATTTCAAGTTTGGATTTTATACTATAATATCTTGACTTACACTGTGGCCGGCGCGAGGTGAGCCAGACTGGCTGGTTCTGTCTGGAAGACTACCATGCTTAGTCCAATAATAGTGTTTTGAAATTATTTATGTGAAAGTTGTGTTTCAGGTAAAAGTGCTACATTGATCTTTTTTGTTTGTATGACAGGGTGTTGTAAAAGGAGAACAGTGGAACGACACCATTGACAAAAGGCCGATGTCAGACGACGGCCCGTACCGACCGATCATCGCATGCCCCATACCGATGCCAATGCCGGTGCCCCTTTACAGGCTTACAGATCATCAAGTATCCGCTGGTTTGAATCAATTAGACAAGTTGATTTGTCGTTGTGTAGTGTGATAGCATACTTTGTAACAATTATATTGCCCATATCAACATTACGGTCGGGCCGACCCTTGTATACAGATCCTGAAGCGTCTCGACAGCCTAAATCAAGAAGCTTAGCAACAGCATAAGATCCACAAATTCCACTCCTAGTCATCACCCTCCACATCCAACGCATCATCATCCCCTCTAATACCGCGCCACCACTCGCTCTGGCGTACAAGCTCACCATCTTCCCCACCCAACAAACGCCAATACTTCTTCAAAAACCACACCCTTGCCTCCCAGCTGCGGACATCCCACGGCGTACCCGACGACGCAAACCCCGTAGACTCCTGCCGATCCCTCCTCCCGAGACCTGCACCTCCCCAACATACCAGGCCAGTAATAATGTCGTGGAAGAACTCATCTTCATCGAATTCCCCGGGACGGGTAATGAGGTTTTTCCGCAACGTCGGAAAGGGCAGGATATCGATATACGGATGATGCTGGACGGTGATTTGTTCTCTGCTTGGTCGTAAGTCCGGTTTGAGGGTCTTGAAGATTCGCTGCACGGCGCCGATCATGTTTGATTTGGCTAGCTCGTCTGTTGAGTGTGCGCTGGACCGGAAAAATGGGGAGAAGGATTCGTCGGCGCAGAGCATCTCCTCGGATACGCCGATGTGCATTCCGATACTGCGCAGAGCGGTGATGTTGCAGACTGTTTCGATGCGGAGGTTGTTGGCGTATGGATCTGCCGATGGTGCGCCCGGTGCTAATTGGAGTATCTTGAAGCCGCCATAGCGGAATGAGTTAGGCCCTTGGGTCCGTATCTGGACGTGTGGGCTGGAGCAGCCGCATTCGATGGTGGTTGTCCAGTATGGGTCATGGTCGTTGCTGTGCTTGTCGGAGACGAGAAGAGAAGGGTCGATGTATGTGGGAGAGCCCCATATGCTTAGCGCTACTGAGGTGTCATTTGGCCGTGGAGCCTGTGAGGTAGAGTTCCATATACACGGCGATGATGAGAGATCGTCTGAATGCGAAGCCAGTGTGGTATAATCCCACATGTTCAGTGAGAGGGTGTCATCCGAGGGTGCAATAAGTTGTTGATCCTCCCTGGGAGTTGCCACAGATGAACTAGAAACAGATGCATCTGAAGCATGATAGGTTGGGAGACTATGCCCGACAATATGGATCGGATTACCATATGGGCTAAGGGCTGAGTCGGGGCCTGCTACCGGCGGTTTTTCAACAGTTTGGTCCTGCTTAGTAGACGGTGCAAGTGCCTCGAGACGACTCATGCGCTCACGGAGCCTTTCTCCTAAGCCAGCAATTAATTTTGGTGTTCCCGAGATCCTAGTCCCCATAATCTATAGGCTGCTGACATCCCGATGCCAGAGAAGACCCACACTTACGGTACTTTCTTTGCGCTTGGAGATTCTGTTGCCGTCTCCGCTCCGGGTCGCGACGGACAGGTTTCCGTTTCTGCTTCCCCACGCTTTCACCCGGCTGTTCTCGAGAAGTGGTCTGTGGTCCCATGGTGGATTTAACTTCCATACTGGAGGGTATCTAATAGAGAGGATAAATCAAGTGACACCGAGGCGCCGAAGCCGGGGGGCAGTGATGGTGACACGTGAAAGAAGAGGAGGTGTGTAGTCCGAATAAACTGCGGGACATGGCTGATGTCAGCCATCAAGCAGCCACTCATGGCCCGAAGGTCAATTCCGTCGTGGTGATCTGACATGGACCATCGCTAGCTGCAGGCAAACAGTGCATCAAATCAAGACTTGATTTCAAAATAGTAGGCAACCCTAGATATTGATCGGACGCTGATAGAATGACCGATTCTAAGACATGATACCTTCAAGGTCCTCTCCGCTAAAGTACATACTCAGCATCTTCGGCCCGTCCCCAAGAAAAGATTCCCCCTGCGGATTTCCAGCCAAAAGCAGTTTGTCTAATCCAGCAAAGGGCTGGCTTGTCCATAAGGGGCGGCCTTCTCCATCAGTTGAAGTCCAGACGCCTGGGCCAAACTTCGTCTCCCCTCCGTTAGCTTTGAGATATTTCCCGAAATTGAATCCATTAGAGAGAGCGGCCGGAATATGGAGAACTTCATGCAGCAGGATGGTTCGGGGCGGTAATCCTGGTCCTGGGAGTACGTTCAGTTCAACCGATCCCACTCCAGCAACGTAGGTCTTTGAATCCCCGATCGTACGTTCCACCGGGCGGTAGTCTGTGAAGGATATACGATCCCTGGCATAGTGGCAGGCGCCTGATACAATCATCCAGTCCCAGCAGCGGCGGTCGGAGGGGTTCTCACGACGTTTGCTCTTTCGGTCCTCTTTGACGTCTGTCTGGTGTTCTCCGATGTCTTCCATGTTTATCGGTGGAAAGATGACTTGGGCGGCAGACGGACTGGTATGACAACCACCAGATCAGTTTCAGTTCATGAAGAGCCCTGAAGTTGATTCAAACTCACAAATACCAGCAAATTTTGCTGTACTAATCCCCCTCTGACTCAGCGCAGAAAGCCAGAGTACTTGATAGGATCTCTTGAGTTGTGGGGGTGTCTTGTTGGAAAAGTAGAGGAGGCGGGGGAGGGACCCTGAATGAGGATTGATGTGGAGAAGAAAGGTTGGAAAGTTGACAGACAACGAATAGCCTCAGCAGTCATGTGATGGATCACGTCGCTCATTCGGGCATACATTCCAGGTGAATGTAAGCCCTTCACATACTACAAATCTGCCTTGTCCGGCAATCCCGCTTCGGGCTGCTCAGTGCGCCAACAGCGGCGCAAAGTCGGTCTTAAGCGGAACGGGGAAGTCTCCAAGTTTCCGCAGGAATCATGTTCCGAAGCACTACTGGGAATAATGTTTTGTAATAGTGCTATACTTATGTGCATTAATCCTTCCATTCATCTCTGCCAAACTTGACGATATCAGCCTGCTCCAGCACCCAGTACTTCGACGGCGCTTTCCCCTCTTCCGCCTGACGAGCAGCCGCGACAGCTGCCCGACCAATCATGGTTTGGTCTTGACCTGCAGGTGGCGGATTAGCACCCAGTGTACTGAATCAAATATTCGATCAGATATCTCATACCTATCATATCCTGGACACCCTGACTCAGTTTATTCAGACTCCCAATAATGTATTCCAACAGTGGGGCTTTAGAAGTCTCCCTTCCGATGATCATACCCGGCCTCAGAATGATCGCGTGCTCGAAATCAAGCTCCTTGATGGTATCTTCCACGCCAATCTTCATCTTTGAGTACGGGAGGTAGCTAGAGGGAAAACCCCTGGTCCCTGCACTGGATATGTACACGTACGTTTTCACTCCAGCCTCTTTGGCTGCTTTGGCGTTTTCGATGCAGGAGTCATGGTCGATCTTCCATTGATTTTGGACCCCCCCAGCTGTCGCTCTTGTGGTGCCAACTGCATTGAAGACCGATGATGGCTTGGGGGATAGAGAGGAGATCATGCCGCCCCATTTCGTGATGTCGCTTTCCTGGAGGGCTTGGAGCTTGGGAGACTGGGCATTCGGGAGTCTCCTTGAGATTGTCTTGATCGATGAGAATGCGTCTGTGGCGAGGAGTGTTGCGAGGATCTGAGAGCCCACTGCCCCCGTACAGCCGAATACCGCTGCTGTCGTCATGGTGGAGTATTACTATCTGTGGACACGATCTGTCTCGAAGCAAAGCAATAAGCGTAGCGAGACGAGTAGCTCCGAGCACTTGAATTCTGGGATAACTGGGAACATGCGGTCGCGACGTGGACTTTGGACTTTAATAAATATGTTTGGGATGGGGGGCAAGCAAGACGTCATCGGCTAGACTGGCCCACGTTATCCACAGCGGCTTACGTTACCCATGGCTGCCCCGTGCAACCACGAATAAACGAATAATCCAACCCTCTATCATCATGGTAATAATTTGAGAAAGACCGATGTGCTCCAGCATATCTCACTCTGCGGCTCCTGTTTTTTGTTGGCTTATATTTGTGTCATAGGTCCGATACTCCTGCCACCAGCTGAGATGCACAACAACATCTCGGGCGGTAAACCATTATCAGCTTCGACTTCCTGATGATTTGGTCAAGACGTCAATGAATTTTCTGGGCACCTTTGCTATGCGGAATTATTTGAGGATGCATCACTATAACCCTAAATCTGCACCATCATAATTCCCAGTGGGCAGCGCAATGCCATTGGAGGGCTGATCGCCACCAAGGAGCATCAAATTATCCCAGTAGCGATCGAAAAAGTCGACGTTGTTTGTAGGGCCGGAGAAGGCCGCGTGATTAGCGTTGGTGTCGACGTCCTGTCCAAGGTAGAATGTAGCGTCCATGAGATCGACATCAAAGGGCGTGCCCTGGTATTGGATATCTTGCGGGGAGCTTTCTTCAAAGGTTACAGGAAGTAGGGGTATCATTGAACTGACTGAGGAAAGATCAGCATAAAAGATCAAGATACGGTGCAAAGGTGTCAGAGACGAACCATCAAACTGACTATTTAAATCAGAGGTTGGGGTGAAGGATTGGGTTTCTAGCGCAACAGGCGGAGGAGATTGTTCATGTCCCGGAGGTGTTGCACCATGCTGGAGGTGAGTATTTGTAATCCTCAGCATGATTGCTAGAGCCTCGGCCGTTTTCAAGGCCTCTTTGGATTGAGAACGGAACCGATTCCAGATCCTGTAAGACCGCTCTAGGTCTTGCGAGAGCTGATGTCTTTGTGCTAGAATCGACTGCCGCTCTCCGGGCGATAGATTCTGTTGTAGGTCGTGTCTTGATTGGCAGGAAATTTCTAAGCAGACAATCATCGCAGCTACGCGGAAATGCATTATGACGCAGGATGAGAAAAAGAAAGACACGAGGCCAAGCTGACCCCCTGGGGAGCTCGCATCGAAGATATCGGCTTGATGCTGCAATACCCTTCTTGCAGCATCGAGACACTCCCTTCGGGAGTATGCGTACTTTGGGTTCCGTCGATGTTGTGTCAGATATCTCCGATGAAGGTCTGAGCGAGCTTTCTGGTACATCAAGTCAATATTGTACCGATCCATAATTGTTGTAGGGGAGTCGGCGATAGATTCGCTGGGTGGACGGAAGCATAATGGATGCGGAACCGTCTCATGAAGCTTCCGTAATTTTGCATCCAAATGCAGCACTTCCCGGTAAGGAACGCCTTTTACGGAGCACACTTTACTCGTTATCTCTGCTCCGGCAAACATAATCCGATTCAAGAAAACGGGAAAGAGTATGGACGTTTTCTCTGTCAGTGGTCTGGAGGTGGGAAGGACCGTTGCAGATGGGTCCAGGTCTTCGTCTGTCAGGTTTCGAGGCTCTTGTGTATCGGATTGAGCCTGCATTGTACTGGGTGGAAGTCCGATCTGGCAGGAGATATAGTGGTCTAGCAGCGAGAGGTACATCCAAACGCGCCGGCGCATTTCACCATCAAATACCGATATCTCCCGGTAATGATCTGGATCCCGGTGGTAGCCGCTGTGCATTGCTAACCGAGAGGCTAACCCCAAGAGAACCGATGGACCGGTGTGCGTATCAGCGCTTCTTAGGATCTCACTGGCTACATTCATAACGAGTGCTTCGAGCTTATACCGCCCTGGTGTTGTGTACTCTGCAATTGTTAGGCATTGCGAGGCTAGTCTGTGATACTCATCAAATGCCTCAGCGAGATGACCGTCGGCCCGACCGGAGGCGGAAAATAGATGTAGCCCTGTAGAGATACATAGTATGCTGTAAAGGTATGCCAGCCAATTGATTGACACATCCTCGGGATTCTTCCAGAATGCAGCGTACTATATCGAAAGGTGCCGGTGAGCATCGGGTTCCCTGATGTGAACAGTATTGTCCTACCTCTTTAGCAAAGGTTGGGATGTGCATGAGGACTACTCTGCTAGTCAGTCCTGCTCTGATAATTTAAAAATTTCCCATGGAGCATACCCAAAGTCGCTTCTTTAGAGTTCAGGTAGAATGAAACCAGCCTGTCCGCCGCTGGTCGATCTGGTAATGCAGCGAGTAGATCGGCTTTTGTGGATGGAACTAAATTGCCAAACAAAAGCACTGGTCCCGAGACTTCTGGCGCCGAAGTCTCCTCTTCTGCATCCTCAAGCGGGCTATTCTCATTCAGTTGGAGATACTGCTTGACCTCTGCAATCTGATGTTTGTAAATATCTCGGGTTTTATGAACAAATGATTTGAGTAGGATAAACTTACTTCGTCCAGCACTGCCTGCCAGTGGGTGGGGTTGATATACCTCGTTCCATCTTGGTCGACCAGGATAGTTCCGGGATAGTCTCCCTGGGGCTCGGATACCTCCTCGGCTGCGCTGGGGCCAGCTTGAACCTCAGCAGCAGTCAAACCTGAGGGCGGAAAGTTCGATTGTGGAAAACTGGGGAACGAAGATTGCACAGTTGCGCCGGATAGCTGCTGCATGCGGGCCTCTAGATCATGGATATGATTATGGATGTCCTGAGATCCCTTCATTGGTATACCCGGGGGACCCTGATAGTGGCACATGTAAGGTCTCTTGTGCTTGATGCAATTGTCACAGGGGTGCATCCGATTGCATTTCAATCTGTGGGGGATGACGGTTAGTTCGACATGGAGAAAGCAGAGGTGGGGGGGAGCCCGCACGGACTTTTTCTGCCGACAAAGCACGCATGATAGCTTTGGTCTCGGCTTTCTCTTCTTCGCCGATGGGACGATCGGGTTTCCCTCGTTCCTGACAGAAGGGTCCATGGCGGCGCAGTGACAGCAATAATAAGTCCGTGTGGCAGTGGGGGTGGATGAGTCCAGCTCACCATCTTGCCGTGGCTCCCTTCCGCCCTAGTCCATATTTGAGTCTAGCGCCGGACATATTCCCACTAGCGTCGGATTTCTCCATCGGCCTTATTTGTAGCTTCGACCAGGCACCACTGTCGTATATAACTCAGGAGAGCATCCTCCCCCCCCCCCCCCCGCAATAATGATCTCATCTACTCTCTATCTACACCCAGCGTCATGCACCGAACGACATCGGCGGTGGTTCCATCTTCCATCAATTCCATCTCAATGCTTGCGAACCACAGTCCCATCACCTCAACCCGGGGAAGTCCCTCCGCCTCCGACGAACAATTGGATTCGAAATATCTCTCGATATTCGACAGTCTCTTGTTTGACGGCGATTCCTCCACAGAGGGCTGTCCATCGGCTGGCTTTTTGACTCCTCAACTCCCAACTTGCCCTGAACCTCCAAGTACTGCCTCTATCTCCGGATCTCCTGAGCTGTGGTACCATTCCGATTTCATGTCGCAAGACCACCCCTACAACAATACGGATACCTGCAATACCCTGTCCATGTTCCCGTCATTCGACACAAACTCTTCAGTGCCAGTGTCAGGCGACTTTACATTCAATCTAGACCAGTTGATGGCTCCACAGCCTAGCCTGGCGGGCATCAATTTCTCCACGTCCGGTATCATGGTGCAGAAACCGAAAATAGCGGAAACAGAATATTCCAATTCATCGTCAGATCTACCAAACAGCAAAATTTATATCCCACAAGAGCCCACTCTTCTCCAACCTTCACTCTCACAACATCCCCCACCATCTCCACAAAGGACATCTCACCAATCTCCCACCCAAGCCCCCAAGAACAACGGCACACCCTCAAATTTCGATCCGCCCCGAAGCAAAAAGCGCTCTCTCGCAAGCTTCACCAAAGAAGATTCCAGTGGAAGCGACAGCACCACCTCAAACTCCGAGGAAGAACGCATCCTAGAAAAGCGACAACGCAATAAGATGGCCTCGCGGCGACTACGCCAGCGGCAGATCGACCATGTGTCTGATCTGGAGTCACGGCTGGAGGATATGACCAAGGAGCGGGATGATTTGCGCTTGCAGGCCGCAAAATGGGAGGCTGAGGTGATGGTTATGAGGAAGTTACTCGATCATGGGAGTGCGAGTAACTCATAGCCATGAGGTACTGGGTGGATTCTTGTGGCTGGATGGAGGTAACTGCTGGTTGGTACAACGATTCCATCCGCCATTGGAAGTTTCGGGGATAATATGTATTATGATGTAATGTTTATAGAAATGCGAGCTAGAGCTAGAGGCCTGGTTATGAATGCCAAACTAGTAACAATTCCAAGCGGTGCTTGTTTATTCGCTATAGTCCGAGCTGGCTTTGACATGAAAAGCACTCCGCACCCCTTCACCCCCTGAACTTTTGATTCTACTTCCTTCCACTTGGGAAGGGTTTTCTCCGGGACCGCCAATCAACCAACTCCTGTGCCAAACCACCAAAGTTTAAATCTTAGCTCTCCATCTCCACCGATAATTCAAACAAGCCCATCTCGCCATCAGGAACATGCACAGCGCCAGAACGAGGACACCACCAAGGTAAGCAACCATGGCCTGTTTACCGACAGCATCCAGCATTTCACCACCAATGGGGATGGAAACCAACGTTCTATTAGTTCAATATGTCAGTTACATTTTCAACTCGAATGATTGTGAAATGAAATGAGGTACTTACGCAATGCTGACAATGGAGTAGCACGTCCCGAACCGCCCGCCAATTTCGCTAGCCTTGGATATCTGGCCGATGCAGACCGGGGCAAGGCTGAGGAAAGATCCAGATGCTAATCCAAACAGAATGCTGAATAGATATAGGCCGACTAGAGTGTTACCAAATGGAAGCCAAACAACGAATACGACGACAGCTGCAAAGGCGATCAGGACGGTTTGGGTGTTGAGTCGACCGTATTTATCGGCCGTAGCGCCTGCGAAGAGTCGACCTATGCAGGAGAATCTAGACAAGGTCAGAATTGCTGTTGTGACTGATGGAGGAGGGTAAACTGACACGTTGAGTATTGAAAGAAGAATGATGCTGGTGTTGGTGCTGTATCCTTGCATCACCACGTAGGTTGGATAGAGACCCAACCCGGCAAAGACTTCCAATTCGAGGCCTATTCATATTAGCATTATAAATATCTAAAATTGACGTGTTTACCAGCATGATAACTCACTGAAAGTCCCCAAAGTCAACCACATAAACCTCGAGTCGCGAAAACACCTCAAATTAATCCCCGACTTAGACACCCCTCGAGGCAAGCGAGTCTTCACCATCAACACCCCAGTCCACACATCACCAGGACCAGCAAAGCTAAAAACCTCGTCCCCCATTTATACCCAAACCTCGGAAGCGCCAATCTCAACACCCAGGGGAAAATCACACCCCCGAGTCCCGATCCAGCCATGGCGATCCCCATTGCCAGCCCGACCCTCCGCTGGAACCAGTGCGGGACTGTTCCCATGGCTACTGTGCTGAGTAGCGCGGCACCACTTCCAGCGAGTATCCCGAACGCGAGGACAAAATGCCAGTATGCCGTGCATTCGGCGAGAAGGGCCAGCCCGACGACGTAGCAACATGTGCCTACGATCGTGATGCCGGTGGGTCCGTAGCGATCGAACAGCGGACCGACCTGGACGCCCAAGCTCAGACCCATAAAGATGAAGATGCCTGGGATCCAGCCGACGGAGCTGGCGGAGTAGTTGGATAGTTGGTGCGTGGCAAAGTAGCTCTGAAGAACACCGAGGGAGTTCATGAGGCCGTAGGAGGCCATCAGGAGGAAAAAGGAGCCGAAGATGGCGATCCATGATTGGAGACCGCCGTCGGGGCAGGTTTCCTCGGACGAGGAGTGGAGGTGTTGGTTGATGGTGGTGTTGGAGACGGTGAGGGTGGAGAGGTCTGGCGGGGGTTCGATGATAGAAAAGGCATTCCGTGGAGGGATTTCGTGAAGACCAGCTCGAGGGGACTCGGGGATGCTGCGGGATTGGGCGAATGTTGGAGCTTTGGCGGTGGTAAATGCGTTGGTCGGCGGTTTGATGTCCATTGTGAGAGATGATGAAAGGAGACTCAGTCAAGCCTGCTCGTGAGTCGAGACTGACAGAAAGATTCCTTGACTGGAGGGGGATCTAGATATTTATAGGGATCCCGAGTGGGGTCGGTACCCCTTTGCAAAGACTGACTCATTGGAACACCATCTGCTAGTTGATAGATAGCTAGAGAGAGGTTCATCGCAATATGCGGAGTAGAAGGTACCTAATCTCGAGTCTCCAATCCTTCTCGGTTTCTCGGCGTTCTGGACCATTCATTCATTCCAAGACTCTGAGGTCTCTGCCGCCAGACCTCCTCCGCACAAGGTTACCCCGCAAACAAAAGCTTCTCAACTTCATACTTCATAGACTATATCGAGAAGAATATTCTTTGTTCCTCCTTCTCTCGGGTATCCAGTTGAACTATATCCAGATAGATAGATAATAGCAGAAATACTGGGTCTACTATTATTGGCAAAGCTACGACCTCGCGCTAAGCCTTATGCGGTGCCCGATGAACCACGGCTCCGACCAGCGGAGCAGCCGGGAGTACAATCGAGTTGTTTACTTTATGATGTAAAGTATTGAGGAGATAACTGGAAGCATGGGGAGACGTCCAAAGCCATTGTTTCTCTCACTGGACTAAGAAGGAAAGAGGGTCTAAATTTGCAGCAAAGAGCATCACCGGAACAAATAAAAGACCCAATGCAGCGCTCTCAGCTTCTAAAAGCTGTTAATGAAGATACAGATCATGAGTTCTACAGGGTAAAGCTACAGGAAGAGTTTCGGGAGGAAGGCTTACAGGTTATAGTCAAGCTTTCGGGGATCAAGTTGACGCCAGATACGCCGTCATACCCGGGAGAGGACTGGCATGTGGATGGCATGATGAATGAGCACATCGTGAGTACTGCCATTTATTTCTACGATGTTGACAATGTCACGGAAGGGCAACTATCATTTCGTCAACCCATTCGTATGGATGCTGAATGTTATGTGTTTAATGGAAACCAATGGGACGTTCCATATTTAGAGGGGTTACATGGAGTGAAGCAAAATGGTTCATCTCAACAAGAGATTGGCTCTATCACAACCTATCAAGGCCGCCTGGTGGTATTTCCGCATGCGCTTCATTACCGAATGGGGCCCCTAGACCTCGTGGATAGAACCCGACCCGGACACAGTCGGTTCTTCACCCTGTGGCTCGTTGATCCTCACTACCGCATAGCATCAACGAGAAATGTGCCTCCTCGACGGCATGATTGGTGGGTCGACACCTGGCTGAGCTCTGTGGCATCGAAACATCCACTTCCGCAAGAACTGTGGGATATGATTCTTAAAGAGACTGAGGGCTGGCCCATGAATCTACCAGAAGCTCGAAAACATCGGCTACAGCGAATGAAAGAGACCCGCGAGTCGTGGAAAATACTAACAGACGAGCTCGAACGATGGAATTTACATTTTGTCAAAGAAGAATCGGCCTATCCTATTCATGCCGATGCTATCCATGTTGCGCTTTAAAACTGCAAAAATACCAGCGATTGTGCTATTTCATTGCCCAGTGATGAGGTCGGTGTTGTGGCTCAGGTTTGAATTGATAGTGTTGGCGATGAACCTGAGTCGATCTGGATGTGTGTCACTCGATCATCCTAGCACAGGGTGCTAACTAGACGATCTTGTCGCTGTCTGTCTTCCAGAGGGCTCGGAAGAAATGGAACGTTGGGTTGGGTACGTCGTCCGACCTGATTGGGAGGCCAATCTTAGCCAAGGGCAGAGCTTTTACTGAAATCAATCAGTTGTGGGAGGAGAGCGTTGAGGGGAATGCTTATCGGGTCTCTATGGAATGGCAGGATGGAAGTCAAGACATGCCAAGTCCTTTTCCTCAACAGTGACACATCACCAGAGAGCATCTCAGAACAAAGACAATGTGCATATGAGCTCCACTTCAATAGACACTGTTGGATGCCTGACAGGCTCAATACTGGCGCGTCTTTCTCTAGTTTGCTCTTCCGGGCAAATTCCGGTTCTTCTTAATCCCCAACGGGTCGGGGGAGTGATAAATCTTTGGCTTTTGATAGGCTTCATTCACAGTGGCACTCATCGTCGACGACCCACACAATCAGCGTGGTCGAGGCCCAACACGTGCTGGATTCTAACCCACAGCATGTGGCTTTCAGTCTGTAAGAAGTGTATAACCGTGCCGCAAGGATTATTGCCGCCGCGTGTGAAGGCCACGCAGTAGCCCGTATCGCTGGGTGTGATGAGAGTGGAAACAGTAGCATGATCAGCAAGCGAAGGGAGAGGGGAACCCTGTATGCAAAGGAACACTATCCTCTCGCGCAACAATACCAACAAAGGGCAGCCTTAGGACGCAAACTGTTGGCAAGCGCTAAAGGATTTAGAGCTGGCTGTCTAGGCTCGGGTCTAGTTCCCTTGGATCCCCTCAGTCGGGACTTCGGAATAGTGTTGGGATCAGTCTGCCTTGCAGTGCAGTGCCGCCACATCCACTAGCTTGCATGTGACGGTGATAGCTTGGGATGACAAGCCCTGATAACCAAAGAAAGTCGCGTCCAGGTAGAAGACAGCGATTATCTCTCGAGGTGGGTGGGGGGATAGATGCTGGGGGGTTAGCGCTGTGTGAGATGAAGGGCGCGTTGGTAGTGGGGAAGTTCCAACACGCGGCGCAGTGCTCATGCAGGCCGTGTGATACCCCTCAACCGGCTGGCCCTCGAGCCAATCCCGCGCTGCTGGTAGCGCCAGGCCAAGATGGCGCGGCAGCAGCCCGGGGCTGCGGGGCGACTCGGCGGTAAATCGCAGGGGCGTCGACGGCCGGCGTGCCGCGGGGGGGATCCATCCTGGCTGAACATTCATTCGCATGCAATGCTCCAACAAGTTCACTTCAATCTACTCCCTTCACGGCCTTTCTACTGCTACACTCACCATCATGGCAGGAGCTACATTTAAAGCAGAGGGATGCCCTCCCTCAATCAAACAGAACCAGCTCATTCCCTTCGATCACCATCCACCTTCATCCTGCAACAGCAATCTCAAAAGAGCGCATCTCAATCATCATGTTTGGTGCTTTTCGAGGAAACAACGGTGCCCCGAACAACTTCGAATACACGGATCCGTCTCGCAACTTCGCCATGGATGGGCACAACAATACCTTGCTCGTGAGTGGATCTCTCTCGTCCGAGTGGGCTTCTGCTAAACGTCAGATACCAGGCGTGTGACTCGTGTCGAGCTCGAAAGGTCAGTCAATTCCCTTGTCAATATGTTCAAATCGCGAATTCGCAGACAAAAAAATGGAGTTATGGCTGATCCAATCTACAACAGGTCAAATGCAATGGAGACCTCTACGGTTGTGATCGATGCCGAGCTACAGCCGTCCCTTGCACCTACCATTCATCTGCCATGCTCGCAGGCCCCTCGAGTTTGAAGAGACCGTCATGGACGACTCCGGATTTCTCCACGCCACCGTCCGCGAAGAGACAGCAGACTGGTCATCCTGGCAATGACATGAGCAAGCCGACAGCATCCGCCATAGCTAGCAACTCCATTCCGAACATGCTCCACCGGCCGCCGCCCCTCGACCTCAGCAATTCCAGGCCCCGAATGCCCATCACGCCACCAGGAGCTGGGTTTGCCAACTCTACCCAGGACTGGCCGGCTCTCTACAACATGGGTAACAAGCCCTACCAGGGTTTGAACATCAATCTAGGCGGGATCGTTCCATACCCATCCATGATCCCTTCGCTACCAATGCTTCACAACCCATCCAATTCCTCGGTGTCAACGGTAAGCTCCTCGACAATGTCGGACGAAACCGATCTGTCCGACCTCGCCGTGACCGCCCCAACGAACGCTACCCCCTCGAACCCGTTCGATTATCACTCCCGCCGCTGCGAATGTGTCCGGTCACTCGCTGACACCCTCGAGAAGATAAGCGGCGGCGACATCGAGACCAGCGAGAACATCGAGAACTCCAAGCAGACAGACAGTTTGCTCATGCGCTTACACGACGGGGTCGAGACGTGCAAGAGAGTCGTCGCGTGTGTCCACTGCACTGTCTGCGTCGCAAACTCCATGCTCCTCGTCACTATCTTCCAGCGGCTCCTGAAGATGTCGACCGATCTGAGCCGCCACATCCTCGACGCCCAGAAGAAGGCCAAGTCCCTGCCCCCGCTGACGGACTCGCCCCCGTCTCCGCAGACGCCGGATGACCATGTGAGCAGGTATCAGATCCAGATCGCGGCCGTTTGCCTCCGCTTCGTGCATACCCTCATAGGCATGAACCTCAAGCATGCCGTTCGGCTTCTGGATATTCTCCGGGATCGCATCGGGAAGAAGGCGAAGGCGTCCAACTTGCTGGAGGAGGTCATCCAGACCGCGCAGAAGAATGTCGAGATGTTGGATGAGTTCACGGCCAACCAAGCCGCTTCCTCGGAGACCCGCAATGGATAGCTTTGGATGGGAGGGATGCCTTATGACAGCCCTAGTCGTCTGGATCGGGGACCAGCCCTAATTTGTTTTCACTTGGCGCATACGATTGTTCTTTTTTTTTTATTTTTTTTTGTTTTTGTCACGAAGTCATGTTTCATCGTATAATGGTGTTTTTTAGTTAATCAATTCCATGCTTTGCTTTTTAGCTTCTTCATCACAGTAGCAAGGCACTTATCCCGGCCAATGTTCATGTACCTGAGTGGCGAATAATATCTGTCTGGCACATCGATGCCGGATCGGTTGTAGGATCGAATCATACACATGAACTTATAACATTGGTGGCAGATGCTTTCGACGCCAGTAAGTCTAATTCATTCAGGTCATCGCGATAGATTTCGGGTTTTGAGCAGCAACAACCTGTGTTCTGGGGCTTGATCAGGAGACGGAGATAGTGAGGCCACCAAACGGGTTGGTGCCTGGAGGAGTCTAGTACCAATCAAGACAAGAGCTCGTCCGCAAGGCTCCATCATCCAGCTCCGACCTCGAGTTTTCTTCGTTTCCTCCTCGACAACAACATCAAATTCCCCAGCGATCGTTCATGCTAGTATCGCGCCTCGAAAACATAAGATGGGATCGAAAAACCCCGAAGGCCACCAGCAGGCCCCTGATGGTATAACTCTTCCACGCCTCATGCCAGACAACCAACCATTCTGACACCGTCTCTACGAACTAGCCTCCCACGAGCTCAAGCCTGCCAACCCCGACCCCCAGGTCCCCCAAAACCGCTCGAGCTCAGCCGACCTGGATCGCGGAATCGTCAGCGATGAGGATGACGACGATGCCGATAATAAAGCCGGGGTGATCCCCCCGGTTTCCAGTGCTGGTATGGCCCACAATCCAGATATCCACCCCACCCCGAGACCTGATTGAGCTCTTCCCCACTCACCGACCATCCCACCCGCCTGTCTACAGAAAAGAAAAAGAAACGCAAACGGTCCAAGAAAAAGACCAAGACCAACGGAGCCGGAACCTTGCCCGCAAAGGAGCTGAAACAAACGAGCCCCCCGCGCGTGCTGGTCTCGGACCTCTTCCCATCGGGCTATCCCGTCGGAGAACTCGTCCCGTACGACAATACCTCCCGCACCACCGACGAAGAGTCGCGGTACAACTCCCGTCTCTGGGACGAAGGCTTTCTCGACGATTACCGCCAGGCGGCGGAAATTCATCGTCAGGTTCGCCAGTATGCCCAGAAAGAGCTCATCAAGCCCGGTGCGAGCCTCACTGTAATTGCTGAGGGCATTGAGGATGGGGTTCGTGCGCTGTCGGGCTACCAGGGCCTTGATACCGGAGACGGTTTGAAGGCCAGCATGGGGTTCCCTACTGGGTTGAGCTTGAATCACGTTGCGGCCCATTGGACTCCCAATCCGGGCCAGAAGGACGTTATTCTGGACAAGAGCGATGTGCTCAAAGTGGATTTTGGAGTCCAGGTTAATGGTCGCATTGTTGACTCGGCTTTTACCGTCGCATTTGACCATACGTACGACAATCTCCTCACGGCTGTGAAGGAGGCGACCAATACTGGCATTATGGTACGTAGTCTGCTTGACAGTGACATCCTCGATCGAGAAACATGGCGCTAATGCTCCATAGCATGCTGGCATTGATGCACGAATCAGCGACATCGGTGCCGCCGTTCAGGAGGTCATGGAAAGCTACGAGGTTGACATAGCCGGAAAGACCTACCCTGTGAAAGCCATCCGAGGCCTTACCGGTCACGATATTCTTCGCTACCGTATCCACGGTAACAAACAAGTTCCTTTTGTCAAGAATAACAGTAAGGACAAAATGGAAGAGGGCGAGGTGTTCGCCATTGAGACTTTCGGGAGCACTGGCAGAGGACATTTGCGCGATGATGTAGGAACCCACCTTCTCTGTCCCATGTTTGATTTCCGGTCCACGTTTCTAACTTGTCCAGATTGGCGTCTACGGCTACGGAAGAAACGAGGGTGTTTCGACTGCCAACCTGCGTCTTTCCTCCGCAAAGTCTCTCCTCAAAACCATCGACGACAATTTCGGAACCTTGGTTTTCTGTCGTCGGTACCTTGAACGTCTCGGGGTGAAACATTATCATCTGGGGGTAAGCGTCGAGTCGAGATCATTGAAAGCCGTGCAAGTATTAATGACGGTGGTACACAGATGAAAAATTTGATCGACAACGGAATCGTCGAGTACTATGAGCCTCTTATTGACGTGAAGGGTTCATACACGGCCCAATTCGAACACGTATGGCCCCCATGCATACCCGTCCAAGACCAACCATCATGCTGACTTCTTTTAGACGATTCTCCTCCACAGTGGTGGAAAGGAAGTCATCAGTCGTGGCGACGACTACTAGGCAACATTGCCATTGGACCTCGTCCACGTGTTATTCGTTTTATTCACCCAAGTCCCTCTTTTACCTTTGATAATCCATATTATGGTTGATTTATTTGGCTCGTCTTTGATGCCGCCAAGTCCAATCGCTACTGACCCCATATTTCCAGTCTTGGAAAGCTCGTCAAAGTGAAGCACGGTTGCACTTTTCATTCTGAAGCTGTCATCGACAGAATTGAAATCTGGCAATTGCCCTTCACAGCTGGTTGAAAATCCTGTCTTCAATCAGATAGGAGTATTCTACCATAGTATTTTCGCTCGAGCACCTTCCTAGATAGGAAACATGGTTCCATAAAAACCAAATCAATCCCAAGCATCCAGTAGAATAGTCTTTCCCTCAACCCGAGAGGACCAAAACCATCCCCCGAGAAATATTACTCAAACCGAAGCACTACTAACTTACCTAAACAATTCATTTGATCCCCCCCCCCCTCCCTTCGCAGAAAAGAAAACAAACTCAAGTCAGTCCCTTCCGGTATAGCGTGGGACTAAAATGATAGAATCTACCAACAGGCTTCGCAAACCCAGAAATCCCATCCAAGATAAGATAATCCCTTCCCTCTGACAGATATATGCTTTCGGCTCCCGTCAACTGGACAGGCCAGTTTCACTTTGCAGCTCTTATCCTGGACGAGGTCAAGCGAGAACCAGGGGAGACCACGTCGTCGTCGACCTCGTCACTCGGGCAGAACATACCTGATGTCCGTCTAGCCTATGCCGGCCTTCCAAGTCCGAATGGCGATTCTATGTGACCTTCGGCGCACTGGGTGTGATCTCTCTCGCAGCCGCTGTCACACTTCATCGGGACCACTATCCACGGCATCATCCTTTGGTGTCGCGGTTGGGGGCGTTATCTTTCAGAGTCGGTTGGAGGTGGAGTTGACGGCGTATCCATGTCTGGCTGGGAAGGAGGTGTTGAGATGGGAGAGGGGGGCGCAGGTCAGTGGCTTGATCCCCGTGACCTCTGGATACACAGCCAACCATTAATACAATTCCCATTCGTGCATCTCCATGATAACCCGGCAATATCTTTGAAATTCTACAATATCTCCCGAGAGCCCAAGTATACTGAGAGAATCAATCCCACAAGACCAACTACGGCGCTTCATAAACTACTAGAAAGATTAAACAGAATTTGTCCTCCCATGACCAAAAAGCCCACTTACCAAGCCCCCTCTAAACCAAGTCGACGTCACTCAAATCATCGAAATAGCCCTCATACAAAGGGTCAATCTGTGAGCTTATATCATCATAGCACGTAGAAGGGGGAGAAGGCGGTCGCTGATAACGAATGCCAAAGAACACGAACTTCTCCGGAGCATCTCGAGGCGGAGCCTGAGGAGCGAAGACAACATCCCGGTGAACCTGGAGCAGCAAGTAATCCTGGCTGACGAACGTGAACAGAAACGGATACTTTGTGCTATCTTCATGGCCCACCTGGATGGTTCTCTTACTGCCACGGTTGGGCACATGAAACGGCTTGCTGCTTTGGACGTCCATGAGAGTTAAATCGGCAAGCGCGAGCACTTGGTCTGATCTCGCTCCATTATCATAAAACTGGAAGAAATCGACGGTCTTGAAGAACTTCTTGTCCAACCATTCTTCGTCGTAAAAGTAGTCGAAGAACTCCACGCTGAAGAGATCGAACCGTTCGTCGACGATAGAGATGTCCGTGGAGTTGACGTGCCATCGCCTGGACTTTTTCATGGACGCCTTGACCTCGGCCGATTTGCCCTCTTCGATCGCCCGTGCTATCTGCTTGGCCTCTTCCAGCTCCTGCTCGTGTGTGTCCATGCCTCTGTCTTCCCAGGCGTGGGATTCCTCGTCCTCATCGGCAGTCTCTTTCGTGGAAGGTCTGAGGAACACAAGCGAGTCGTCGACAGAGTCGCCAGTCACTTCGTCTATTGGTAATGATGGGGAGTTTTGCGGTTCTCGCGTGACTGTGTGCTTCTGCGTCTCTTCATCTGGTGAAACTTGTTCTTCTTCCTCGTCTTCGTGCATCTCGTCGCCCGATGTATCTTGCTCTGTTTCCTCGACTTCATGCATCTCCTCGTCCGATGGATATCGGTCGTCTGATGTACCAAAATCCACGTCTTCTTGGTCGGAGGTCTTCGTAGCCCTCACCTCCGGACCGTATATCTTTCTCATCTTCTGGTGGTGCTGTGATAGTATCTGCTGAACCAACATTTTCTCGCGGTCCCATCGTAGCTGCTGCTCTGCGAGCTCCTGTTGTTCCAGCTCTTTTTGGCATGCAATCCTCTCCTGCTCCAGTCTCTCCTGCTCCAGTCTCTCCTTTTCAAGCCTCTCCTTTTCAAGCCTCTCCTTTTCAAGCCTCTCCTTTTCAAGCGCCTCTTTTTCAAGCGCCTCCTGCTCCAACCTCTCCTTCTCCAGCCTCTCCGTCTCAAGCCTCTGCTGCTCCAGTCTCTCCAGCACAAGCCTCCTTTGTTCCAGCCTCTTCTGCTTGACCATCTCCTGCTCCAGCCTCTCTTTCTCAATCTTCCGCAGCTCCAACATCCTCCGCTTCATCAACCTATTCTCCTGCTCCCGCATCTCGAGTTCCATTTCCTGTTTTTCCAGCCTCCGCCGTTCCATCTTCCACTGCTGTTCCAGCATCTGCTCTTTCTCCATTTTCTGCCTTTCCTCCTTACTCACCGTCTGCATCGAAGCAATTCTCTTCTTCTTCATATTCTCGTGATACCTCATTTGCTTCTTATACCGCTCCAGCTTCCGCGCGGCCTTTTTGGTATTTTTCTCCGCGGGGGGGCCCTGCTCCTGCTTCTGCTCCTGCACCGGCATCACGGCCTGCTGCTCGGTGGACTCCTCATCCCGCGTCCGGTCTTTCAACTTCTTCTCGTGCTTTTTCTGTCGGTGTCTTCGTCTCTTCAGCCTCCTGTTCAACCGCGTCTGTTCGTCTCTGGAGGTGGGTTGAGTCTGTGGCTGTGACTGCGAGGTTGCGGTTGCGGCCTCCATTTTTTGAGTCGCGTTGGGTTAGAATCGATGGGATGAATGAGCAGAAGGGAGTTGACTTGTGAAACTCCAGTCCGGAATCGAGGGCAATCTGTCTTTATGTTTCACTGTGTCACGTCAGTGTCACTCGATCTGTCAACTCCAACCATCTATACCATGTTGCTTATCGCCGATTTGCCCCTGGTTAGGCCGCACGGGGATTAGCGCTGTCAGTGGTGGATGTGATAGAGCAGATCACTCGGTGGGAGTGGGGGGAGGTGGGGATGCGATGGTTTGATTTCCCGAGATCGATGGGTGAATGGATGATGGTCTTTCTTCTGTCGCCTCGGGGTTCGGGACTGATGGAAACTGGGAAACAAGAAGGGCCTGTGTCGAATTTGACTTGGTATAACATCACATCATAAAACAAATTATCCTCCAAAACAGTCATTAACCACACCACCCATTTCCAGTTTCGACTCCTGATCGACCGATCATCTTACTTACAGCATGCAGAATGCAGTAAGTATATAGGTAGGTACCTAGTAGATAGTACTACCTACGGAACATGCACCGAACACATCCAATTCCAAACCGGTCCTTGGGGGGAACATACGAGTTTCACTTACCTATCTAGGTAGGTACACCGCCCATTTCGCTTTACTTGCTTTTTTCTTCTGCATCCACGTCAAAAAATAGTAACTACCGTGCATGCCGTCACGGCACCTGTCATCTTCCCTTCCGCGAAGTCCCTCTGTTCCCTGCGGGATCTATCTATCTATCTACCCTGTTGGTCGGATTCGTTCGCATTGCTGCCCCTGCATTTCCTCGCTGGGTGGGTATGTTTCGGATCTGCAATTTCGGGGTTAATGCCGATCAGGGGGGGGGGAGGGGAGAAGTGAAGGATGGGAGGGAGAGAGGGAGAGGAAAGAGAAGAAGTAGAGCGGGACTTGTAGTGAATGAAGACACTCATCCCAGCCTATTATGTATTCCCTAGCATACTACTGACTTGGGAGGAGTGACAACCATCTTGTCAGTGAACTTTGTCTACTATGAAGGATATATGAGATGAAGTGGTGATGATAAAGCAACCCATGTGTAGTATAAGTCCAGTGATGGAAATGTATAACATGGGAGGTGCTAGTGCACGCATACAGAGTACACAACTGTTGGTTTGTTCACTCTGCCTTCCTAGAACGGCAACTATGTGGCAGAATACATAAGCAGGTTCATGATGTATAACTTCATTGCGGGAAACACCACTTTGAGATCAAGTGCGAAATTCAACAACAGTCCTTTGGCAATCCCATTACGCTTCGGCCCGTTAAGTAGGGTAGAGTTAGTGGTTCCAGGGGATCCTCAAACTTGAGTCTTCAAGACGCCGATCCCCATCAAACCACCCCAGTGACAGCCCCTCATCCCTTAGTGTCCAAACAATGTCTTCCAAGATTGAAACTGCCCGCAACTCAAAGAGGGAACACGGAGGACCGAATACCGAATACGAAATACGCCTTCGTCGGGTTTCCAATTTTGAGTGCTGACTTCCCCATGCCGCCCCGTTTCAAACAGTCTACACCTTAAAAGGAAGACGATGTCCTCATCAGCCTGCCTCTTCCCGTCGGGATTCTGTCCAGCCCCATTCTCCCCCCCCCCCCCCCCCCAGCACCACGATGAACGCAGCCATCACTCTGCTGCTAGCCCTGGCAGCACCCATCCTCGCAGCCCCCAACACCGACGCCGTCGCCGTCTGCCAGCGTCTGCACTCGTTATACCCCCAATACACCGTCTGGGATCCCTCAGGAAGCTACGCCGGCGAAACCTTCTGGAACCAGTCCTACTACACGAACACCGTCAAGGAGTACTGGAATGGCGTGAACGCCAACAATCGTCCAGCCTGTGCCTTCTTCCCGGCCAACGCGCAACATGTCGCCGTCGCGGTTCAGCAACTGAATCGATACTCCACCGCGCCATTCGCTCTCAAATCAGGCGGACATAACTTCAATGCTGGCTTCTCCAGCACCAATGGCGGCGTCCTCATCTCCTTCAACGAGAACCTGTCCTCTACCGTCCGCAACCCAGACGGCAATACCTTCGATGTCGGCCCCGGAGCACGCTGGGGAGACGTCTACGAGGTCACCGAGAAGACGAAGCAGGTGGTCGTCGGTGGTCGACTCGGTAATATTGGTGTGGCTGGATATACCCTTGGAGGCGGGCTGTCGTACTACTCAGCTCAATATGTAGGTCACCCCGGCAATCCCCTTCCAGGGATATATCATACTAACCAACCCAGGGCCTAGCCTGCGACAACGTGCTCAACTTCGAAGTCGTCCTCCCCAACGGCACGATCACCAACGCGAACAGCACCTCGCACCCTGACCTGTGGTGGGCCCTCCGCGGCGGCGGGAACCGGTTCGGGATCGTGACCAAATTCACCTTGCAAGGCCACCCCCTCGGCGACAACGGGCAAGTATGGGGCGGAATCAAGCTCTTCACCGCCGACAAGCGGCAACAGATCTTCGAGGCCCTGTCGAACTTCACCAGCGAGTACCCGGACGCGAAAGCGGCCGTGATCCCGACCTTCGACTTCGGCCTGCCGGGCGCTCTGGTCTCCAACCCGGCCCTGTTCTATTTCTATGACGGCGCGAAACCAAGCTCCAATGCGTTCATGGGGCTTGATAACATTGAAGCGCTCATCGACAGTACCAAGACGACCACGTACAGCGATCTGGCGAGCCAAGCGGGCGGCGCTAAGATCTATGGAATTAATGCCGCTGCGCGCGTCAATACGTTCCCCAATATGCCCCCACCGCAGCTGTCTCGGCTGCTGGAGGCGCATTGGAGCACTTTCCAGTCGCAGATCAAGAATGACTCCAGTCGTAATATCGATATCCAGATCGGCACGTTCACGCCCCAGCCGCTGTCGGTGCGGATTGCCCGCGCGTCTCAGGAGCGTGGTGGGAATACCCTCGGCCTGGACCCGGCCAACGGTGATCGGTTCTGGGTGGAAAACGATCTCATCTGGATAAACCCCGTCTGCAACGATGCCTGTCCGGAGTATCTGCGCGAGGTGGGGGATTCAATTAACGCGGTGTTTAACAGGACTCTGCGGGGCACGAAGCCTACCAATTATCAATCGGGTGATGTAAATTTCGTCTCGTGAGTCTCTCTTCATCTTCTTTTTTTTTTTTTTCTTTCTGTATTGGTCTGGAAGTGAACTCTAATAAGATGGCAGTGTTAATCCCTTGTTCATGAACGACGCGGGCGACTATCAGAACGTGTATGACAGTTATGGGGCGGAGAATAAGGCCCGTCTGGAGAGTATCGCGAAAGCGTATGATCCGAATCGCTTCATGTTCCGACAGGGAGGGTGGAATTTTTGAGCGATGATCGGTACAGCTGTAGAATATAGGTGACTGGTGACTGATATGGTTGTTATGTAAACACTTTTATAGTAACTAATATGCTGATAGCACAGCAACTAATAAACATGAAGACGGCAGAAAATGTTGAGTATGGCCATTGGATTCCTAGTTGCAATCAGTAATATCGACCAACCGACAACCACACAAAGTTACCAACACAACATCAGTATCGAAAAGAAAAGAAAGACAATAATAAAATTGATCTAAGAAGACTCCGCTATAACCTACACGGTAAACCTACAACACATCACAGAACCCAAACCAGGGGACACGAAACGTGCGGCACACACGGCATCGACGAAAAAGAGAACGAACGAATGGAACCCACACGCAGTATGAATCCCAAATAGCAGCGGTAGCTCGCGCTGATTATTGTGTCTGCCAGTCCAGTTTACTTGAAGAGCCTGCCCAGCATCCCTCCGGCAAGGTTACTCACGATGCCTCCGGACAGCGCGCTGTTGGCGAACGTCGACGCCTGGCTGAAGCGGTCGCAGCGGGAGAAGGCGACTGTGTTGGTGATGGTTAGGGCGAGGGCGATGGCTGGGTGGGTGGGTGGGTGGATATGTTAGTTTCTAGATCGATGGTCTTGGTAGGTAACTAGGGCATGTGATACGGATGACGAATCCGGGTGCGGTGGATATAGGGAGGGAGGGGGAGAGGAAGTGAGAGTGTAGACTCACCAACAAGACTCAACCAGATAACACTGCTCAGTCGAATGATGGCCAAAACAGCCAGTGCGATCCACAGCGCGGGGGTCACGTATAGACTGAGCCAGAAGAAGCGCTTGTCGGTGGCTGTGATGGTGCGGGTGGTGGGATCCGAGGACTCGAACACCCAGGTGGAGTCGCCGCTGCCGTTGTTGACCTCGTTCCACCAGCGGAGGCCGACCAGGCGACGGCCGGCAATGTTCTTGAGGTAGTAGAAGTCGGCGGAGAGGAGCAGGAGGGTCAGGATGAAGACGAGAACGCTATTGGGTTGGGTTAGTTAGGCCGGGTTCGGGACATCTGGTTGGAGATCTAGCTCGACGGGACACGTGGGAAAGGGTCGCCGGGTTGGCGTGGTATATGCGCATTGCGCTGGCGGTGATCATGGGGAGACGTACAAGTTCTTGATGAATAGAACGCCGAAGAGGTACATCAGCAGGGCGCTGATGCGGAATCCCAGGAAGAACATGAGGGTGATCGGGTGGGAGCTGAGACGCCAATTCAGGTCGCCCTGCTGCGGTTGGAGAGGTTGCTGCTCCATGGGGGCGGAAAGCGCGCGGGGATAACGGGGTAAACTGGCCCTCGAGGGAACGATCAAAGACGGAAGAAGACGGACAGCATTCAAGCAGTTTGCTGGATCAGGTCAACGTGAGGCGGGATTGCGTTGATGCTGCGTGTCTCCATGTATGGGCGGTGGGGCGCGGCAGAATGTGGAACGGCCGCCGGTTGTTTCGAGACACGCGGAGCCCGTCGATCCTTTCCACGGGCATTCGACATGGCATTCCACATGCTCGGGATTGAGGACGGGCGGGTGTGGTGAAAGGCACAGATGCAATATATACAGCAAGGGGAACGGAGGACACGCGCGAAATGACACCCTAGATCGATACCCTCCACTCGACCCCGGATGCTTTCCGGATGAGGTCATAGTCTGGTTCCTGGCGGCTGGAGAAGCCTTTATGCGCAAACCGAGGATTTCCTTAGTCCCTTATTCACTCTTGCGGCCGGGCCCGCAACGCTCCAGCTCCAGCTTCCCCTTCCCTCCTCCACTCTACTCCGTCATCTCTCTTCCTGGAACCCCTACACAGTCGCATATCGAACCAGCGTTGACGAACACGATCCTCCCTCTCATAATCCATCGACCATGGCGTCCCGAAACACCCTTCGTCGCGCCCTGCTCTACAGTACGTCTCCCCCCAGCTATCCCATCCCAAGTCCCAACCCGCAGCTCTCCCCGCATCTCCGCGTCCAGCTCGCAACCCACACCCACACACAAACACACAGCCCACCACTAACTCTCGCCAGTCCCGGGCTCTTCCCAACGCTTCATCGACAAGTCCCGCACTCTCACCGCCGATTGCGTCGCCTACGATCTCGAAGACAGCGTCACTCCGCACAAGAAAGTCGAAGCGCGGTCCCTGGTGCGGAGAGCCCTCGACCAGCCCGCACCGCAGGGTATCCGGGAACGCGCCGTCCGCATCAACTCCGTCGACAGCGGCCTCGCCCTGGGAGATCTCACCGAGGTGGTAAGTCTAAATCATCCCTGATCCATCCAGTCACCTATCCTTGTCATACATCGCCTCCCTCCCCTCCCCCTCCCCATCCATAAACCCCACACTAACCCGGAGCTCCCGTACGCAGCTCAAATCCCCCAACCTCACAACCATCGTCCTCCCAAAAGTCAACTCCCCCTCAGACCTAACCTTCATCAACGACGTAATCACTCACACCCTCTCATCCCAATCCGCCTCTGCCTCCCCCACCCCCGCCCCCCAATCTCCATCCTCGCACTCATCGAATCCGCTAAATCCCTCACCAACCTAACGCAAATCTGCTCGGCAACACCCCTCCTGCAAGGCCTAATCTTTGCCGCTGAGGACTTCGCCCTGGACCTGAGCATCACGCGGACTCCCTCATTGACAGAATTCCTGTTCGCGCGGTCGATGATCACTACGGCCGCGCGGGCGGCTAATCTGCCCTCCACGATTGATCTGGTCTGTACGGCGTATAAGTCCACCAGTGGGGACGGGGCGCCGCCGCCGGCGCTGGAGGAGGAGTGTCGCGATGGGAGAAGGTTGGGTTTTAATGGGAAGCAGTGTATTCATCCGTCGCAGGTGCCGACGGCGCAGGCAATCTTCGGACCCGATAAGGAGGAGGTGCAGTGGGCTGTGAGGGTGTGTATTGCTGATGAGAAGGCGGCGAGGGCGGGACGGGGGGCGTGGACGTTGGATGGGAAGATGATTGATGTGCCGGTGGCGGAGAAGGCGAGGGCCGTGGTGAGGAAGGCTGAGGTGTGTGGGTTTGACGTCCAGGGATTGAGGGAGCAGTGGCGGCATCAGGAGCCGGAGTAGGTGGGCGTGGATGTGGGTGCTCTTGGGCTGAGAGTTGGGGTCTGAGAAGAGATGTGTATGCGCGGTGGTATATACATATATGGCCCATCCCGCCTGACACGCGGCAAAAGTACATACAAGTGGAAAAAAAAAAAAAAAAAAGGCGAGAAGCTAATCGCCCGCTAGAAGGGAAGCTAGATCGCTATGCTTGGAAAAAAATGAAGTAAAAGATCTATCTATCTCGTCCTTACACCCGGTGAAATAACCTGTCGGCGAGTTGGCATCCATTGTCGGCTTCCCGAGAACCAGTCGGTTGTAGCATTACAGCACCCGTACGCTAGTTGAAGTGTTGAATGGTGAATGGACCATTAAAGAGCGGACAGGAAAGGTTGAGAGGATAGTGTTGTTGAATTATTGCTTCGACTCCAGGTCTTCGCGCTTCAATAGCTGGATCTTGCCCATGGTGAGAACGGGCTGATTATTGGCCTCTGCATCGACCTTTGCATCGGCATCTTCTTCCAGACTCTTGGCCAGCGACTTGTCGTAGCTGGTGGGGTCAATCCCCAAGATACCGCCTACATACCCGCCTCTCTCGCCAGGCACGCTGAACTCGCGGAACAAGTATTTCCACTCGTTGAGCCACGCCTTGACGGCCTTTCCGATTTTGTCTTTGCCATTTTTGGAGTGATGGCCAGTCCCTGTGATGGCATACACCAGCCGTCGGCCTTCACGGGAATGCTTGAGGAGAATCTTCTCCAAGTATTCAATGGCCTCTTCGGGATGCAAGCCGTGCAAGTCGACATATAGCTCCTCCGCCGCATCGTCCAAACCAGCGCTGAGAATGTGTTTGTTACGTTCTTCGTACAGTTGCCGTGCCGCTTCACGATGGCACTTGCGCATGGCTTCGTTCTCTGCCTGGCCTCGGAGAGACAGGGCTTTAGCTGCCCTCGCGTCATTTCGGTTCCAGGCTTGTGCAGCACTAGCAAACTTAGCGCATGGTTCATAGGATAAACCCCGGTCAACTTACCTCTGCAGAAACTTGTTCCTCACTGTACCATGGCGGATAGCCTCGGTCCGGTATTTTATATACTGTTGATTCGCTCGAGAACCAGTCTCGAGCCAAGGAATATTCTGCGGTGGCAAGATCGCCTGAGCGGCTGCGCTGTGTTCGCGACTCTTGGTCGCGTCTCTATTATTTTTAGACGAAATCTTTCCCTTCCCTGGTACCGGGGATGGAGACATCCGGACTACATCCGCAAGAGATGTGGGGATATTCTCCTTGCTCGGGGTACCTTCTCGATTATGCGCCTCCCGTTTGCCATGATGTTTCTTCCCCGAGCCTTTCGCGCTGACTGCAGCAAGAGTAGGGAATGCATCAGGGTCATCAACCGACGGGGCAGTCGCATTAAAATCGCGATGCTGGTGTCGACTTCCTGGCCGCGAGTGAGGCCGGGACAAGTTTCCCATACTTCCATTCCGTTTGCCGGCGACATACTGCATCGCCTGCGGGACGTTCTTGTGGGCAGAAAAAGCCGACAAGTGACCGGGGTACTTGCTGATATATTGGCCAGCCCATTGGTCTCCGACTCCCGTATTAGACTGTAAGGGAGGGAATGCCTCGGAAGCATTATCCATCTGAAAGGTTGGGCCGACCGACAGCGCGCCGGGACTGCCGTCGGACACGCTGAGGTTCGCAACGAGTGTTGAAGGGTCGTGCGAAAATGGGCAGCCATCGCCGGCGAGGCAGTTTCCCATAACCCAATACCTGTGCCATTGGTGTGAAGATCAGCATACTACTCTTGCTCGAGCCATGGACTGGTAAGACCGGGAGCTTACTTGCAAAGATGATTGGTTAGGTCATGACTGAAACGACAGTCGGCCCGAAGGCATTGGCCCGTGGATAGCCAGTACTTGCAGACTACCGGACTGCGACTGTGACCGGGAGAAAGAGTAGCTTTCGGTGGCTCCATTGACATGGATTTCCCGACCACGACGTGTTCCGATTGTTGCAAGATAGCATCTCCATCCCGTGGCAGAGACAGCGACGCGATGGTCGCGCCCAAGTCATAGCTGTTGGCTTCCAGAGCCGTCTCGATTTCCTCATTTGTCCTCTTATCTCCCAGAACGGTGCGTAGAATATCGTGCGGACTCATGTCAGGCACAAACTCGGCAGCCGTAGCGCTCAGTGCTCCCGAGAGGCTTGGTGTTCCTACGGACGAAGCCACGCTATTGGCGTCGTCCGCGACCAGCCAGTCCACATTGCTATCGCTGCCCAAGTCACCGTAGAAATCGGACACTTGACTTTGATCGGAGAATTCGTATGCGTTCAGATTGGGCGAGTGGGGGATAGGTTGTGCGAGCGCGAGTCGGGGTGACGGGCGCGGCGACGTGAAGGGGGATACCGTGGACGATAGCGGTGGTCGCGGAAAGGCCCCCCGCGAGCTCTGGAGCCACGAGGTACTCCCGGGGCTCGTCCCTAGGTTCGAAAGGTTCGAGTGAGGGGACAACGGAGTTGACGAGCGAGCCATCTGCCAGGGGGCAGGCGACGAGCGACGGATGACCATGTGGCGGGGAGGGGGAGGAGAGGAGTCGGGCAAGGTGCGATTGCGATGGCGCCAGAGAACATCGAGGACGGCATTCTCCAAGGGCGGACCCGATAAGGAGGTCTTTTCGCGGACAAAGTCCTCGATTTTCTCGACCTGCTCTTCCTCATCTAGAGCTTGGTCTTGGAGGATTTGGAGACAATCCTCAACGAGGTCGTCGGAAAGCATGCTGATGCTGGGATACCCGGGGGGGGGGTAAGCAGGCCGACGAGCGGATACACGGTGTGAAGAAAGATGTGGGGTAACCGGCGATTGGCAGGTTCAGACAGCGATCAAGGGGGAGAGACAACAGAAAACAAATCAAGCGTTTAGAGATCAGCGTCCATGGTTTCCCGATGACGGTCGATATTTCATGGGATGGCAGGGGGAGCTTATGAAAAGAGGGATGTTAGCAGTGTTGACAGCAGGCGACAGGAGACAGGCTGGCAGTCCACGGGTGATTACATCGCATCTGCCAATGATCGATAACAGGAAGCTCGAAAGAAGGAATGAAGCTCGCAGCGAAGAACACCAAAACCAACAAAGTAAGGGAGAGAAGAAAAGAAGACACGCGCGGGGGAGAGGGGGGAAGGGGAGGAAATGGGGGGGGGGGGGGGGGAGAGGAGTTGAAGGGGAAGAAAAGAAGGAGAGGGGTAGAGAGGGAAGAAAGAGCGGAGAGAATTGGACAGGACAGGACAGGACAGGACGGACAAGACGGACAAGACGGACAGGACAGGACAGACCAGATGGGGATGAGATTATTCAAGGAGGTTCCCCCGATAACCACCTGCAGCGGCTTCTTATTCTTAGCACGCCGTCCTCGTCTTCCTTCCTCTTGCTCTCCTCCTCTCCTCTCCTCCACTCCAACCACCACCACAATGCACTAGTCAACTAGCACCTAGTCTGTAGTTAGCAGCTGGACCAGACACGGACCGACCACCACACCAGACAGACAACGCTGCGCCTCGACTCGTCTGGGTCGAGTTGCTGCATCCAACCACCGCCCACGATTCCCGATGAAGGGGACGAGATAGGCTGGACGCGACCGAAGCAGTACCTGTCCGTTCTTTATTGACGACAATCAAGGCGGGCGTGGTGTTTGACTCTGGACCAAAGAAATGCCTCGTCTTGCCTTCCCCCCCTCCCCCTTTTCCCCCTTGGGTAGAAGCCTAGAAGGTACCCTGGTCCGTCCCATCAAGGCAGCACCGGTGGGTGTGTGGGGGATCTAGACTGCGAAGGGAACCATCCATCCATCCATGATCCATGATCCCTCTCCAGTCACCACTCAAACTAAGGAGGTCGATCTGCCGGCATAGGTATTGGATGATTTAAAGAGGAAATCATAATAATCAAAGACGGCAAGATTGCCAATCTGTCCATGACACTGCATGCTCACTGGCAGACCGTTGCAGCATCATCTTGTCTAATTTGACTCCCTGAATAGTACCCAAGGTAACCTGAACCAGAACGATAATAATAATTACGGTTAATCTGAAGCATCGCCCGTTCGTGATGCACCCGCCCCGTACCGTACCCGTAACCGGTAACGAGACAGCCGCTGTCAGCCCAGCGACCCTGACTAAGTAAGAGAGATCCTTCGATCGATGATTTCAGTGCCGCTTCCGCCTTCAGGCTGACGCCCCCCTCGATGCTTGGACTAACAACGGAGCACTTCGGAGCTCCTGGCTAAGGCTTCGCTCTTTCGATCTCCTCAATTCCCGATTCTCTGTTCGCTGTCTGGGTCCCTACTTCTCCGGGCAACATCTGATTTACTCAATTCCTCCTTACACCACCTCCCTATCCACCCCCCCTCTCCAACTGGCAACTGCCCATTGCTCCCACGTAACGCTTGCATTTCATCATCACCGCGCCGTGGACGTGCATCTTCCGCCATCCCCCCATGCCTCGTTTCTAGACGAGGGCTCAACAACGCCCGACTGATCCACCACGCTCCCCCCCCCCCTTTCTTAAATCCATTGGGCATTTGCTTCGCCTTAAGAGTTGCCAGGAATCTGACACGTTCGCACTGCAACGCTGCCGTTCTGGTTTGCGCCCGTTCCTCAACGCAAGCAATCCGCTCGCCTCCGCCGATCTCTGCCCGGGGCCGTGCCACCACCTCGAGGTACCGATAGACGAATAGATATATACAGTCTGCCTCCAGTATCCCTCATCACTCAAGATGCCCGCGGATTATATGTCTACTGCGCGGGCCCTCTCCGTCTCAGCCTCCTCTCCAGAACCCCTCTCTCCGTCGGAAGACAATGCCTATCCCCCATGGAGCCGGCGGGCCCCGGGCAGGCGAAATTCTGCTAGTCGCTCCGGTGGGCAGGTAGTTAGTCTGCGCGATCAGCTCATTGACCAAGCGACTCAGATGTCGCGCCGGATCATGACATCATGGAAGAAGATGAATTTCTGGCAGAGAGTTGGGGCGGTGGCCGCTGTGGTGCTGGCCAATCTCTTGGGAATCGGGTTTCTTGTCTTCACGGGGAAGGTCTTCATCTGGCTTCAGCCGGTGGCTGAACAGTGGGAGCACTCGGTTTTGGCTTATTTTGTTCTGTGGTTGTGCGTGTTCTTTGTCTCTCTCCCACCGTTGGTTGGATGGTCCACATTTGGAACTATGGCGGGTTATATTTTTGGCATATGGAAAGGGTGAGTCCGCTGCTCCGATCGAGACCGTGGGCGAGCTGACACATTTGCTAGATGGCTCCTTTATGCGTCTGCGACCATTCTCGGGTCGACCTTCTCTTTCATCGTGTCTCGGACCATCCTGTCTAGATTCGTCCACCGCCTGATGGAACGCGACAAACGATTTGCGGCTCTTGCGCTGACGCTGAAGTACGACGGTCTGAAGCTGCTATGCATGATTCGTCTATGTCCGCTTCCCTATTCTGTATGCAACGGTGCTGTCTCAACCTTCCCAACGGTGCATCCTTTGATGTACGGTCTCGCGACGGCCATCATTTCTCCCAAATTGCTCGTACCTGCATTCATTGGGAGCAGGTTGCGTGTCTTGTCGGACAATAACGAGGAGATGAGCATGGGCTCCAAGGCCGTGAACGTCTGCAGTATCATCGTCTCGGTTGCTATTGGGATTTTCACGGGCTTATATATCTATAGAAGGTAGGACCCAGGAAGCATCTCTGCTAGTCACGGTATACAGGCTAACTTGCTCGACAAGGACGTTGGCTCGAGCCAAGGAGTTGGAGGCCAAAGAACGGGAGGATATCCGACAGTCTCTACAGGCCGACCATGCGGCCCATCGTCCCCATGACGCGTTTTCGGAAGATCCAGACGTCAACACCGCTGCCACCACCCTGGCCCGTGATGAAGAAGAGCGGATCGGATTCACAGACGTGGATGATGACCATGTAGACCTTGCGATGGACGATGAGAGTGGCAGCGAGATGTCGCCCAGCCGTAACAAGCAATATCGGGATGAGTTTACAGATAACGACTCGGACGTGTTCCGGGACGGAGACGAGGAGGATGAGGAGACATACACCCTGCATTCTCACGTGCGCAAGCCCCAGGACTCATAGGTCCAGCTATTCTGCCGAGGGACCTTGGTGGCGACCTATACTTACACGATAGAACTGCTCTTACGAGGTGACGACACAGATTTTAACGGATAGGCAACCCTGATGCATCGTAAATAATGATGTTTGTTTTTTTTTTTTTTTTACATGTGGTTTGTTTCTGCGGTCCTGCATTTCACTTTCCACTAGACCGTCCACTGCTGGTTGTTGGCTCTTGTAGTCATATTGGTAACTGCACTGATGCTTTGTGGCCATCCCAGGGGTGTTTGATTCAGTGTTGTGGGCACATTTGGATGGTTCCTGCGGTGAGGTCACGTGAACTTCACTCCTTCACTTCCTCCTGGTAGGATGCAGTTGCCGGGGTATCTCGATCTCTGGCGCTGATCAGGAAAAGGGAATACTCGGCATGCAGTAGATAGCCGTGCTTGCTAGTAGTCGTACTCCGTACTGACAGTTGAATGGGATAGAATGATTTTTGCATGCCACCCGGCAGGGAGAGCGAGAGATGGCCTGACCGGACTGAGAAGTACGCAGCAAAAGACCGCTCGAAAGTCCCGCCCGCAACACTTCTTCTTCACCACTACTGAATGTTGTACTGCTCAGCGCTGAGCCTCAGCCTTTGCATCGTGGCTCTCCCTTGTCGCCTCGCCCTTGATTCGCTGCCTGTCGTCTTGTTTCTCCTCTGTAAGTCAGTCGCCATCTCCGGCCCCTCCTCCTCCCCCCTCTAGGGTTGCGCCAGTGGCAAGCAAGCAGCCGTGATGGGTTTGCTGATAAGTCCCTTCTTTCCTGCCCCTCGCTAGCCCAGACCAAGTCCACTCGACGGGTAAGTCAACTGGCCATCTCCTACCTCCAGTGTGGCTTCGTGGAGCTTCATCTGGCATTCTCCTATCTTCTAGCATGGCGCGGATCATCTCTGACACGCTTTCTAGGCATCTTATACATACATCCCAAGCCGTCTCTCCTGTCCCAACTATAAGGATATCTCGTGATGGAGCCCACCATGGATGAATAGGCTGGGGCTTGTTATCCACTTATCGCATGAAATGGGAGGCTGAGAATATCCTTCAGTCATCCTCTTGTCTCTGTCAGTGTAGCTTCCTCGCGGAGCGGTCGAGTCACTTTCGGTGTTATAATACATTTGAGGACCTCCCTTGCCAGCAAGTATGCAAACTGCCGCCGCCATCGGGACACAGGGTCCAGATGGCCATGCCCATCAAACCAGTCAGTTGGACCAATACCTTCCCGCAGGTAGCAATGTCACTGGTCGAGGGCACTTTCCCTGGCTGGCTCCGCGGCATGCCTTCGCGGCAACGGGCCCGCCGTCGCAGTTTCCTGCAAAGCAACCCGGGGATCCACACCTGAACGGGTTGCCAAATGGACACAGGGCTGCTTTTGCTAAACCCACCCTCAACGGTAGTGCTGTGAATGGGTTCAAAGAAGCAAAGGATATCCCTCTCGAAAGGGTCCAGGATCGCTCTCAGAGTGGTACACGTGCATCCCACCGCCCCGAGACAAATTCAGTTGATGGCGTAGCGAACGGTCTAGAGATCACTTCTTCTTTTATCCCCGGGTCCAATCTACCCAAGTCAACGTCTCCGTTAACCTTCGTCAATACCGTATCATCTCATCCTTTTTTGTCTGACGCCAAAGGCACCGACAGTCAGCCTATGCCCGTGAAGTATCGCCCACGATCTTCCATTCCTTCAAGATTGCCCACCGCAATCTACGCTCAACAGTGCGTCGCGGCGGCGCATGCGTCCAGACTCAACCCGTACGCTCTTCACCGAAAAGAGCAGGAGGCACTTCAGGATCATCTGTGTCACCTCCACGTCACTGTCTACTTGAATATCCGAAATGGTATCTTGCGATTGTGGACTCGGAATCCAATGGTGAGTGTCTCTCAAGAGGAGGCCATGGGATGCGCAAAGGACTATCGCTGGATGAATCTGGCTTCTTTCGCATACGAATGGCTCGTCCGGAACGGGTACATCAACTTTGGCTGTGTTGAGATCCCTCCAGCTCTTCTACCTCCCAAGAAAGGTCGACGGAGGGAGGGCCCTGTGATTGTCGTAATCGGGGCAGGAATGGCAGGCTTGGGTTGTGCACGACATCTAGAAGGCCTATTCAAACATTACCATGACCCGTTAACGTCGCCACGCGTTATTTTGCTAGAGGGAAGGCGCAGGATTGGAGGTCGTATATATTCGCATCCTTTACGGAGCCTTCAGTCATCCGCTTTGCCTCCAGGGCTGGTTCCCAAGGTCGAGATGGGCGCCCAGATCATCGTTGGCTTTCACCAGGGTAATCCGCTAGATCAGATTATCCGGGGCCAACTCGCTCTGCCGTACCATCTCCTGCGCGATATATCCACGATTTATGACATAGATGGCTCGGCGGTTGATGAAGCTCGGGATGCCACGGACGAAATGCTATACAACGACATATTAGACCGTTCGGGACTTTATCGGCACAAGTCGGTCATCGTGCCCACCGCCGAGGGCGACCGGGATATGATCGATTCAGGCCGGGATGTGACGAGGAGTGACGGCCTTACAGTGAGGCAATATGAAGAGGCGAGAGCTGCTGGGACCATCGGACTCCTATTTCCCGCGAAACGGGTTCGACGCGGTGTCGGCCATAAGACTGCGGAAATCAAGTCGACCGGTGTTCCTTTGGCGGATTCTGAACGCATCGAAGAGAATCCGACCAGCCTCGCTTGCCAGACCATGGGCTGGGCATTGAATGACGGGGTCTCTGTGAATGACACTGTCAACCTAGACCCCGTATCTAAAGCGTCGCAATTCCAGACCCTGGGTGCTGTGATGAATGATGGCGTCCGGCAGTACCAGCGTATGCTCCCGCTGACTCCGAGAGACATGCGATTGCTCAACTGGCACATGGCCAACCTGGAGTACGCGAACGCTGCCAATATTGGCAAGCTAAGTCTCTCGGGATGGGATCAAGACATGGGTAACGAGTTCGAAGGCGAGCACTCGCAGGTGATAGGCGGGTACCAGCAACTACCTTATGGACTATGGTCGCTTCCCAACAAACTCGACGTCCGTACGAACAAAATCGTTTCCAACATCACTTACAAGTCTACGGACGACAAAAAGCATAAGACAGTTGTTCACTGCGAGGACGGTGAGTCGTTCGCCGCCGACAAAGTTGTCTTTACGGGTTCCCTGGGCGTCTTGAAGCATCGCTCTATACAGTTCTCTCCCCCTCTCCCAGACTGGAAATCGGGAGCGATCGACCGGCTGGGGTTTGGCGTCATGAACAAGGTGATACTGGTCTTCAATGAGCCTTTCTGGGACACTGAAAGAGATATGTTCGGGCTTTTGCGTGAACCTCCGGACCGAGACAGCATGGTGCAAGAAGAATACACGGTGAACCGCGGTCGGTTCTACTTGTTTTGGAACTGTATGAAGACCACCGGTCTTCCAGTTCTGATTGCTCTTATGGCTGGAGATGCCGCACATCAGGCAGAACGCACGCCTGATGCTGAAATCATTGCGGAAGTAACCAGTCAGCTTCGTAATGTGTTCAAACATGTGGCCGTTCCCGATCCCTTGGAGACAATCGTCACTCGCTGGGGTACAGACAAGTTTACAAGAGGAAGCTACTCTTACGTGGCCGCCCAGGCACTTCCAGGAGACTACGATTTGATGGCCAAGCCGATTGGAAACTTGCACTTCGCGGGGGAGGCCACCTGTGGCACCCACCCGGCCACTGTGCATGGTGCCTACTTGTCCGGACTTCGTGCCGCATCGGAAGTATTCGAATCTATCATGGGCCCGGTTGAGTTACCCAATCCGCTTGTCCCGGAAAAAAGCAAAACAATCGAGACCGATGTCCCGTCATCGTCTGGTCTGAAGCGAAAAGAACCCTCCTTGTCTAACGGCGCAGGGCCGTCCCCGAACAACGCCCGGATAACGCACCAGGACGCTTATGACAACGCCATGTGGGCTGCCATCTATTCCGAGATAGGCCACGCGCCCGCTCGACCGGCCAGAACCGCCCTGAACCCGTTTCTCCTGTACCAGAAGGACTTCTGGGTCCGATGTCGTGCGCAGTGTGACGAAGCCCGCCGGGCCGCCACGAAGGACCCCGACGCCAAGGCCGCGCGCGACGAGATCCGCCAAGCACTCGGCCTCATGTGGCGACAAGCCGACGAGGCAGAGAAACGGCCATACCTCGAACAGAACGAGGTGAACCGGCAAACCAACGCTGAGATCTGGAACCATTGGCGCCGGGATAATGCGGACTGGGAGAAGAAATCCTACCAAGTCAAGGAGAGGTGGTGTGCCGCTAACCCCTTCGATAGCTGGAACCAACAGCAACAGCAGCCCTCCAAAAAACCAACTCTGGCATCGTCGGATGATAATGTCAACCCTCCAGTCAGGGAGACCAATCGTTCTACCGAGAGCACGACTATTTCCCTCGTGTCTGATGTCCCTCAAACCAATGGTGACCATCCCCCCGCAACTGATATCCCGACGAGGCGGGAGGCGAGCACACCGTCGTTGCCCCCGAGTATGGAAGCGAAGGTCAATGGTGCTCCGAAGCAGGTGAATGGCCATTCGGCTGCGGTGGATGAGACAGATACCCATCCAGAGGATTTGTAGAATACTTCATTGCCATCTTAACCCTTGTACATTTATCTATCTACCTACCCACCTACCTACCTACCTCTCGTCGTGGCTAGACGATTGTTTCTCTATACTAATACATGTTCTATTAAAACAAATGTTAAATATCTTCTCCTTTATCTTCGTGGCCTTGTTGACACTCCTTGCTATATCATATAGAGTATTTATCTATCCATCCCTTCAACTATTCAACTCAGCATAGTATTCAATCCTGTAATGCAAACTACCCAGACACAACCTCCATTCTATGTATCATGATGTAGTGTGGTGTGTATTCCGTACTACGGATGGATAGATATATACTAATAGATGAATGTTCGTATGTAGATCCATCCCAATACGACGTCAACAAAACAAAAATAACCCCGAAATCAAAGCAAATCAAATGAGATGTTCTAGAAAATTCCTCTATAATTTCGTGTCCTCCTTCTACTCTATTTCTATTCACATCTTTGTATGGAAGATGATGCAATGTGATCCAGTCGGTCAGTCAGTCAGTCAGCCAGTCAGCCAGTCAATCAATTAATCAATTAATCAACCAACCAACTATCACACGATCTCGATCATGCAAACCCCATCATCAGAAACCCGTGTTGTGAAACCACAAGCAACAAACAAAATCGCTGAAGTCTAGTAATAAGCTGCCGTAAAAAAAAAGAAAGATATATGTAATATGAAAAGTAAAAAAAAAAGTCTAATGAGATGTGAAACATAAGCTGGCGACTGGACCACAGGTCTAGGTCTAGCTAGCTCTAGCTAGATAGGCAGGCAGGTAGGTATAATGATGTAGATGAAGATGAAAGATCATCTAGGTGGGTGTGGGTGTATTGGTGGGGATATCGATGGGGTCTGGTTGGCGACGGAGGGGGAAGAAGATTGAGTCGCTTAGAGAAGGGGGTTCTGCTTGTACTCGGGGGCGTTGCCGTCGGCGGGAACCTCGGTCTCGTTGGCGGGTTCCTGGGATTCGTGCTCAGAGATGAACTTCTCGGCCTCGAGGGCGGCGATGCAGCCGGATCCTGAGAGAGATTTTGTTAGCTGGTGCATGCGAGATGGAAGTTGGAGAAAAAAAAAAAGAAAGAAAGAAGCTTACCGGCACTGGTGATGGCCTGGCGGTAGCGCTTGTCCTGGACATCACCGCAGGCGAACACACCCTCGACGCTGGTGTAGCTGGTGCCAGGCTTGGTGACGATGTAGCTCTCCTCGTCGAGGTTGATCTGGCCCTTGAACAGGGCGGTGGCGGGGTCGTGACCGACGGCGTAGAACAGACCGTTGGCGTCGACGACCTCCTCTTCGCCACTGACGACGTTCTTGACCTTCAGGTGGGTCATCAGGCCGTTGGGCTTCTCCTCACCGAGCACCTGGGTGGCGACGGAGTTGAAGCGGACGGTGACCTTGGGGTGGGCCAGGAGACGGTTGGCCATGGCCTTGCTGGCACGGAGCTTGTCGCGACGGACCAGGACGGTGACGCTGCTGCCGTACTTGGCCAGGAACATGGCCTCCTCGGCGGCGGAGTCACCACCACCGATGACGAAGAGGGGCTTGTTGCGGAAGATGGGCACAGCACCGTCGCACACGGCGCAGGCGCTGATACCGTTCTGCCAGTACTTCTCCTCACCGGGGAGGTCGAGACGGCGGGCGTTGGCGCCGGTCGCGATGATGACAGCGTCGGCGGTGCGGGCAGGGGCGTCCTCAGGACCGTCGCTCCATTCGGTCCACAGCTTGAAGGGCCGCTGCGACAGGTCAACCTTGCTGATGGTCTCGGTGATCACCTCAGTGCCGAAGCGGACGGACTGCTTGCGCATGTTCTCCATCAGCTCTCCACCACCGATGCCGTCGGGGAATCCGGGGAAGTTCTCGATGTCGGTGGTGGTGGTGAGCTGGCCACCCGCGGCGGTGCCGTTGGCCAGCATGCCCTCGTAGAGGACGGGCTGCAGTTCCGCGCGCGAGAGGTAGATGGCCGCGGTGTGGGCGGCGGGGCCGGAGCCGATGACTATGGTTCCTCGGGTCAGATTCTTTCATCCCCTGTTGCCCGCCGATGGTCGGCCAGCACTGGCCAGCACTGGCCATTGCCGCAGAGGGGCCACTTACTAACGACCTTGGAGTGCACCATTCTGGCAGACGATGTGGAATTGACGCGGAGGGGCGTCGAGAGCGGGTTTGATAGGACGGAAGCAGAAGGAGAGGATTTTTGATGCAGGGACGACGCGGCGGCGGCGGTCAATCCGAAGGAGGAGCGTAGGGTGGAGAAGGAGAAGCGACGGAAAGCGGAGGAAAACAGATTGGCGGTGTTGAGGGGGTAGTGGATTGAGTATAAGTAGGAGAGAAGAAGAGGACAGGAGGAAGAGAGGGGGAGGAGGGGGTTTAATTATGGGCGCGGATGAAGAGGCGAAGAGGGGCGTTGGAGGGCGCGGTGGGGGGGGGAAGAAGGGAAGAAAGGCTGGATGGCGGAGATTAGCTAAGAATTATGCAGATACGCGCAAGTGAGAACCGCTACACTGATTGATAACAACTCCAAAAGGAAGGCGCGAGAACCGGACGAACCAGCCGCCGGCTCACAAATCATCCCAGCCGAGACCGGGTCACGTGAATCTGCTTACCAACCGCCCCTGGCCGAGACCGCCGCTTATCGCACGTGTCCCTATGCCGGTGCTGACTAACCTTATACGTCTGGCTGAGACCTTCTTTGGCATATAAGAGCAATACTTACCCCCGTACGGAGTACAAACTATAGCAAAAGCTACATCTCTTGATTACAAACATGTAGATCAATTTTTGTACGTACGAGACTAGATATCAACGCATTTAAGTCACATGAAAGCATCAACCCCCCCTCTTCACCATATACACAACCGCCGAAGAATCACCCTCTCCCCTTCACCACACATACAACTCATAGATCATTATCGTCGGCATCGTAGTCAATCGTCAATCGTCGCTCGTAAGGAAACATTCAAAAAAAAAAAAAAGAAAGAAAGAAAGAAATAAATAAATAAAGAAAGAAAGAAAGAAAGAAAGAAAAAAGAAAAAAGGGTGACAAGGGACAACGACACATGGGGAAAAAGAAATAAACACGAAAATTAGTTCCCCTCACTTCGACCGTCCAAACCACTTTCTCCGCTTTGGTGTTTCCTTCTCCGCATTCTCCTCGCCATCAGCATCCCCATCCATATCCTCCAGACTCACGGGTACCAGGGTCTCTGGCGGAAGGATCCCTCCCTCGGCGATCTCAAAGGTCCCCTGAACTTCCTCATCATCATCGTCATCATCATCAAGCGCATCCTCATCTTCATCATCTGTAAACCCATTCTCCGCCTCGGTATCCTCCACCGCAGCCCTGTCTTCCTTCTTTCTGCGCACGCCCAACCACTTTTTCCAGCCCTTCCGGACGGGCGAGGCAGGGGGGTCGAATTCAGCGCCGTCGCAACGAAGAGCCGGGACAAGCAGCTTGTACGGTGTGGTGATTCCCGCTGGGTCCTTGGGGTTGAGTTCTAGGTTGAGGGTAATGGAGAGTCCGCCTTCCAGGTTGATGAAGGCTCCTGCACCCTCATCGCCGCGTTTGGCCGACTTTTGGCTGAGGTTGGTGGGTCGGCGCATGAAGGGGCCCGGTTTGAACTCGGCTGGGGCAGGGAACTGCGTGTCACTTGTCGAGGGGGGTGGGAAGGGGCCGTCCAGGCTCATCCGTCGGTTGTCCGGGGGTGGACCGAGATTAAACTCCTTTGTCGGGGGAGGGCCGCGCATTGAGAGACGTCGGAGGAGACCTGCGCGCGGGGGCTTATCGTTGCGAGTTAAGGAGAGTGTTCGCTTGAGCTTTGCTGGGCGGTGCTCCTCCTCGGCTGCAAGTTGCGGTGTCTCTGGTGGGGTAGAGCCTGAGTTTGGTCAGATCATGGTATGATTTACATCAACTACGATGGAGCGTTAAGGGAATGTTGACTTACCAGGCTGATACTCACGGATCGAACACCAGTTCCGTCGAGGAAGCAACCGCTTGTTGTTGCGGGCCTTGTTGTTCACGTCGTGCGTGAAGATCGGGAGCATGTCCTCATCCGTGTTGGTGTCCATGTGGTGTACGCGGTTGCGCTTGTTGAGCGTGTCCGAGACCATGTCTGTCTCCGGCATGTCTGCAATGGCAGAGGAGATGATGTTCGGCATATACCGATAATCCTTGTCCTTGGGCACATTCAACTTGGGGTTCGAGTAGAACTGTCCAATGGCAGCGAGGTGCACATCGCCACTGTAGCAGGTGCTGTTAGATGTGTCTTTTTCAGTCGTGGTAATGATGCCTTACCTCAGGATGGTCACTCGGACGGATTTCTCCGCAGCAAGGTCCTGAAGATCTTCAATCAGATAAGTCCGTTCGGACTTGTGATGCTTGGCCGTCCAATGATCATCGAAGATCTCGATCTTGCCAGCCTTTTTGCCCATCAACCCACCAAAGAGCCCGGTTTTGCCGAGGGATTTACGGCTGTTGAGAATGTTCCTGACCATTGCCTGCGGGAAAGTTAGAACACACACTAGGTGTTGATTTACAGATGCAACATACCACTCTGGGATACGCAACAGGCAAGCCCAGAGACACTATCAAGTGCTTGGTTTCACCCTTGACAATCTCCCGATGACATCTGTCCCAGATCAGATCGCATGTTTGTTCGCAAAGGATCTCGTCAGTCTGGCTTTTGTTAGCGTTGAGGTTACATCACAGAGACGATCTTTGAATTCACCATTCGTTCCGTTCGACAATCCAGCCCAAGGAAAGCCACGCCGTCACCCATTGACATAAACAAGTGTCGACTTCTCTGGTTAATATAGGGTCCAGGCTGGGCTCCGAGAAGCCAGCTGGGTTCCTCTGCTTCAGTTTCCTCCGGAACACTGTGATGCTGGAACAGCAGGTAATATTTGAACGCAATACTGCCGAGACCGGAAATCACAGGCGAGTTCATGAAATCTTCTGGGTAGGAGCCGAATCCTTCAATGATCTCATGATCGTTCCACATGTTTACCATGGGGATCTGTGAGTTGGCAAGAGAGAAGAGTCCTTGAGAGAACCACGTGGAGTAATTCTCCAGGTAGAAATCTTCCAGCTCTGCCTTGAATTCAGGGGTCAAAGGCGACTCGTATTTTTCGCTCAGATTCTTCATATTCACCCACTCCTGGAAGTGAGTCGTTTCCGCTATAACCTTGTCGTTGAATATCTGATCACCACCACCGATCATGACATGGAACGGGCGAGTCTGGTGCTCATTTAGTATATCTCGCCACAGAGGGTCAGGCCCGCTGAGTTTGTTGGAATCTGCAGCTGGACTGAAGCCGTTGCCGGTATGGAACATGATGTTCATCGACTGCCCCCTCGCTGGCACCCAGAAACCCAAAGCCGGTCCCTGGTTCAGACGGTAGGCGACCCGCTGTTGAGTAGGCCCCAGCTCGATCTCGATATTGAATTTCCAGAACGTGACATTTCGTCCCGGGTCGGCATACAGACGAGCTCCGGCGATCTCGGTATAGCTCCCGGCTGTCTCTCCGTCCATGGAGTGCACTCTATTAGCTGGCACGGGCTGCTTGACGCCCTCGCTGCTGTAGTCCACAATGCTTGGCGACAACTCGTAAATGCCATCGTCGTTCTCGATGAGCGAAAGATCCACCTCCTCCATGAGGTGTTCCACGGGTTTGACATAGAGAGGACGTCCGTCCCGACCCAACTTCATCAGCCCTGCCGTCGGATCAATATACTCGGGCGCGAGTTCAGCATCCTCGCCATTAACCTGAACGGGAGGAGGGGGGAGGAGGTCCATCGGTTGGGCGAACAGCTTCAGATTCGGCCGTGGTTCATAGCAGGAGCGCGAGTCTTGGGTCACAATCAGGATACTTCCTCGCCAAGTTTCCTTGTTGAACGGTCCATTGGGCCCATCGATTCGAACCCGCTTCAATCCTGCATATCGGAGCAACGGTCCACTTTGCAAAAAGAGAGATGGCTGGAAGCGCTTGTGGGCTGTGCACACCAAAGCATGTCAGCAACCGGATTGTTTTGATTAACAACTTATAACTAATATTCTTACCTGTTTGACCTTGGGTGGGTGGCTTCTGAGCGAACTCATTTGGCAAAGCCCGGCTGCGCCGGCGATTAGTGCTTGCCCCAGTATCCCACCAAGCTTTGCTTCGATCCGCATCAAACCGTTGGAAATCAAAATCGGAGGCGCCAAGTCTTGCCACTGATGCGGTTTTCCATTCCGATAGGGGAGGGGGCGTAGGGGGTGGCACATTGAAAGAGACTTTGGGCTTTGCCGGCGCATTTGATTCTGGGGCGCCAGTCAGGAGTGCCAAAGCAGCATTTTCACTCGCCTCTCGATTCAAGCTGGTGGTCATGGGTGTACTGAAATTTGGTACTGTGCCAGCGGAATTCTTGATAATCCCTTGTGGGGAACCCTTTCCTGGGACGGGGAGGTCTCTTTCTGGGGCAGGCTGTGGGGGTGACCTCGTGTGATGGGCCGACAAGTCAGGATATGGTGCTAGTCCGGGAGCAGGCTTTCTGTTTGGGAAAGTCATCATAGGCTGTTCTGGGAGGGCTGGGTCCTGGAAGCCAGCAGTCTGAGGCCGTGATACCCGAGGCTTGCTCTGGTTCATCGCCCGTGGGCCCATGGGATGTCCCTGGGCTTGAGGGATTGGACGCCTAGAATCGTTGCCGTTCTTGGTCATCGTCTCGTCCGATTGTGCTTCATCGGTATACTGAGGAGGGTCTTCCAAGGGACGCGGGATAGAGTACGGTAGAGAAGGCGCTCTGCTGCGGGTGGGTCTGGTCCTCTCAGATGGGCCCTGTCCTGGGGGGGTATATTTTGCCTCAGCTTCGGAAGCGAAACGCCGGTGGACTGGTCGTTTGGCACCTTTGGCAGGCCGGCCTGGTACTCCTGTCCGTCCGGGTGCTGTTCTTTGGGATGCCTCTGGCATTGGCTTCCTCTGACCTGCAAGCTCCTCAGTTTCAGGAGACTGGCCCGATGCCGCAGCCTCAGCTTTCCGTTGCATCCGTTCTTTCAGTTTCATCTCAGCTTCTAGAGCGCGCGCTCTTTTCTCTTCCTTGCTAATACCGGTAAAAGTGACCTCGAGCTTCTGGAGGGGCGACCGGTCCGAAGCCCAATCGTGTCGCTGTTCCGCCGTAGCTGCTGAAGAGCGTACAGTACTTGACCTGCTCATTGGCGATGGCTGGCCGTTCGATGACGGTGATGCTCTGAGATCGTTTCCCTGCTTCGCAACGCTTGGTGCTGATAATCTCGCATTGCCATCCACCCATGCTGACGGGTCCGACACGGGTGGCTGGTCTTTGTAGTCCATCTCCTCTTCCGGGTCCACGTTTCTTCGGTAGCTTTTGCTTCTAGTGGGATTCGAACGCGACTTCTGGCGCCCATGAGCTCTGCCTGAATTCGCTGCGTAGGGCGCTGATGGTGCTCTCGAGACGGTTGGATTGCTGGCATAAAACTCGTTGTCTTCGTAGTAATCTGGCGCAGGCTTGACGACATGGGACGTCTGCCTTCTGTGCGACGGAGCCGAGTGGGAGCCATTGGTGGGCGTCTGTTGCGGGTACATCAGGTCACCATTGGCAGGTGCTCGGAAGCTTTCTGTGGCCATGATTTTGGGGTGACACCGGGTATCTCTGTTGAAGGAGGCTCTGCACGACAATTGGAAGGGTGTCAATCGCCGTTCGCATTCGACGGCTCCCGAGCGAGACAGTTACTCCAAAAAGGTTGGGATGGGTCCCAATGGATAGTCGCGTGAGGTTGATCTGATCTTTAAAAGAATTGGTCGGTCGACTAGAGTGACATGGCTGACAGCAATGACAGCAGGCGTGGGTGTTTGTGGTGACGTCTAGGCGCCCGTGCTTGATCTCCACGTTCGGGGTATACAAACCGGATAGTATGGAGTATACTAGTCAACAACAACAACAGCAGTCGATGGATAGGCACCAAACCAACGGGGCGGGAAGAAAAACGAAGAACGATCGAAAGAATACACGAGAGAGGGGGGGAGGGAGGAGAGGAAAGGAAAAACCGGAGCAGGGGCAGGCGCAATGCCCAAGGCGTCGAGATTATAATGGGATGATGAATCAATCGCATTGATCGCCCCGAAATCTCCAGCATAAACCGGTGGCTGGCAGCCCAGCCCTCTTTTCTGCGCGGCCTCAGGCGGGGCCGCGCCAGCCCACGAGCCATGGGGTGCCAGGCCAGGCACTGGCCCGGCTGGATATTAAAATTAATTTGGTCATTTTTGGGCAGGCGTTCTTATTTTATCTGCATTTTTATTGTCCATTTTCATCTATTTTTCCCCGTGCCCTTTTCATTCTTTCCTGCTGATGATCTGCCATTATCCCTCCTCCCCAAATCAACTCCGGACAATCGTGGACACCTGCGTTTCCGGGCTCAACGGCCAGCCGCCCAAGCAGGCAGCAAAGCCAGCCAGAGAACCGTCCTGTCAGGATCAGGTCATCTCATCTGTTCTGTCCTACCGTCCGTCCTTGGTCCGATCAACGGGGACGGTCCAGGACGGAATCTCTCTGGACAGTTACGGAGTACTTCGTCCAAGCATGCAGACCTACTAGTTAGCCATGGGGCTGGCTTGGCAAGAAACACCTTACTGGGACCACCATAGAGCAAGCAGTACATAGGTAGCTATGGCGGCACATTATAACCACCTACTCTGTACTATGTACACAGCAGTCAGCCAAAGGATTGGGTTGTGGGGGACCAATGCGGGTAGCAGTCGATTCCCACCAGCTTTGGCCTGTGCCACGACTCCTACAGACTGACGGCCCTGGATATATCGGGCAGGCGGTGAGTGCGGTGAGGGTATCAACAGTTTCTCCGGGAGGCGGGCTAAAGGGGGCTGCCAAGCGGCACCATGCCGGATCCGGCTAGGGTGGCTACTCTTCAGCGCCTCAGGACGCAGCGCTGCTCAACCGGCGGCCGTCCGATGGAGTGCGAGCGTTGGTTCGTTGCCGACCGAAGTAGTAGTACGTCGTTGTCGTTGTCTCCAGCAATCCTGGCCGCGTACTCCGTAGGACGGTACCTATTCTGCCTCTTCCCTATTCCTTGCCTCAATTGTTGGCTTGGACTATCTGTCCTTCCGATCCTCTTTCACTGAGTCCCTGACTTTGTCGCCTACTCTTCCCATTGCTTTGCCTCGTTCCACTCGACCCGGTTCGCCCCTTCTGCCATCCTCGGTCCCCGTCATTGCCGTGTGCATGGCAATCGTCCTATTTGGCCTGATCTCACTGTACTGAAAGAGCCACTTCGCCTGGCTCGCTGCGCTGCGACCATGCGTCTCCCCGGTGGTGTCGCAGTGGCCCTGAGCTTCTGCGCCGCGGCCTCCGCTTCGCTCCATCCTGCTCGCTCCTACGAGACCCGTGATTACTTCGCTCTTCACCTCGACGAGTCCGCCTCCCCGTCGGATGTCGCTCAACGGCTGGGTGCCCGCCACGAAGGCCCCGTCGGACAGCTCCCCCAACACCACACCTTCTCCATTCCGCGAGACAACGGCGAAGATGTCGATGCGCTTCTGGATCAATTACGCGACCGGCGGAGATTACGGCGCCGCTCCGGAGATCCCTCCGTTTCGCTTCCCTCGCTAGTCGGGAGGGATGAGGGTCTGGACGGCATCCTCTGGTCTCAGAAACTGGCCCCCCAGAGGAAGCTGCACAAGAGGATCCCCCCGCCGTCCAATCTGGCGAGATCCCCCGCCGATGCGAAGGAAGACTCCCAGGCGGTCCAGGCGCAGAAGCAGGTCGCTTTGGAACTGGCCATCACAGACCCGATCTTCAGTGGACAGTGGCATCTGTACAACACCGTCCAGCTGGGCCACGACCTTAACGTGACCGGAATCTGGCTGGAAGGGATCACAGGGAAGGGTGTCACGACGGCCGTCGTCGATGACGGATTGGACATGCACAGCAATGATCTCAAGCCCAACTATTTCGCTGAGGGCTCCTGGGATTATAACGACCAGTCGCCGGAGCCCAGACCGCGCCTCAGCGACGACCGGCACGGTACCAGATGCTCGGGTGAAATCGCCGCGGCGAAGAACGACGTGTGCGGCGTGGGTGTTGCCTACGACAGTCGAATCGCGGGAATCCGGATTCTCTCCGCCCCCATTGATGACACGGACGAGGCCGCCGCGATTAACTATGCATACCAGCAGAACGATATCTACTCGTGCTCCTGGGGCCCCTACGATGACGGCGCCACGATGGAAGCACCCGGGACACTGATCAAGAGGGCCATCGTCAACGGCGTGCAGAACGGCCGGGGCGGAAGAGGCTCTATCTTCGTGTTTGCGGCTGGAAACGGTGCCGGCCACGATGACAACTGCAATTTCGACGGCTACACGAATAGCATCTACAGTATCACCGTGGGCGCGATCGATCGGGAGGGCAACCACCCTAGCTACTCCGAATCCTGCTCGGCCCAGTTAGTGGTCGCCTACAGCAGCGGCTCGAACGATGCCATCCACACGACTGATGTTGGCACGGACAAGTGCTCGTCGACCCATGGCGGTACCTCGGCTGCGGGTCCGTTGGCCGCCGGTACCATTGCCCTCGCTCTCAGTGTGCGGCCGGAGCTGACCTGGCGCGATGCTCAATACCTGATGATCGAGGCGGCGATTCCGGTCCACGAAGACGATGGAAGCTGGCAAGCCACCAAGAACGGAAGGAAATTTAGCCATGACTGGGGCTTCGGCAAGGTGGATACCTACACTCTGGTGCAGAGGGCCAAGACCTGGGACCTGGTGAAGCCCCAAGCCTGGTTCAACTCCCCGTGGCTGCGGGTGCATCATGACATTCCGCAGGGCGACCAAGGTCTTGCCAGCACGTACGAGGTGACTCAGGATATGATGAAGGAGGCCAACCTCGAACGACTCGAGCATGTGACGGTGACTATGAACGTCAACCACACGCGCCGTGGTGACCTCAGTGTGGAACTGCGTAGCCCCGAAGGTCTCGTCAGTCATCTGAGCACGGCTAGACGGCCGGATAACGAAAATGCCGGCTACGAGGATTGGACCTTTATGAGCGTTGCCCATTGGTAAGTAGTACCCTCTCTTGCTCGCCATCGACTGGGCTAACCGTTGTGCGCAGGGGCGAGTCTGGCGTCGGGAAATGGACCGTGATCGTCAAGGACACCAACGTCAACGAGCACAGCGGGCAGTTCGTGGATTGGCGTCTCAACCTTTGGGGAGAGGCGCAGGACGGGTCCATCCAGCCCCTTCACCCCATGCCCACCGAACATGACGATGATCACCCTTACGAGGATGCGCCCGTGGCCACTACGAGCATTAGCCCTCCTCCCCCAAAGACGGAGCCGCTCGCCACTCCCACTGATGGTGTTGATCGCCCGGTGAACGTCAAGCCCACGGCATCTGCGCAGCCGACGGGCACGGTTGATGCCCCCATTGATGACGAAAACAAGGAGAATCCCGCTACCGAGACCAGCTCCACGGCGACGCCTTCCGCTACCGCCGCATCGGGCAGTTTCTTGTCATTCTTCCCAACCTTTGGTGCGTCGAAGCGCACGCAAGCCTGGATCTATGCCGCGATCGGGTCTATCATCGTGTTCTGCATCGGGCTCGGAGTCTACTTCCACGTCCAGCGGCGGAAGCGCATTCGCGACGACAACCGCGATGACTACGACTTCGAGATGATCGAGGATGATGATGAGCTGCAGGCGATGAACGGACGGTCGAATCGCGGTCGCCGTCGGGGCGGCGAGCTTTATAATGCTTTTGCGGGCGAGAGCGACGAGGAGGAGCCTTTGTTCAGCGACGATGACGATGAGCCGTACCGGGATCGTGGGATAAGCACGGAACGTGAGCGGGACGGTCCGAATGGCGAGCAGACCGGGAGGTGAAGGGGAATAACTGGACTGAGATAGAATATCCTTCCTTTTTTGCTTCTTGTTGCACGTCGGTTCGGAATGGTGCTGCTTGCTTCATAATGTTATTTGCCGATTGGGTGGCCTGACCTGGCTTTGAATTATCATGTGTTCATGCATGAGGAAAGCGTGTATATACGAGACATTTGTGAGTGTATCAGCGCATATGCATTTGCAAATTTAGAATCAAGTGATGATCTAAATGCTAGAATGATTTTTTTATTCTGTTATATACAGTTCTACTGTTACCCTGTTTTGTTCAAGCCACTATAAGATCGCTGGCTCTATCTATCTATCCATACTAGTCGGCCCCTTCTGCTACGGGCAGGGAAGTCGGTCTTGGCGATGACGCTGCACCCGCGCTTCCCCTTCGGCTCTCCTCCACTCTCCGCAACTCCCCTCTGAGGCTCTGACCGCCCGCCCTACACCTCATCATCTCCTCACTCCTCACTTCCCCCCACCCTCCATCACCCCCCCCCCTCCTTCCGTGCTGCTCGCCTGCTCAGCTCCGTATTGTCCAGCTTCTGCTCGCCGTATCTGAACCGTTTCCGCGCTGGCCCAGCGTCCTGCCGGCTCTAGGCGCCAACCCCTCCAATGGATCAGCACGACGACTTCGACAGCGTCTCATGGAGACATGACCCGGACAGCGATCTCTCGCGCCCTACAACTTCCGGAACCGATGCCGAAGAACCCATTCCTTACAACCACGATGTCAATGGCAAGCGCAGGATGAGCTCCGCCCAAGAACCCCCCCAGGCCGGCCCGCTGGCCGATGCCGTCGACCTGGCCGGGATCGGCGACGGGGTGCTGGAGTGTCAGGTCGATTCCCCGTTGAAGGAGAATGACGGCACAAAAGACGCATACATCTCGTACTTGGTCACTACGAATGTGAGTTTTTTTTTCATCCTAAGGGGAAGGGGGGGGGTCCAGGGAGGAAAGGTGGATGGGGCTGGCCTTCGCCCGGCTGCCTAGCGTGCCTTCCATAGTAATCGTCTGCCATCCATATACTGACCGCATTACCATCGCAGACCGACTTCAAGTCCTTCCAGAAACCAGAGTTTACTGTGCGACGAAGATTCACTGATTTCTATTTCCTATACAAGACGCTCTACCGGGAATATCCCGCTTGCGCGGTCCCGCCACTGCCCGATAAGCATAAGATGGAGTATGTGCGAGGCGATCGATTTGGACCCGAATTCACCACCCGGCGCGCATGGTCACTACACCGGTTTCTGAAACGCTTGTCCCTGCACCCGGTGCTCCGCCGGGCTCCATTGCTGGCGATCTTCCTGGAGTCCCCCGACTGGAATGCGCATATGCGGTTGCGGTCGAACCGCAACTCGAACAGCACGTCGGATGGCAGTGGCGTCCCTGGGATCTTTGACAACTTCACGGACACCTTTGTCAATGCGTTCACCAAAGTGCACAAGCCGGACCGGCGGTTCATCGAGGTGCGGGAGAAGGCAGACAAGCTGGACGAGGACCTCAACCACGTCGAGAAGATTGTGGCCCGGGTAGCTCGGCGAGAGTCTGATCTGGAAGCAGACTACAACGACCTCGCGACACAGTTCCGCAAACTGGTGCCCCTGGAGCCCGAGGTGGAGGTGCCTCTCCAGGTCTTTGCCGCCTCGGTGGAGGAGACCGGACGGGGACTCAAGACGATCAAGGACCACACCGACCAGAACTACCTGGGTTCGCTCCGAGATATGGAAGCGTACATCTTATCGGTCAAGTCGCTCTTGAAGACGCGGGAGCAGAAACAGCTCGACTTCGAAGCGCTGGTCGACTACCGGAACAAGGCGGTGGCCGAGCGGGACTCTCTCGCATCCAACCCAGCATCATACTATGCGTCCAACCCGCTGACGTCGTCCCCGGCCTCGTTCATCCGGTCCAAGATGGAAGACATGCGCGGAGTGGACCACGAGCAGTCGCGACGCGAGCGGGTTCGCAAGCTGGAACTTCGGATCGACGAGCTCACGCGCGAGGTCGAGTCCGCCAAGACGACGTCGGAGATGTTCGATGAAGAGGTCGTGCGCGAGGTGGCCGACTTCGAGCGCATCAAGGCCGTCGAGTTCCGGGATACGATGGGCGCGCTGGCGGAGAAACACATCGACTTCTACCAGGGGGTGCTGAACACGTGGGAGAGGTTCGTCGCCGAGATGGAGGGCGACCTGGAAGACGACCTCGACGAGTCGGGTCTCCCCAAGGAAGTCGAAAGCCGGTAGTCGGTTCGTTCGCACCCGACGGGGATGGATTAATCTACTCTTGTCTCTTGTCTACGTGATGTCGCACTAGCCTTGATTTCTTTCTTCTCATGAGAAGTTCTCTTTTCCCGGGTAGGAGACTGTTGATTCCATGAATATTACGACGCTGTATCCCATTCTCGTACCATAATGCTCGGTAGATCGCACTCATCGCATAACACAGTAGGTAGCCCTAACCTTGCTTCCTCCGTCTATCACCACCATTATTGGAACCATTACCACCACTACTCAGTAAATCACCTAGTCCAATGGCATCACCCCCCAACCAACCGATCCCTCACCCTCTGACTCTCCGCCCACTCCAAGTCCAGGGGACTCGGATCCCGCTGCCCCCGAGGATCCACAACCGCCGGATCCAACGCGCGCGTCGAACTCCGCCGCACCAGATTCTACTTTCCCGTAGTGATCACATCAGCCTTCGTTCGACCTTACTTGTTTTCTTTCCTTTTTTTTTTTTTTTCTTTCCTTTTTTTTCCCTTCTCCTGAACAACGAACGCCCTGGGATGTAATCCCAGGTGATAAGAAATGGTAGGATAGAATAGGGGGTGTATAGCAGAGGGTAGGGTAGAGTGGAATAGAAATATCAAGGTAGAGTTGAGTTGAGTTGATAGAGTAGAGTAGAGTAGAATATAGCGGTATGTGCAGGAGCATATAGAAATAGAAATAGAAAGGAAGTAGAAATAGATAGGATGGGATAGAATGGAAGTGAATGAATGAATGAATGAATGGATACGATGCATACATACCTCCCGAAACACCTGATTCAGCGTCTTCGGCTGGTTTTTGCCCTCCCCGCCCCCGCCGATCAAATGCAGGTAGGTTTCGTGGTCGTAGTCGATTTGGTGCGAGGAGGGGTGGGCGAAGTTGGCGCTGAGGTGGGGTTTTTGCTGAGATGGAGATGGGGAGGGTTTGGTTGTGGTGGTGGTGGTGGGTTTTTGTTTGGAGGTGGACATTTTGGTGTAGGTTGGTGTTTGGTGTGGTTTTGGTGGAAGGTGGAGGGTGGAGGGTGATGGGGGGTTTTGTTTAGTTGGTTAGGGTTGAATCAGATTGGATTGGATCTGGGGGTGGCGGTTGCAAGAGGAGGAGGCGATGGATGGATGGATGGGTGGAATGTGGTGAGTGGATGGATAAATGGTGTGGGTGTGTATGAGAGAGAAAGAAGGTAAAGTAAATACCTCAATAAGTATGCAGATAAAGTCAAGTACCTCTCTCACTCAATAAGTAATATCCATCTAAGACAGACTGAGATTAGCATTGTGGCGGAGTGAATGCATTTGATCCATGCACAAGGGGGGCAGTGTGAAGAAGATGAATGCTGATGGCTGCAGCTGGTATGTTTCATGTTTCATATGGGCGTAGAGGACTATAGATAGTTCCTTATTTGGATCAGGGGCGTTGTTTGTGTTTCTTTCTTACTACCTATGGGCTTGGTCTTTGGTTCTTGGGGGGCTGATGGGTGCATGCATGTAATATGGCTTAGTATGGTGTCTTTAGGTCTGGTGATGGTGATGCAGGTTATAGACTAGGAAATGTGGATGAGATAATGGACCCTGGGAGGAAGAGAGGCTAAAGGAATAGACTAAGAGGAGTTTATTGTAATGGGGGCATTACTCATAAGCAGGGTGAAGTCTGACACAGCCGGGCAGCAGAAGAAGAAGAAGAAGATGATGATGATGATACGAGTGGTACGGGCATTACAGCGATACGGGACAGCCGGTGTTTGCTCTGTTTGCTCTGTTTGCTCTGTTTGCTCTGTTCAGCCGAACGGCCTCATTTCCACCATCCGATGGACTGATGCTGTTGTTGCTGTTGTTGCTGCTTTCTCTCCTCACCCGCCCTCGCCCATCATGCGTCCTCTTTCGCGGACGGCCCTCCGGCCCTACGTCTGCCCCTCCTGTCAATTGGGACGTCTCCCTGTCCGCAGGAGATTTGCCTCCCACTCCCCCTCGTCCTCGAACAGCTCCCCTCCCGAGATCTACGATGTAGTCTGCGTCGGAGGCGGTCCTGCCGGTCTAGGACTGTTGGCAGCTCTCCGTGTGTCTATCCCGACCCTCAATTAGGTCAATTGCTCGCTGCTAACATGCCACAGGGGCCTCCCCCGCTACCTCCAAGCTCAAGGTCGCCCTGGTCGAGACCCAAGACCTCGCCAAAGCCCGCTCGTGGTCCCTCGATTCGCAGCAATTCTCCAACCGGGTCAGCAGCCTCACCCCGTCGTCCGTCTCGTTCCTGAAGAAAATCGGCGCCTGGGATTACCTCGACACTGCGCGCGCACAACCCTACCAGGAGATGCAGGTCTGGGATGGCGAGACCGGCTCGCGCATATCCTTCGACTGGTCCATGGAGACCTCCCCGTTCGAGGACCTCCGCCCCGTCGCGACCATGACCGAGAACACCAACCTCGTGCGCGCCCTCCTGTCGCGCATCGCCGCCTCCGGAGACGACAACCTCTCCATCTTCTCCAACACCACCGTCTCCTCCATCACCAACGGCACCGAAAGCCCCAACGGACCCGACCTGTCCGCCTGGCCCGTCCTCTCCATCTCCCCCACCGCCGCCGCCGCCGCCTCCTCCCAACCGCCCACCCGTATCGCCGCGCGCCTCCTCGTCGGCGCCGACGGCATCAACAGCCCTGTCCGCCGCTTCGCCGACATCTCCACCGATGGCTGGGACTACAACCGCCACGGCATCGTCGCGACCCTCTCCCTCGCCGACCTGGACCCCGTCCCGTTCCCCCTCGGCACAAGAACCGCCTACCAGCGCTTCCTCCCCTCTCTCGGCGGTCCCATCGCCCTGCTCCCTCTCCCGAACAATCACGCTACCCTCGTGTGGTCCACCACCGTCGAGAATGCCGCCTACCTCAAATCCCTCTCCCCGAAGGCTTTCCTCGCCATGGTCAACGCCGCCTTCCGCCTCTCCATGACCGACCTCCAATACATGCTGCGCATGGACCGACCCGCCACCGTCTCCGACGCCGAGGACCCCCATGAGAACGAACTCGCCTGGCGTCTCGAACACACCCCGCAACCCCCCCACCTCCCACCAACTGTCACCGGCGTCCAGGAAGGCAGCGTGGCCTCCTTCCCGCTCCGCTTCCGCCACGCCACCTCCTACGTCTCCCCCCGCGTGGCCCTCGTCGGCGACGCAGCCCACGTCATCCACCCGCTCGCCGGCCAGGGTCTGAACCTCGGAATGGGCGACGTCGCCTCCCTCGCCGAGACCATCTCCTACGCCGTCAACCACGGCATGGATGTCGGCGATCTGCTCACCCTCGAGCGCTACGCCGGGGACCGCTACGCCACGAACGCCAAGATCGGTGGCGCCTGCGATGTCCTTCACAAGCTGTACAACGTCCCTGGAAACGGACCCGTCGCGTGGGCCCGCAGTCTGGGTCTGGAGGTCATCGACCGCGTTCCGTTCGTTAAGGGGCTGCTGATGAAGAATGCCGAGGGTTAGTCAGTATCGTTACTTTACTAATACTGCTGCTACTGTAACGCCAGTATACTACAGTCCACCATATTATGCCTCCTCTCTCATAACACCGTCTATGTGATGGATGTGGTGTATGCTGTACACGAAACAGGGTTAATTCAATATGTATATTATTTTCTCATAAATGAAGTGCATGCCTGCACGGTGTGGATAAATCCAACCAGCCAGCCAGTCTATCAAAATAAAGTAGAGCTTTGGTGCTCGTTCTGTCATAGACAGGCATCATTACCTAGTACTACTCTACTACTAGGATACAGGTACCTACGGGGATAGATGGTATACATCTGTGCACCACCCAAGCACCAGCAGCCCCTTAGGCAGTAAAGGATACGTTTATGATATGACGGAGTAAGAATATTTAAAAATGCTTTGCTTCGCTTCAATTCGACTGCAATCTAAACTGGGTATTGTGACATTTCATCCACCTTCTTCATGATTCAGCCCTTATCCCCTCTCATCCCAATCCCCATCCCCATTCCCAGGTCTCACACACGCACACACACTCTCTCTCTCTTTCTCTCTCTCTCTCTCTCTCTGTGTGTGTGTGTGTGTGTGTGTTTTCTTTTCACGCACGTATCCCATCGTACGTATACCTTTTATTTTCTTTCCTTCCCCTTCAATTCCTTTTCCGGAAGGGATGACAAAAAACGTGAACCATCTACGTATATACCTAGACACGTATCTAAATTAAGATTAAGCATCAACCTTCAACCCCCCCAACTGCTGCGCAACCGACTCCGCCACGCCCTCGCGCTTCCGGGCCACCCGGGCCTTGACCTCGTCGGACAGAGTGGCCAGGTCAACCAGCACGCCCTCCTTCTCGGGGTGGCCGTCTTCCAGACCCATCTCCTTGACCCGGACCTTGCCGGCCGCGAGCTCGTCCTCGCCCAGGATGATGGCGAAGGGCACGCCGGCTTGTTCGGCCGCCTTGAATTGTTGGGGGAGTTTGGGCTTGACTTTGTAGGAGAATTCGGCCTAGGGATGACGTTAGCGTATGCTTTTCTTCTTTCTTTCTTTCTTTCTTTTTTTTTAAAGAAATTTTTCATGTTGTTGTTGTTCAACTTTGGTTTTGGTTTTGGAGGGGGAAGTGGAGGGAAGGAGAGGGGAAAAGGACATACCTTGACGCCCGAGTTCCACAGACTCTGGCACACGCTCATCCGCTCCTTCAGCATACCCGTGAAGCCCTTGCCACCGAAAGCCATGACGTAGGCGTCGACCTCGCTGCTGCGCAGCGCCTCAGCGCTCTTCTCCCGCTCGATGCGAGCCTTGGTGATGGAGAAGATCCGGTCCACGCCGAACGACACACCCACGCAGGGAATCTGCGCCTTGGGCAGGAACATGCCGACCAGGTTGTCGTAGCGACCTCCGGCAGCGACACTGCCCACGCCGAGGGTGGGGTCGTTGGAACGGTCGTCGTCCTCCAGGTTGGCGTCCTTGGACTTGCTCTTCTTACCGGTCTTCTGCACGGTCTGGGCCTCGGGGGCGGACGACGCCACCGCGGGGGCAGAGCCCTCGGTGACCACCTCGTAGATCACACCGGTGTAGTAGTCGAGACCACGGGCGAGACTCATGTCGAACGAGATCCGGTCCAGCACGCCAAACGCCTCCAGGTAGTCCATGAGCAGACCCATCTCTTCCAGACCGGCCTTGGCGGACGCGTTGGCGACCAGAGCCTCGTCCTTCAGCAGGTTGTCGAGCAGATCGCGCCCGCCCTTCTGGTTGACGTACTTCTCGATGTTATCGGCGACCGCGCCATCCAGACCCTTCTCCTCGACCATCTCCTTGCGCACGTCCGCCCACGGCATCTTATCCAGCTTGTCGACGGCGCTGGAGATGGGCCGGATCTTGTCCGCCGGCACGCCGCACACCTCGAACAGCCCGTCCAGGATCTTGCGGTGGTTGATCTTGATGTTGTATCTGCCGGTCCAGCCCAATTCCTCGAAGACCTCGACGACGATGCGCATGATCTCGGCGTCGGGCACCATCGGGTCGAAGGTGCCGGCGATGTCGAAGTCGCACTGGTAGAACTCGCGCATGCGGCCCTTGCTGACGGCCGGCTGGTCGCGCCGGTACACCTTGGCGATGTGGTAGCGCTTCATGCTGCGGACGTCCGGGTTCATGGCGAGCCAGCGGGCGAACGGCACGGTGAGGTCGTAGCGCAGCGAGCAGATCTCGCCGCCCTGGTCCTGCAGGTCGTAGATGAGCTTGGAGTCCTCGCCGTACTTGCCGGCGAGGATCTCGCGCAGCTCGAACACGGGGGTGTCCAGGGCGGTGCCGCCGTGGCGCTTGAAGACATTGGCGATGGTGGTGAAGATGCGGTCGCGGAGGAGAGCGTCGGACCCGGACCAGTCCTTGGTGCCCTTGGGGGTCTTGAGGTTGAAAGAGACCTTGGGTTCCTTGTCTTTAGGCATGGTGCAGAGCGGGCGGCGGGGGATGTGAGGGGTAGGAGGGGAGGAGGAGGATGGAAAAGTCGACGAGGCGAAAGAGGGACGGAGAGAGTGGTAGTGGCGGTGGTGGTGGGGGATGGTGGGGGCTTCGATCGCCTGCCGGACGTTTGGGCGGATGCGGATGCGGATGGGTTGGCTGATGGAGAAGTTGCTGCTGGCCGGGCTCTCGCCAATTGCTGCTCGTCGGGCAGAGCGTAGAAGGCCGGGGCGGATTGAGGGGTTCATTCAAGATGAAGAAGTTCGGTCTTCTTTCCTTCAGACTCACGGGTTGGATTGATTGTCCTGTCTGTCATTGGGCGTCGTTCTTTCCGCCGACCTCGCCCGGCCGGCCCCTTGCGGACAGTTTCTCCGCCCCGGTCTCAATGCGGTCTTAGGGCTGGACTTCAGGGCAAGTCACATGGGCCTGCTGCCATCGAGTCCGCTGCAACTGCACGCACTGGTTGAAATCGAGGGGCTGGGCTCATCCTCTCTCTCTTGAATGGTGTGAATGTCCGGTGTTGTCTTCAACATGGCTTCGTTTTCCACAGTATAGAAGACCTCAGGGAGGCTGGGATATCTGACTGATGCTTGATGTGAAAGCTCCGCTTTGTTCATATGTATACTGACTCGGTTGCTACCTAGTACTAGGAGGCCTTAAAAAGTTACGGCTGCGGCACCATCTTATCCCATACGCTGTCACTCTTAGAAGAACGACCAGTAAGTATGCTGCTACATCGCCCTAACCAGGGAGTATATAAGGACAAGAAAACATAATAATCACCGTCATGGCGAGTGATCCGCCCTATTTTAGAGTGATGGTCAGGTACTCCGTACCCTGTACTCCGTCCTGGTGATGATCTAGGGAATCCTGCTCCTAAACTCCAACAATAGACGTTTTTGTACGACAACTCAAGTCCGGCCAGCATCCTGGACAGTGGACAGTTCCTATTCCACGATCTTCTCCTGTGTAGATTCGAGCACATGTCAACCCACATGGGCACGCCCCTCATCGAACGATTGGTGGCAGTTGGTGGCTCGACGTGAGGGGCGGCGGCGGCACATGGTGTGATGTTACACAGAACACACCTTACGGCGCACTGTAATTTAATACCTTAGTACTTATTAGGTGTACTTGATGCTGCTTCTGCCCGGTTGAGCTAGACCCAGAGCGAAGATTCCATTAGACGCCCGCTGTGTCTAGTGTTGTCTCGAGTTGGTTACCGTCCAATGGCGTTATCGCCTGGAGTCATGGGGCATTCGAGAAACGGCCGCTGATTTGTCGAGGCCAGCACGTCGCGCACGCCACAGTTTGTGGTACCCAGATCCATGGTGCTTATCACTTGCACTTGACTTGTAATACTATGAGGTTACCTGGCTTTATCAGCCGCCGCCGCCTTGTGCCAGGTGGTTGTGCTGACAGCGGATGCAAGGAAGAGCTGTACCACCTGCCATTCCACCCCGAAAGTCAGTCAGCCAGCCTGCTTTTTTTTCCCAGGACTTATCTATAGCTAAGGTAAGGTAGTGAATACTACTCTACAGTACTCTGTATTAGCCGGCAGCTTATGCCTTCCGGTAATAAGTATGCACGCTTCCCGGCGAGGGGTAATCAAAGTTTACTGTGCGGAACCGGAAACAGACACGAGCAGCCTGGAATGGAAACCAACCGTTCAACGGGGTTTGCGAAGGGACAAGTCCCAACAATTAATACGGGCCTCCAGGCGGCGGTACGGCGCTAGTATCTCGAATGCTGGGGGCATGGGGTAGGCGGGGCGCTCCAAATTATGCGATTGGTCACTGAGCACCCTTCTGATCCTGGTGTTACCACGTGGTTCTGGTGTAGCGTGATACATTACCGCTCTGACAAGGTGTATGTATGACATCGTATCGCATCTGGAGAGGGCCCCGGCCGTACCCCAGAAAGAGGGGAAGCAGAGAGTACATGACGATTGCATGGCCTGCCGCTGGGCCGATGGATTCTGGAAGTCATTACTACTACTAGTACTTATGCCATGGCAGGCTCGCAGCTGGGTCGGAATGCCCGTTGATCTCCTGACCCCGACCTGCGTCCCTGGTCCATGAGCGTAAGGTACCGATCTCTTCGACGTGGGAAAAGGTAACCCCGGACGGAGCAGAGGCGCTGCATCGCTCTCCCAGCATGAAGCCGTCGCCAAGAACGCCGCCAGGCTGGACGGCTGTGAAAATCACGCATTCCATCCCGCTGCGACGGCCGCTATCATCCCCTCCGTCACTATTCGCGGTGGTCGTTCTGATCATCCTGCTTCGACTGTGGCGGACATAGTCCAGTTGGGTGTCCATACCTGCAGTGGACGGAAGCATAGCCTCCAGCCTCTCTGCTTCGCGGTGCACTGGATGCGTTTCAGGTCGTACGGTTTGCACAAGGCTCATGGATAATGGGGAGCTAAGCCATGCCGATGGGCTGGCAACAAATCAGAGGCCGCAGTGCGCGACGGCGATGCAACCCCGGCCACAGCCAGTAACGCATAGTATTTATTCTCCGACAGATGGCTCGCCTTATCCGAGATGGCAGTCACTTGCACTTCCCTCCTGCCTCTTCGTCCTCCCTACGCAGTATACATCTAGCGACTAAACGGTAGTAGTGAAGGAGGAGTGTGTTTGGTGCATGCGCCCTACGTGATATTTCCGTTTTGGCACGTTACACAGCGTGAGCTATGAATAACCAGGTGTGGTCTGGGGATTTCCATTGAGTCAAGTACGACAGCGGTTTTTTACAGAGGCACAGAGTAGTCCGTACCATGGCATCCATTAGATATGTTTCCGCTTCCCTGTGTCCTCGGAGTTAAAAACCAGCTCACGGAGTTTAAGCCGGGTATATTCCAGGCCAGTGGATTATTCGGTCGGGCCCCCCCCCTCTTCTATCACATCATACATAGTCCAGTGTAGTCCTGGGTCGGACATAGCCTGTTCTTTATCCAAATGCCCTGTGGAGGAACCTTAAAGCCCACAATGGTGAAGGGCTGACGTAGCACTCCTATGGGCCAGGGGTGGGTATAGGACAGAGGGAGACAAGCAAGTCGTTGATATTATCAGGAGGGGGGGTTGGTTATTCGCGGATATTCCCCTTGGGACAGCCGGTTCCGACCAGGGCGGAGTTGATCGTGATACCACTGTAAAACACTGGCAGCCGTCCGTAAGGAACGAGCAGGTTCGCCGGTGCCGGGTCGGATGAGGGCCTCTGGTAACCTGGTTCCCTTGGAATGCGGACAGGTCACTTTAAGCTCTTTCTCACGAGAATGCCTCTCGAGTCTTGAATGATGTGATGGAATGGAATGGATGTGGTATCTATCGGAGTGGGATCGGGTGTTTCAATCGCCCCAAACCGCTCGGGCCCGCGCACCCGCCCGTCATGATGATTACGGACCGTACGCCGGTAAGGTAATACGCAGGCAGATGAATATACTCGACGGTTCCTGGGCATCGAGGAAGAGTGAGTAGGTTGGGGATTCATTCCGGCTACGACGTCGTTAGTCCCTTCTCTTCCCCTTCCTTGTCTCCTCCTATCTCGGACCCGGACCAGCGCTCTCCTCTCCTCCTCTCCTCCTCTCCTGCTCTCCCTGCCTCTCTCTCTCTACTCAGATCCTCCTAGAACGTGCCTATTCTTATTTTCTCAGCCCTCCTCCGTTCGCTGGGTCCAATTCGGCTGTGCCTCTCACACGCTGACCTGACCGCGCCGTTCTCCACCTTTCGATTCCGCCGCCCGTTCACGTTCCGCCCCATTCCTCGCTCCCTCACCCACTTCTCCAAGCCCTCCTCGAACGCTCATCGGACTTGCGGCCCTGTGAAACCCTATGCCTGCGACCTAGACATTGACATCTTCTCGCCCTTTGTTGCCGTCACCAAGTGTCTTGCCCTCGTGCCATATAGATCGCCGCCGTCGCCTCCTCAATTGCTCCCCCCTCTGTTCGGCCTCGCTTACCGGACCCTGCCGTCGCATACTGGCCGGCTCCGCCTGCGCGTTCTCCGGGCGGTTCACACTCGCCCCCCTTTCGATCCTGGCGTCGGCTTCTTTATCCCGCCAAAGTTACCAGATGAAGCTGAACGCTAAGGACTTAGACACTTTGCGATAATCATGGGGTCTTTTCTGAGGAGTTTCCGGAGAGATGTGGTGAGTTTTGAATCTGTCCGCTTCGCTTGGCCTTCCCTCTTCCTCCGAGGCGATCTGCGGAGTTCTACGTCGCTCGGTTCTCCCTCTGCTTGTCTCTACAATATACGGCGAAGGACGAAGAGGGAGCGCGCTGGAGAGGGCGAGGGAATGGATCCGCCGCACCCGAGCCCTCGAGTCGCCAGTCGCCATAGATTAGCACGATGCTGACAGTCTGGCTTCAATTTAGGGATCCTCCACGCCTTCGGTGGGGACGACTCCGGCGAAGAAAGAGCCCCAGCCGCTTCCGATGACCCCGCTGGAGAAGATGCTGCAGGATATGGGTTCAGTCCGGGATGATGGCAGTGACAAGTTCTTTGGAATGGAGAACGTGAGTTGGCCCATACTGCGGCTTGGCCGGGATGACTCTCCGTGACTAACATTTTTTTCGCGCTTTAGTTCGGCAATACCTGGTAAGTAGCTGATCAGACTATGCGCGGGGGAGGCGCGTTCGGGGAGTCGTGTTGCTAATGCCCGGTTGAACAGCTACTGTAACTCGATCTTGCAATGTCTGTACTATTCAGTCCCGTTTCGAGAAGCCGTCATCAATTATCCGACACGGACACCGATCGAAAGCCTGGAAGCCGCAATGATGAAGAACCTTCGGTTTCAGAACGTCGCTGCGAACTTGGAGGCGGAAGCACAAGCGGAAAAGCAGAAGGCCCTGAATGCTCAGCGCCCCGGGGCGCCGCCGGCTCCACCACAGAAGCCCGAGGACAAGGAGTCGCCGGAATATAAGAAGAAGATGGCCTTGCAGACACTGCCGCTGTTGGAAACGAAGAATAACGCGGTCAGTTACGGCATGTCAGAGTCGCTTTTTACCTCACTCAAGGACCTTTTCGAGTCGGTTGTCGCGAGCCAGTCTAGGATAGGGATAATCCGTCCGCAACATTTTCTGGACGTCCTTCGCCGTGAGCATGAAATGTTCCGGTCGGCGATGCATCAAGACGCACACGAATTTCTAAACCTTCTGCTCAACGAAGTGGTGGCGAACGTAGAGGCCGAAGCCATGAAGCAACCGGCACCGGAAAGGGCGCTTCTGCCCGCAGAACACACCGAATCTTCCGAACAGTCGGTCAGCTCGGGGTCCAAGACCCCCAATACGACGCGGTGGGTGCACGAGCTCTTTGAGGGGACTTTGACGTCGGAAACGCAATGTCTTACCTGTGAGAAGGTGTCTCAACGAGACGAGATTTTCTTGGACCTGTCTGTGGATCTAGAACAGCACTCGTCGGTCACTTCGTGTCTACGGAAGTTTTCGGCAGAGGAGATGCTTTGTGAACGAAACAAGTTTCACTGCGACAACTGCGGGGGTCTCCAGGAGGCCGAAAAACGGATGAAGATCAAGCGCCTTCCCCGGATCTTGGCCCTGCACCTGAAGCGTTTCAAATATACCGAAGATCTGCAGCGGCTCCAAAAGCTCTTCCACCGGGTCGTGTACCCCTACCATCTTCGCCTCTTCAACACCACCGACGATGCTGAAGACCCTGATCGCCTATACGAGCTGTACGCAGTGGTGGTGCATATCGGGGCGGCCCTTACCACGGGCACTATGTTGCCATCATCAAGACGCAAGATCGCGGGTGGCTGCTCTTCGATGATGAAATGGTCGAGCCTGTGGACAAGAACTATGTGCGCAACTTCTTTGGTGATAAGCCCGGGCTAGCGTGCGCCTACGTTCTGTTCTATCAGGAGACCACACTGGAGGCGGTTCTGAAAGAGCAAGAGCTTGAGAACTTGAACTCGAACCTTGCCGATTTGAACGAAGCTTCTATGAAACAGAATGGCTTCCCCCAACCACCAGGGGGGCTGGCCCATGTTCATAGTGCCTCGCAGATTCCCACGTATGAGGAGTCCCTGCGGAATACGGGCGGCCTTAAACGAGCCCCCACGGCGCCTCAGCTCCCCACTCATACGGAGCACACGGGCCCAGAGAATGTCCCGCTGAGTCCTGCCGTTGCCATTCCACCCCCCGTCCCGCCCATCCCAGAAGCCCACAGCAGGCCCTTGAGCCCGAAGAAGAGCGATGTGCAGTCCAAAAAGGAACGGGCCAAGGAAGAAAAGGAACGCAAGGCAGCTGAAAAGGAGTTGGAGAAGGTGCGTCGCAAAGAACAAGAAGCAAGGGTCAAGGAAAACCAGCGACGCGAGGAAGCCGAACTAAAGGCCGCTCTGGAGGCTAGCAAGGCATCCAAAGCAGACGAGGACCGGCGAGAGAACGGCAAGGACAGCGATTCGAAGAAGTCCAGCAGCGGGCTGAGTCGTCTAAAGCGGGGCAGCAAGAGCTTCAGCCAGCGCCTGGGCAAGGATAAGGACAGTCGCACGACGCCTTCTGGTCTGCCCACCGTGCCTAGCCCTGAGCCTGCGACTCCGACTCCCAACGACGTGCCCCCCGAACACACGCAGCCCCCCTCCCCGCACAAGGGGTCCCCCAAAGAATCACACATCCTCCACAAGCCCCTGGGCCACGACGACGAGCACGATGCGCTAAAAAGCCCCAAAGGCGACCGAGGCAAATGGCGGAGCTTCAGCATCCGAAAGAAGTCCTTCAGCATTCTTTCCTAGGCTGTGTGGCCCGCAAGGACATGTATCACATATTCGCCTTCTGCACATAGACACATGCGTTCTTCGTACATATTTTCGATGTATTATCACCCTTTCTCTTCACCACCGGTTCCACCCGATCGATATGCATGTCGCCCGTCGCCCTTTGAACGCTATGGTTTGACATGGGCCCGGTTCTTGTCTTACTTCCCTCAACCTTTTGGCCCCTGCCTGCATTGTGATGTGATGTCTTCCCCATTTACCACTTACTGCATGTTGTTTAGCCCTCCATCCTGCTTGCTTCTGTTCTTTTCTTCGTCTTCTTCTTCATCTTCTGCAACTTCCTCGATCATGTGATACCCGTGCCTGGGTCACAGCTGGGCAGGTGAGGCGTTTGGCGAGTTTGATCTCTGGGTTGCGAATTTTTTGTCTGGCTGTCCGGTCCTTATCTTAAATGAATTGTTTCTTGAATTCCGCGAGCGTCGAAGCTGATGCTCGACGAAAGAAACAGGCGGGTGTTTCGGTACTAGCACGGCGTGTCTATCCGTCATGACTGTCTCGGGCATGTCCTCCGTCGGGCGATGGGATCCAGCAAGTGTACGAACGTGGCGCAGTATATAGACTCGATGCGACAATACAAGACCCACAAGAGCCAATTCCAGCTAGTTTCCTGAGCTTCCTGCCCCGTAAGCGCTACAATCTGACCACTTGACCACTTGACCACTCCGGATAGACGATCTCACTGAACATCATCTCGAGACCTCCCTACCCCAAAGTGCAAAGCCCCGCCTCAACCAGCACGTAGAACCCATCCTTACGAACCCACCATTTCCCAATCCAGAATAGCGGTCCAAACACAAGTGGGATATCAATTCAATCCATTGCCCTTCCCTCCCTAATTTTCCCCTAATGAAGAACAACAACCTCCGTATATCTCATATTCAGAAGAAGAAGATAAGAAAGAAGGAAAGGAAGGAAGAACACCGGCTCGTACGTACGTCACGTATATCCGCAACCAAACCCGTCCGAACGCGATGCGACGCGACGCAACACAACACAACACAACACATAGAATTGATTGTTCAACCCAGAATAAGCTCGTACACGATGACTATCGTATTGATGACGATGAGGGGTACTATAGCCGACAGTCACACGGGTATTTGGTTAGATCACGTACAATTCAATTCAGAGGATTGGGGGATTCAAAGGGGGGGGGGGGGGGGGGGCAGAGGAACGTACTTCGCATCACGGTCCGGACACTGGCGATCAGATTAATGGTTTTGGCTTTCACACTGGTGGTGTCGTAGGCGGCGCCGAAGGCCGGGTCGCCTTGCGTGCGGCCCCATCCGACTGTTGAGGGAGAGAGTGTGTGGTTAATTGGATTCCTTGGGGGTTTCGCTTGGGAGATGGCTGAGGTTGGAGAAGGGAAGGGGAGGGAGGAGCTATGGTAGTAGGGTGGACGTACTCCGGGCGAGGAAGCGGTCTTCGGAGAGGACGGCGAGGGAGTTGATGAGTAGGATGATCACTGCATGGATGGATGGATGGATGCCTGTTAGTGAGCTGTCCCGGGGGGAGGGGTTGTTTTGGTCGGGGGATGGAATGGAATATAAGGGAAATGGGCGCACCGTAGACCAGTTTCCCCAGGCCGAAGAAGAACATCTTGAGGGCTGTGGGGGAGGAGGGGAGGCCAGACAATCGGAGAGATCTGGACCAGCTGGCGCTTGATGTGATGCTGCTGGGGAAAGAGCGCGGCGGAGAGGCGGAGAGGCGGAGGCGGCCTCGGAGGCGGAGAGCCAGCCCGCCCGGCAGTATCTGGAGTGCTGCATACGTAATGCCTTCTCGCGCATTGCTGGCCTTTCTTTTCTTCTTCTTTTTCTAGTAACTGGACATCCAGAGACAGACGGTGGTCAATGGTACCATCATGGCGAGAGACGTCAGTAAGTGGCGATAGATTTCGACTCCGAAACACATGCTGACCCCCCCCCAACAGTCTACGTGCTTCTCCTCGTCGCGATCCCGGCCCTGATCCTCCTTCATCTGGCCGTCGCCCCCTACACCAAGGTCGAGGAGTCCTTCCATGTCCAGGCCATCCATGACATCTTGTCCTATGGCGTCCCCACTCGCAACGTCTCCGAGACTCTCCGCGCCAACTATGACCATTTCGCGTTCCCAGGGGCTGTGCCCCGGACGTTTGTCGGCGCACTGGTGCTGTCCGGGCTGTCGCAGCCCTTCATCTGGTTGAGCGACAAGGTCGATCGACAATTCCTAGGTACTTGGGCCCCAAACGGCCCTCATTTGAGCTACATCCCTGACAGTCGACCAGCGCGAGCAATCCTCGGCCTTTTCAATGCCGCTTCGTTGCTCTCATTTGCGTCCGGGCTGCGACGCACCGCTGGCAAGACCACGGCAGTCTGGTACCTGCTCCTCCAAGCCAGCCAGTTCCACGTTCTCTTCTACGCCTCGCGAACACTATCCAACATGTTCGCCTTCGGTCTGACCACTCTGGCCCTGCGATATCTCCTCCCCGAGCCCGTCAGCCCCGAGGTCTACAAGAAACGCTCCCGACTCTCCCTCTTCCTGTTGACCGTAGCCGGAATCATCTTCCGCTCCGAGCTGGCGATTTTCCTCGCAACCAACACCCTCTTCCTCTTCGCGACCAAACGCATTACCATTCAACGCGAGATTATCCCCGCCGGAATCCTGGGTCTGCTCGTCGGGCTGGCCTCGACCGTCCTGGTGGACTCATTCTTCTGGCAACAGTTTCCCCTATGGCCTGAGCTGGCAGCTTTCAAATTCAACGTCATCTCCGGTCAGGCATCAGCCTGGGGCACGGATCCCTGGCACTTTTACTTCACCAGCGCTATTCCACGTATCCTCTCTAACCCGGTTCCCGTGGTCGACATTGTCGGGATCGCAGTCGCCCTATACCAGCCCGCGACCCGCTCCCTCGCAGCGTACGCCCTCATACCGTCCCTCCTCTTCATCGCCATCTACAGCGCCCAGCCGCACAAGGAATGGCGCTTCATCATCTACACCATCCCCGCCATCACCTCCGCCTCCGCCCTCGGCGCCTCCTACATCTGGACCCACCGAGCCAAGTCCCTCCTCTACCAACTCTTTTCCTTGTTCATCCTCGCCTCCACCCTGCTCTCATTCGCCCTCTCCACATTCGTCCAACTCCCCATCTCCTCCACCAACTACCCCGGCGCCAACGCCCTTCACGCCCTGCACTCGCACGCCAACCCCAACCTCAACCCCAACCTCAACCCCAACCTAAACACCCCAGTCATCTCCGTCTACCTAGGCAACCTAGCCTGCCAAACCGGCGTCACCCGCTTCCTGCAACACCCCTCCTCCACTTCCCCCAACCCCCCCGCCGACTCCCCAATCCCAGTCTGGAAATACGACAAAACCGAAGACGAAGCCACCAAGTCCTCTCCCTCCTTCTGGTCCCAATTCGACTATCTCGTCCTCGAGCCAGACGAGGCAGCCACGGTCCTCGCCCTCACCACTTCTCTGAACCAGAACCAGTGGGAAGACATTGACACCGTGGACGGCTTCTCGGGCGTGAGGATACTCCGCCCCGGTCAGCCGGCTGGTGTATTGGAGGAGAGATTCGTGAGGAGTATATTGAGTCCCAAGGTCGCTCAGGTATGGATGTCAGGTCGGGAGTTGTTCAGGAAAGTGGTTTCGAGGGGTTTGTGGGTTGAGTTGGTCATGGAGCCAAAGATTAGGGTTCTGAGGCAGGTGAGGGGGGAGTGAGTGTGTTGAGAGAGTGATTGTTTGATTAATTGATGGAGTGAAAGAGTGGGAGTAGGATGGGGGGGTGGGTCTGTGTATATAGTATATAATGAGCTCGTGTTGTGCCATCTAGCTGCGCGGATAAAGTGGTTCTGTTGTCTGTTTGCATAACATCCATCGCTGATGATTACATGGCTCTTGCTTTCGTCTTCGTCTGCTCTGAGCGGAAGGGATATCCCGGGTCGATTCGATTCAGGGCAAACCAAAACTCTGATGACTAACTACTACTTAATAACTATACAATATGTAAGGCTTTAGTTGTGAATGTGGTATTATTTTCTGCTTGACTGCATATCATAGATATACAAGAAAGAGAGACAGACGAATAGAGCGGTAGAGAGATAGATATATTCCAAGGACACGTGACCAGCATTTACAGCACACCACCTCAGCCAGCACCGGCATCGATATCGATATCGATATCAATATCGAGCCTACGCCTCTCCTCCACTCAGACGCTCCAATCTACTCTCTAGGTCACGGACCCACGGTTCCACCAGTTCGATATTACTCTTCATGGCTGTCTCGCCCTGGCTCGTCTTCTCCTCGACGACGCGCAGACCCTCGCGCCATTGTTCGATCTCGCGAGCCATGTCGACTTGACGCTTCTCGAGCAGGTCCAGGGACTCGGAGGCCTGGGCGGCTCCGGCGTGGATGGCGCGGAGGGAGCGGAGGCGTTCCAGCACGCTGGGGAGGATGGGGTGGAGGGATTGGATGGTGGGGAGGGTGGAGTAGAGGGCTTGGATCTTGGTTGCTTGTTCGTCGCGCTGGGTGGCGGCGGGGTCGACCTCGGTTGCGGACGACGAGGAGACGGACATGTCTGAGGGCTCGATGGCGGCGGAGGCGATGCGCGCGTTCTGGGCGGCCTTGGCGGCGTCCACGGCGCGTTTGCGCGCAGACGCCAGAGCCTCTGTATCGGCGGTGAGCTTTCGGACGCGCGTGGAGAGTGTCTCGAGATGCGGGGTGGTGATGGTGGTGGAGGGCGCCGCGGAGCCCATGGTCGGTACGGCGGACATGGGGTGCGGACCCACGAGCATGTTCATGAGGGTCGATAGACGGGACGTCAGGTGGTCCAGGGCTGGAAGTACCGGCTGCAGCGCTGGCTCGGAGATGCCGTCGCTGACGAAGGGGTTCGACGAGCTGGATATTCCCATGGCGGCTTCGATGAGCGCCAGCCGGCCGTCAAATGCTGCCGCGTGGGCCAGGACACCGGCGGAAGAGGCGGGGGCGTCGGGCTGTGTGCTTGTGGAATCGCCAGGGGTGGTAGTGGGGGGTTCGGATGTGGATTGCGATGCTGTTGCTATCTTCTGTGACAATGCTGCTGCCGCCGAGTGCGGCCCGGAGGTACTTCGGGAGGTGTACAGGTTGTCCAATGCGCGACTGAGTTCCAGGACGCCGTCGCCAATGGCCTCCTTTCCACCGGCGGGGGCTTCGGGCGTTTCGGCTTCGGATTCGGTTTTGGACGGTTGCGAGGCCATCTCGGTCTTCAATTCCTCCACTTCCCTGCGAAGGCGCGCGAGCTTCCTCTCCACGCTTTCATCTTCGCTGTCACTGAAGTCTTCCGGTTCCTCGAGCCCGTTTTCCGGTCTCCGGCGCCGCCGGCGGTTCTTGTTTCGGTATGCTTTGCGTTTTAACGCGATGCTGTCGGAGAAATTGACATCACGGGCATCGACCGTGGCGCCGAGGAAGTGGGCGCGCGCCTCGTCCGCGTTGATTCCCTGCCGGTCGATGTCGGAGTTGGAGCCGGTGTCATCTTCTGCGTTGGATGCTGTGCGGATAGTTGTGGGCTGTAGAGCGAGAAGGAAGGAATGAGCGGTTAGGAACAAGAGGAAGGGGAGATTGAAGTCCAGCTCCAGGCAGGGTGGCTAACCGGGATGGTGGAGGCTTCGTCGGTCAGGTCGGGGGTCTCATAGATATCGGGCGCGAGATCCTGAACCAAACAATGGGGTTAGTAGGCCGGGGCGGAGAAGTGGGGGGAGCGGAGAGCGAAAATAGACGGACCAAATCTGGAAGACCAGCATATTTCCGGTTGAAAGACATGGTGAGCTGACCCGTGGCAATTGCGATGGGCGCTTGGAGGCGGCGGAGGAGATGGTTGGGGATGTTTGGTTGCGTCGCCGCATCCCGAGAGGCGCTGGCACGTGCAAGGGGCGCTGCCGCGGCAGCCTGAGGCAGCCTGAGGTAGCCTCGGGCAGCCACGTCAGGGCGGCGGACCTTCCCGTCCTGACAGATGCCGTCACTGTCAGGCACACCCATATAGTGTAATGGACAAGGCCATTGTGCTTCCAGAACAATCTGCAGTGAGGCTATCAGGACCCAAAAACATAATGACCGGACAGGAAATAGTCCGGACCACCAGCAGCCATTGACTGGAAATACTCCGGGTCCGAGATCGCATTGTCAACCTGATCACTCGATCGTACGGAGGGAGTACTGGCAATGACTGCCTCACGTGTCGGAAGCCTCGGCGGAAGCGGCCTGGAAAGGAAGGCAGGCGTATCGTATCACATCTCACACATCACATGAATCCTGATCTATATAAATCCCCCAGCGTGGCTTTCCCCTTCTCTCCTCTTCATCTTCCAATCCATCATCACCCATCCATCCCCACTCATCACCCCCCCCCCTAGAAACCATCTTATCCGAATTACACTACCAACCTACCTACCTCACCCACCCCGCACCCCATCATCATGGCCGCCCCCGCAGATATCACCATCATGAACCTCAATGGAGAATGGACGATGGTATGGTACCACCACACCGCTACCGCCAACCAACCACTACCATCTCCTCCTCCAAACTAACCAACAACATCTACAACAGGATAAATCCCTTTCCAACCCCACAGAGCCGATTCTCGAGCTGGTAAGCCCCCACCAACAACAACAAAAACCAACCCCATAACTCACCCCCTCCCCAAAACAGCAAGGAATGGGCTGGATGATGCGTAAAGCCCTCGGCCTCGCAACCGTAACCCTCTCAATCCACTCGTTCCCGGACGCCGCCGAGCCCAGCGTCCTGCACATCGACATCGACCAGACCGTGACGGGGGGCATCAAAGGCACGACCGAGCGGCGGCTCAGCGACGGCAAGAAGCGCGAGCACCAGGACCACATCTTCGGGAATGTGCGCGGGTGCTCGAAGCTGTTCCGGGGGTCGAAGGGCGAGGATGCTGATGGGAAGGTCCGTCCCTATTTGAAGTTTGACTCGGAGACCGAGGATCCCCTCGTCTTTCGGTTCTTGAGGGGCGAGGTGTTGGCCGATGGGAAGGAGTGTGAGGGGTTTCTGGTTGAGGAGTTGGGTGAGGAGTATGGTGAGGGTGAGGGGCTTTGGTTACAGAGCTTTGTTGAGAATTTGGATGTTGGGTGGACGGCTGAACAGGTTAGTGGGTGTTTTTTTTTTTTTGGTTGTTGTTTTTGGAAATGGGTTCTGACGTTGCATGGGCTTAGATCTGGGGGTTCGAGATCATTGATGGGAAGCGCTACTATACTCGTCGCGTGGCAGTTGTCAAGGATGGCTCCTACAAGTTGGCCCGCTTCGTCTACAGCTACATCAGGCCGAGGGCTGACTGAGGGCTGAGCGTGTGGGAGACGTATGGTTGGATGACTGTGTGTATAAGTAAGAGTGATGGTGATAGAGACCCACAAAATACAGTAGCAGCATCGAGGTTGAGGAGTCGGTATACAGCTTCAGCTGTGACGCCCAGTACCATTTCACACTACAATGCGATTCAGATGTCAACATTATCATAGTCCCTTTCATTAAGCGTATATGCACACGATCCATTGAAAATTGCGAAAGCGCAGAAAAGTACGTTAGTAGCCATGTAAGTGCATGTACATCCAGGGCATAGCATTTGACCTGCCTGCCCAACACCCCGACTCCAGCTGAATTCATTCCCGTTGAGATCCGCCAAGTAAAGATCAGAGTATCATACTGGGAGAGCGCAATGGCAATTTGAAGGAATCAGGTTGAACTAGGTCGCAATGAAACAATAGAAAAATACATAAGTGGTATAGATTCATATCCGCTGCTTTGGTTTTTTATAATTTTTTTTGGTTTGTTTTCCATCTCATAATATCATGAGTGAGTAGGCATGACGGTATGGGCCTTGGTGCTGACGGCATCCTCACTCCGCCACAGGCTGGTCACTGTCTTCTGCTGGGTGTAGAACTGCAGCCCGGGCTTGCCGTAGAAGGTGTTGGCGCCGCCACCGGCGATACTCTTCTTATTACCGGTGAAGGAGAACATGGGCAGCGGGACCGGGATGGGCACGTTGATGCCGACCTGGCCGGCCTCGATGTCCTTCTGGAAGCGGGAGGCGGTCGGGCCGGAGCAGGTGAAGATGGCAGCGCCGTTGCCGTACTCGTTCGCGTTGATGAGATCGATGGCGTCGTCCAAGGTGGGGACGGAGAGGCAAACCAGGACGGGGCCGAAGATTTCCTCCTTGTAGCACTTCATCTCGGGGGTCACGTTCGTGATAATGGTAGGGCCGACCTGGAGAGCGATGATTGGTTAGAGGACATGTGGTGCATGTATTGGGGGTGTGTGAGGGAGTGGTCTTACAAAGTTGCCGTTGGGGTAGTTCTCCGGCTTGTAGCCTCTACCGTCGAGGAGAATTGTGGCGCCCTCCTCTTCGGCGCTGGCGATCAGGTCTTCGATGCGCTTCTTGCTTTCGGGGCTGATGACGGGGCCGAGATCGGCACCCTCTTCGAATCCTCCGTTGACGTTCAGAGCCTTGGCCCGTTCGGCCATCTCCGGAAGCCAGTCCTGAGTCTCGCCAACCGTGACAAGCGTGCTCAGAGCCATGCAGCGCTGGCCAGCAGCACCGAACGCCGCTCCGACGATGGCGTTGAGGGTCTGGTTCTTGTTACAGTCCGGCATCACGGCAGCATGGTTCTTAGCGCCCAGGTTGGCCTGGACACGCTTGCCATTGGCAGAGCCTCGAGTGTAGATGTACTCTCCGGCGCGGTTGCTTCCGACGAAGCTGATGGCCTTGATGGCGGGCTCGTCAAGGATGAAATCGACCGTCTTTGCAGCGCCGTGGACGATGTTGATGACACCATCAGGGAAGCCTGCTTCCTTAGCCAGCTCTGCCAGGATCATCGCCGCTCCGGGGTCCCGCTCGGACGGCTTCATGATGAGACAGTTACCGGTTACGGTAGCGACGGGAATGCACCAAAGGGGGATCATTGCGGGGAAGTCTGCCGGGGTGCGGTTAGCCTCGGGGAACGCAGCTGCGAGCTTGCGTGGCACTGCAGGATCACTCACTGAAAGGACAGATGGCGGCAACCACGCCCAGAGGCTCCCTATAGCTTCTAGTCTCCATATCCTTGGCAACTTCCAATACTTCGCCCGTCAACTGGGTGGTGATGCCGCAGGCGGTTTCGGCGACCTGAAGGCCACGGAGAACGTCACCCTTGGCATCGGCGAAGGTCTTACCTTGCTCAAGCGTGATGGATGCAGCCAGGCGATCCCAGTTCGCGCGAATCAGACTAACAAACTTGAACATGATCTGCTGTTTGGCAATGACACTTGTTGCGCGCCATGCCGGGAAAGCCTTCTCCGCGGACTCCACGGCGGCCCGCAACTCCTCATCGGTGCTTTGCGGGACCCGGGTGATCAGGTTGTTGGTAGCGGGGTCGTGCAGGTCAATCCATGTCGTCGCCTTGGACGAGACGAATTTGTTGTCTAGGAAATTGGCGGTGTCAATGGGGTTGGCAATGGGACGGTGGTCCGTCGGGTATTCGGTGGCGGTGGTAGCCGCAGAGGTGGTTGCGGGGGTGAGCTGCCTGGCTGTGGCGTGGAGTCTGCGGGTGGCCACCAGAGCAGCTGGAGATGCTACCGAGGAAGCAGAGTATGATGGCGACGACAACGAAGACAGGGTGGCAGTCGAGAGACGCCGGGAGGCCGACGCCGCAGCTACTGATCTGGTGGTGGCCACGGCCGTGCGGGGAGAGGCAACGCGGAGAGCGGGGATGGAACGGGCAAGCGACCGACGGGCGGCCATGATGAATATGGGGAGGGGAGAGGGGAGAGGGGAGAAGGGTGGGAGGGATGTAAGAAGCTCTCAATGAATGAGATAGAACAGCAAAGAGGGGGGGATAGCTAGTAGTAGCGGCAGCGGAGGGCAGGGAGGGGGGGCAGGAGGATAAATAGGTTGCGACGAGGCGGGAGTAAGGAAGAGCAAGTATGGATCCGCCCCGGACTGTCCACCACATATCTGGCTCCGAGGCTGCGATAAGTCGATCCCCCTCGGCGCCCCCGGCCAATCACATGGGGACCGGGACTACCTACCGGATTGGGCCAGCTCAGTGGCAGCGCTACGACTAAAGTAGATCGTCAGTAGTCTGTCTACTTAGATCCCCCCGTACTACGGAAATGACAGCTATCTAGATACATGATAGTACATATCTACAGAGAATACTCGTTCACGATCCTGTTACACAATTCTTGAAGTAACGCGATCACTATCCTATCCTCGGGGTTCGTGGCGACTGCTATCCGATATCGCCCCCCAGCGGAGATTCACAAAATTGTGACTTCGGGTCCCGAAAAAAGTCTTGAATTATGAATATGAACTAAATGAACCAATGGCACTTTCTTTCGTAGGCTACTTTACAAGTCTCATTTGCATAGGGCTCTCCTCCTAGGACAAGATGATGGGTGCTGGTATTCATCTGCCCTCACAGGCCCGGTCTGTGTCTGATGCACAACCGCCCCTGCCTTGGACCGCGAATTCAGAATGAATCAATTGATTGAACGCTGCAACAGGTATAAGATTGAAACACAAAGTGGTTGGGGATGTCCCTAGTTTGTTGTTGGTGGTGTCGTTTTTTTTTTTTTTGTCTCCGCCGTTTTCGCTTTTAATCACTTCCCCTCGTTCTGCCCCGTGGAAGGTCTCCCTGGTGACTGCACCTGTTTACGAGCGGGTGTTGCGCTTGGTAGCACCGCCCTTGCCGGTGTCAGCGGAAGAGCTGGTGGCCTCGGACTTCTCCTTGGTGGCTCCGGCGGCCTCCTTGCCCTTCTTGGCGGCAGGAGCGGGGGCCGGGGTGCTGGCGCTGACGGCGCCCACCACGACAAGAACCATCGTGAGGAGCAGAGCAGCCAGACCACCAGCCACATCGGGAACCTGCTTCACGGCGTTGATGGGGTCCTGCTTGGTGAGGTGGACGAAGTTGTTAACCTTCTCCTTGATGTGGGCAATGGGGTCCTCCTTGAAGCTGACGCTGGGCTCGTCGACCTTCTCTTCCGGCTTGGGCTTGTTGGCCTCCTCCTCAGCCAGCTCGATGGGGTGCTTGATGTCGAAGGTCTCGTGGCGCAGCTGCTCAGCATCCTCAACGGAGTGGCCGATGTAGATGTTGTCGAACAGAATGTCGTTCTGCATGGTCCAGATCTCGAAACCAATCTGCATAACGATTAGTGACGGGGACTTCATCTCGGTGGCACATGAGTAGACTTACAGCGCCCATGGGCTCAAAGTTGGAAGGAGTCTTGTCCTCGAAGTAGTCGGGGTTGGCGATCTTGCGAGGAGCCCAGGGTCCCTTGTAGGCCGGGTTCTCGATCAGAGGAGCGGACCACTTGCCCTTGTACTCGGGGTTCTTGATCAGAGGGGCAGACCACGGGCCACACCCGGCAGCCTCCTGGCACTTGGGGTTGGGGACAGTGGGGGGAACCCAGTCACCATCCTCCTCGTCATCCCAGTCCTCGGGCTTCTCAGCCTCCGGGTCGGGAATGCTCGAGGGCTCGTCCTCAAGCCAGTCCTCGGGAATGGTAGCCTCCTCATCCACAATCTCGTAGGGAGCCTCCTCATCCCAGTCCTCAGGCTTCGAAGCCTCGGGGTCGGCGATCTTAGACTCATCCACCCAGTCGGCGGGCTTGCTGTCATTGGGGTCATCGATCTCCTGCTCGGGGTTGACAGCAGGGCTGAAGTCCTCGAGCAAGTTACCCTCCTTGACGGACTCGCCATCAATCAGGATCTGGAAGGTCTGGTCGGGGTTGACGATCAGAGTGTACAAGGAGGTGACCTTGGAGGTACGAGCGGTAGGGGGGGCCTTGAGGTGCTTCTCCTCGTATTCGCCGGTCTTGGGGTTCTTGTGACGGAAGATGAAGTGAACCTAGGGTTTTGTTAGCTGGCGTAGTCCTTACACCCAACAGCGCGCTCGTGTATCGTACCTTGTTGGTGGCACCGCACTTGTCGGGACCGAACATGATCATGTAGGGAGAGGAGTTGGAGAATTCCTCGGCGTGAAGCGCCTTGTTGTCCTGAAGAAGCTTCAGGTAGGCACCACCGCAAACGAGAGAGTCTGAGACAGCACGGTTAAAATTCTGTCGTTGCGAAGCAGTGAGGCGATCCACTTACTCTGCGGCTTAACCTCATACTGGACGACCAGGGTCTTGTCCTTGTTGTCGATCTTCTCGGGGAACTTGGCCGAGATGGCGTGGTGGGCAGCGACGTTCTTGACAACGAGACCCTTGTCGCCCTTAATGCCCTTCAGGACAGTGGGCTCCTCGACGGACCATTCACCAACGTAGGCCCAGTCCTCCTCCGACTTGGAGTCTTCCTTCTGGGCGTGAGAGGGAGTCCACCGGGAGTTCCAATCGTCGGTAAACTGCTCCAGGAACGGGGCTTGAAGGGTGGTGGGCTGGACGCGCGCCGTTAGCAGGGTGCGCAGACGTCGGCCGAACATCGGCCAGAGAGTGTGTACTCACGGTGAAATCAGGCTTGTCGGCGACAGCGGTGGTCTCGGGCTTCTTCTCAGTCTCCTCAGCATGAGCGATGCTCATGATGGAGGCCGAGGAGACCAGGGCAGAAGTCAAAGCAGTGTTAAAACGCATTGTGGATGGCGACCGGCGCTCTTAGACCCGAACGTCGGACAGAGAAAGGAAGGGAAGGGTGGAAATAAACAAAGCGAGGAAGCGCGCGAGCAATTGGACCTCCTGGGGAAGGATGGAGGGCAAGCTCAACGATCAATTAGCTGCACGGGGAAGTGGAAGATGGGTGCGTGTGGGGAGGAAGAAGAGGAGGAGGAAAGCAGCTGGAGGAAGGTTGTTATATAAGAAGACGCAAGGCAATGCATGAAGCTGGGAAGTTCAAGGTGGCCTCTTCCGCCGCCGCTGCTCGTTGGGGTAAAGTCCCGCCTGCCCGATACGGTTAGTCGCGATTCTCCAATGTTCTGCGGGTGCAAAACCGATGCAAATCGATGCAAACCGCGGCTTCCGATTCGGCTGCCTCGTGTTCCGTACGGTAATATTGCATGTCCTGGTGACAGCCTGTATTCTCATTGTGCTCGTTCTCCTTTCAATGCTTTGAAGTCGCATGTGGAATTCCATCCAGCTATCCATCTATCCCCGAATTCTAGCCAGGCCGGTCTCTTTTTGGTCCTTTTCGGTCCCCTTTCCCTCTCTCGTTCCCCCTCAGCTTTCGCAGCCCAGGCACTAGAACACTGGCCGCCGTGCCAGTCCACCAATGACCGGCGATGGCGCGATCACTCCCCCGCTACCTTAATCAACCAAAGGCGTTAGTTGGATCCGAATAATTATTGTTGCTCCTCTTCTTGCTTCCCCTCCCCGCCCGCCTGTCATTTTTTCCTCCTCCTCCTGTCATACCTCGACTGCCTCGCCTGTACGACCCGCAGGCGCCGTCGCTACTCTTCACATCTACATATAGATCTCTCTCTCTCCCATTCAAAGGGTAGAGAAGAAACTCTGCGGGATCTGTCGGATATTCGCGACAGGACAGCGGCCGATCCTCCAAGCTATATCATACGCTGCCTAACAAATCCCACGTCACCATGGCCGAAGAAATCCAAAACGTGAACAATGACCACTTGGTCCAGTCGTCTGACCCTGAGCATCCCGCCAACAAGATCCCTGATCTCTGTCGCCGGTTCTACAACTGGGGTTGGGTCACCGGCACTGGTGGTGGGGTAAGAATTGTCGCACCTCCATAGCAAGCATGGTTTGTGGCTAATTGATCGCATTTGCTCTCGGCAGACTTCCATTCGCCAAGGCAACCATATCTTCATCGCTCCTTCTGGTGTCCAGAAGGAGATGATGCAACCGCACAACATCTTCGTTCTGGAATTCCCGACCCCCAAGTACCCACCCACCGCGCGCAAGTACATCCGCAAGCCGCTTAACCTGAACCCCTCCGCCTGCACCCCGTTGTTCCTGGCGGCTTTCGAGCGCGGTGCTGGCTGCTGCATCCACACCCACTCTCAGTGGGCGGTCCTGGTGACACTCCTGGTGGAGCGCGAGAAGGGTCCCGGTGCTTGCTTTGAGATTAGCAACATCGAGCAGATCAAGGGCATTCCCCGGGGTAAGGGCAAGGGTATGCTGGGCTTCTTCGATACCCTCAAGATCCCGATCATCGAGAACACCGCGTTCGAGGAAGATCTCACGGGCAGCTTGGAGAAGGCAATGGAGGAATACCCCGACACATGCGCCGTCCTGGTGAGGAGACATGGAATGTGAGTGACATTCATTCCCCCTCTTTTTGTCCTTTGCAAGTGATAGAAGGCTAATAATGGCATCTAGTTACGTCTGGGGAGACGATGTCACCAAGGCCAAGACCCAGTGCGAGAGTTTGGATTATCTGTTCCAGCTTGCTGTTGAGATGCACAAGCTTGGCCTTCCTTGGGTGAAATAAGTGCTCTGTAAGTGGGGTCTTCGCTGTGACATTCCAATCCTGGTGTCCTGTGACCCCTGCCTGCGCCGTAGAAGAGTCGCAGTCTGGGGTCTCTTTTTTCCACAAAATATAGTGATGATGACGATATATATGATAGCAATGCACGAATGAATTGCAAAACAGCGGTATTCCTGTGTAGAATGGCAGCAGTGATGCATTGTGACCGGCCCTGGTTTAAAGTAGAATAAGCCCCAGACCAACCTGGCACCACTCCCATGTTTTCGAAGCACTGAGTGACTAGCATCTGAGCCGGTTTGAATTGTCTTGCTGGACTGTAGAATAAATACCACTCAGGCGTTGAGGACCTCCCTTCATCTTGGCGGGGGAACCCTAATCCGTAGTTGGACAACGGCGCGGATCATCGGGCTACGGCAACCTGGTCGCTCCCACTCTCCGACTGCGATCCCTCACCTACCCCGAGCTCTCTGTCCGCTGAGCTGTGTCCTGGACGAATTCCTCTGCTGGATTCTCTTCTTCAATTTTTTCATCTCCTGAAATTCATTGCCAACCTTTCCCATGGATCTCGACGCCGGTGACTCCCCGTGGGGCGGTAAGCAACCAGGCAGTCACGGATACAATCGCATCGTGCTTCCACTAATACAAGTACACAGACGTGCCTTCGCAATCTAGCAGCAGCCGTGATGCCCCACGGTCTGAACTCGAAGAAACCAGTATGGACTCCCGCCTCCTCCCCCCCCCCAACAAACGCATCTCCTCCGCTTGATTGCTTCATTCCCCACACGCTCTAACCCGATGACGATATCCCACAGCTCCCGATCAACCTACACAGCAAGCTAGCTCCGCTGCCCCCCGTTCTCCCGTACGACGAGGCCCCCGAGGCACCCGCAGAATCAATGCGCAGGCAACCAAACTAGAAGCCGTGGATGATTCGTTCGATCCGCTGGGTCCGCTCGGAGACAAGGCGGAGAGTGGCCCCCATGAACAAGCACCTACCCCGCCGCAGAAGGAGGCCTTCTCAGGGCGCAATGTTCGTCCGACATCATCCGCATCCCAAGCATCCAGCGGCACTGGTTTGGCGGATTCCGTGAACCTGGAAGAGGACGGTGCAGGGTTTCGAGGACCCCCGCCGGTACAACTCCCTAGCGATGTGGAAGGGTCGAAACGTCAATCCCAGCCCAGTATCAGTGTGGAAAAGGCTGCGAACCCGACTTTTGACATCACTGTTGGTGATCCGCACAAAGTGGGAGATCTTACCAGCAGTCACATTGTATATCAAGTGAGAACCAAGGTATGTGGCTCCATTCCTGATCTCTGGGATGCTGTTGGGCTCCGCTCATGATCCACATAGACGTCTTCCAAGGCATACCGACAACCCGAATTCACCGTCAGTCGCCGATACCGCGACTTCCTGTGGCTGTATAACTCGATGCACAACAACAACCCCGGTGTTGTGGTCCCCCCTCCCCCGGAGAAGCAGGCGGTAGGCCGATTCGATACGAACTTTGTCGAGACCAGAAGAGCTGCCCTGGAGCGTATGCTGAACAAGATCGCGGCGCACCCTATTCTTCAGCATGACGGCGACCTCAAAATCTTCCTTGAGAGCGAAACGTTCAACATGGACGTCAAGAACAAGGAGAATCGGGAACCAGATCTGGGCCAGAGCAAGGGTATGTTCAGTTCGTTCGGTATCAACGTTGGCGGTGGTGGGAAATTTGTCGAACACGATGATGTAAGTTCTCTGACGCTGGAAGCTGTCGGACTACTGTGCTAATGGCTTTTGACAGTGGTTCCACGACCGGAAGATCTACCTGGATGCTCTGGAGAATCAACTCAAGGCATTGTTGAAGTCCGTTGACACGGTGGTTGCCCAGCGCAAGGGATTGGCCGAAGCTGCAGGTGACTTTTCGGCTTCCCTCCATGCGTTGGCAGCTGTCGAGCTGTCCCCGGCACTTTCTACTCCTCTGGACGGTCTTTCCGACCTGCAGCTGCGCATCAGAGAGCTGTACGAGCGCCAGGCGCAACAGGATGTCCTGACCCTGGGCATTACGATCGATGAGTATCTTCGTCTGATTGGAAGTGTTAAGACGGCCTTCAACCAGCGACAGAAGGCCTTCCACAGCTGGCACGCAGCGGAAGCAGAGATGCAGAAGCGCAAGCACACCCAGGAGAAACTTCTCAGGCAAGGCAAGACCCAGCAGGATCGTCTAACTCAGGTCAATGCCGACGTGGCGGACGCCGAGAGGAAGGTTCACCAGGCGCGGTTGTTGTTCGAAGACATGGGCCGGCTGATGCGAAATGAGCTGCAACGATTCGAGAAGGAGAAGGTCGAGGACTTCAAGTCTGGCGTTGAGACTTTCCTGGAGAGCGCGGTTGAAGCCCAGAAGGAGGTAAGCCAATACAAGCGTACTACACCGGAATCGCTCTACTCGATTGCTAACCTGATTCCGCAGTTGATTGAGCTCTGGGAGACGTTCCTCCTGCAACTCGATGCGGGCGACGAGGGCAATCCCCTATACGCCCCTGCGGGCAGCGATGGTCCCACGCAGCCTGCAGTCGAAGGAACGGCCCCGGCATCCACGGCAGAAGAGGCATAGGCGGCTTTCCCTCTTTTCTCGCTCTGTACAAAAGAAACGCAACGACTCGTTGATGTCCCACCCACTTTCACCCCCACCCTCGTCTACGCGTGTCCCGTTCACTGTTAATTGTCACTCAGTCTACTGTATGATGCGGCGTACAACTGCTTTCCATGTTATGGCGAGTCTTTCCCCAGTATGCAATCGAAACACTTTCTAGCAGCGTCTTGAGATCTTCAATCCTCCTCCACCATGTAGTTCTAATGGATCAGCCTCGTTTGTCCCTACCGACTCCGCACCCCCGGATCATGAATAGAAGACTGTATGCATATGGCCCTGGAGCTGGAACCACCAATGCTGAAACTCCATTCAAATGGTATGATTGTACTGTACATAAAAGAGCCCAACAAGATCTGTATCGTATCACAACATCGAGCGAAAATATGATAAAAAAAAATCAATAGAACCCTTCTAACCCCCTACCCAAACCCAATCCTATCCAATCAATCAATCAATCAATCAATCAATCGGTCCAATTAGTTCTTCTTCTTCGAACCCTGCTCCTCCTGCCCAAACGAACTGATCAAATCCAGCAGATTGTCCTCCTCCTCCTGGGCAGCGGCGGCCTCCGCAGCAGCCGCCGCCTTCTTGCTCTCGGCCGACTCGCCGTCCTTATTATCTGCGTCTTCATTCACAGGCGTGTTCGCATCCCAGATGCGACCGAACTTTGCTCGGAAAGCCGCCAGCCGACCGGCCTCGTCGTCCTCGATGTTCTTCAGCTTGTTTGAAGACGGGTTCCAGAGCAGCGCGTTGCGGGTGTCACGGGTGGTGCGGTAGATTGGGGCGGGAGAGGAGGTACGGTGAGTGAAGGTACTGCCGTCGGTCAGGGTGATCAATTGGGTGAACTGGTAGGGCCGCTTGGGACGGCGGAGGAGCGTAGCATGCCGGCATTGCGAGCAGATGAAGGTTGTGGAGGTCTGGACGCGGGCGGTGGTGGCCGCGCTGCGGCGGAGGGGAGTGCTGAGGGACATGGTCTTGGTTTGGCACCCGGACGAGGAGAATATGTGGCGGAGGATATGGACGGGGCAGAGACGGTGGAATTATTGGGCTGGTTGAAGCGTCCCAAACTGACTGTCGCGGAGGTCAAATTTGGGCGGTCCGCCGCGATTATGTCAGCGTTCCGTGGCTGCCTTTTTCTCGTCGCGCCGCATCTTTCTTCAGCTTCGTCGACCCCCTCCCTCCTGTCGACTGCGTCGTGCGCAGAATGCTCGCCCATTGAGCCCCGAGTGGCCTTCTGTCTGAGTCTTCATGATGACCTTGCTTGGTACCCGTGGCGGCCTTTTCTCGACTTTCCTTCCTGTTCTCTCGCCAGTCCTTCCGTGAGCTGCGAGCTCCGTCTGCTTGCGGGATAATGCTTCCATACTACTCTCGATCCGTGCTCGCCGCCAGTCGGACGGCGGGCCACTTCACGGGTTAGTTGGGTTGAAGATTCCATGTGTTTTCATGGTCGCTTACCTTGCCATATCTCTCTGAAGGACAATGCACACCCATCCTTCGCACCGCTCTCCAGATCGAGCTCCCGCAATCCCGCAGACTGGGCACCAACGTCATTCCAAACGCGAAGACCACCACCACTACCACAGACACTCGGCGCTCCAAGAATGAAACCCCCTGCCTATCCGACCAAATCCGACTCCTAATGAGACGAGTCCCCTACCCTGTCGCCATCATCACAGCCACCGACCCCCACGGGCCACCTGAAAAGGCCTTCCGCGGGATGACCGTCTCCTCGTTCAACACCGTCACCCTCAGCCCGGAACCCGTCATCTCATTCAACGTGCGCCGACCCTCCGAGACCCTGAGCGCCCTCCAATCCTCTACGCGATTCCTTGTCCACCTCCTCGCCCCCCGACAAGCTACCGCATCCCTCGCCCGGGACTTCTCCAAGGGCAACCACAACCTGTCCATCCTGGCCGGGAAGAGCGAATACGAATTCGTCTCACACGCCCCTACACCATCTGGCGACGATGCTCCAAGCAGACCCCTCCCATTGCTGCAGAGAAAAGAGAATACCCGGTCCGCGGACTCGGAGGACTTCCCATTCGTATTCGAGTGTCGACTCCACCCGCAGGGAATCCAGGTGCACGACCATACCATTGTCGTGGGGACGGTTGTTCGAGCTCTTTCGGGCTCGCTATCCAACCTGGACGCGGATACCAAGGCCGCAGACCTTTGTCTGACGTATGCTAATACCCGGTTCTGGGAAATGGGTCATGAGATCTGAGATACTTATCCTATCTTCTTCCTTGGTTCCGTCGGACATCATCATCTTCGTGAGGACTGAACATCCATCTCACGCGTATATACCACTACCTACTACATTCTTGACTCTTGCATCGGGTGATAGATCCTCACACCATCAATATGAGTTGCTGAGTCGGTTCAGCGGCCCTTGTACAGTACACCTCACAAACACCACACTACATCACATCACATCACACACATTACACTCCATGCATTCTACTATGAGATATGTCATTTGGTAATAACGTCTCTCTCTCTCTCTGTTTGTATATAGAATCTCCCATAGATAAGAAGAAACGTCTACCACAACCATCACATTCAAATCGAGCTACCCATACCTATTAGTGTAATGTACGGAGTAGATAGATAGTACGTCACTTACCTGCTACTTACCTACTGCAACTGCGCTAAGACATGTCCATATCCATCTATACCTCATCGCCAGGTATACTGATCGAGTCACATCACGTCACATACCTAGAAACAACCACCCGACAGCAACAGCTACAGGATACGCATCATACTCTCTAGCTCTAGTAGTAGCACGCAGCGACACGACACTCACCCAAGGACAGTACTGTACTGTACTGTCTGGCCTAGCCTAGACTAGACTAGTTCTAGACTAGTTCAGTCTAGTCTAGTCTACTAAGTCTACTAAGTAAGTCTAATCCAGTCATGCAGACTATCTATCTTGTAGTTACCTACAGATTATTACAGCAAACACGTAGCTACACACTATCTACGCCGCATCAGAACCAAAGCTTTCGGCACATTATGAATAAGATCTACCTAGGTCATGACACAAGAATTGTCCGTTCATAGGCGGCGGGGGAGGGGGGCGATGATGGGATGATGGGATGATTGGATGATTGGATACCAGGCACGTACGTAGTCAGGAAAACGGCCGCGTAAGAAAATGCCGGTCTGGGCTGTTCTGGTCTGTGCATGATGTCTGTCTAGTAGTCCAAAGAACCCGATGCAGGGAACCCGATGCAGGGGAGAGAAAAATGCCACACACACACATACACACACACAAACTTTCAATGTCATGTCCGAAGGTTGGATAATTCACTACTACACACAAGAAACCGGGACCACTTGCAACCAGGACCACATCGGATGGATGGATAGATGTCTTGAGTTACCTCAAAAAATAAAAAAAAAACAAAACTACTATTTCTCCATGGCCTAGTGGCCCTTAGCACCTGCCGAGCTGGGGCTGCCACTTCCGCTACCGCTTCCGCCGCTACCATTGCTTCCACTTCCGCTGCCACGGCTCCCTGCCCGCTGGAACGGGCTGGAGGTGGTAGGTCTCATGATTGGGTTGGGGGTGGTGCCTTCGGAGCCGGAATTCCCCTGCTTCTCGATGACGGTGTCGGAAAGATCGAGTTGGAAGGGTCCGCGCCGGTTAGGGTCCAGGAATTCGGTGCCATAGCCACTGCTCCGCGCGGACCGGTTGGAGAACGACCGGTCACGGTAGGTGAAATCCGTATCGAAGTAGTTGCCGGCGTTACCGAGCGGAGAGGTCGGGAAGTGTTGCAGGTACAAAGGCGGCTGGTCCGGGCTGGTCGGGTGAGACGACGAAGTCGCACCAACAGGAGACGAAGTGTGCTGCAGCGGACTGGACTTCAGCGACGGGAAGCTGAGCCCCAGAAGCGATCTGGTGCTGGGCGCGGCGGTGGCCAGTGCTCCAAGAGACATGCTAGGCGCCTCGGTCAGAGGGTTGGTGCCGGGCAGGTTCCCTTCGGGAGTAAGCGGGGCAGAATCCAAGAGCATCTGCTGCTGCTGTTGCTGAATGGCCTGCTCGATAGCAGCCGCTTGTTGCCACAGCTGGGTGGTGCGCAACTGGTACTCCTGAACGGACTGGCTGATGCTTGCAAACTGATCGTTGAAGCTAACCTCCAGTTTCGCCTGGTCTTGCTCCCTGGCGAACTGTTCCGCAGCACGACGCTCCCGCTCATTGAGACCTTGCGCGTTCGCAGAGACGATCCGCTCGTATTGCTCGTTGACCCTGGTGCGGCGACCCTGGAGGCGTTCTTTTCTCTGCACGGCAGAGCTCAGCTCAGACTCCAGGGAAGACACCTCACGAGCAGCAGCGGACCGCGCATCGACCAGCTCCTCCTTGGCAAGGTTAAGCTGTTCCAACTCTTTCTCAAATTCGGCTTTCTGAGTCGACCATTCCTCCAGTTCCTCCTCCGGAATGTTCTCTAGGCTGTCAAGTTGGTTTTCGAGCGCGGCTGTGGCTTCTTCGGTTTGCTTGATGTTCCTTTCTAGCTGCAAAGAGCGTTGCTTTTGTCGGTTCTCATCAGTACCACTCTGCAGACGATGGTTGTAGTTATCCAGCTCCTTCCTGATTTTGGATATGACGAGTTTGTGGTCGTTTTTGGCCTTCCTTAACCGGGAACGCTTCTCGTTCAGCTTCACCTCGGCGTTGACGATCGAGTTCTTCAGCGTGGTGGTCGGTGACGACGGGCGATAGGACGGTTGCGGAGGAGTAGGGACTGAGGAGACTAGTGGTGGCAAACATGAGACAGCCGCCTTTGACGAATTCAAGGACAGACGAGTCGTGCCCTTACCTTGTTCCGCGTCAGTTGCAGCGGGAGTCTTGACGCTCATGACGCAAATCTCTTCATCCGTATCACTTCGCATGAAGGAGCAAGTGTAGGCGCAGTTTGGGGCAAGTCCAGACACTTCGCCCCGCCAGTGTACCGTATTTGATCCTTTTGGCGCATCCTGTGCCTTGATGATCGTTGCAGTCGCCCACAGCGCACCATTGACACAAACATAGAACGGTTCCGTTTCTTCACTTCCCAGACGGCCAGCTTCGCATGCCCCGGAAAGCGTAGGGTCATCGAGTGAGGCGAGATCACCAGCGGCGAATTTGATCGTAGAGCTATCGATTTCGGTTATCCAAACAAGTCCATCATCCAACGAAACACCCTGAAGGTCTTCCTCTGTCATCATGAGACCTCTTCCAGTTTTGTTCAACGCCCTTGAATGCTCATACTCCCTCATCACCGTCACCTTCGTGCTCGCGAGCGCGGCCCAAAACGGTTGACGGCTCCGGACCTGATTTGCCTGCCTTCTGCGTTTCTTTGCCGAAACTAGTCTATCCCTGCCATCCTTGTTCGCGGGCGTGACAATCTGGCCATCGGCGCCGATATAAGAAGAGACGCTGGCTCCCGACTCAAACGCGGAATCGATTTGTGTCTGCGAGCCGGCAGACGCTTCGGTATCGACGCGCTTGCCATTCCGAGGTGGGGCTGGGGACCGGTTTTTCGCCATCGACCTTCTCGCCATAGCAGTGCCTGCTTGAGCCAAGATGTGAACCGCAAGAAGACTGCGCATCCAGCTTGGAGAGCTCTGTGGTTCTGTGCGCCGAAACTCGGGTGGCATGAGATGCGAGTATTGCGATAAGAAATCGGGGGTGACGATTTTCGCGGAGAGCAGGTGACCTATAACGAAATCCTGTATACCTTTACTGCGGAGAAGATGTAATACGAGAACGATGCCAACGCAAAGGGCATTGACCCCTCCATTTTTACCCGACCCTCCTCCGCCCAGGGTGATAGCAACCTGGACGTGAGCCAGATCGAGGGCGAAGTTCTGCGCCCAAGTCCACATAAAAAGACCCCAAAACAGAAGGCAGAACCCATCCATCGCTATCATTGTACCGAGAGACGGCGTTCCGGCAGGGCCCTGGAAGATGTCGAAGTTGGAGGTCAAGGAACCAGCAGACGCACCGCTAGGAGGCATGAAGGTCAGGGAGGCGAACAAGAACTGAACCAAAGTGAGAACCATAGGCGGCAGCTGCAGAAGAAATATCAGAATGGCGATCGTGTCGTACATGGGGCAAGACTTGAGGATAGTCGAGGCCAGCTGGAGTGGGTTGACAGAGGCGCTGGAAGCCGACCTCTTGGAGCCGGTCGCCGACTTCTCCGTCCGACGCGCTGCCTGCCCGGCAAGTGCACCGTTCTGCGGGGCGGCGCCATTTGTCTGTCCATAAGACATGTCCACGTTGCCCTTAGCATACCCGTTTAGTGAGCCGCGTCCGTTGCCATCCGCCTTGGAGCTGTCCGCCGTGCCGTTGGCCTTGGTTGCCGTGGATGCCGACGAGGTTATTGCCGAGTCGCTGGAAGAGCGAGATGCGGGCCAGTCGACTTGAGTGGAAGGACCAGAGTTCGGGGTAGAGGCGCCGTTGGAGTTCCCATTCAGATTCCCATTGGACTTTTGCTTGTTCACTTTCTTTCCGGGACCGACGAGGCCATTCTCATGCCGATTGCTGTGACTCTTCCTAGCCGTGGCCGATGAACGTGGCATGGACGAGGGAGCCTAACACCCAGGTCCGAGTCAGCTTGGCAGGGAGGAGCCAAGGACTTGGACCAGGCGAGAATTGAGGACGAAGACAGCGTTAAAGAGGCGGGAGGGTTGGAGAGGAAGGGGGTGTGGGTGAGAGGATAGGAAAGGGAGGGGAGATAAACCCAGGAAGCGTGCGGGAAAAAGGAATGACAGGAGGGGACAGAAAGTCGGGTAAAGCAAAGACTAGGATGAGAAAAGGAAAGTCAGAACGAATCGGATTGGATATGGGGAAGGGGAGGGGGGAGGGTGAGTAAGAGAGGGTGGCGGGGGGAGAGAAAGAGAAGGGAAAAATGAATGAGGTTTGGTAGACTTTTGGGTCTGGATAGACGAGGCGGGAAAAAGACGAAACGAAAAGGTTGGAACGGATCGTCAGAGGGAAACCACCAAGGCAGCAAGGCGGCCGCGCCCGGGCGATACTGATACAATACGGGATTACCCTCGATGCTGGCCTCAGGCTCTAGAAGTCTCTCAGCTGAGCAGCGCAGAACCGCCGCCGCATCGGCCCATCCCCGGCCTGTCATGTCACGGTATGTATCGAGACCGTCCCCGGTCTGGTACCGTACATACATATGTATCTAAGTAACATGACGTACTGTCCACAGCGCTGGCTTCCGGTTGGCTGCTGGCCATTCAGATTCATTCTTGGACTGATTTTTGGGGTGATCTCAAGCTTAGGATAGGCCCAGCCACGGAGATCGCAGATGACAGAAGAGCAGTGTGCTGCACCAAAATACAGATGAGCGAGCGGAGGTTCCATGGTCCGGGTGGTCTTGATTTACTGTCGATTAGTTACAGGAGAGATTGACACCTGGCGCTTCAGCCACATCACTCGGGAGTAAGCTTGCTTCAAAACAAGACAAGAATCAAGGCAACTGACTTGATGCCTCCGTATGGGGCTAGATACATACTAAAAGCTGCTTCCTTTGGACGCTAGCTGTGTGCTTGCTTCGACAGCTCCACTGGCCGGGATCTAAGCCTCCTGTCAATCTCACGCTTTCCAGAGACAACCTGGAATGCAGTCAGTGCATATCCAGCCTTCTTCCAGCAGCACTCGAAGAAGCTAGAATGAACCCTCTCCGAACAAGTTAAGGATCGCTATTTTAACCAATATATCATGTAAAATGGCGGCACGCCCATACCTCTTACCGATTGCCGTGAATGGCCGTCACATCCCTCGCTCGTCCTAACTGATCCGTGGACTGATGGCTGCTGGAAGACTAGGCTCGCGAGTCGGGTGGTCTACGTGTTCAGTCTGGCCTTACCTGCGATGCTGGTATCTTTGATAGGCCCGTGGATTCCCATGCTCATTTACCCCTCCTTCACACGCAGCCACCCTACATATCACGTCTTCTCCGCTGGCTATTGACAAGACCGGGGGCGTCTTGATCGGGTCATCCAGGATAAGGACCTAACTAGACAGGCCGATCCGACGATCCCATCCTCCATGGGCTGGCTATCTGCTGATTGTTAGTCTGTATGTCAACTACCCCATACTCCATACTCCCTGCAGAGAGATACGGTGAGCGGGCTAGCTTCAAATCTCGTCATCCGCAGCATGGCAGGAACACGGTCCGTCCCATATACTTGAAGCCGGCTTCGATCTTCCCGACGGGAGTTATACTCCCAGGAGTCTGCTCGGTATATCAAGCAAATGTCGCTCTGGCCTTTTCTAGCCTGTGGCACGCGGATCAAGATAAGCATATCCTCACACCCGGATGATAGGGTCTGGTCGCCGAATTGTCAGTTGACACTTGCATGGCGAGTGTTACAGCTGATAGACGGTTATCTGTAATGCTCATACATGCCAAGTCCGGCAAGATGGGCATGTATGTACATCTGTAAGGAGAACAATGTTGTGCCATTGGCTTCCTACCTTACTCGAGAGGGAGCCAGTCAGGGCTCCCAAAGGGAGTACATCTCTTGCGGTCGTAAGACTCTCAATGCCATTGTCATCATGGGAAATCGTACATCGTCCCTCGGACAATTATCATCGCAACCCACAATGTTGTGTCAGGTAGCTAAGAGATTAGATAAGCCCGTATTCGCACGTAATTCTTTACATACCTAAATATAGACTGTATTGTAATGTATACCGATACGGTAATTCACCGAGAGATCTCCTCCGACGCAGGTAAAATCATCTTGTAAGTACGGAGTGCTCGCCCTTTTTCCTAACGGCGAGATGTCACCTAGCTCAGTGGCCCGTCGACAGGGCTTGTCCACATGCCGTACGTCAGGCTGGATGCCGCATGGCAGGCAAAGGATCGTGATCTGGCTCTGCTGTGGGAAGTTGGCCGCCGACAAGAAGAAGGATCGACTAGCCTTGGAATCGGATGGATGATCGACCAGTTCTGCCCTAAAGTGGACAGTCGCGTCGAAAGGGTTTGCCGGTCTTGCCCCGCAAGTCTTGTCAGATGATGCCAGGATTATTATCCCGTCTCTTCTGTCGCTGTTGTGGGCGGTCACGATTGGGCGTTGGACCCTTGATCGTGCAGTAATACAGGGAAGACCCTGAAGAAGATATCTATCTACCTGTCCTACTCGATGTCATCATCCAGGACGGTAACAACGGTACACCAGGGTAGCACCATTCTGAAACTCTACTACGTTTGAAGAACCCGGGCGCTGGAACCGATACCGATCCGGAAAAGCTTCCGAACAGCGACAACGACTAAGGGTCTGGAAAGTCTGGAAGATGGCTCTGTGGCGCAAAAGAAAAGGGCGGGTCAAGCCGTGACGAACCAACATTTGGCAACGGTAAATCCGTGGCAACCACCACCTTTTTTGTTACCACTGCAATAATAATATGAGCCGGGATCGAGTCACCCGATGAAGCAGCAATATGACTTCTTTATCGCCCTGTGTTTCCAAAGTCGGAAGATCACGGAAGAATCTTATTTTTTTTTTTTTCTTTTTGCGATTTCATAATGCCATCTGACTACTGTCGTGCATTATCTTTCCTGTGAGCGAACACTAGTAGGTACCTAGAGCATGCATCACATGGCAGTGTATACATACAGCAAGTAAGTAAGTTATGGTTATCTGCTGCCGACGCCCGAGCCGAACCAGCGGCTCTCTTCCATCAAGCTTGACTTCCCGACTTCTAGAACATGGAATCCATGCTGTGGCATCGACAAAGGATTGAGAAGTAGATTTGACTACTATTTCTAGTTGGTAAACCCACACCATGCCTCAATTCTGCCTCCAATCTTTCCCCCCAGTTGCAAGTTGCTTCGACGCTGTTGATTACCGCGATCTACTCCCCAGCACCATTGCAGCCGCAATATGAATCTTGAGAATATACAGAATATATGCAATGAACCAGCATTCGTTTTGCACATACACCCAGGTCAGCTAAATGGTAGTCGTTTTTTCGAATATCCAAGGATCCGAGGGTACTGTCACTTTGCCCCCTTTGTGGATCTTAGAGGTAGTAAGACGATGCGCCACACAATTCCATCATCTTCAAAATAATTAATGCGAATGGCTGTTCTTCCATTAGCAAGAGAGGTCTAGATTAACTATCTGAGAACTGTCTGAGCAAGACTTACATTTCTGATACTGGTTGCCTTTCAGACAGTCAAAAAAATCGATGTCATTAATTCGCAAGTCGGATGTCATTTTGAACAGCTCGGACAACCACGTGCCTGTCGTCATCAGTCGCTCCTGGGGGGTTCCAGGTTGTTCACAAACCTTCCATGGAAGCTACCGCTTTGGTGCTGGTCGTTTCTGGTGAAAGACAACCAATAACTACCCTGCCCTACTAGAGTGGAATTCGTCTTGGGTATCGTTGCCCTGAGCGAGGACTTGATAACATGTCAAATGACACGGCCGATGGAGCAGTCTCCAGCCGAACTTTTTTACCTTTGACTAGGCTTGGCCACATGGAGGGGGGGGGGAATCTCGCACACATGCCACCGACTTTTCATATTCATCCTCTCCAAAAGAGCAACATCCTTACAACTACATCCAGGGATCTAAGAACATACTGGCCGCTTCAAACACCCTACCCTTATCTATGCTCGTCGAAAAGATCATGCAGGCTATTCCGCCCAGGAAACATCTTGAAATTAAAAACGTGGATAGAGACGCCCGTATCTGTACCGATCCTATATCCAGATACGTTCGATCGCTTTACCCCGAGGACCTAAGGTAGGTAGATAGGTACACTGAATTGTCTTGTGTGACAGTTATCAAACTCCCGCTCGAGTCATTTGCAATCACTTGCACAATTTCTACAATGAAACTCACCAATCGAAAGGAGCAATCTGGTACGGCACGTATACAACGAGAAGACCTTGTGCCCATGACTCTGTTTCCAACATGATATCCAGCCTCGAAGACCTAAGCCAGCAAGATCATATCATAAGGAAGCACAGGTATCCCAATACCCTATCGTAGGCGAATAAATCTTTCCAGGAAAGACATACGATCCCTACTTGCTTACACTACACACTAAAAGAGAAAAGCAAGGGGAAAGGCTGTCTACCCAACCAATCAATACATTTCAAGAAATACTCCGTATATGTCTAGGTAGGTGTGATTCCCCAGAAATCTTGCGCGGCTGTACCAGCTACATGATCGGCACCCCCTTTCGACGATCTCAGATGAGGGGGTTCATGATCTTCTTACAGTAGTCCGCATGACTATCTATCGAGTATGGTGATAAGATAGGTATCATCGATGGGAGTGGCATGTCTGGGTACTCCGTATATACAATCCACAAAGAACCTCGGACTCTGCGGAAAGATGGATAGCTGAAGGCCCGCTCTTTTCCAGACTTGGATCGTGCCGAGGTATGGAGCTGAATGAGTGGGTATATCTAGTAGATAGAGGCAAGCTTTGCTTGGCTCGGAAGGAACACCGCCACCAAAGTGACTCGGGGAATGGCCAGAGGTTGGAACGACTCGTCTTGTTACGGGTATCGTACATGGTTCCGTTCTGTGTCTTACCCGTAAGGCTCATACAGTAAGTAGTAGATGAAGCTGCTCTGAATGAGTGCCCGGCGCCCGATATTCTACACATTGTTAACGTGATGTACCTGTAAGAATAATGCGACATTGTGTGAAAGCAATAGGAACCAGCCCACTGCGTCATTTCTTCGCAGATCCTGTATCCTCCACCGCGTCCTCTCGATCCCAACTCCCCGTCTCTAATGCCCGGACCCTCGTTTCGATATCGACAATCAACCGTCTCCAGAGACTCTTGGCTTGCTCTTGAAGTTCCCACGTAGACTTAAACTGCTCCAAGAGAAACGGTGGCAGCGCTATCTTTTTCTTCATCTTGTAATCATACGTAACCAAGTCCTCGTAGACGCGGGCAGCGGGTCGCTGACGAGCTTCGGAGAGTATGACGGCGTGAAGATGGAACCCATGCTGAGGTGCTTCGGGGGAGACCGGATCGTGTACTAACTTGTGATAAACTGTGACTTTATCGGGGTAGGTCATGGGCTGCGGGGAGAGACGAATTGTTAGCAATTCCTCTCATCTCAGTTGACAAGAGATCTCATACGAATTTGTAGTCAAGCTTGATGCTTCGGACTATAAGCCCAATTCCCTTCGAGCTAACGAGCTTCATCCACTCCTTTCTATGCGCCGGATCTATATGTAAAGCGAAGTTGCGGGTGTAGTATACTCGGGCCGTCTCCGCATATCGGGAGTATGTGACGTTGTTGACATGTCCTAAACGAGCGCGCATGAACGTCAGAGACTGTGCCTTGGTCGAGAGTTCCTAATTATGGGGGGGCTGATATACCCTTGAGTTGCCAGTTAGCCGAATACACTTAACTCTGGGGCATTATCCGTTGTCTTACCATGCTGTCCTGTTCGACACAAGATGCGTACATTAGCATCCATGCACACTGCCATATCCTAAGGTTTTATGCGCGACTGGTGTATACCATACCATCTCTCCCCACGCGACACTTTGCTGGAAAAGGCCTCTTCTCGTCTCATCTGTCAGATACCCTTCGCTACCGGCAATTAATTCCCGCCAGTCCTTTGCAATTAGCTGCAGGATTTCCCCGGCTTCTTGGATCTGGGGCGGCTGCAAACCGAACATCATGCATCGACCGATTCTTCGCTTGGTCATGGTAAGCCATTGGGGGTCAATGCCGTGGAGCTTCTTCCGCGTTGCTCCTGGATCGGAGGAAGGGGCATTTAGCGATGGTTTCGAAGCGGAGAAGGGACGGGTGCTGAGGATTAAGGATTGAGCAGGCCGAGCTGCAGTAAGACACTGCCTCCTCAATGTGCGTAAGGGTATCATTGTCGGGTGTTATGTGCAGATGGTGGTTGTTGATGGTCTGGAGGATGATGGCGAGTGCTCCGCGCCCATGAGCTCATTCCCGCTAGTTCTCCGGCTCCGCTAACCCCGCGCACTCCTTCCTGCCGCGGCGGGAAGGTGCGGCCAGCCACGAACTTATTGCACTGCGCATGGGGAACAATTACTCATATGGTAGAGGATAACAGTTTCTTCATCAATGTGTCTTTTTTTCGAGCGATCGGCAGGCAATTGACACCCAAGAGTGTTTGGTGTCTCGTACATGTCCGTTCTAACTACGTTCGGAGAAAAAGTATATACTATACTAGTAACATGAAACTAAGGAGGATCGCTACTCTGTATTCCTCAGTACAAATCCTAACTTTGCAGTGTCATGATCCAACAGTGTAGATTATTGTGTATTTAATCAACTTAGCCCCCTTTCCTTACATACATTTTGAATGGACACATACAAACATACCTTAAGTATAACCCAGGTCCGATGGAATAGCCAGTACTATCCGCCGGAAGCTCCGGCGGCCTCGCCCGAGGCAAACAATGGCCGTGCGACGTCACCGATAGACAAACAACTTCCTTCCCACAATCCGCCTCAACTCTTCCTCGCCTTCTTCCCACAAGAGCCTTCCTCCCACTTTACCAATCATTATGCCCAACCCGGAACTTCGCGCACAGGTGATCAATATCTACAAGGGTATGTGCCCGGATCTCTTCATACTTCTAATGGTTCCTGAATCAGCTCCACGAACCTCGGGGGTTTCCTTTACACCCAGCTAATAATTATCCGTTGACGAAAGAACTCCTTTTCCTTGGTCGCAACTACCCACTGGGATATGACTACTTTCGGAACAGGCTACACAAGGCGTTTTCCAGCCAGGCACATCTGGAGAACGAGGAGCAGATACGGAAGGGCATCGCAAGGGCGGAGTTTGTCAAGAAAGGTATGTCGGTTGTTCTCAAAGAGGTTGCAGATGTCTAATGATTGGGGCCATCCTACAGAGGTCGAAGCACTGTGAGTCACCCTGCACTTTAACTACCTGCACTCTGCAGCCTCTGTCAATACGATGCATGACTGCCGGTAAATGCCAATAACCCGTGACAACTTGTCTATTGGCAAAGAGGGCCTGGGACAACGTCCAATCCTAGGCATGTTTACGTCTATTCATCCTACGGACTCCCTTGAAACCGATTGCACTCCGATATTTGTCATACCATGATCGTTAAAAAAAACACACACCCTCGATAAGGTCAATGTCGATACTGATGGAAAATGCGCAGGTACTATCTCAAGCGATATCGCACGTTGAAACAGCGCTATGAAAATAAATAACGTCGGCCGTCCATATGGTCGTGGAGCCTTATCAACACGGTCTCAAGAAGATTACACAGAAAATAAAGTGAAATTGAAAGGAAAAATGGGGGTATCACCAATATGAGAGAGCAATGGTCACGACGCTTTTCGTGTCTTCCCTTCCCTCTTTCGCCAGAACACCAACCATCGAGTTCATAACTTCCACGTCGGCAGGGGCTCATTTTTTTCGACCCCACCACGCACTTACTTCCAGACACTCCCCGTTCGCGAGGCTTCCTTTCTGGAACAGATCGGCGATCATGGCAGCCCACCACCGGTCCCATTCGTCTCTGCTCTTCCCACTGGCTTCCATGAGTATAGGTTCCATGCCTTCAATCATCTGAATCACCGTCAACAGGGCTGTGCTCCTAATAGACAGTTGATCGGCAGTCAATTGTCTGCGCGTGCCGCCGCTCGAATCCTTCCCGTGTCCTTCCCGTTCCCACCGTAGCTCGCCTAGCGGAATAGCAATGCGACGACTGTCCACGTTCTCCAGAAGATCTACCTCTGAGTTGAAGGACAGACCGATCGTGGCGCACGGCAGCGCTGTCAATTTGCGACGGTCGAAAGCCTTTTCGACCCAGGAGTTGTAGTCTTGAAAGAATTTGTTCTGGACTCTTGTGAATGGGGTAGCGGACGAAAAGGTGTACGTTGCGGTCGCATCGGCGGTCTCCTGTTCCTTCGACGCTAATTTGCGAGCGGGCGCAGGATTGGGGAGCAAAGATCGGAACACCCAGTCGGAATCCCAGACTTCCAGGATCCCGCCGGATTTGAGGACCCTCAAAGGTTCACTTAAGCCGGATGCCTGCTGGGCCGGGCTGGACGGGCACATTCCCGCATCCTTAATGAACACAAAATCGAAATAATCGTCCGGGAAGGGCAGGCGGGGTTTTCGGAGGTCGTGTCGACGGAACTGCCAGTGCACACCCTTTTTGCGCAGATCGGGTGCGACAGAGACGACGTCGATACCATGGAAAGAGACGTTACGATGGCCGCGACGGGCGAAATATTCGTGGCTCAGGCTGGACCACAGGCCCGAACCGCACGCGATCTCCAGAACCCGCTTGGGGGGTCGGTCGGCCAGGTAGGGGTTGCAGAATGGCCCTCCATACACGCGCATGAGCATGAGCGATCGCAGGGTCTGGCGATGTATCTCGGAGAGATCGCAGGGGAGGGGATAGAGACTCTCTGGGTCTCTGAGATATGTGCGATCACCCTGACGGATCAGGGGAAAGTTCGAGTAATCATTGAGGGAGTTTAGGGAGGAGGTCGACGTCGCGGCGAGGGTTGGACCGTTGGAGCTGATAGTCGAGTGATGATCAGAGCCTGAAGCTGCGGCGGGAGCGAAAGCCGCATTCCCAGCTGACATCATATCCATTTCGACAGCAAGGAGATTGGGTTCTCATCGATCAGCTTGTGCGAGCAACAGTGGTTTGCATCCTCGCATACGAGGATGGCAGCGCAGATCGGTCACGGGCTGGGGAGGGACTCGATTATTATGGACATGGTACTGTAAATTGAGACGGAAAGCGTAAGACGAGGTGAAACAAGCGCGAGTCGGGGTGGCGGGGGGGGGGGAGGGCAGCTTGAATACAGTTCTGAGGCGGACTCGACCCATGGGAGAAGAGACGGAGGAGTAGAGACGGAGGAGGGAGGAGGAGTAGGATGGAGGAGGGGGGGGGGGGGCAAAAACCACATCGTGACCGAAAATGAAATGAAATCGCCCCGGCTCGATTAAATGAACCCCCCTTAGGGTCACTCCACTATGACTGTGACTGCCTTCTCCCACGACTAATCATCTGACGGCATTCTGGCCAGTGCCCCCGATGGAATGGATTATTCTTAGTCTAGCCAACCTTCCATTGTTTTTTGCCCTTTTCCCCTCTTGTGGTTGTGGTAGTACAAAAATGTCGCTGCCGAACGACTCCGGACGGAAACGAACAACGAACGATGCGGCGGATTATTGCGGTGGCGGAAACACAGCATCCACTGCTGCAGTCAACAACAATGCCAACGTTAACCGGCCTGCATCAGGACCTGCTGATCCGATACCAGTCAGAGGGCTCGGACTAGTTACTGGACAAAGTACTGTCTTCTGCTTGGAGCCTTGGCAGCTGGGGTCACGATCAGCCTCTTCCAGTTCCAGCTATGGATGGACGTACGGTATCTGTCTACGGAGTATCTTACGGGGTATATCTGTAGGTCATTATTGTCACGATTGAATCCTTCAGGCTCTGATCTCTCCCACTCCGAAACCGTACCGGGGGGGGGAGGGGGGGATGATGAGACTAACTACCAGATACTAATTACTCAGACTCCTCCGTATCCCGTATCCCCAGTCCAATTGAGTGGTCTCGGCTACCCACCATCCAAATCCGGGCCCTTGCCTGAAACTGAATGGCCGGTCCGGCAGGTTCAAGGTCGCAGCGAAGAAACCGCCAGCCATGGTTCTAGTTGCAACCAAGATGCGACCGATCAAGCTACCAACGAACTGATAACGATAACCACCAATTGTGAAACCGGGTACGGAGTACAAAGTACCTTATGTCCACCTTCGTCCGCCTTCGCTTCCCTGCTTCATCCCCCTCCTCCGAGTCCTTCAAGGTTTCCAAATCCACGGGTCGCCCGCCCTAGTATTAATGTCTAACGCCCGCCCGAATAACCCGTCCACTCAAGCAGTAGATAGATACCGGGTACGGAGTACTCGGTAGAACATCCAGGGACTGGTGACATGCATAAACGGGGGATGTCCATGTCAGTCAGCCAGTCAATCAGTCTCCTGATCTGTGATATCGGCGGACCCCCGGGATGCCATGCCATTCATTCCCTGCCCGCCTTGCGACGGAATCCGTCCGTTAGACTAAGGGGGGGCCGGGAAAAAAAATAGAACACATTTGAGGTTTCGGAAGATCCTGGGGGCTAGCCTAGTTCGAGACCCAGCCAGGCCTTGTATCTATCTATCTATCTATCTATCTATCTAGGCTCTAAGGTTACGTTGAAGGAAGGAAGGAAGGGAAGGAACCTCACCGACCATCTAGATAGATAGTATCTACTCGACGACTCCTTGACATCATGATTGTTGCCGTTGACGACTTAGTTTACAGTACGGAGTCTACGGAGTCTACCACGGAGTACGGAGTGCCTAAGGTAAGGTACCTAATGGAGTGTGGATCTGAAGAAAGACGGAGCAGCCGATGCGGCCATCGAATCGTCGATTATTATTCATTCAGAACCAACCCAATTTGCGCCGACTCGGAGGGGAGGGACAAAAACGAATTTTTTTTTAAAAAAAAAAAAATTAAGCAATTAAGGGATGACGAGGACGAGGCCAGATCGGTCCATTTATTTAAAAAAAATCTTGGCTGGTCATATTAAGGACATAGGTAGCCGTAGGTAGCTGTAGGTAATCTATCATTTATTTATTTTGCCTATTGCCTTTATTGTCAAGGAAGGAGGTGCTCTCTACCGGTAGTTAACTTTAACTATCTTAGTATCTATCACCCCAAGTGTTATTTCGGAGCATCTACATAGTGAACACTACTCCTGTATAGCACTGTAGGGAGGGGGAAAATAACATCAATCAGGATCTTCCTATTTCTCCAACCCTCCGTCCCCGTCCGGCATCCATGACCCAACTCCCAGGATGATTATGCATGCCGGGGACCACTCCGGGCCTGAAAAGACACGTGCTGGCACGGGTCACTTGTTGCCCTGTCAGTGTCAGGGTTTTTTTTGTCTCAACGGTCCAGCCGGTCAGAGTCTCGGTCCAGTCGCTACGGATCAGAAATCATAAAATAGGCTACAAAGTATCTAAGTAGACAGATAGTGCTCCGTCGGCGACTCGGCAGCCAGCCACGGCGCTTTAACTGTTAGCAGCCGTCTCCCGAGCTGCCGTCTTGTGGGCACTGAGTGTAGATAGTTAACTACTGTGTTGCGATTGACTAATCGGATGTAGTTAGTAAGTTGGAACTGCCTCCTTCGGTGGTCCTTCTGGTGTCTCTTCTTCTAGCCATCCCCCCCTTTTTTTTTGGGATGCACGGCTGTTGATTTCTGCAGTGAGGTTAGTTGGGCTTTTGGTTGCAGGGTGGACAGGACAGATTAATGGTGTTTCAGGTGTAGATTCGGAGATTCTGTATATTATTTCGGGCGATGAAAGAGAGAGAGAGAGAGAGAAAGAAAGAATTGAAGAAAGAAAGAAAGTAGCAAATCAATCAGCTGGACCTTGATGATGGTGATGGATGATGATGTTTATACTTGCTGATGCAGAGTCCCCACCTGTCAGCGGCAGGGCTACAGGCAGTGGCCATCGCAAAACATTCATATATATTCCCACTTACTGTTGTACGGCGTATGGTATTTTCAATCTCACCTCAGCATTATTACTACTGTGCTCTAGGGTATATCCAACGTCAGCTTGAGGTTGCTCACATGGTCTATCACCTCAGCACAGCAGGTAGGTAAGTAATAACCTCCTGTACCGGTTTGGTGTAACGCACTGTAATATTGTTTCTTGGCTACTGTCTCAACTCCTAATAGTATTTTTTTAATCGAATCGATGATCTTTTATCCGAAAGCAGATAGCAGCTGTATGCACCATCCCGAGCTTGTTTCAACGTTATCCCTAGCTTTCAAAGACCCTTTTGTTTTCCCTTGAATCGTCCCTTTGTCAGATTCGGACCGCTGCAGATTCCAGATCGCTGCAGGTCGAGTTCTATCGGGGAGAGCGGATATTTCCCGATGGCCAAGCACGCTGGCCTTTGTGCGGTGGAATGGGGATGTGCGGTTTAATTGGTCGGTCCTTTTGTGTACCCTGGACTGGGCATTTGTTTATGATTACTGTGGATTGGGAATAATGGTTCGAAGACCGTCCTCTATTTGGTATCTGAGTTCACTCAATTGAGTTGAGTTTGAAGGAGGAATGTCCAATCTTGACGTCGGTCATCCCTCCGCTGCTTGCAAGGAAATGAAGCAAGGTGCAGCTCACCTTCCCGCCCCCTTGTCTTCTTCTGTCGACTGTCGCAGTGGCTGCCCAGTCGTCTCTTCATATACCCAGCTGTCATCTTCTCTCTCAGGGCTTGAATATACAACCAGTCGACGTTGTTGATAGTGAAATCTGGCTAATTTACGGGGTAAAAATGACTTTATCACGCGTGAACATTTCGTAGGCTGGCAGCGATAACTGTTGTGCTGCCTCTAGCTTGGAGATGAATGATGACTGTCCAATACGGTTGCCCTATGTCCCTACCTACCATCTCTTCTTGACCCCGACGAAGCAATCAAGGTCTCAAGGTATACCGAAATCGGCCCAATAGTTTGCACATCCACGGCTCCGGGAACCATACGTAGTTGCGCGACAATTATTTCCGGGTTCTATGATTGGGCCTACTCAGCTCCTTGCTTCAAGGTTATGGCTCCTTCATAGCTGTCTTCCGAGAGAAATGTTTGTATGGGCTGCATGCCCCTGTTCCCTTTTGGTCCTCCTCTTGGATGAGTGAGGTCATTACAGTTCACCCGTCTTGCTTTTGATTCGAGAGATTGGGAGAGAACTGGGCTACAGAGAGTTCGCTGGGAAGAAAGCCCTGGATTCTTCTCGAAACCAGGGCCCTTTGTCTGAGCTATGCCCCGATGATGAAACGTGGCATTTTCGTTCCGTTTCTGGAGGGCATCCGAACCCAGAGAGAGTTTGCCCTGCGATATCTACGGAGTAGACATGGCGTGATCCCCAAGACAGTTCAGGAACCCGAGGGGAAACCGTACTGCAAGGTGGCCTGCCTCTGCCTCGCCTTGACACTTGGACTCCAGCATAGGGTCACGGGAGCGGCCCAGGGAGGGAGGGGAGAGGGCGTTTAATATAGATAAGATAGCGAGCCCAGTCTCCGTCGTCAGTGGTGTTTATCCTCATTCAGTTGATTCTCATTATTGGATTGACTGGCAAGGGCGCGGTTAGAGGACAGGAAGGAGCAGGGAACAAAAGAGTAATGTTAATATCTCCACCTGCTTGAAAGGTTGATTTGGGTGTGGACATCGAGCTCGTCAGTAGTATCTACCAAAGTCAAGTCAAGTAGTAGTAGTAGTGGTGTACTGGCCATCCATAGTGTGCAGGGTGCCTGCCCAGCCTCCTTACGTGCGGTGCCCCCCTCCCCGCGGATCGCCTAGTCCCCTCAATTATTGGGAATACGGGGCCGTGAATCCTCATCGGTCCGGCACCACGACGGTCGCGCGAGACCCTGGGGTCCCGAGAGTCTTAAGATAAGAGGATTGCTCGTCTGGTAGAGGAGGAGAGAGGAATCGAATCGATCTCTGCGACCTGTCGTGTGCCGAGTGCTGCGCTGCTCTCCGGACGAAAGAACCTCGAAGGGTGGTGGTCGGTGGTCTTGGCTCTGCCGTGGGCGGCGAATCACGCCCGCTGATGTGACACCACGTGACCGCGACCTCCCGCCTTCGATGCAAACCAACTTCCAAGCGTCAAGGCGACTGTCTCATCCCAACAAGCCACTGGCGCCTTTGCTACCATCTATGCTCCCAGATCCTCGTGCGCATTGCCCCTTCTACCCCAGCATCATTGTGCCCGCCAGCTCCCCCCCTCTGACCTTGGTCCAGATTGTTCACCAGTTCTCTGTCTCTCAGTACTCTGACTCGATCGCTCCGACGCCCGCCCCATCCATCAATCATTCGACCCTCGTTCGCCTCCCCGATCCCCCCCCCCCCGACCCTCCTACACCTGCGGCTGATATCGTGAACACCCCAGGATTGGTGCAGTTGCCGCCGTTGGATCTCCCAGCGCGTCCTTAGATTGGGGTGGTTCCGCTTGAGAACCCCATGTTGAAGAGAAGGAGAGAACGCATCCGATCCCCGACTCCTCCCCTCTCTCCTGCCACCGCTGCCCCCCGAGTCCAGCTCTGACAGCCTCCACCTCCTCCACCAACCCTCTCCAATTCCTCAGCTCACGGTCTCGTCTGCCACGTTAAATGGCAGATGGTACCTACAGGTTCCAGCAGCCTGGGGCCGGGCAGTTCTTCTTCCAAACGCAGACGCAACAGCACTCCCATCAACGTCATCTTGTTCGAAACGGGACCAACTCGCCGACTGGAAGACTAAAATTCAGCCACGATACTCCGTCTCCCTCCCGCTCCCCCCCGATCGGCCAGGCTGCTGCCTTGAACCCCTTCACCATGTACAGTCAAACGCACCAAGGGCAGCATGTTATGATGAATGGCGGCCAGGCCCACCAGCGGTTCGGCATGCAGATGCCCAAATTCCAATCGCAGAGCCACCATCCCCATCCCGCACAGCAACCCCACCACCACGCGCACCACAGCCAAGCCTCTCACAGCATCACCCACCAGCACAACTTCTCCAGTGGGGCATTGGCTGCCGCTACTCCGCACTTCACCCCCGGTCCTCTCCAGAATGGGGCTCACGTCAACGTGGATGATGACCTTGACGATTCCATGAACGAACACTGGCAGCAGCAGCTTCAGCTCGCGGCGGAATCGCGCCAGGCAAACTCTCCCCACTACTATGCCCGCACGGTCGCACAGCAGACCAAGGGCATCCAGATCGCGCCCAGTCAGCCCGAGTCACAAGAGAGCGGAGGCGACGATCGGAATGGCTCTGCCAAGACCAAGGCGGCTCCGAAGCAAGGCTGGTTTGCTCTGGACTTCGGTGGACAGGGCCTGCGTGCGATTGCGACGTCTCTGTTCAACTACGATTTCCTCGAAAAATTGTACCTAAGCCACAACAAGCTGAAGACGCTTCCTCCGTCGATTGGACGAATGCGGAAACTCACCCACTTGGATCTGTCGGGCAACGATCTCACGGAGCTCCCGGAGGAAATTGGCATGCTCACAAGTCTGAAACAGCTTCTTCTCTTCGATAACAACATCCGCTCGCTTCCCTATGAGATGGGCTATTTGTACAGGTTGGAGATGCTGGGCATAGAAGGGAACCCGCTGAACGATGTCTTGAAGTCGCAGATCATCAAGGAGGGCACAAAGGCTTTGGTCCGGTATCTGAGGGAAGAAATGCCAGGTAAGTTATCATTCGATAGTTGGCTTTAGGGAACACCGTGTGTACTTATGCTGACTTGCTTTAAAAAAGTTCACCTTCCACCTCCGGACAGAGACTGGATTGTTTTGGACGATACTGCAGGCTCCCCCAACAATCCCACCGAAAAGATTACCGTCCTCTCTCATAACGCCCTCTGCGAAGCCTCCGCCACACCGACTCATTTTGGCTACACCCCATCCCGCGTCCTCTCATGGGAATTCAGACGAGAGCTCATACTGAGCGAGTTAAGAGCGCACGACTCCGACATTGTCTGCCTCCAGGAGGTGGACAAGGGCAGTTACAATGGATTCTTCAGGGAGCAGCTGGCCTACAACGATTACAAGGGTGTTTATTGGCCTCGAGGAAGAGCGATGGGTATGCAAGAGGAAGACGCCAAGACAGTTGACGGCTGCGCTACGTTCTTCAAGGGCACCAAGTTCATCCTCCTCGATAAGCAAATGATCAACTTCGGCCAGACAGCAGTACGGCGCCCGGACGCCAAGGGTCAAGATGACATATACAACAGACTGTGGCAGAAGGATCACATCGCGGTCGTCGTTTTCTTGGAGAATAGACTGACAGGCTCGCGTTTCATTGTCGTGAATGCGCACCTCTACTGGGATCCCGCCTTCAAGGATGTGAAGTTGATTCAGACTGCCATCCTGATGGAGGAAATCACCAAGCTCTCCGAGACTTACGCCAAATGGCCCCCGTGTACCGACAAGACCGCGTTCCGCTTCTCCGAGGCCGAGGGTGAGGCGGAAACCCCGGCGCCCGAACCCGCCCCGTCCATGGAGTACTCCAGCGGCGATCAGATTCCGCTCTTCATGTGCGGAGATTTCAATTCATCACCCGGGTCGGCGGCGTACAACCTGGTCGCAAATGGACAACTCACGGAGGCGCATCCTGATCTGGAGAAACGGCTCTACGGCAACCTCAGCCGGATCGGCATGACGCACCCGTTCAAGCTGAAGTCGGCGTACAACTCGGTAGGCGAGTTGAGCTTCACGAACTACACCCCAGACTTCAAGGACATCCTGGATTATGTCTGGTTTTCATCGAATTCGCTTCATGTCTCGGCGTTACTTGGGGAGGTGGACAAGGAGTATCTGCAGAAGGTGCCCGGGTTCCCGAATTTTCATTTTCCAAGTGATCATATCGCATTATTTGCGGAGTTTACCGTTAAGGGGAAAAAGGGCAAGGTTGTGGAAGCGGACTTTGGACCGCAACGGAATTGAGGAAACGGAGCATGTCGAATCTTACGAGACTGGTGTTTGTGTAGCCGGTTTATCTTGTTATCTCGGAATCTTTGGGGGCCTTTCGCGTGTCTGTGGTGTTCTTTCCCTGCTGCTTTGTCCATCATGCATTTTCCCTTCCTTCTTCTCTCTCGCTCCTCCTCTTCTTCCTCTTCTTCTTCCATTCTTGTGAGTTTACTTTTTCTTGTTTGCCCTGCTGCCGCCAGCGGCCTCGTTCAATCGAACCTGCGTATCCATGTTCTTGGAAAGTAGTCGGGCCTCGGCACAGCAGCTTTCTTCTCTCATCTTCTCCAACTTTGGTATGTGTTAGGATCTGATTATGCTCTTTCTTAACGACGCTCCTCTTTTCATTCATTCATCCATCCATTCCACCCACCCACTCGTTCTATCTTTCTCTCGTCCTCGTCCGCTTTTTTATCTCTGCTTGCTTTTCCTCTGCCAACGTCATCTGCTTCGCGATCTGTTGTAGATTGGAACCGGGAAATGGATGGATTCTTTCTTTCTTGTTTCTTTCTTCTCTTTGCTTCTCTCTATCCCGTGTTCTTCTTTTTCGTCTTCTTATTTTGCACTTAGGCGGGCGAATGGGTCTTGCTTGTATGTATGCGTGTATGCTTGGCGCGGGTTGCTGCGTGGTCTGTCTGTCTGTCTGTCTGTCTGGCTGGTGTCGTGTCGTGCCCATTGGGGAGGTTACTTCGAAACCTTCACACGTTACGTTCTATAACTGTCTCTGACTGACTCTGGCTGTCTTTCTTCTTCCCCTTGATGTAGAAAAGAAGGTTACTTGCTTCTTTGATTTCGTTACACATCTTCTCCCTCCATCGTGGCGTCGTGGTGTCGTATCTATCGTATCTAGCTATCTATCTATCTATCTTTGAATCGTGCCGTCTTGGTTCGGTTTCGGGGATTCTAGGTTCGTATCTAGGTGTACATAGGTAGGTCGGGTTGGGGTGGGGGTTGGTAGATGGGTATATGTGTGGTAGGTGACCTGTTTGGGTACTTGGGTAGATATGACCGGATTGTTGATAGGATAGGGTATGTGTATGTGTATGATGGTGGTGGTGGTACATTTGGAGAAGGGTTCTAGTGCAGTCTATATAATGTAATGTAATGCGAGATGACATGAGGTGATGTGATATGATGTTACAAATGGGGTATCCGAAAAAAAAAAGGAAGACTGAGCTCAACAAGCAAGATCGTAGCCGTACGCCGTAATCAGCTCCGTCTGTCCTCTATCTTTCTCCAAATGCCCACGAACCCTCCGCCCACGATCCGCGACCCAACCTTGGGCCGACAGACGAGCACGCTGTCGTCCTCCTTGGGCGTCTCTTCCGGAGAAACAGGAGCAATCGCAGCACCTTCATCCGCAGACTCACCCTCAACAACGTCCGCTCCATCCTCGGCGCCTTCGGACGCAGCAACAGACACATTGTCACGGGCCCTCCTCACCGCATGCCGGATATCCCAGAGCCGCCCACTGCTGATCCCATTCCCCAGTTCCACGACCTTGTCCTGCGCCAACGGCAGCTTGTGTTTCCGGATCAGGTCCACGCAGTCCCCGATCTGGGTCACGCTTGGCATGAACACGGCCAGGAGACCGTCGCGCTTGAGGATCGATGTGACGTGGGGAATCCGCGTGTGGGCCGACGGCATGTCCAGGATCGCGTAGGAGAGGAACGGCTCTACCTCGTTCTTGGTGAAGGGGAGCAGGCCCTTCGAGGTCCGTTGTCTCTTCTGTTCGGCGATCCAGTCCTCCACGTGCCCCGCGGAGAAGTCGACGTTGCCGGCGTAGATGCCCCGTCGGAAGCCTCGGACCACGCCCTCGGCGTGGACGGCGGATTTGGGTGTTATGTCCACGCTGTGGATTATCGCGTTGCGGTGGGAGCGCCAGGCGTCCCAGTTTTGTTGGATCGGGTCGTCGGTGGTGGTGGTGGTGGTGGTGGGGAGTTTCCGGGTTGCTTCGTCGCCGGGTTTTGTTGGGAGGTAGGTCACTTGCGAGCTGGTTGGGATCGGGGGTGGAGTGGAATTGGCGCCTTGGATGGCGCGCGCCAGGTGTAGAGTCAGAGAGCCATGGCCGGTTCCGGATTCGAGGATCTCCACAGTTGGTGGTTGGCCTGTCTGTTCTGCTGGGGGCGTGATGTGGATGTCCAGGAGGGAGACGATCAGGTTGGCGTCCGCTGAGTAGATCTAGTGGGATGTTGCGTTAATTTGGGGGGGGTTTGTTTTTATCAAGGAGGATGCTATGGCTGAGTCTGTACCGGCGTGACTAGACGCGGTGTCAAGGCGACGTAGTCTTCGAGACTGGGGAGGGAGAGTCTGTGCTCGCCGCCTGCAGAGAGGACCAGGATTAGTGTTTGCTTAGAGCTTTCTGGTTGAATTGGAGAGGAGATTGACTGACCTTTACGCGCCTGAACTAGATCTCGCACTCTGCTGCCGATGATCTTGTCATGCTCCAGCTGTCCCCGACGAAGGTCCGTCTTGCCCCCCTTTCGAAGCGGTTTGGTTAACACCGGGGTCTTGCCATGGATGACAGCCCTGTCGCCCTCTGTTGGAAACGGAATCAATTTCAATCGCTCAGGACGCGATGGCGCAATCGCGAACGACTGAACCGCGCGGTGCTGGAAGGCTGTGACATACCGCGAAAGTAGGTGAAATTGGTGTCGATTGACCCGACATACCGAGGGACGGGACTCGCAGGAGTCAGTCCCAGGACTCGACGCAATGACTGAAACATACGAGCCATTGCGTGGGTGTATCCAGAAGGATGTTCTGTCCTCCGCGAAGATTAATCCAGCATCAAATTTCCGGGACTAAGTAGTAAGTCGACCGAATTCCGGAGAGATACTCGGTTCGGCTAGGCCCAGAAAAAAAAAGGGAAAAAGAAAAAGAAAAGAAAAAGGAAAAGGACCAAGATGGCAAAAAGAACAGGCAGGGCTCCACCTGCGAGGCCTTTTTCGTCCTTAGTGTCGCGCAGAATTATGGGGCACTCCGCATGGATCCAGAGAGCGACTTGATCGAGGCTACTCTTAGTCAAGTCAGTCAGTCAGTCAGTCAGTCGCGGGGTCCTTTTCGTCTCTTTCGTCTCCCTCGTCCATCTCTTCAACATCCCAGCCATTTCAAGGCACCCCTCCTCCCCCCCGAAGTCTTGGTCATTCATTCTCTCACTCGACACTCCTCCTTTTTGTATTCGTTTCATTCTATAGATCCTTCCGTGTTCCTGACTAGGTTCGTTTTCCCCTCCATCTCCAGGAACAGAGCTATGCCCCTCTCCTACCCGATCACCATGATTTATTTGCCCACCCCTCCGTGTCCCTCACTCACATCGACATGCCATCGTCCCAAAAAAACTGCATCGCGGCACCGACACTAACGCCGCGACACCAATTAGACGTACATACATCCCTCCAGCTATCCATCATGGCTGCCTCAAGCCTGCCTTACATGAAAACGAACCCGAAGCTCATCTTCTTCACTGATTTTGACGGAACGATCACGCTCGAAGACAGTAAGTCCGGATGGAATATCCCCGACGACAGGCGCAACAGCTGAACATATCCCTGCAGGCAATGATGCTATGGTACCTGCCCTCCTTCATTGCGCCCATATACCTACGAATGCTCGTCGTTACTAACTCCTCCGCGTCGTTGCAAGATTGATAACCTCGGCTACGGATACGCGAAGCGTCGTCAGGGAAACGAAGCCGTTCTTGACGGCACAATGAGCTTCCGGTAGGTGGTTCTTGAGGGCATGTTCGGGCGCGATGCTAACACCCAACCCCGCAGTGACGCCTTTCGCGACATGCTTGACAGCATCAAGACCCCTTACGACGAGTGCATCGAATACCTTAAGAAGAACATGAAGCTGGACCCCTACTTTGTGGAATTCTATCACTGGTCGAGGGAACACAACGTGCCCATCGTGGTACTGTCGTCGGGGATGATCCCGGTCATCCGCGCCCTGTTCGAGACGCTTCTGGGCGGCAGGACCGACGACCACCTCTACATCGTCGCCAACGAAGTCGAGAGCCGCAATGGCAAGGATATCAACGACGAGGGTGGCTGGCAGATCAGATACCATGACGACAGGTAAGAGCGCTCCCTGCTTGGAATCGCCGATGGGTCGGATCTGACGTCATCCTACCCAGTCACTTTGGCCACGACAAGTCCCTGGAGATCAAGCCGTACGCCGCACTGCCGGACAGTGTGCGCCCGACCTTGTTGTACGCCGGAGATGGTGTGTCCGATTTGTCCGCCGCAAGGGAGACCGATCTACTGTTCGCCAAGAAGGGCAAAGGTAGGCTTTTCTAGACCCTACCTTGAGCAGTTTTGAATTCTGTTTGGGTCCTGACTGATTTTCTTTATTTTTTCCCCCCAGATTTGGTAACATTCTGCGAGCGAGAAAAGATCCCTTTCACGCTGTTTGAAAGCTGGGAGTCGATTCTGGCCACGACCAAGGATATCCTGGGCGGCAAGGTATCCGTCAAATCGGTGGCCGAGGGTGGATTGGAGGCAGTGCACCAGGGGGCAAACAAGAACTAAAGGGCGGCTGGTCAGTCTCTGCTGATAGATATAGATTTCTCAGGTTTATATACAGATGGTATACATATAGTACTACATTGCAGGTAGATGAATGAATAGAAATCAGACTCAGTGAGCAATGAAATCCGTGACAGCCGGACAGCCTGACAGCCTGACGGCGACAAGAAGGGAGGGAAGGCCCGAAGGAGACTAGTGTAGGGTTCTCGCACACCATGCCCAATGCGGTTAGACGCCGCCAATCCCGGCCCGACCTGGCCACTGACATGTGACCGACCGCCTTCCCAAACCGATTGGCCCCAAACCAAATGAATAAGAGGGATATCCTCCGACCAGCTGAACACCTGCCTTCCCCTCCAAATATTAATGGCCCCTTGAGATGACCTAGAACCAGGTCTTCTCTGTGGTGAGCCCTCGAATCTATTCTCTGGCTTAGTGTTTCATCATGCTTCTGCGCCCGGCCACTTCTCATCCGTTCAGAACTGGCCAGGGGTACCAACTATTTCTAACATGACACGCCGACTTGTACGTGCCCTCGTGCCCTCGTGCTCAACCAGGGGCGCTCGATCCGTGAGGACTCCACACTAACCCGGTCTTCGAACAGGTTCGAGCGGGCGTGCAGCTCGCGATCTTCGCTTCTTTCGTTGCCCTCCTCGTCTTAACCTTGGACAACCGGTTCCGCGTCCTCCCTGCCTCCATCCACGGCCATCTTCCATCGCACTACGATGGCTTCGTCATCACAGATGTAACAGTTGCGACCTGTTCATCCATCAACGTCTTTTCCAACTGCCAACCGAATCTGGAGTCGTGGTCGCAATTGGACAAAGACCTCTATCTTCACACGGGTTGGACCTCCAGCGCATTCATCCGATTTGAGCGAAAGAAAGAGGAAGAACTCCTTCCGTCCGACAAGGTCGTCATCGATCTGAAAATTAGCCGGCTCGTCCCCGAATACTCAGAGGATCCCGAATCCCAAGGGGAGACGTGGGAGCAGAGGCCTGGTGGGCTGTGGCTGAAACGAACCGCGAAGCGCCATGCGAGCGATTCTCAAAAAGCCATCACCGCTGTTGATATTCTCTTCGGCGCTGATGCGGTTGACCCGCGGGCTGGCTGGGAGGTGAAGGATACTCCGCTGCTGCTGGATGGCGGGACGGAAGGCCTCGAAGCCAGGATCAGTGTTCGGCGGGGAGACCCTCCCAAGACCAAGAAGCCAGTGCCCAGGATTAATGAGAATGGGCGGTTCAAGATCATGCAGCTGGCAGATTTACACTTGAGTACGGGTCTGGGGGCCTGCCGGGACCCCGTCCCGGCCGAGCCCGCTTCGGGGCAGAAGTGCGAAGCCGACCCTCGGACGCTGGAGTTTGTGGAGAGACTGCTGGACGAGGAGCAGCCCGATTTTGTCGTGCTGAGCGGTGATCAGGTGAACGGTGAGACGTCGAAGGATGCCCAGAGTGCGCTCTTCAAGTCTGTTAAGCTGCTTGTTGATCGCAAGATCCCCTACGCGGCTATTTTTGGAAATCATGACGACGAAGGAAACCTCAAGAGATCGGAGCTGATGACCATCCTGGAGGATCTGCCCTACTCTCTGTCAATTCCTGGTCCCGAGGAAGTGGATGGAGTGGGGAATTACTATGTCGAGATCCTTGGTCGAGGAAGCACCTCTCACTCCGCCTTGACTCTTTACCTGTTGGACACGCATTCCTACTCCCCTGATGAGCGTCAGTTCCGTGGGTATGACTGGGTCAAGCCGACTCAGATCCGGTGGTTCAAGAACACCGCCGCGGGGTTGAGGGCCAAGCACCACGAGTACACGCACATGCACATGAACATGGCATTCATCCATATCCCGTTGCCCGAGTATCGCGACGCCAGTAACTACTACCGGGGAGACTGGTCGGAGGTTCCAACCGCCCCGGGGTTCAACTCGGGGTTCAAGGACGCCCTCGAAGAAGAGGAGATCCTGTTTGTCAGCTGTGGACAGTGAGTGACCATTATCTTTCGAGTGAACCAAACTCTCGCTAACGTATCACCAGTGACCATGTCAACGACTACTGTATGCTCAACAAAGACCATGAGAAGAAGCCCTCCCTCTGGATGTGCTACGGAGGCGGTGCTGGTTTTGGAGGCTACGGGGGCTATGGAGGCTACGTGCGCCGCGTGAGATTCTATGACTTCGACATGAACCCAGGCCGTGTGGTGACGTACAAGCGGCTCGAATACGGCGACACAGAGTCCCGGATTGATGAGATGATGATCATCGACGGGGGCATCGTCAAAGGACCCGATCAAGAGAACTGAGGCTGGAAAGATCCCACTCTTTCCAGGATATTGAATGCCCTTTTTCTTTTTCCCTTCTTCTTCTTCCTCTCTTCTGTCTTTCCAATTCTGAACCAGGCGGACACTCTGATTCTTTGTATTATAGTACTTGATTCGATCCAACTTCTACTACAGGGTTATTCAGACGTGGCTTTTGCACGCACTTTAAAATGGACTCCGACTTGATTGATGTTTGCGATACCTAGTGAATACCTACTTACTTACCTACCACCATTTTTCGTAAAATACACGCTCCCTTCCCCCGAGAAGCCCCCCAAGGCTCCCCACCACCTCATCCGTCATCCCCTGCGGCCCACAAACATAACACACCGTCTCCGCAGGCCTCACACTCCCACTCCCATCCGCCCTGCTCACTGCTTTCCGCAGATCTCCTTGGTTGATCCGCCGCGCATGCAGCGTTAGATCGTCGGGGGGGTCAGTCACTAGCGGAGACGTCGGACCCTGGAGATCAGTGAGGAATAGATCCAGCGATATCTGTAATCGGTAGGATTGCGACTGCGAGCGGATGATTTGCCGGATACGTGACAGGAAGAGGATCTGGGAGAGCGTGGTCTCGGTATCTGTCGCTGTTGCTGTCGCTGTCTCCGACGGGAGCTTTGATTTGGTGGAGTAGAGGATGTGGATCTGGAAGGAGGGGTGGCGCGGGGTGGTGGTTTCGTCGGAGTCATTGTTTAGGTGTGAGAGGATGGATGTTAGGGGGCTATGGGGGTTATTTTATATCTATTAGTGGACTATTCTTCTCCAGAGGAGAACAGCGGAGGGGGAGGGGGAGAGGGAGGGGGTTGCTCTTCCAGATGTGAAGTTGATGGTTGATAGTTTATCATGATGTACTCGGTACAGCAAGTACAAGTAAGTATAAGCTGTGGACTTACTTGATACCCACGCCCCCGGCAATGAACACTACATTTTTGATCTCGTCCAGAGAAACGCCGGTTGGAGGCCACACGAACCCCCCTCCGATACGAATGCTCAGCTGCGTGCCCAGGATCTCGTGCGCGGGTTTCCATAGCCATGCGCTGGCTGGGTTGGAGGGGGCCTTTTGGACCGCCAGTTCCACGTACGGCGGCCGGCCGCGCGGGTCGAGTGGCGGGAGGCCCGTTTCCTCGATCGCGATAGCCTCGGTGGCACTCGGGGACGCCAGAGGCGGGAGGACCTGCGCGTCGGCCGGCGTGGAGGTGATGCTGAAGCCGCCCGCGTGGGGGATGGTCGGGATGTGTACGTCCAGCCACTGGCCCGGGAGGAAGGTCAGGGGCTGGATTTAGGGGGTTTGGTTAGCAGTGGTGGTTCATCTTTTTTTTTTTTTCGTTTTTTTTTTTTTTTGGATTAGATGGTTGGTTGTGGCGGTGATGATGGTGGGATGCTAGATGCTAGGTGCTGGAAAGGAATTCAAGCTTATGATATGGTATGGATGGTATATATGTAAAGCATACTTCGCCTTCTTCCAGCTCCTCTTCCCTCTCCTCCTCCTCCAGGTCTTGTATTTCGGGAGGAATGGTCAACTGCAGCAGGCGCACCGACGGATTGGCCTGCTCGACGTGCGACAGGCGCACATTGTACAGTCGGTTCTGGCGGGGCTCTGCTGCAGTGCGCAGTTGATGGGGCAGCGAGCCCTTGCGACTGGTCATTGGGGAACTCATCTGGTGGTGGGCTATTGTTGACAGCGGGCGCTTAGAGATGAGCAGTAGTCGGGGACTCCGCATCCGGTTGATTGACTAGATAGTGACTAGTAGTTCGGATGATGAATGTGTCGTTTTGTCGTTCTTTTGAGGATGTTGTGAGGTTGCAGCTCGAGGAATCATTAATGACGTTCCCTCCCCGGGCCGCCGTCATGTGCTTCTTCTTCTCTTCTTTTTACTCTTCCCCTTCCCCTCCCCCTTCGACCTCGACATCACTGCGGTGGACTCTACCTCTCTGTCCAACAATACAGACTCCGCATCAGACGGTGCTCACAGTGCTTATCTCCCTGGAGAATCTCTTCCAGCCACTCGTCGAACTAACGAACGAACCCCTCCTCGACTGCGGGTGCGATCATGCAGGCGCTGTCACAATAGCACACGGCCGGCTTCTCCACCCAGGCGCTTCGCCTTCTGACAGGGCAGGTCTGACGGCCTTGCCTGGACTCGTATTCCCCAACCAACAGGCGCATCATTGGCCTAGTGCGAGCATGCAGATCGCCTTCGCCGTCACACGGCCTAGTGTGTGATGACCGGTAGCCAAACGGCTGGTCCGGCCGCCTCATTGGCGATGACCCCCCCGGCCTGGCGCCGATGCTGGCGCTTCCTAACCGACGAGCATTGGCCAGATGCACCCGTGGGAAACATCAACTGCTCTTCCCGCTTTTCGAGCTTGCCATTGCTGCGCTGTGACGGTAACCCCTCTCCTCACCTTGGCCATGGCCCGCAGAGGTTGGACGCTGGCGCTTCCCGGGGCGCTCGACTTCTTATTTACGCCGTCGCCCCGGTTGATCGCTGAAGCTTCTTTCTGTGAAGGGCACCTCGTCTGGTTTGACTTGTCCCACGTTTCATCGTTTCGCGTTCGATGCCACTGAACTGAACGTCCAGCCAGCCGGCCTGGCCATCAAGTCTCGTGTGAAACACCAGTTTGGCCTCCATATTAGAGGAATCTCCCTTACAGCCGTCTATCCTGCATTGTTGATTGCATCCACTTGCCGACTCAGACGACAGTGAGGTGTATTGGACGTCCACAATCATGCGTCTCCCACGGCTTCCCCCGCTTCGTACATTTTTCGCGACGAGATGGCGCAACCATAACTTGATCTTTATGTTCATGGCCGTCGAGTTGCCGCTCGCTATCATCCTGCTCACCCTGACCGGTATCGCCAACCACGACCTCTACCGGACTAAGCTATGGCAGGATGGCGCAGACAATGGGTTCAACAGCAACCCGAACGAAAGGCTTTACGCCGCGGCTAATAATCAACCTTACAAAACCCCTATTGTTTGGAGTGGCTTGTATGCTGGCTTATCCCCAATCCTAAGACGCAGTGGCTGATTATGAGATAGCATCACCGAGTACAACCTGGTCCTTGGGATTCTGAGCCTCTTCGTCTGGATCGCCAAAATCCCGGTCCATGTCCTTCACATGCTGACACCGCCCTTGTCGGCCTTCCTCCACGCGGGCATGATTGCGGTGTGGTGTTACTCGGTTCGTTATCAGGCTGGCCCCGATATGTCAGACCCCAAGCATCCTCAACCAGGAGCGCCATGGTATATCACGAAGAAGTGTACAGTGGCAGCAGTCAGGGAGGACATCCATTACTGCAACCAGGCTAAGGCGCTTTTTGCGTTCTCTATTATCATGATGTGAGATTACCCCCCCCCCCCCCTAGACAACCCATCAAACTAACATACTTGATAGCTTCTACTACTTCACTGTCCTCTGTGTGAGCCTCCAGAACTGTGTTATGACGAAGGAAGAGCTCGAGGAAATCGAGGAGCTTAAGGAGGAGCAGAAGACCATGAAGGAGTATGAGGATTATGTTCTCAAGACGCCTGGCATCCCAATGACCCCGGCCCTGCCCATGGGGACTCCTGCGCATCCCAGGTACCCCGGACAATCCGGGCCAATGCCAATGCCTTCCAAATCGCCCTTCCACAAAATCGTCACCCGCAGCACCGATGCATCGTCGTCAGATCTCCCACTTCGCCAGCACTTCAGCTCTCCTAACCCTCGCCGTTCGATGCATCAAGAGTCGGCGGAGACACTCTCCGGCCAACAAGCTCAGTCTCAGACTTCTTTTGTCACGACTGTCAAGGGATTCATGAAATAGAGTGCCTTACATACTGCACGTACGTGTACTTGTTGACGGCTGGGGCCGAGGGTTCGCATGTTCATTGGCCCCACTTGCACATATGGCTGGTCTACGGTTGAGCCCAGCAGGTCGACATTGGCCATGATGCCACACCACCCAGCACCGGAATACATGGCGTCACGTCTTTGGCTCACACCACTTCCCTAGATGAGATAGTTACCCTTTTCTCCTTTATTGCGGCTTCTCTTTTAACATTTTCTTATACCATTTTGCGGAATCGGTAGCTCCAGGATTCATTATAGTTAATCTGCAGTCTGAGTCTAGGTAAACGAACAACGAACAACGAACATGGGGAAAAGATTCTCTTCCGTAGACAGGACTATCCATATGTAGGCATACACAAGTCATCGTAAGTTTCAGACAGACAGAGCCCCCTCCCCCCCAAAGAAAAGCCCTAGATAGATACATAGATACATAGATATATGGATGGATGGATGGATAGATAGATAAATAGATAGATAGCTCACGAGTACGATACCTCAACAGCTATCTATCTAGTTACCGTAAATGAAATCTTTCTTTCTGGCCCTGTCGTTCGGCCAGCCAAGCCACGCCACGCCACCGGGAAGGAAAAGGAAACAACAACAACGACGACGACACCGACACCGACAGACAAATATAGACAGATAGACAGCCAGCAGGCAGGCAGGCAGGCAGGCAGCGAACAATACTGGACAATTATGTTATGTAAGAAACACGCGCAACGAAGGAGCACACAGGTAAGTAACTAAGGAAGGTAAGGTACGGAGTATGTAAGCAGGGGTATCCTCGCAGGGCTAATAATCGGCGGCCCCTTCTGGCAATGCAGTAACGACAAGACAATTCATACAAACGCTGATCGTCCCCCGATCAATTTTCAGTCCAGTTCAGTCCCAATCAACTCAGGTACGGATATACATGGATGGCTCCGTGGTTGGTTAACCGATCGGGTCAAGTTAAGTCAAGTTGAGTCAATTAGACGTCGTGTCGTCTCTTCTCTTTTTTGGCCCAGCGTACTGTTTGTTGATGATTGTCAGTCAGTTAGTCACAGTTGATGCGTTGCTGTGTTGATGGATGATGATGATAATGAGAATAAGAATGTAGATGCCACGAGTAATAGTAGTATCGTGCAGAGGTAGTCATCAAAATCAAAATCGAAATCAAAGGGAAAGGGAAGTGGTCCGCGCATCAACAGGGATAGATAGAGGGTAAGATAGAGGGAAAGATAGATAGATAAACTTACAACCACAAGCATTACACAGCGACTTCGGGCCTTCAGGCCCCTTCCTCCACTCGGGAGAGTCGGAGGTGCCGCAGTCCGTACACATATACTCGCCCTTCATCCGCTTCCTTCGATCGACGTCGGCAGAACTCGTGGATTGCGCGTCGGTCGGAGGGGACGATTCGGAATTGTAATGAACCAGACGACCGTGGCGCACACCGGTATTCAGACCCTGCGACCGTTCGCCCTCGCCGTAGTACAACCCGGTCATGACCTCGATGCCGTCGATATGAGACATATCCTCCGCCGGCGGGCCCTGTTCCAGGTCTTGGTCTTGAATCGACTGCGAGTCGGCGTCGGCTTCGTCCGTGTTCGTCACCGTATCGGACGACTCGTTCTCGTCGCCGGACACGGACGCCTCGCGCACCATCGCCTGCGTAAATGTAGAATGCGTCGTCGACGAGATATACGTTCGTTGTGTCGTGGTCGTGGTCGTCTGCTGGATCCCGGTGATGCCGCTGGGCCCGGGCCCGGGCCCGGACCCGGACTGCTGTCGAGAACTCATCTCCTCCTCTTCCTCCTCCTTCAGCTGCGCAATGCGCTGATTCAGCCGGATATTCTCGATCTTATGCTCCAGGAACGAATCCAGCATCTGCGCCCCACGCGTCGGATACGGTCGACACGTGAGGAAGATCCCCTTACACAGCGCCATCATCTTGGTCCGATTGAGTCCTGCCCCTGCTGCTGTCCCTGCTGCTGCCGGTCCCTCTGCGGTCGCATCTACCGGCGATGCTGTCGTCCGAGTCAGGTGCGGATGGCCATAGGCCTCCAGCAAGCAGACACTGTTATCGGGCTTGCAGAAGCGGAAATGACAGCGGATGAACCGGTCGGTCTCCATGCACTCGTCCAGTTCCTGGCGGAGGATGGTCTTATCGTCCTCGTGAACGAAGCGGGAGAAGTCGCTCTTCTCGAGCGCTTTCGTCTCGAACCCCGTAATCTCGAGACACGACGGCGACACATACATCACTCGTCCGTCGTGGCCGAGGAGAAGCACCAGGTCTTTCAGTTCGGTCATCACCCGGTTCGCCCAGCCATCGTTGCCGTTCATGCCGGCTGGTAGCTCGGGGGAAGATGGGACGAGGCCTGCTATCGCTACCGCTGGGGGCGCTCCCGCGGCCGTGGTAGCGGCGACGGCAGCGGCAGCAGCAGCGGATGAAGAAGCGGAGGAAGATGAAGAAGAGAGCTGCAGGAGACTTGCGGCGCCCAGGCCGACAGAGCGAGGAACACTGCGGGTGTCCATGCTATATGAGACCGGGGATTGTGAGTTCGGCACTGAGGCGTGGAGACTGTATGTTTGGGACGAATTCTGGTCCTGCGCCAATCCTCGCTGGGATTCGAGCTCCATCGCGGGATAGATAGATAGATAGCTGTCTGACTGGTCTGGTTGTCTGGCTGGCTCGCTCGTCCCGGGTTGAGATTCTCCAAGGGATGGATGTCGAGGGGACAATGGAGTAGAGGAGTCGAGGGAGCGAGTGTCAAGAATGGAAGGGAAGGGGAGGTTTCATGGTCTGGGCGACATGGTTGTGAGTTGCAGTAGAGCTGTCAATTCCTGTACTTTGGTCGACCCTTCGTCATTGGCATCGAGCCCGTCGGTCGCTCCACCGCTCGCGCCAATCAGGCTGGCTGCCTGCTGGAGCTGACATGGCGGGGCCGACCGGCCAATCCCGGTGGGCAAAAGACGGTAATTAGTAAGGCGTCCATCCGGTCCGCCGTCCTTTCCTTCTTGCGGAACTTTGTTACACCCACAATAGACAGACAAAGTGCTTGTCTGCCTTGCCTTCCAGGAGAACGGCTTGCCTCGGTACTCCCAAGGGACCGGGCTATCATCACTGTCTAGCATCCACTGCTGTTTCTCTTCCTGATTTATCTTCTTGGGATCAACTGTTATTGTCGGGTGCAATTAATTGTATGAATGACCCTAGACCGATGGAAAGCCAATTGGACTACTTCCGCAAATGGTCGAAACCCTCGAACCAGAGCCCAGAGCGAAGGAAGGTCCTTCACAGATATAAGTATCATGGCAATCTGTCTCAGATCGATCAGCCCTACACTGGCTGGTGGCTGGACAGGTCTCTTATGGCAAACTACTAACTACTTCCAAGCTACAGATACCTCCTGGACTGGAGTTTCAAGAAGACAAATTTAAATACCGTGTTGATTTACTTCATAGATACTACCATCCCTGACTTGACCGAAGTTCAAGCCTATCAACACCGATCCCGTTAATTCACCGTAGAAAGACTCAAGGAAAACCAAGGATACATAACCACCCCCGCAGAACAAACCGTCCGCTTATCCAAGGCCATAAAAGAAACCCCAACCCCCCCCCTCCTCTTTATGTGTAAGTTAGATGTCTGTTCACGTCTTAACCTGACCCAGCCGTTGAAAAAGAATACAAACGATGGTGTCGAGAAGAGTGATTCAAGGACCGCAGCCGCTAGGTAGTATCGGACATAAGCGTCAGCTTTGATCCCACGCTGCTAACTATGCCGACCGTCAGGCTTACCTCTAGGTAGTCAGACTACACAATGCACTTGCAAGGGCGGCGATTGTGAGCGCATCTGCAATGTCTGTTGGGTCTGGTGCACACGCAAATTTTACTCATGCAAACACCGGTGCAAGTACCGCTAAGTGCGTCCTGATTATCACATAAACAGTCAGTCATGCTCAGCTTGGAAATCTAGATGGCTGTGTGAAACTTGCATTCAACTCGGCTTCGACGTCAGTCATAGTATTGGAGACTCCGTTGTCAATGTCATCGATGTTGTCAATGTCGATGTAGCCAATGTCGCCCATGCCATCAACATCATCAAAGTCATCAAAGTTCTTGACGTTGTCATTAGCAGTAATGACAGGAGCTGCAGCGGTAACGATTCTAGCAACAGCATCACTGACAGCAGTATCAACACTTGCAATGTCAGCAGGGAGTGTGATAGATTCAGCCAGTCCGTTCAGGATAAAGAGGCCAAACATGGCGAAAAGAAGGAGGACGTTCTTAAAGTAGATCATCTTGGATGATAGTATGGAGTGGAGTTTGATTATTGGTCCTTTGTTGTGTTTATCTGCTGTCAGAAGATGAACAACAAGTGAGGAGCGCGAGGTGGGATAGTATAGGAAAGTAAGGTGAACAGAGACGCCGCTATATAGATCAGAGACAGCTGGCTCAGTGAATGTAGAAACACACACACACAAACACAGAGGACGCCAATGTCTATGTGATTGCCAGTGAATAATAGCACCAGGTCATGCTGCAAAATCTTTACATCCTAAATAAATTTCCCCAAGAAAGATCTTACTTAGGTACTCCATAGAAGTAGAATCTTATAGTAAATCTATAATCTTGTATTCTTATAGTACTAATTCCGGGAAGGTTTATGATACAGAATCACCAGTTACTAAAGTACACTTTCTAGGATAGATATACCTCCAAAAAGAGCCAATATCGACTGCCAGTGGCAGCTGTGATGCCCTCCGCTGTCTATAAACGCACATCTAAGGCATAATCATGAGTTCCACATCGCACTGCACAGTCCATACTGAGCCACTGTAGATGCGAAATCCCCTCGCCCTATCCTGGAGAGTCGGAGTCTACTCCCTCCTTCCCTCCTGGGCGTTGCTTCGCTATCGGGGTTGCCTGATCAGGAAGGGACCTCCAGCAATATAACCACCACCCACCGCCCACCGCCCGCGCCACCGCTCCAGTGGTATCACGTGCTCTCGCGCCGCGGTCCTCGCGTCGAGCAACGCGCAGATCGAACGATAGCAAAGAGTTGATGTGACCAGCAAGCCTGCCCTGACTCTGAGCCATCGCGCGGATCATCGGGGACGGTCTGATCCGGAAAACTAATCGCGGGCGTTTCCCCTCCGCAGTCCTCAACATGTGAGTCTTTCCCCGGGGAATAAGCCTTGCTTGCCTTTTTTTTTATCCCACCCACTAACCAGTTAGCAGGTGTAAGCTCCGCGGAGTTCCCAACTGTGGGGCGAAGAATTTGGGATGACTGACTTGACTGACTGACCCTTTGGTTTCCGGTTCCAGCGAAGATTGATAAGCTGTCGATTCTGGGGTAAGTTTGGTTCTATCTATATTGATGATGAAGGGAATTGATTGTAGTGGATTTGTTGACTGATGATGGACTGACTCGTGTGTGGTTGATTAGTGTTCGCTCCTTTGATAATACCCGCAGCGAGACGATCCAGTTCCACACCCCCCTCACGTTGATCGTCGGCTACAATGGATCGGGGAAGACGGTAGGATGGATTTGATACGGTATCCATATGGGGCATCGGGGCTAATATGGATGTAGACCATCATCGAATGTCTCAAATATGCTACGACCGGCGACCTGCCGCCCAACAGCAAGGGTGGCGCTTTCATTCACGACCCGAAGGTATGCCCATCACGTGTGGATGTGTGGATGTGTGGATGTGTGGATGGTTGCTGAGATATAATGGTAGTTGTGCGGTGAGAAGGAAGTCCTGGCCCAGGTGAAGCTGTCGTTCAAAGGCACTTCGGGTGCGAAGATGGTTTCTACGAGGAGTCTGCAGCTTACGGTTAAGAAGACAACACGGCAGCAGAAGACGCTAGAGGGACAGCTGTTGATGATTAAAGATGGAGAGAGGACGTCTATCTCCTCTCGGGTGGCGGAGCTGGATCAGATCATGCCCCAGTATCTGGGTGTGTCGAAGGCGATTCTAGACTCCGTCATCTTCTGCCACCAGGACGAGAGCTTGTGGCCCATGAGTGAACCGTCGGTCTTGAAGAAAAGGTTCGATGAGATCTTTGAAGCGATGAAGTATACCAAGGCTATCGATAATATCAAGTCCCTCCGGAAGAAGCAGAACGAAGAGCTTGCCAAGTATAAGATCATGGAGCAGCATGCCAAAGAGGATAAAGAGAAGGCGGATCGTGCGGAAAAAAGGTCTATCAAGCTCCAGGATGAGATTGAAGCTCTGCGTGGCGAGACGCACCAGCTTAGTCAGGAGATGCGCCGGGTGGCTGAACTGGCTGATAAAGCGTGGAAGGAATCTGAGAGTTACTCCCAGATCCTTGGTGCCCTGGAAGGAAAGCGCATCGAGGCGAAGAGTGTTCAGACAACCATCGACAACCTGAGGAGGCACCTTGTCGAGCTGGACGACTCGGATGAATGGCTGGAGTCAAACTTGGAACAGTTCGAAACCCGGCAACTGCAATATCAGCAGCAAGAAGAGGCCCAGAAGGAGACCTACATGGAGCTGAAAGACCAAATAGATCGGTCTAGGCAGAGGCTGGGCAACAAGCAGGCTGAATATGGAAAGTTTGAGAATGACAAAGCCAACTTCGAGCGTCAGGTCGAGAGGCGGCAAAGGATGACAAAAGAAGTTGCACGGAACCAGAATATTCGCGGGTTCGACGACGTGGTAGACCAAGCAGACGTCGACGAGTTTATGAGAAGGATTCGGAAACTACTGAAGGATCAGAACCACTCACTGGACCAAGCTAAGCGAGACGCGCAGACCGAACTTCGTGACGTCCAGGAATCCCTCAGCGAGATCGGACAGAAGAAATCTGCGCTGCAGGGGAGAAAAGCCGCAGCAAAGCAACAAATAGCCACGAACGACAGAGAGGCGGCCACTTACCAAGCGAAGCTCAATGAGATCAACGTGGACGAGGGTGTTCAAGCTGCGTTGGAGTCGAACATCGAGGATATCGGGTCTCAATTGGGACAGGCCAAGGAGCGTGCCCGATCTGCATCATGGGATAAGGAGATACAAAGCGTGAATTCGCAAATCCGTGACCTTGAAGACGAAAGCTCACGCTTGAATGCCGAGCTCATTGATGCTACGAAGAAGGCCGGTGACCTTGCACGGCTAGACCACCTAAAAAAAGAACTGAAGGAACGTGAGCGCAGTCTGGAAACCATGAAAGGAGCTCATGGCGAGCGCTTGTCCAAGTTTGTTAGCTCGAGCTGGACTCCGGAATCTCTAGAACATGAGTTCCAACACTCCCTGGAAGAGGAATCCCGGCATGTCTCAAAGGCTGAGCGCGAGCGGGACGGTATCAGCAGAGAGCTTGAACAAGTGGACTTCAAATTAAAAGGCGTCAAGAAGACATTGAGTCAGCGACAGAAAGAACTCAAGGAGTGTGTCGAGGAGATCCGTGAAGCGGTCAGCGATGAGCCTGGGGAGTATCCCGATATTGTCAAAGAGCGTCAGGCCCAGCTTGATCTTGCGAGAAGGGACGCCGAGCAATATGCTGGGATTGGCGAGTATATGGTGACATGCCTCGAGACCGCCAAATCGGCAAAGCTGTGCAGACTGTGTACGCGGACATTCAAAAGCGATGCTGAACTGCAAGCCTTTAGAAACAAACTGGAGGGCCTGGTGAAGAGGGCCAAGCGGGATGCCGAGGATGAAGATTTACAACGTCTTGAGGAGGACCTCAACGCGGCTCGCGAAGCCAGCACCGCCTACGATACCTGGTGTCGTCTGAAGCAAACCGAAATTCCGGACCTCGAGAAAGAGGAGGAGCAATACGTTGCCCAGCAAGACAAACTTCTGGGTCAGCTGGAAGACCATGACAAGATCGTGAGCGAGAAGAACGAAAAGAAGAAAGACGTCGAATCGCTCTCGAAGACTGTCAACACCATCGTCCGGTACGATGGTGAGATCAAGGCCATACGCTCTCAAATACAAGAGCTTTCTTCGAAACAGCAGGATGCCAATGCCACCCGCACGCTGGAGGATATCCAAGAGGAGATAGCTGGGATTGGTGAAAGGTCCAGAGCTCTGAAGAAGACCCTGTCCAAGCTCACGCATGAGAAAGAGCTAACATTGTCTGAGACGAACAAGTTAGAGCTGCAGCTGAGAGACGTGAAGAGCAATCTGGACAATGTGAAATTCCAGCTAGAGCGGAAGGCAAACCTGCTTGCTCGCATGGAAGAGTACAGAACTCTGAATCTCCAGCAACGCGAAGCAATTGCAAACGCAGATAAAGAAATCGAGAGCCTAACCCCGGAGCTCCTCAAGATTCAAGCCCAATATGACGATATCAGTCAACGCGCCGAGGCGCGCGAGAGGGAGATGCAGCAGGCAATTTCCCAACTATACGAAAACGTACACCAACTCGAATTGGCCAACGAGGAGATCGATGCGTACAACGGACGCGGGGGCCCAAACCAGCTCGAGCGAAGCAAGCGTGAACTCCAGAGCATCGAAAACGAGATCAGCGAGCTCGAGTTCGAACAGGCCAGCATCACGAAGGAAATCAACAAGATATCCACCCAGCTCAAAGACAGCGAAAACACCAAGCGCCAATACGCGGATAACCTGACCTACCGCCAGGCGACCCGGTCGCTCGACAAAGTCACCGCAGAGATCGAGCAGCTCGCAGCCCAAAACGCAGATGTCGACCGGAGTCGCTTCAAAGAAGAATCCGAACGCCGCGCGCGCGAACACAACGCACTTGCCGCCAAACAAGCGAGCAAAATGGGCGAGATGAAGTCCAAGGACGACCAACTCATGCAGCTCCTCGCAGACTGGAACACTGACTACAAGGACGCATCCGGCAAGTACAAGGAAGCGCACATCAAGGTAGAAACAACCAAAGCCGCCGTCGACGATCTAGCCCGCTACGGCGGAGCCCTCGACAAGGCCATCATGAAATACCACGGCCTGAAAATGGAGGAAATCAACGCCATCGTCGGCGAACTCTGGCAGAAGACATACCGCGGCACCGACGTCGACACGATTCTCATCCGCTCCGACAACGAGAACGCCAAGGGCAACCGATCCTACAACTACCGGGTGTGCATGGTCAAGCAGGGCGCCGAGATGGACATGCGTGGCCGCTGCAGTGCAGGCCAGAAGGTGCTAGCCAGTATCATCATCCGACTAGCCCTCGCCGAGTGCTTCGGCGTCAATTGCGGCCTGATCGCCCTCGACGAACCGACCACCAATCTCGACCGGGACAATATCCGGTCGCTCGCCGAGTCGCTTCATGATATCATCCGCACGCGTCAGCAGCAGGCCAATTTCCAGCTGATTGTCATCACCCACGACGAGGAGTTCCTTCGGCATATGCAGTGCGGGGACTTCAGCGATTACTACTACCGTGTTTCGCGGAATGAGAAGCAGAAGTCTATCATTGAGAGGCAGTCCATTGCTGAGGTATGTCTTGTCTGAAGCGGAATTGAGGAATGGACGGCTGTTTCGAACTAACAATCTGTGTACCTAGGTTATGTGATACGCCGGTCTCAGAAATCTGTTGCTAATTGCTATGCCACAGCGGGATGGATGTCGGTATAGCCTTGGCTCGTTCATCGCCCAGATAAGATCCCTTGGTCGCGATTCGTGTAAATTAGCTAGCAAATATAGCGATATAGTCATTGGAAGCATGCGCTGGCGCTGGGGACCGAGGAAAATGATATTACTTTTGAGCCATTTCACGACCTTCAATACACACTAGCCTGATACGGAGTATACTACTACTATACTATCTATACACACACGATCAAAAACCAAACAGTTCATTATCCTTATCCTCGCCGTCGCCCTCCTCATCCAACAACGGCACAAAGCGAAAATCCACAAACGCCACAATGGGCGGAAGCCCACCGTCTTTCTGCGGACGGGTGTTAAGCCCACCGCCATAGGGATCAAACTCGATCATGAACTGCAGACTCAACACGCCCTGGCGATCGCCACGGATGCTCACTTTATTCGCCACGGCCATCGCGCGCGTGGCTTTCTGGATCAGCTTGAACTTATAGCTCTGCAGGATGCGCGAGCCCAGCGACGACGACGGCGGACTGACAAGAAAGGTCTCTGTGACGGTGGGCACCAGTCTCGCTTTCTTGGCTCGCGGTCTGTGCTCAGTTGAGTCTCGGGCTGAGGCGGATGCTTTGGTGGAGCCTTGGTCGACGGAGAATTCTACAGAGGACTCGCTGAAGGGGCCGCCGGCGCCGGACAGCGCGAAGAAGGGTTCCTGGGTGTCGGAGGCGGAGATCTTGAGGGCGGCGGGGTTGGTCGCGGCCAGTTCGGTGATCGCGTTGTGCAGCCAGGCGGAGCGCATGATGATCTTCATGTTCACGGCGTCGCGCTGTAGTGGGATGTCGACCTCGCTGCCCTCCGGCTCGTAGGTGGTCAGGTTGCAGGTGGTTTTCATGCCGGGGCCGGTGAGGGTGATGCTGAGGGGGGCGCCTGCTCTTGGGTACCGGATGATGCAGGAGCGTTCGATGAGTAGTGTTGGCGCGTTGAAGGCGTTCGAGCTGGGCGCGTAGCTCGGTTGGACGCTGGAGGCGCGGCTGGCGTTGCTGCCGGCGTAGGTGTCGTTGATGCTGAGGATTCGGAGGGTTTCCAGAAGCGCGGATAGGGAGACCACGAAGCAGGGGTAGTAGATGGCGGCCGAACTGGAGTCATTGGAGTCATTGTCTTCGTCGTTGTCGTCGTCGTCGTCTGCGGCTGGTGCGGGAGGGGGGTTGAAGGTGTAGCTGGCGAAGAGCGCTTTATCGAGAAAGGCGAGGCCCTGGATCACGCGCAGCTCCTCTGCGGAGAAGCGGAGCCCGTCCGGGGTTATTTGCACGGTGGCTTTCGAGGCGAAGCCGATGCACTGGAGGAGAATGTAGAGTTGCTGGGCATTGCTGGAGATAGCAGTGAAAATGGGTTCCGCGTCCATCGTGATGGAATCTTGGGATAGATTTGGCTAGACACGACTGATGTAGAGTCGAGGGCTAATGGTATGATAGAAGGTTGGATTGACAGAGAGAGAAAGAGAGAGAGAGAGAAGTGGTGGTTATGAAGACAACGCTTTTTTGCTTCGTTTCAAACTCTCCAGTGTATGGTACATGGGTATCTGGAAAACAACGGGTATTCAAACGTAGACTCCAACGGCACAGATCATGAACACGGCTCCGAAGCTGGTGGGGAGAAGTTAGCGATTGTTGGTAGGAGGGTGGGGACTGGATCTGGCCTTACCCAAACGCCAACGCCGCCGGGACGCCGAACGAGGCGATGCTGAGAAGAGAACGGTCTGCTGGTTGTAAGTATAAGACAGGACGAATCGGGTTGGTCACGGGTACTGACTCAGGCCGAAGAGACCGGTGAGAAGAAAGGCTGGCATGGGTTAGTAAGGCGACTCTCCATATCAGAGCGGATCGGACTCACCAGCGAGTAGTAGAGTAAAGCCGACAGTGAGCTGGCTATCCTTGGCGATAAGAGGATAGAAGGGGCTTGCAGAAGCTGCCTCCCAGACTTCGTTCAGAGACATGGGGAATTGTGGAGAATGCGCACGGAAAGACAGATAGATGGTGACTTGGGCTGAAGAGGAAAGAGAGAGGAGGAAGGGAGAGGGAGAGGGAGAGGGAGATGAAGCTCCCTCCAGCGGTGGTCGGAATACTCGCCGTTAGTATGAGACTAACCCGATGGACGAATTGGGTTATCTGGCTTGACGGCCCCGGATCAACGTGTCACCGACCCGCTCCGCCTCCGTAATCAATCGGTCGGGACGTGGAGAAGCAAGACACCGAGACACCGAGAGAGCTCCCATCTTCCCCGTCATCGGAGCATTCTGCCCACCATGCCTGCTATCATGTCGGAGAGTAAGTGCTCATGGGAGACGGCGCGTCATCGCGCTTGCCGCCGATGCCCTGTTTACTGACGTCCGTCCAGCTACCAAGCGGAAAGCGTCGGAGGAGGCGCTCTCCCCGGATTCCCAGCAGCGGAGCAAGAAGGCGCGCACTGACTCACCCGAGAAGGACCCAAAGGTAGGTTGGAGCACTCTTGTGGACATGGCGGGGATTTATGCTGACTGTTTGCTTCTCAGATCGAAGATGGTTCGATGGACAAGCCCCCGATGAGAATCGTCCCCTTCCCGGAGAAGGTATGCCCGCCGATCCACCTCCGCGCGTGGATGACCTGACCGCTAACCCCACGGTAGCCTGCGGTTTTAGAAGAACGTCGCGGGGAAATCGAGTTTCGCGTGGTCAACAACGATGGCTCGCGGGATAGCTTCGTGGTCTTGACCGGACTGAAGTGCATTTTCCAGAAGCAGCTCCCGAAAATGCCCAAGGACTATATTGCGCGATTGGTCTACGATAGATCGCATCTGTCTATAGCCATTGTCAAGCATCCCTTGGAGGTCGTCGGGTGTGTAAACGAGCGGGACATGATAATCGGTCTTGGGCAGTGCTGACGGAGGTTATAGGGGGATCACATACCGGCCGTTCAATAGTCGCAGATTCGCCGAGATCGTCTTCTGTGCTATCTCTTCCGACCAACAAGTCAAGGGATATGGCGCGCATCTGATGTCACATCTGAAGGTAAGCTTGGTCGTCTATATTGGAGAACCCCGCTTATATATCGTTTCTAGGATTACGTCAAGGCGACATCGGACATCATGCATTTCCTCACCTACGCCGATAACTACGCCATCGGGTACTTCAAGAAGCAGGGCTTTACGAAGGAGATCACGCTCGATAAGTCTGTATGGATGGGATATATCAAAGATTACGAGGGAGGTACTATCATGCAGTGCACTATGCTTCCTACGATACGGTACCTCGAGATTGGTCGCATGCTTCTAAAGCAAAAGGAGGCGGTTCATGCGAAGATCCGCGCCTTCAGTCGATCACATATTATACATGCGCCACCCAAGGAGTGGAAGAATGGGTCGTGTAAGATCGAACCGCTGAACATCCCGGCCATCAAGGAATCGGGATGGTCACCGGACATGGATGAATTGGCGCGACAACCACGCCACGGACCAAACTACAACCAACTATTACACCTTCTCAACGACATGCAGAACCACAGTGCGGCGTGGCCTTTCACCCAGCCAGTCAACCGCGACGAGGTGCCCGATTACTATGAAGTTATCAAAGAGCCGATGGACCTGTCGACTATGGAAGAGAAACACGAGAAGGACATGTACCCAACACCACAAGACTTCACCAAAGATGCCATGTTGATTTTCGATAACTGCCGGAGATACAACAACGAGAACACGCCCTATGCAAAGAGTGCTAACAAACTCGAGAAGTTTATGTGGCAGCAGATACGAAATATTCCCGAGTGGTCGGTAAGTAGTGTTTCTATACCATCCAACAGTGAGAACCCGGTAATTGCTAATGTATGCCAGCACTTGGCTGATGGCCATTGATGAGCCCATGGGGCTCTTTTGAGCATGAAGGAGTTTCTGGATGGCGTTTCGTTCTCGTGGCATGAACAAATACCCGGGCGATGAGAACACGGTGCACTTTAGCCTTTTAGCCTTTGCCCTATTTTTATTATTCGTCTTGGTGATAGATGTCGACAATGAGAGACCGTTCGACCACATTAATATCCTGAGATACCGAGCTGATATTGTCCCACCTTACACGATCTCTCACCATCCAAAGCTCCAACTCTCGTCTGCAATGTACTTGCCACTCAGCTCACCCGGATCGCCCTCCGAGGCGGCGCGCACAATGACTTTGGCGCCATCCGTCGCCTCCTTGGCCCCTTTACCATCAGTCAGGCTTGTACGACAGTACCCCGGCGCAGCCGCGATGACGGCGATCTTCTCGTCCTCCAGATTTACCGAATACGCAGCGGTGATCATATTGACAGCTGATTTGCTGCTGCGATAGTCCGGAATGAAATAGGCCTTCGCATTGGAAGGATGTCCCTTCTTGCCCGCTCTGCTGATCAACCCCTGCCCTGACGTGACATTGACAATACGACGATCGGGATACGTCGACGCACGCAACAGCGGCAGGAACGCATCCATGACAACCGCCACGCCGAATACATTGACGTCAAAGATCTGGCGGTACTGCTCGCGCAGGGTCCCATTTGTGTCCGGGGCCTGCGCAATACCGGCGTTGTTGATCAGAATATCCAAACGCCCGAACTCGTCCGACACGCTCTTGGCTGCGGCCGCGATCGATGCATCGTCCGTTACATCGATCGTGATGGGCGTGAGGGCTGACTTATTCACCGCAACTGATTCTAGCTCCTTGACTGCGGCCTGCGCTTTGAGTGCTGAGCGCGCTCCGACCAGCACGTGGAAGTTGCTGGTGCTGGCAAGCTGCTGTGCCGTGGCGAAGCCGATGCCCTGGTTGGCTCCGGTGATGAGAACGATGGCTTTGGGAGATGGCATTTTGGGCTGCTGTGCTGATATTGGGAGTGAGATCGAGACGGACTGATATTTGTTTTGGAGATTCGGGGTGACCTGCTCAAAGTACTGTTTGGAGGAGGTGGGATCTGGTCCCCTTATTATAGTTCCGCCTTTGGCTTGTCCGTACTCCGAAAGCAAGACCTTAAATCCGTTATCTCCGATTCGTCCCTGGAGGTATTCGCTGTAGCAGATTTCTGTCTGCCATGGAGGACCGGTATGTAGTACGATACGACAAACATAAATTCCATAATAAGAGGCCCTGGGAGAGGGAGGGTTGGTCAATCAATCTGCCAGCTGCCATCCAGTTTACGGATTATCAGACACCGAGACACCGATATGCTCGTTTCGTGACACAGTATGGACTACTCATCTACTATAGACTCGACTCGGCTGTTTCAGCCATGATGAACGCCCGCTCATGCAGACGAGGCCTGATCCCTGTCTTTAATATAGTATAGACATGACATGGGGTGGGCCATGCAGTTCCTCGAGATATAGGTAAAGGGCCGGGTATCCACTCACTACGTACCTAGGGGGGTGGGTACCTGCCTTAGAACAAAGAACTCTACCCGAAGGTAGATAGTATCTACGAACCAGAGGGACATGTGTATACTGAGTGGAAGTAACAATGGGATTACGATACGAATAATTACGTGGTTTATCTTTTCGCAAGTTAGACATGGCACGTTATTTGTCTACATGTGCATACGACGCCCATAGAACGGGGGGTTTTTTTTTCCTAGTGATGGGAGGAAAGAGGTATGTGAAATCTCTGCAATAATACTGCTGATATTGATTCAAGTTGTATGTTTCCTAGGATTGACTAGATCATACTAGAAAACGAGGAGCCGAGATGTGATCATCTAGGCGAGTTCGGTAATAACGGCACGGGGGGAGTTATAGCCTGGAAAAGGATCCTCCTCTTCGCACAGCCACGGAAAGAGGGTGTCGGGCAAGTAGCCCTCTTCCATCCAACGGAGCGCAGTGACATATCCCTCCTCGTTGGCGGGCATAGTGTCATCCTCGCACAGATTCTCCCACCAGACTTGGAACTGCGGGTAAAAACATTCCATGCGGAGAAGCTCGTCGAGACAGCCACGATCAAAGTACAGATCCCGGAGGAGCTGGATTTCCAGGGCCCACTGGGCACCGCGGTCCCTGGTGTGCGCATCCCGCGCGCAGAGAAGCATCATGGCCTCGACGTAGCGAGCGGGTCTCGGCACTTTGATGGGAGGAATGTCCACGTTGAGGCGGCCGTAGTACATCATGCCGGGGAGGCGTCGGTCAGTTGCCAGCATGAAGTGAGGGTCGTTTTCATTGACTGGTCCGAGGACAAGGTCGGGCAGGTTCCAGAAGTAGTCGGACTTCTGGTGAAGACACAGTTCAGGGTGGAATTCATCGGGGGCATCCTCGCCAGCAAGATGGAACCAGTGAATAGGCTCAAACCTGGTAATGTCGCGGCCGCGTGCTCTCTCGCACAACGCCCGGAACGGTCGACACTTGAGTTCGCCCTGAGGGACAATGGGGTCGTCAGCGAAGTCTGCCGCCCGCAGTACGTCGACTGCTTTATCCATGAGATCATCCGGGATCACAAATTCGATATCCTGCTTGTATTAGTGCCTGTTTGGTGTACCACGAGTAATGGAATCAAGGGATGACTTACAGTGACGGCTACATCAAATCCAAAGATATCGTGCATGCAGTCGTTGATGAGGATGCAGGGAATCCCATTCGCCTCGAGGAGTCGGGCCACATTAAAGACCAGCTCAACGGTCACTTCCTCACCGGTGTACTTGAATTCGGACATTGTATACGATCTTGGGCGTAAAGTCGAGATGGGGGATGTCTGAAATCTGCTGTGAGGACAACTGGGCAGGGGAGCGCGAGGAGGGATATACCTCGCTATATATATAAAAGTCATGACTGACTGCGACTAGGTATACTCCGACTGGCCTGGTGAGGTAGAAAGCAAACAAAGTACAGTGATAAGGGCTCGATGAGACGGAATCAGCCGATCGATTGGGCTCGTAGAAAAGGACTTTTCCTGGTCCAACAAGGAGATAGTCGAGCGCCGCGAAGGAACTACAAGGAATAGTCCGATATCATGGCCACGATCCTTGAGGATCTCACAAATTGACTTGTCCTCTTGCCATGCTTCCTGTAGTCCGAGCGCTAGGTTTGGCATGGGGGTGTTCTCCTTGCAAAGCCGGAGGTTCTCTACCCTCCTTGATGAGAGGAAGGATGGTGGTGGCGTTTGACAGGGAGAAAATGAATACCAACATGGTATGGTGATTGTTTGTGCTCAACAGACTTGGTATATTCCGACAGGTAATAGAACTAGAGCTCTAGCGATGACTATATTCTGTATGATAGACGTATTGCTGAGCCATCCAAGCTCAATGCAGTACTGCCACAGAGCTCTTCCAGACTCAATGGCTGCGCAGTCCAAAAGGGCGCGTGGGAGCACCGGGATATGAGAGGTAAACAATGATATCATCGAGATATTTCCAGATTAGGCGTGGATACCCGCCAATCTTGGCTCGCCTTTTCTTCACCATGTCCTTGAACCGCTAGCCTGCAAGTGCACTGGACTCGGTTTTCAATTTTGGGGGCACCTGCAAAAGTGCAAAGCGCTTCGTGACCCGCACCCAGCAACTGAGCAATGGCCGTCGTCTAAAAATCTGCCTAGTTGGAGTGGCTCTGCAATAATAAATTGATGGGCCGACCGAGAACCAACACCAACGGGGCGGATCCGCCGCGGTTGCTTTTTTTGGTGGAGGGGCGATCTAACCCTTCTGGAACGCAGAGAGATAGACATCTGATACGCACTTCTGTGTGTATCACTTGGCTCTGTTCAAGGCCCCTGCTGGTAGATAGATATCTACAGGGTCAGAGTCATAATGCAAGCTGCAAAAGAATGCATTGGAGCTCCTCCTGAGCGGAGTCCTTTTCCATATCAGGCGGAGGGAGAGAGAGAAACTGGATGAAGCCGCAGGGCGGATCGGCAGCCGGTGGGGCCAGTCATTTCGGATCAACGTCGGTCCGCGGAGCCGTTCCCTCAGGCAGCGATACGTGCTTGTGCCTGGTTACGGTACGGTACACGGGTACAGAGCACCTACTACTGTATGAAGCCGCCTCGTCGTCGTCCTTGTCGGCGGGCTGGCCATCCACTCGCTTTACTTACTACTAGTCCTTCTCTCGCTCACCTTCTCTCTTTCTCTTCTGCGCCTCTCCAATTTCTCACTTCCCCTCCGCCGCCTCCTGCTGTTGCCTGCGTATCCACTGCATGGCTGGTGTCGCGACTACTCCCTGACCTTATCTGCACTCGGTCGGCGGTTTGTTTACGGCCTCGGAACCTTGGGACCCTCTGCAGAGCCTCCTGGCTTGCACAGGCTCCAGTCTATCGTGTCGCTGCAGATTTAATGCCTAAGAGCTAACTCCAACTGTTGACCGTCCTTCCTTTACCCTCGCCCGTCGCCAGCCGCCAGCTTTTCGGTCAATTGTCGAAGAACACGCCTGGATCGGCTCCAGTCGCTTTTTCAGTCTCCTTTTCCCGATCCCAACTCGATTCCCAACCTTCGTTCAACTCCCCTTTTTGGCCCCTCATTGCCGTGCGACCAGTTCGTCCCGAGAAAACACAACCCCCAACCCGCCAGCGATAGGGATTCCGACACTCGTTCACGATGGCGTCGCCCTCTCTCTCCAGCTTGGAGCAGCGGAATCGCCTCCCTACGCTCTTCGAGGTCCTCAGTCGCCGGACTCTCGCTCCCGTGGACCTCTTTTCATTCTATATCTACATGCGAGACCAACAGCGTTCCGTTGATTATCTGGACTTCTGGTACGCCCGAGGAGCTCATCTCATATTTCCATGCTGTGTTCCAGGGGGGATTCTAACTCCAAACTTCTTAGGCTCGATGTTTCGCAGCACATGTCCCTATGCCGCCATTACGTTCGAGAACTACGCCGGTCCGTATTGGTAGCTACCCCCGACCTGGAGAAAGCCGACAGCAAAGGTTCTTCCGCCGCATTGGACAATTTCGAGCATTTTAACGACATTCCGCTTGTTGAAGCGGGTCCCTCAAGTTCACGTCACGGCCTCCACGACCTGGACGACCGGGATGCCGACCAAAGACTATCGGCATTCCTTCGCTCCGAGGGTCACACCTCGGGGCACTCGCCTCAAAGCAGCCTTGGATCGCAGAATGCTGCTCGCGCGACATCCATGGAGCAACTGCCTCGCGAGAGCTCTGGGACCCGGAATGACTCGCCTTCGCCCGGCCATACGGTAGCACGCGCTGATATTCGCGCCAGCGCCGAAAAGATCCTGTACACGTACCTGCTCCCTGGGGCAGAGAGAGAAATTGTTTTGCCCGAGGAGATGGTATCTTCGATTATCAACCTGATTGAGGACGATGGCAGAGACGACCCCGAAGTATTCGACCCCGCCAAGGACTATGTCTTCCAAGCAATGGAACGGGACGCTTTCCCGGGGTTTTTACAGGCCAAGGCTTTGGGTAACCTTGTCCCGTTGACGATCCTCGCGCGGTTGGCCTTGGCCCTAATCAGCTTTGGGGGAGGATTCTGGGGTGCATTCTATGTCGTTCTACGTGACAAGCCAAGGCACATTCGTTGCTGGGTATGTAGCAATTTGTCCTCCAGGGTCGGTCGATCGTGTGATACTAACTCCGAAACAGTTAATACTGCCATTTGCCGTGGCCTCCTACTTTATCGTGTCCTATCAGTACAAGATCGATCCGGTCATGGCCTTCCTCGGCTACAGCGAGTACACCTTCATGAACTGGTCGCCGATTCGCGAGCCGTACGTGCGCAAGCTCTTGAATAAGCGATCCACCGCCACTGCCTTTATCGCCTTCTTTGTCGCCGCCGCTTTAAGTATTCTGTTCATCTTCGTTCCCGGTACTATGCTCTAATCTCAGCAATGTTGCGTATACCCCAACCGGTTCCGTCTTTGAATTTGCTTCGATTCTCACGGCCGTGTGATCCCGCTTTTGGGTAGCACATATGTGCATCATGTTTATTTTTGAGCGTTAGTCAGCGGTCTTCTTTCTTATTTTGGGGGGGACAAGTTCAGCGCAGGGTATGCAGACCCTACTATTCTTATAGTTCTCGCTTGTCTGAGGGAGGATCTTTAATGTGCGCACTATCCGGTGCGTCTTTCTCGTCATCGGTATGGTATGCTTTGCGAGATGCTCGCTGCCAGCTGCTCACGCCTGCCGTGATAACCCAGATCCTTCGGGTCCCAACGTTCCTTCCTTGCCCTCGCCCCTGTTGTATATTGGGTCCTTTTTTTCTTTCTTTTTTTCTTTGTTTATTTACCTCTACATAATACCCCTCGTCCGCTGGACTTGCATGTATGTTAAAACGATTTCTGCGGAGGCCTTGGTGTTGTGGATACATACTTCCACGGTAATTAGGTTCTACTACTACTACTACCTACCACCACTACTACTACATTATGATATTCTTATGCCAAAGTCTTTTTTATTTCTTTTTTCTGGATCTCGGGTGTAGTGCAGATAGTATTTGGAATCCACTGAATTGGAACTGGCTCTGCCGCTAATACCATAATCATTGAGATAGTAAGTGTGCGATTAGTCAATCACCTTCATTCATACGCCTCAACCTGTCCCTGCCATGCCATGCCATGCCAGTTGCTCTGAGCAACCCTCAAGAAATCCATATTTGTCTATCCAACTAACTTATGACTTCTTCCCCAATACCCGCTTAGGATGCCTTGCTCCCAGCCCCCCAGCCCCCAGTCTCGACGACGACCCAGCGCCATCATCAACATCCATCCTCGACCCAAGTCCCTGCATATCCCCTTCCAGCCCATGCTCCCAGTACCCATCATCATCGAAGTCATCCGCACTAAACTCGCGCTTATTCCCACCACCCAAACCACCCCCCCTGTCTCTTCCCTGCCAACCGGCGGTCTTCTTCCCGCCCTCCCCCGACTCAGCCCCCCACCCCGCCAGCGCCTTCTCAAACAACACATTCCGCTCATATTCCTCCGCCCTCCGTCGGACCGACTGCGTCCTGATCCGCGCGATCTCGGCCTCAATGTCCCCGATCACGTCACCGCACCGCGTCTCCCACTGCGTGAGGATCGAGACCATCGGGCCCAGAGACTGCGGCTTCACGTCCCGTAGCGGAGCCACGGCCGTCACGTTGACGGTGGGCGGGTTGGTTGCGGGTGATAAGCGCGCCGTGATCAGTGAGGAGTAGATGGCTTTTGTGACGAGGGATTCGAGGTCCAAGGGGGCGGTGATTGAGAGTGCGCTCATGAGAGAGTTGTACGTGAGGGGTTTGAGGGTCGTTGAGAGGGTGAGCAGGGAGAGGAGGCGGAGCTTGAGCGTTTGGGTTTCGTTGAGCGGGGGCAGGTTGGGGGTTGCTGTTGCGTGGGGGGGTTAGTGGTTTATCTATATCTCCTGGGTGGGCGTGTTTTGTGTTGATTGGGGGATTGGGAGGGAACGAGGGGAAAGTGAGGGTTGCTGTGGGAAGCTGCCTTACCCTGGTAGTCTTGCCATGTGCCCCAGGCGAAGATCTCGAGGAGAGTCAGGTAGCCTTTGTATTCATCTGGGGTGTCGGGCGCCCGGAGGGCCTGGATGGCTGGTGTCTCGAGGAGTTCGGCGAAGACGTAGGTGTTCGGGCTGGAGGTGGCGTTGGTGATGAGGTTGGTGGTGAAGCGGGGGGAGGTCGCGCTGTTGGAGTTGGCGAGGTGGACGAAGGGCTGTAGGGCTTCAAGCGCCCGGGTGTGTATTTGGTCCATGGTGGTGGTTCTTGAGCTGTGGTGGTGGGGATGATGGCTGTTGGTTGGGAGGGGTGAATGGTTTGCTTTGGTTTTGGAGGTGAGATGACGCTCAGAGAGGCATGTTGGTTTGGAGTATAGCGAGAGGGCAGCGTGTTACCACGCAGAATGTGGGGTTGGGGCTCAATCGGGTGGTGGTAGGAGGGGGAATGGAGATGTTGTTGACGATGATGACGGTGATGGTTGTCGATATCCCGCTCTGTGGTGTTTGCATTGAGTGCAAACATCAACATCTACAGTCCTCCGTCCTTCCTGCCTGCCAGCCCATGTGATCCAGTGGCTTGCTTCTTTGATAAGCACCCCATAACTAGTTACCGGCTGCATTCGAGTGGATTGCTGTTGGCATTCCCAGACAGATCACGGCCATTAGACCACAGCCATGACACAAGTTGATTTATCTACTGGAGACAACTCAGTTCCAGTCCAGGAATCATTCCGGTTTCTCTATCCATATAGTCGAAACCGGAGCAGCGCCAAGTGTTTCAACCCCGGCACTCTTTTAGTCCTTGTCTAGCTTTAATTGTGATGACAGCTCGTGACTGGGGGTTTAATTACTTAAAGGACGATAGTCATGCCTGATGCTTTCAGCGTCACAGCAAGCCGATGGACTCGAGCAGGGTTCATCCTGGAGCGTCTCGATCGTGTCTGACGTGTTATTCATACCAGGTTACACCCGGCCTCGTGTACTCCGTAGCAGATGCAGACATGTCTTGTGCACAATGAATCTGGTCTGGTGTACAATACGGCCTTGTCCAATGTGCAGACGCCAGAGGCTATCTACTGGAGGCTTGGGCCAGCCGGCTTATTGATGCTTATAGAATCAAAGAAACTGACCGAACCCTGCAAAGCCTTCAGGCCGCCCATTGCATGAACCCAACCCTTGCAGACTCACACCGGGCACACGACGTATTTGTTGACACCCCCACTCCATCAAGAGACGTCAAAAACCGCTTCTCCAAGAGCGCCTGGGTGGTCTGGGTCCCCCCGGGATGCCTGGAATGGGCAACCCCCCTCCGAATGGCTGATTGCGGCCGCGATCGCAAGTGACCGTACCGTACGGGTAAGTTACGTAACGGCGCGGGGCGGCGGAGGCCGGCCGCGGTGGAGACGATACGTATTTTTCTCTAGCGCACTGGGGCTTTCCCTTTGCCATCATTCCTGGATCTAATCTAATTATCTAAAACTAGATCAAAGAAGAAAGGCTGCACGGCTGGCTGGGACCGGTCTGGAATGGAATGTGCGCAAAATGACTCGGTCCCATGCGGATGTTTGGTGTTTGTCCGGAGGTTATCATCTATCTAAATTGCTGCTGTCTTAGGCCAAGATCCTCCAGGCCCTGTTAGTGACCTCCGTCCGTAGTTGCTCCCCTGCTCTCCTCCATTTAATTTGTCGCGGCACCTTTAAAAAGACCCGGCTTATCCTTCCGTCGCATCCGGCCTGACTGTCCTGCTATTTGATCTTTTCTTCTTCTTCTTCTTATTACTGCTTGAACGACCCTTGCATAGTATGCCCGCCTAACCGTGCGGTCTCCGCCCTTTATTACCGCCTGGGAATCCCCCGAACCCACACCCAAAACGAGCTTATGCGATAACACCACCGCCTCCGGCCTCGCCTCGTCTTTGGTCCTTGCCTTGTCTGCCTTCAACGCGAAAAGGCGCAACATGGCGACCTCATCCTCCCCTTTACTACCCCTCGGGTTACTATCCCTCGGGGGCGATGGATCGATCCCCAGCCGTTCAGCGGCCCACATGGCTACCACGACCGTCAACGTGGAGGGAATGACGTGTGGTGCCTGCACCTCGGCCGTCGAGGGCGCCTTCAAGGGTGTGGAGGGGGCCGGTGAAGTCACCGTCAGCTTGATGATGGGCCGCGCCGTCGTGCACCACGACCCAACCCTGCTCCCTGCGGAAAAGGTCGCCGAAATCATCGAAGATAGCGGTTTCGATGCAACGATCGTCTCTACCGATACCCCGTCCCCGGTGACAGGTGATTCTCGCGGTACCCGGGACAAAGTGTTTCAGCTGTCAACCACGACGTTGGCGGTCGAGGGCATGACGTGCGGCGCCTGTACCTCCGCTGTGGAAGGAGGGTTGAAGGAAACTCCAGGTGTACAGTCCGTCAACGTTTCACTGCTCTCGGAACGAGCGGTCGTGGAACATGATGCCTCCGTCATCACCCCGGACCAGGTCGCCGAAATAATCGAGGATCGTGGCTTTGGCGCTAAGGTGCTGGAAACCTCAACGGCCGACAACGCTACCCGCACCTCGCATGAACTGCCCGAACCGACCTCACGTCTCATGGTAACAACGGTCTCGATAGATGGTATGACATGTGGTTCATGCACAGCGAGCATACAGAACGCCTTCGATGGGGTGGCCGGCTTAGTACAATTGAACATCAGCTTGCTTGCGGAACGTGCGATCATCACCCACGACCCGGCTACACTAACCACCAAAAGTATTGTCAACATAATTGAGGATGGTGGCTTCGATGCAGTGGTTCTCTCGTCAGAATCGCAGGCGTCCCCGAAGGGTATTAGTCGTGTCACTCTGAGCCTTCACGGCGTGCGCGACGCCGCTTCTGCCTCGGCCTTGGAAGACTGCCTACTCCAACGGCCCGGTGTGTCCTCGGCCTCTGTAAATATGGCCACCTCTCGGATTATACTCTCATTTGATTCCTCCGCAGTCGGCATTCGTTCGATCGTCGAAATGATCGAAGCGGCTGGATATAATGCCTTGCTATCGCAGTCCGATGATACTGATGCACAGTTGGAATCTCTCTCCAAAACTAAGGAGGTTCGAGAATGGAAGCGTGCCTTCCTCTTATCTGCGTCTTTTGCAGTCCCCGTTTTCCTGATCAACATGGTCCTTCCGATGTACCTTCCAGTCCTTGATTTCGGCCGGGTTGCGCTATGCCCGGGACTTTACCTCGGCGATGTCGCCTGTCTTTTGCTCACTATGCCAGTACAGTTTGGGATTGGAAAGCGGTTCTACGTAGCCAGCTATAAGTCCCTCAAACACCGGTCGCCCACCATGGACGTTCTGGTCATGCTGGGCACGTCTGCAGCGTTCTTTTACAGTGTTTTCACCATGGCTGTCGCCTTGCTCTCGGACAGCCACATGCGACCCAGTACGGTTTTTGACACGAGCACGATGCTGATAACCTTCATTACCCTTGGCAGATGGCTGGAGAACCGGGCCAAGGGTCAGACATCTGCGGCTCTCTCTCGACTCATGTCCCTCGCGCCGTCAATGACAACGATTTACGACGACGCCATAGCAGCGGAGAAGCTGGCAGAGGAATGGGGGGCTGCCGATGAAAAGTCAAAAGAGCAGACGTCAAATTCGTCAGCTAATGAGCGTGCTGGACCCGGACACAAGGTGATTCCTACCGAGCTCATTGAAGTAGGCGATATTGTGCTTCTTCATCCCGGTGACAAAGTTTCGGCGGATGGCATTGTTATTCGAGGGGAAAGTTATGTCGATGAGAGCATGATTACCGGTGAAGCCTTGCCGATCCACAAGGTCAAGGGCGATGTTGTAATTGCTGGAACGGTGAACGGGACCAGCTCGATGGACTTCAAGGTCACTCGGGCCGGCAAGGACACCCAGCTGAGTCAGATTGTCAAATTGGTTCAGGATGCGCAAACGAGTCGCGCTCCAATCCAACGCATGGCTGATATTGTCGCCGGCTATTTTGTGCCGGCCATTATCAGCCTCGGGTTAGTCACGTTCTTCGGCTGGATGTTCATGAGCCATGTCCTGCCTCACCCCCCGAAGGTCTTCCTGGCAGAAACTAGCGGAGGGAAGTTCATGGTGTGCTTGAAGCTTTGCATTTCGGTCATTGTCTTTGCTTGTCCGTGTGCCCTTGGTCTTAGCACCCCCACGGCTGTCATGGTCGGCACTGGGGTTGGTGCGCAGCAGGGCATCCTCGTCAAGGGCGGCGCGGTCCTTGAGGCCGCCACCAAGATCAACCATGTGGTCTTCGATAAGACCGGGACATTGACTACCGGGAAGATGAGCGTGGCGGAAGCCAAGATCGAGCCGCACTGGACATCAGACGATTGGCGCCGTCGCCTTTGGTGGCTGATCGTCGGTCTCGCTGAAATGAGCAGTGAACACCCCATTGGCAAAGCCATCTTTTCGGCTGCTCTGACGGAGTCGGGGAACCCTGGAGAAGGAGGCTTGCCGGGCAGCTTGGGAGACCTCGAAGCGTGCGTTGGAAAGGGTATCTCTGCTCTAGTCGAGCCCACCTCCGGCTCCGAGCGTGTACGGTACCGCGTCCTGATTGGAAATGCCGTCTTCTTGCGTTCAAGAGATGTCACTGTCCCGGAATCGGCCGAGCCTGAGGACTCGGATAGCCGTGCTCCCAAGTCCAAGATCCCCGCCGGTATCACACAGATCCACGTCGCCATCGACAACCAATACTCGGGAACTATCTCGCTCAGGGACACCGTGAAAGTCACCGCGCCAGCAGCAGTTGCAGCTCTGCATCGTATGGGCATCGCAACCTCGCTGATCACCGGAGACACCCACGCCACCGCTGTTTCCATTGCCTCGGCCGTGGGCATCCCAGCCGAGTCGATCCACGCCTCTGCCTCCCCGTCCGACAAGCAATCCATCATCGCCTCCATGCAAAATTCAGGCTACCGTGTGGCCATGGTAGGCGATGGAATCAACGACTCTCCCGCCCTGGCCACCGCATCTGTCGGCATTGCCCTTGCCTCCGGAACCGACGTCGCCGTCGAAGCTGCAGATATCGTCCTCATGCGACCAGACGATCTGCTCTCCGTCCCCGCCAGTCTCTCGCTCTCCCGCTCCGTCTTCAACCGCATCAAGTTGAACCTCGTCTGGGCCTGTCTATACAACGTCATCGGACTCCCCTTCGCCATGGGCCTCTTCCTCCCCTTCGGCTTCATGCTCCCCCCCATGGCCGCCGGCGCCGCCATGGCCGCGTCCAGTGTCTCCGTTGTCGTGAGCAGCCTGCTCCTCAAATTCTGGCGACGACCCAGTTGGATGGACGCCGAGAAGCTGCAGAACGATCTCGACATCGCCGATTCCAGCGTCCGCGGCTCCCAGAAGAGCTGGTGGGAAGCTACCCTCTCCGTGACTGGCTCCGGTGGCAGTAGTGGAAGACTATCGTCCCACTGGATCCGGAATACCGCTACAGACGCCTGGTCATTCATGACCGGTCGGAGAAGAAGAGCGTCCGACCCTGACGAGGGCCACTATGTTCCCCTTCAAACAGTGGAGCCGGTTTGAATAACCGCTGTTTTGTCTTAGCCTTTTGGACTTGCCATCTAATGCTGCTCTATATGATTGGTGTTTTCGGATTTAACGACGACCTTCTTCTCGTGATGAATATAAAGCATATCTTATCTTATCCTGTTTTGGGCCTATGCCTTTTTGTTGGGTTATTTGAACTGCATGATTTCGGCATTGTTTTGGCTCGATCGATACCTCTCTTGCGTGCCCTTTCTTTATATATAGCGAGCGCATGTTATGATGGATGTGGAGTTGTGTTGGTGGACTGTGTATGTAATTGTGGGGAAAGCTAATGTCTATGAAGTTCTCCGTGTTGGACGTCTAATATAATATTATGTGTGAGGCATATGCTCATCTTGTTTACTGAGATCGATTAAATGCGCTGATTAATCAATCAATCTATCTATCTATCTACCTATGCATGAATGATACTAATAATATCGAAACTACGATCAGGGAGGTCGGGCACAGCTGTAGGATGATAAGTATTGGATACATTAACACCAAGCAACAACAGCCATGCCATGCCACGCACGGAGTACAGTCAAGTCATATCTGATCGTCAATCATGAAGCAGAAATGCATGCTCAAAAGCAAAAACGCAAAGATACTACGTACACATACTGAGCGCGACTCGATACGCACGCTAATAGACTATCACTATCGCTATCACTGTCACTGTCACTGTCACTGTCACTGTAGCTCCAATCCATCCATTCATCCACATCGACCACACTGACACCGACACTGACATCGATACCATGCTCTCTAAGCCTAAGCCTGCTGTGTATCTTTCTCAGCCGTCTCGGCAGACACGGCCATCTCTTCCCCCGCCGGCTTCGCATCTTCTAACGAGATATCTCCGTCCCCGTCGGCAGTCAACTTCGCCTCCGAGTCCGATCCCACTCCCAATCCCTGACCTGTCTGCTCCTGTGGACCCTCCTGACCCGCAGCCTCAAGCCCAGATGACCCCGCCTCCCCCTCAGCGGCAGAAAGATCCATCTCCACGCCCTTCCCATCCTGTAACCCCAGATCCTCCACCCCGACGACCGACGGGCCCCGCGCATGCGGAATATCCTCTGAATCATCCGGCGGCGGAGATCCCGTCGTCGCCGCCGTCCCTTCACCCCCATTCGTAACCGCAACAGCCACCTCTTCCGTAGATGACGGCACAAGCCCCGCCGTCTCCTGCGCGGATATCCCAGCGCCCTGCGCAGGGAACCCAGTCGTGTCCTCGACAACCGCTGCAGCCGCACTTACACTTTCGCCTTCTGGCGAAGACGCAACGTTACTCAACCAGGGGATGGGGGTCAAGAGCGCGCCGCCGAGCGACTCGTCGCTACCGGGCGTGGGGTCCGGGAAGACGAAGGTGGACTCTGCGCCGTTGAGGATCGCGCCGTTGGGGTGCGTGGCGGTCGTGGACGGCTGGGTCTGCAGCGGGAAGATATCTGCGCTGCTGGTCACGGAGACGACGCGGTCCATGGCGCGGAGGTAGGCTGGGAGGGTGTGGTAGTGCGCGGTGGGGCGGATGATGAGCTCCGCGAGGCGTTGGATGGTGTGGGGGGGTTTGGTGGCGAAGAGGGAGCGTAGGGTCGATTTGATGGTGGTGAGGAGGAGGTGGAGCGGTTCGGGGAGGGTGGGGTGGGAGTTGGCTGGAGAGGGGTTTGGTGAGGTGGTTGTTGTTGTTGTTGCGAGGGAGGTGTCTTTGTTGTTGCTGTTGTCGTTCGTGGTGTTGGGGTCTTGTGCATTGGAGGTTGGTCTATGGGATGCTGGTTCGGGGGGAATTTGGGGCATGGGGAAGATGTTGTAGACGATCTGTTTGAGGTGTGAGTGAGACGATGGGGGTAGGTGGATGGGTGTCGCGCACATGTTCCAATCGTTCGAGTAGAGGGTCGATCATGCTGGGCCATTTCTCGCTGGAAGGGGGGGGGTGTGTCAGCTTCGATCGCAAGGGGTCCTCGCTTGACTGGATTGTGAGGATGCGTACAAGTCCATCGGGCCGCCATTGGCGACTACCTCGAGGGTCTCTTCATCTGCGATTGTATCATCGGTAAGCTAGAGCTAGGGACGGTATCTGAGAAGCTGGTTGATGGGGGGATTGGGGGGGGGGAGTGAAAGAAATGCATTGCGATGCAGGTGAGAACGATGCAGTGGGACGCGACTTACCTAGCGACATGATGGACACTTCTGCAATCGCACAGGTGGCAGCAGGAGGAAGAGGAAGAGGAAGATCGCGCACGATGGATGGCTGGATGGACTCAGGCCGATCTGGCGGCGCGCGGGGACGGCGGCTCCCCCGGCAACGGCAGGATTTGATTGGGCCCGCCAGCCGCTTATCAAGGATGCACGTGACAGTTAGTTATCGGGTGGATTTTTTGCTCCGCCGGAAGAGGGGCAGCTTTTCTCTTCCCCAGATCTCCCCCAGCCCCTGTCCCTTTGGATTCATCCTTCATCCATCTACCCCCCTCCCTCGCAACATGTGGAACTCCCGCAAGGTGGGAATCCTCGGTGGAGGCCAATTGGGCCGCATGCTGGTCGAGGAGGCCAACCGCCTCAACATCCAGTGCAACGTCCTCGATGCGGAGAACTCCCCGGCCAAGCAGCTCAGCGCTCACGACGACCATGTCACCGGCTCCTTCAAGGAGCGCGAGGCCGTCCGCGAACTGGCCAAGTCCTGCGACGTGATCACCGCCGAGATCGAGCACGTCGACACCTACGCCCTGGAGGAAATCGCCTCCCAGGTCCGCATCGAGCCCAGCTGGCAGGCCATTCGCACCATCCAGAACAAGTTCAACCAGAAGGAGCACCTGCGGAAATATGGCATCCCCATGGCCGACCACCGCGAGCTGATCGAGAACACCCCGGAGGAATTGGCCAAGGTTGGCGAGCAGCTGGGGTACCCCATGATGCTGAAGTCAAAGACCATGGCCTACGATGGACGTGGTGAGTCATGGAGTCGTCGTGTCACACTCACACTTGCCCACACCACTAACAAGCACACCCTCACTCCAGGAAACTTCCGCGTGCAAACGAAAGAGGATATCCCTGAGGCCCTGGAGGCTCTCAAGGATCGGCCTCTATACGCCGAGAAATGGGCCTACTTCAAGATGGTGTGTCCCCTCCCCTCGCGAACCACAACTCCCACCACCCACAACCCTAACACCCTACCCCCCACAGGAACTGGCCGTGATGGTCATCCAAACCAAAGACGAAGTCCTCTCCTACCCTACCGTCGAAACCGTCCAAGAAGACTCTGTCTGCAAGCTCGTCTACGCCCCGGCGCGCAACGTCTCCGACTCCATCAACCAACAAGCGCAAGAGCTCGCGCGTAAAGCCGTCGCCGCGTTCGACGGCAAGGGCGCCTTCGGCGTGGAGATGTTCCTCCTGGAAGACGACAGCCTGATCCTCTGCGAGATTGCCAGCCGCATCCACAACTCGGGCCACTACACGATCGAAGGCTGCGCCATGTCGCAATTCGAAGCCCACCTCCGCGCCATCCTCGACCTCCCCATCCCCCCTCAGAGCCTCGAGATCCGCCAACCCTCCATCATGCTCAACATCATCGGCGGCGCCGCCCCAGACACCCACCTCCAGGCCGCCGAGAGCGCCCTCTCCATCCCCAACGCCAGCATCCACCTCTACAGCAAGGGCGCCGCCAAACCCGGCCGCAAGATGGGCCACGTCACCGTCACCGCGGCCACCATGCACCAGGCCGAAACCCACATCCAGCCCCTCGTCGATGTCGTCGACAATATCCGCTCCCAGCGCTCCGACGTCAAGACCAAGCCCCAGGAGTCCGGGCCCTCCAAGCCCGCCCCCTCCGTCGCCGTCATCATGGGCTCAGACAGCGATCTCAAGACCCTGGTCCCCGGCCTCAAGCTCCTGAGGGATTACTTTGGCCTTGACCCCGCCGTCGAGATCACCTCCGCCCATCGCACCCCGACTTACATGGCCGAGTACTCGGCCACCGCCGCCGCCCGCGGCATCAAGGTCATCATCGCTGCCGCTGGCGGTGCGGCCCATCTCCCCGGTATGGCGGCTGCTCATACCGCTCTCCCTGTCATCGGAGTCCCGGTGAAGGGCAGCTCCTTGGACGGAGTCGACAGTCTGTACAGTATTGTGCAGATGCCTAGGGGTGAGTCAGACCTATTTATCTATTCATATTCATTACACTCCCCCCCCCAGAATCCCCAAAGCCCTACCTGTATCTTTCCCCAATTACCACCTTCCCCCACTCCAGCCATCCAACGCCCCCTCCCTCCCTCTCGAATTAATACTAAACCAAACACAAACAGGCGTTCCCGTCGCCACCGTCGGCATCAACAACAGCATCAACGCGGCCCTCCTCGCGGCCCGTATCCTCGGGTCCTTCGACCCGGCCATCCAGCGCAAGGTCGAGGCGTACGCTGAGAGCGCCCGTGCCGAGAACATGGAACTCAAGGGCACCAAGCTGCAGGAACTGGGGTGGGAGAAGTATTTCGCGCAGATGTAAAAGCGGTTTGTCATACATGCTATACATGCCATGACATGACTTGTGCTATGTGCTATGTGATGTGCTATTTGATGTGATTTGATGTGAATGAATGAATGGGATCAAAACGGAATACTCAACAAGACAAAGCAAAACAAAACAAAACAGACAAACTGGCTACGTGAAAGGGAAGGAAAGGAAGTACATATAGAATCTAGAGGCAGGTTTCAATATAAGTGGTAATTTTCTGGTTTTTCTTTGGATTTCTTTATCTCTTTTTGGTTTTGTGGAAAAGTCGGGTCCGGTTTTATTACTGATCCGCAGCAGAATGAAAGACTAAGCATGAGGAAGTCCAGACAATACTACTTCTATCTTAACATCTTGTCTTCAGACAGAGTGCAGTGCACTGGGTAACATGGGATATCACTGAATTAATCATTACCTGAAGAAACTTATACTAATAACAGGATTATGTCTTGGCGACAAATAAAACAAGATATCATAAAGAAGACAAATGTCAGAACAGAAGGTATCAAGGCGTGGTACAGATAAGGTAACAGCAGAAGACAGGATAGAGGTTCAGAAGAGAAGGAAAAGGAAGGCGCGAGCAGATCTATTCATATCTGCCATAAACCACCTATGCGGTCTGGGGATTGAATGCCGTCTCGGTCCCGGGAACAGTGGTGCGAACACCGCTACCAGTGTTCCCACTGCCAAAGGCTTGGTTGACTTCGTCAGAGAAGCCACGGGATGCCGCTGCGTGGTCGTACGCTTTGGTGTGTCCGTTCTTTTCGGCAGTGGCATGGCTGCCATTCATTGCTCGACCGTCAACGGCCGCTGCGCCTCCGTTCGTCACGGTTGGGCCCCCAGCGGCAGTTGTGTGGACATTGGTCGCTCCACCATGTGGCCTACCATCTTCCACACTCACACCACTGTCGGTTTTTCCTTTCTCGGTTGCTGAGTTCCGCTTGCGCGAAATATCCCCTGACCTCGGGATATCAGTAGACTCTGACGCACTGCCGATGCTGAAGATGGGAGACTCCCAGCGTTCTCCCTTCATAGCAAGCTCCTTGTATTCGGTAGCCTTGCTAGATATGCCGCCAGGGAGCTTGATGTCGGGGAAGAGAGATTCGTGAAGAGTAGTAGCCGTCTGCACCTTGGTGTCACGCTTGGCAATTTCCTGGGCCTTGCGCTTCTTGTCTTCGCTTCTGGCACGGAAGGCATCCAGGTAGCGCGAATAGATGTTCGGCGCGTTTGCGGGATCTTCGCTGCTAGCTTCCTGTGCCTTCTTTGCCTCGCTGTGGATGTCGTACGCAAAGGCGTCTCCCTTGACGAACGCATCTCGGATCTGCTGCTCAAGTACCTTCTGGAGTGTCGGGCGGACGACACGGAAGAGCAATGGCTTGAAGATGGTGAAAAGCGTCTTGTGCTTGGATTGCTTCAGCTTGATGCTGAAGGAATCGATCTTGACGGATACTTTGTCCAACTTGATGAAGTTTTGGCGATCGTCTTTCTGGGCAGTGGAGGCTGCGATCTTAAATCCGAAGCCATCGCCACCCAGGAATATATCCATAACTCCGGTATCCGTTATGGCAGGGAAGCCCTGTTTTCTGTTGATGTAATAACTCACATCTGATGATATAGTGTCAGCAGCCACCAGATGTGTGCCAAATTTTCAAAGGTACTCACCTCTAAGATCTGCCTGGATTCCTGACACAGAAATCATGATCTTTGAACGATAGTGTCAGCGCCATTCGTTCTAATAGTGACGAATAACTCACCTTGTTGTCTCTCTTGTTGCTAATCTTCTTGCGTCCCCATCGGAAGTAGTTATCGCTTCCGAATTCCACAATATTCGGCATCAAATTATCGCTCTCGATAACGAGGTTTTCCACAACCTTCGACGATCAGACAAGGTATTCTTAGATCAAGAGTGGGGAGTAAACTTACCACATCGGCCGAGGGGTCGGACACTTCAATGCGAGGGACGGGCACGTAGCGAACGCTTTCAAAGAAGCCAGGCAAAATAACATCCCGGATGTCTTTGAGAAGATGCTTCTTAAATGCCATTTTGCCGCTCGTATCGCGCCCAAGATCGTCGAAAAGCTTCTGTACCGAGTCTCCAAAGACCTTGTTCTGAGGGTCCCGGTTGAACTGGTCACCAATGAACTTGATCTCATCGAAAATGCGATCGGTGTGGTCCCTGTAGCGCTCACGCAACAGGTAGCGACCGTGGTCGGTCAATTGACCCCACTGGCGGTTGCATTCATCTTCCATAATATAACCCTGCTCTGTCAAGGTTTTCCTGGATTGAAAATCAGAATGCTTCCCATGCGGTCTATCATTGGATACTCACCGGATGAACGTATCCATGTTCTTGAACCAACCCTTAAGCTCAGGGTCCCTGTCAGCATCCCGGTAGATGGTGTCAAGCGATTCAAAAAAGTTATCCAAGGATGTGTTGTTGGCGAAACGCTCGATCAAGGTCTGGCCAAGCAAGTTAGCAACTTTCCATTTGCAAGAGACGGTTGACATACCCGTAGGTTTGTTTCCATTTTCTGGATCTTGTCACCGCTTCTGAAGCCCTGAAGCGAACCAGCACCCTGCTGGGATAGGTTCCGGGTGTGACCGCCATATTTTTCAGCCATGTCAAGCAGCGTTCTGATTGCCTGCTGGTCTATCACATTCAAAGTTAGCCACCCACCACTGTCCACTTGTAGGCTAATGATAACTTACAATCCGAGTGACCTTGGATTTCAATAACCATCTTCTTGAGACGCCAGATGGCTTGGTCTCGCCGCTCCTGGGGCATCTTTTCTGACAAGTAGCCTTTGGTCCTATCTTTGAGTTGTCGAGCACGGCCCTTCGTCTCTTCAGGAACATCCTCGGAGATATGTTCCTGGGCTCTGTCTGCTCCCGCAGCAACACCGGCACGCGCATCAATATCTGAGGTTGAGGTAGGTTGTTGGCCTCCAGTCGCAGCCTGAGCCGCAGTATCGACAACTTCCTCTTTGCCCTCCTAAACCATGAATGAGTACAGGACTGCAAGATCAATTCGATGCGCAAGTCTCACCTTATTTTTCTTGAAGCGAGCCTTAAACTTCTCCTTGTGCTTTGAGAAGTCAGGCTGCTCGTGCCATACATTCTCTTCCGCCGGTTCATCTATCTGAGCAAGCTGATCCTCCGACGGTCTTACTCGGTCTGCGGCCTTTTGTGAAGCGTCGCCGGCCATATCGCGTGCAAGGGTCAGGGCGTCATTTACTGCATGGACATTAGCTCTTGCTTTCGGCAACGGCATCGGTTCACCCACAGAGCTTTCTAAACTCTCCATTGGTGATCAGAAGTCTCCCCAGTGACTTGATTCCTTCCAAAGCCTCCTGAGCATCTTGCTGGGCGGTGTCCTTAGTTACAGGGACACCCGGCTTTTCGGTGTCCCCGGCAGAGACGCTCTGTGCCTCCCATATGAATTCTTGCAGGAGCTGTCCCTCGTTCTTGCTCAGCATAAGTTTCTTAGCGTGCTCGATAACATCTCGAAGGTCCTTGACTAGGTCCTGGCCTTCACTCGACAAGTTCTGGGACGGGGATGAGAGAGGCTTGGAGGCGAGAGCACTGTTCAAGGCTACGTCGCATTGTTTGTTCTATGACAGGAAATTTTGTCAGCAGGCATCATCATTTTGATAGGAGATTGTGAGGCGGATAGAAGTATACTCACCGATGGAAGCTTGCCGTTCTTGAAAGCTACATGGATCCATGAGCGTTAGAAATTCGTTCTCGCCGTGTCAGCAAAACTTACCTTGGTAGATTCCATAGAGCTGTAGCTTTTGGTTGATGTCCTAGATCGACAGACCAGTTAGAGTGATGCCTCCCAATATCTCGCTTCAAGAGAGGGAAGCGGATTGACGTACCTGCTCTTTCTGCTTCGTGTTCATCGGGTGATTAACTGCTTTTGAAGACATGATGATGATAGAATTATTCAATTGCCCACAGAAGCCCAATGAGCACAAGAGGGGGGGGAAGAGAGACGGGGGTATTATTATGTATGTATGGTATGGGACAGGTCTGTCGCAAGGGACGTCTGGCGACCTGGAAAGGGAGATCGATCGGCCAAGATCCGGGGGCGGCTTTCGGTAAAGACCAGCGCAAGGCTCAAGGCAGGCGAGATAAAGTACAGACAAGCCTTGATGGCAGACGATAAGCGGAGAACAGGGGGATTTTTGAGAGGGGGGATACAAGGGAGGAAAGGAACGGGTCGCGTTGCTGAGGGGGGAGAATGAAGGACGGACGCAGAGGACGGATCCGTCGTAGTGGGTAGGCGGAGGAATGCGAGGGAGGGTGGATGGTTTCAAACAGGAATCATAAACAAATCGAGTGCCGGATTGGGGGGGGGGAGGAGAAGTGGTGGTGGTGGTAGTGGTATGTGCTGCGTATTTAAACAACAAAGGCTAAGTAGGAAGGCACATCGCAATGCACAAATAGGCAAGAGCGACGGGGAGCGAGGACGGCCTGCCTATTATGGGGATGGGCCAACACACTGTTTGACGTCATGGTGTCGTGGGTTTTTTGCGCCTTCACTACTTTGTTCTGGTCTGATCGGGGGTGCCTGAGAGAGGATAGATACAGGCTGTCAGTCTGGGGAGGGAAGGTTTGTACGACCATGAGGTCATCACTGAAGCCAGTGTCGCATAGGGCAGGATGCTATCCTGAAACTCCACCGCCAGCTCAGGAGGTCTGGGCCAAACAATCCACGGGGATCGGCAGTACGGGCCAGGACCGGATGGATGCGCGGATCATCACTATGATCATTGCGCATCATGATAAAAACCAGCAGGCAGGCAGGCAGGCAGGCAGGTAAGCTGTCTCGCTCTGCATACGAAAGGGGTGGGGACGGAGGATGAGCCCGATGCCTGTCGGAAGTTGCAAGCCATTGATTATTATTTGAGGTTACTACTTCTTATGGGGTTGTTCGGGGGATTGAAGGACCCCCGGACATGTGATGCATCACCGTCAGGGGCCCAGCCCTGAGCTTGTTTTTGGAGCCATCTTCCTCTTTCCCCCAGTTCTCCGCCTGAGGCATTGAGGGGTGGGACCTGGCTATAGAAAATAAAAACCAGCCACTTCGACCCATGAGCCCGTGAAAGGTACGCGGGCACAGTCCTCGTAGATAGTATGAACGCACGCATGGAAGCAGAACGCGACAATCAGAGTCTTATTATTAGCAGTGTGTCGATCGCAGTCGAGCATCCATGGATCGGTCAGGTAGGTAACCTTACCTTACTGCTGGGAGCTCCATCCCCTGCCCAATGAGATGGTCCGTCTGGCCTGGACTCCACTGCATCACCTTGACGTCATGAGCTCATGATCGTCCGCGCTCCGCTTGCTCTGCCCTACCGTTCCTTTACTTTACCTGAGAGTCGGTGCCAGAGGTTCGCAGTGCGACTAGTTATCGTAGTGTGCTTCAACAAAAGTGGGAAGGGGGGAAGGGAGGGGGGGGACGAACAGGCGGTTGGTTCAAGCCCTACTGTGTACTTTACGCGTGCTGATTCTACCTTACCCATCATTATCCACCGCAGGGATGATGGTGTTGTTTTTTGTTTTCATCAGCACGCGTAAAAAACCGCCGAGTACCGTGAAGACCCTTTGCCCCTTGTTAGACTTATTCCTCCTTCTAACTAGTACACACCAGATGAACGCCACAGCTCGATGTACTTTTGTATATCTATATTGTCTAAGCAAAAGATTGGGTTAGTGCCTGTAAGTTCGTACATTCTTCTCGAAGCCCGCTGGTGGAGTGCTTGCTCCTAGCCCACATGGTCCCACGCTTGTTGTTCGCAGCCCTTGCGGCGGCCCAGCATCCGAATCCGTATCCCGTATCCGCAACCGGGAAGCATTCCTCCCTCCCAGGCTCCATCTACGCTTCCAATTACGCGACCGGGGATTCACGCCAAGGAAAGATCAACACCACAAGAAATCCAAGAGATGGGTGGACAAAGCCAAGGGGATCGATCGGCTTGGCCCCCAAATAATTTCATTCACGAGCGTTAAGTAGGTTAAGTGGGATCAATCATGATATCTGAATGGCCGCAGTGCTGGTGCATCAAAAACCACGTTATGGACATATTGCACAGCGCACACAGAGGCCGGGCCCCATCAAAATCCAAACTAGCCAAGGTCAAAGCCGAGATATCCTGATCCTGCAGGGACTAACGTTGGGTAACCGGCCATGAAGACCTCAGGCCTCGACATATAGGTACCCGGCGAATGCATCAGTCGCTTTCGGGAAGGCTCCGATATTTGCTGGAACTCTGTGAATAGGCCGTGCGCCTCCCACTTCCTCGCTCCATACTGGAGAAGATCCTGGATGTGGGACAGACATTCTGTGGCGCGGCCGTAGAAATTCATCTGATCTTCTCCACTCAGTATGAGCGGTTTGGGGGTCTCGGGAGGGATGGCTGGCAGTGAAGGTATAGACGGGCTGAAGAGAAGATCTTCGTTACCCGTCATGGCTTCAAGGAATCGCCGAGCAACCTGGAACGTCCTTTCAATATCTAGGAACGTTATGAGAGGTAGCCAAGCGGGATTTCTGAGCACTTCATGGAGTTGGCCGATGTACTGCATGCAGCAGTCAAACAACACAACACTGCTGTAATCACTGGGGGCGCACTGCCCGTCGTTAAGTGCGAGAATCATGACGGTGGTATATAGCAGCTCCAGTCTGCACATAACCGGGTAATAATTTGGTGCATTGCTCGGGATATCATCGAACCACTTGCAAGTTTTCGAACAGAGAGACCAAGCCGATGCAGATGGGTGAAGTGACGTTTCGTGTTCGTGAAAGTATTTTTTCTGATAAGCCTCCGACAAAATTTGTCGGACTTTCACAATATGCCAGGCCGGCTCCGAGCTGCGCAGAAAGATATGGCTCTTCTCCGTTAGCTGGGAGCCTAGGGATGTGGTGGAGGACGGTAGAGCAACATTGATTGAATCATCTGAGAGCGAGAAGGTTCTTTCCAGGACGGTACTTAGGCCCCTTTACAAACGGAGTTAACAATCGCCCTCATTGGATCTAGTGTAAGTTGGATGTAGAGAAAAGAGTGACAAACCTGTCCAAGCAGTAGATACAGTGAAAGACGCGACGGCGAAGATCCAGCTGCTCCGAAGCTGACTGGACCTCGACAGGAGGATCCTGGTGCAGGCCTAGATCAACCATGGCTCTGGAAGCCATCCCCACCAGGTACCAACTGCGGAAGTGTTTGGGGTCGAACAACGAATACTGGGCGAGAAGTAGGATCGCCTGGATGCCGACAATGGAACCAGGGCAGATGACGTCCTCTGCGTGTTTGAAAGCTCCCGAAACATAATATAAAGCTCTCTGGTGACTTCTATCGCCAACCTCAAGGGAGACCGATGCCGACGCTGTGGCCAGGACCATCTGCAAGATCCAATGATCGAAGGGTTTGGCGAAACGGCCCTCCGCTTGATAAACAGCATCCACGGAGGTCCAAAAACTCGTCTCGATGAAAAAGGGAAGCTGGATGTAGAAGTTATCGAAATAGTGTTGTAAAAGGGGTGTGATTTCATGCCGTGGCGGTAATGGCTGGGCCGACAGCTTTGGGATTGGTTCGGCTTGAGACAGTGACAAGAGGAGATTAGCGAAAGAGGTGTTTGACGTAATCCCGTGGAAGTCTCTTGAAGTGGCATTCACAGACCTAGTAGGTTTGTTAGTTGATCTAAGGGCTCGCGCGTGGCTTCATGTGGAGTGTCGACTTACAGAAAGCCAAAGTCCCCAACAAGGTCATCAATATCGGACACTTCTTTGTTACCTTCCTGTGCAACTGCTCCGGTAGAAGACATGGAGGCAATTGAACCCTTCTGAGCGACGCCTTTTTCATCGATGGAAAGCTTCTTTTTGTACGACTGAAGCTCTGCAATCTTCTTCTCGAGCCTTTCGCAATAGCCTTCTAAGGAGGCGACATAACTCCTCTCTTTCCCCCTCGCAAATTCATCGGTTGCCCCCGAACACGTACTCGCTTTCCCGACCCTTTCGCACGCCGAGCAGGCGGGAAGCTTTCCGTCACACTTGATTTTCGCCGTTCGACATCTTGAGCAAGCAGCCACCGGCCGACTAACTTTGAGTAGCGGTTTGTCCAAAAATGCAGTGGCCGACATCCTAGCTATACATGCTATCAAGATCGTGTCGGCCAGTAAAGCTCATCTAATGGCGAAATCAAATGCCAGTGCACGCCTATTGCTCTAACAACGCCGTCAACTGTATGGTTACACCATGTGGACTAAAATGTAATACCTGTCGGATCAGTATTGACAAGGGCCCAAAGCCCGTGGCGCAGTATTCACAGCGGGACTCTTTCAAAGAATCAAGCTCGGAAGCAGACCTGCTGAGAACCTGTTAGCAAGTGGCCAAGTGATTGTGTCTGCAACAGCGATTCAGGATAGCAGGATGCTCCTATACCCATGATAACAGATCGAGTCAAAGAGAGGGTCCCGCGGGGATAGGTGGGGAAAGCAGGTGGTGAAAGAAAAAAAAAAAGGGCCCTCCAATTGATTAGGATTATTTTCCCCCTGCATTCGTTTCTCTTTCTTTTTCTTTCCTTCTTCTTCTTCTTTTTTTTTTTTCTTTTCGTCTTCTCTACCCCCGCCCCCTGGGTCTCTTGTGATTTTGCTTTGTATAAGGGACCGAAAAGGAGGGAAACCCAAGACAAAATTACTCACCAGCCACTAACTAGCGCGACCAGGTTAGTCCCGAACTTGGCGGGGAGGCTGGCTGAACAAAAGTATCGAGAGGGGTTCGAATGGCCCGAGGACGGAGCCGGAGCCGGAGCAGCAGGCCTGGCGGACTTGCGGACTTGCGGGCGCGAAAAGCTTCAGATCGCAGGTGTCACCGTGTCACAAGTGAATTGATAGATTAACGGCTGGAGACCTTGGGAGGAAAGGGCATTAGCAGTCGGATCATGGCGGCTAGCAGGACCTAGAGTTGAAGACGAGCCAGTTGCAGGGCAGCAGAGGATAGAAAGGGAGAAACGACCGGAGTACCAGAAGCCCTACGCAACTAGGGTCACGAGCTAGCGCAAAGCAGGGGGGGGGGGGAGGGGGAGGAGGTAGTAACTTACACCACTTCTACCGCGGCCGTCAGCCTCCAGTACGGAGTAGGGTCCTAACGGTATCTGGTACCCGAGCCGAGTCCCCTCTCCTCTTGATCTATTACCTGGTGGGAGAAAAGGAAATCAAGTATGGTAGGAATCAACCACCATCATCCGCCATCCGCCATCCGACTACCAGCAAGGACGGAATGGGACGTGTGGCATTCTTATCAAGGCCTGGGTGCTGGGTAGAACTGGTAATAATGACCGAGTCTGGCCCGGACGGTCCTGCTTTTTTGGCGACGGCTTTCATTGGATGCCGCACCATCTCGGATCCAGGTTGGCTCCTGCTCGCGCCCCTCCTTGTCCATCGCCCCCGGTACGGCAGTACCACTGTGGACCCCCACCTTCCCTTCCCCCCGCGCACGCGCCATGGGGGTTGGAAAGTCTCCCGTCCTGCTCGGCTTGGGAATCAAGGGGTGTCTAGCCTACCTATCAGGTATCAGGTAGTCCGCAGTGGCATACTTATTCCCTCCAAGAACTCTGTACAATACGGACAAGGAAGTGTCTCTGGAAAATTGATGGGGTTGTGTTGCTTCTAGAACGGTGCTAATACGAAGCACCGTACTAGTGCTGCGAGCTTGCAACATCAGCACTCCGGGCCCGGTCGAGAACGGGCAGCTTGCAGGCAGCTGTAGCACTGAAGACACGCAATACTAGTACTGTAGTACTTCTATGAATTATGCACCAGTCATAACACTTAAATGCAAAGAACTCCGATCATAAGACCAATCATATCTTGAATTGATGTCGGCATTTGAGTGACAGGAACTGGATAGACCGGGCAACCAGGGTTGGCCTGTCCATGACTAGTAGTTGGTTCACTAGCTAGTTATTTAGTGTGCCAAATTTCCTTCCTTAGTCACTGATGACTGATAGTGTAAGCAATATCACTGCTTTGTATAGGGCAATGTGCCTGTTTGAATGGTTGAGAAGAAAACTCGACTGCAGTGATTTCCTCACAATCTCAGCAGTACAGAGACTCACCTGGTGTTGTTTTTTTTTTTTTCTCGTTGTCTGTTTTGGACATCCATTTGCCTGATGCTGCTCAAATACGGAGGACTCTTCACACCTTAGGATACTTTGTAGGTACGGAGTACCACAGTTGAAAGAGAAGGGAGGTGAACAAACCGCACACAATGATTGAAAGACGGGGGTCTACTCCGTAAATAATCTAACTTGCTACTGTACTCTTCGGTAGTACAGAGCAAATTCCTCCGTGTATAAGCAATGCAAACAACCCAATATGTGGGAGTTGTGGCTTGGAACATTGCAAGTCTGGATTAGTACCGTATCAATGTGTGGCGCACAGCCAATCCATTCTATCTTGCCCTTGTCATTTCGGTAAGTAGGTTATAGTTTGATTGCAGTCCCATGCCCAGCACACAATTCGTGAATAAAAGTTTTTGCTTGGATGATTCTGTCTGGCAAGAGAATGCAACTGCGAAATACTAAGCATGATAGTCGAACAAAGATCTTGTTATAATAAAGGGGCTCTAGTGTGGAGGTCCATACGCTGCATTATATTGGCCCTACCTTAAGCAAATGATGCAACGTTTCTTCCCAGTGGCTCATTCAGGCCTGCATGTTCGTGGATGGTCAGACCCGGCTCCGAGTCGCTTATGCTCCGCAGGTAAGAAGTAAGCGTTTAGTCCTCCATGCCGTAGATGCCTATCTAGGTAGTTGGTAGATAGTAAGAAGGACGGCTGCTAAGCCTCGGGGCAAGGAGCTAGTGGTAAAATTCTCTGTACCACCTCCGGGCCTCCTTTGGGTTTCAAGTAATGAAACCAGAGTTCTCAAATACTAGTTACTAAGTAGTTACCAGATCATCCGCCACTGCAGATCTTATGAAAAGGGTCATGGTCGAATTATCATAGGAATCTTTGAGTCACGTTGCATGGATTGAATCATTCTCATTCCCCTTCTCATTCGGTACAGGGACCACGGCAGGGAGCGCCCGGCCGTCATAATTATTTCACATTTTGAGGCCAGTGTTCGCAGGCGGTGGCTGTGGGTGCCCGTAGATAGGCGTGGTCAGCGCAACCAGCAACAGCCAACAACGACGTCGGTCATCGGGGCGCTCTTTTAGCGTGTCCGTCGATCCAGGCGGGAGGTGGACCGAGGCCTGCTTCACTTCTGTTTCCACTTTCCACCTCACCCCTCCTTCGCGCTCCATTTCAGACCCGCGACTGCAGACATCTTGTTGCCCTCCAGGCCCCCCGGATGGACTCCTTCAGTCGGAACCCGCGATAGATGCTAGCCCGAGCGTCTCAGCCTGTGCGAACCCCCTTGCTTTCGACGGGTATTGCCGCCCACTCCCAGCAGCCGGTGCATGTTGCGAGTTGAACGAGTCCTGGACATGTCGGACGTGTTGTCTTGCCAAACGCCCTATCAGTACCCTACAGTCGCATGTGCCTGACGACCCGACTCAAACCCCCCTCAATCCCGGAGACTCTTGCGCTAGATGCAATTATATGACATGCAACGTTGTTGATACCTTTCGGTTGGAATTCAGAACTCCCGGTCAACCTAACATAGGGGTGCGCGTGCCCAACATACCATAATGGCTGCACCAACAAACTCGAGTTCGCGCCCGCAATTTTCGAATCCGTGGAAGAAGCCACCGTCGAAGCTCATAGAGCAACCGGATCATATTCCTGATAGCCGGATCGCGCATACGTTGACTGCTTGTACCCGGTGCCGACAGGTACGTGTGCCATCATGGCTCTTCCTGTCATCCTCTTTCTCGCCTCCTTTCTTCCCCCACCCCTCTCCCCGTCAAGATAAGTCCCGAATTCTCATCCCTATACAGCGCAAGTCTAGATGCGATCCTGGGATCCCAAGATGCTCGCCATGCGAGCGCAGCAACACCAAGTGCATCTACTACGATTCGGCTCGTAAATGCACCATTTCGAGAACATACATCGTTTCGCTCCGAGAGAAGGCTCGCATGCTGGAGAGGGAACTTGCCGAATTGGATAAAGAGGTTCAACACGCCGCGGATGCCGAACTCATGGTGCGCGGAGCAGGCCGTATTCGGTTCAAGGAGAACGACGAGTCGAGATACCTAGGGCCGTCTAGTGGGATCGCAATTACTCGTCTGGTTATGGAAATGGCGAAACAGAACACGGACTCGAAAAGCATCAAAGACGTCGTTCCTGAAATGACCGCGCAGGAAATCAAAGACGCCTTCGCAGAAGAAAGCTCGAAGCCAACGTCCAAAGTGTATCCCATGATCAGCTCGAGGCCTCAGCCCAATCTACCCTTAAAGCACATGGTTTACAGGCTCATCGATGTATTTGTAGTCAAGGGTATGTTCGCATTCTGCTCCATATGCACGCGCCCACCTGACTTTCGCTGACTTGCTATTCAGCCCAGGCAATGCTTCCGACTTTGCACGAGCCCACGTTCCGTCAGGAGGTCGAAGATGTTTTCAACGGGTCCGAAGATCCCTGTCAGAACTTTCAGCTACGGATGGTCATAGCCATCAGCATGCAAAAGATGAGTCCTGCCTATGCAGGCTTGGCGGACAGTTACTATCTTGCGGCGCTACCATTCCTGGAAGCCTCTTTGAAACGGATGGACCTCAGATCCCTACAATGCCTCGCTTTGATAGCCCAGTACTCGATGCTAACTCCCACGAGAACGGCTGCATATTGGGTTGTTGGGATAGCAGTCAAGCTATGTCAAGACTTGGGGCTTACCGATGAAGCGACTATCACTCAGTCTCACAACGGCGAACCGTTGGACCCTTTGGAGATCGATATGCGGAGAAGGCTTTTTTGGATCGTCATATCCATGGAATATGGCCTCTCCCATAGTCTTGGTCGCCCAAATTGTTATTCCGTGTGCCATGATCAGATCAACGTCAAATTCTTCGAGCCCGTGGAAGATAAATACATCACACGTGATGGGATCTCCCCGGAGGCGAGAATAATGCTACCCAAGTGCATAGCCATACATTTCTTGAAAATGCGACTCCTCCAAGCAGAGATACGACGGACGCTTTATTTGAATAAACGTGACGTGCCGGTGGATGACCAAGATCCATGGTTTTCGCAGATGCTCCAAAAGATCGACAACTGGGTGGCCTCTTGCCCGAAAAACGACGGAGGTAGCGGTTTGAGCGAAAAATGGTGGGCCTCCCTCTTGATTTCCCACGTCTGGTGGCATACTGATGCGAATCCTCCAGGTTCTACGGAAGAAAAAACACAATGATTGTCTTCATATTTCGACCCTCTCCCCAGGTGCCAGAGCCTTCCGTTGGTGCAGCACGACATTGCTATGATGCATCAGTCTTCAACGTTGCAATGCAAAGGGAACAGATTGCGACGGGATCTGTCGATCTGACGTGGATCTTCACGCAGTCTCTTTTCATGGCCTTGAACACTATTCTTTGGTCACTTTCATACCCCGACATCCGGAAGGAGCACCCTATCGACGAAGTGAAAGGCCATCTCAGCGTGGCATTGGAGGGTATTGTGCTTGCTGCACAAAGATGGCCTGGTGTTGAATCAGCGTTGGTCCTATACAGGAGCCTGGTGGCCGCCTGTCTTCGGGCGTATGCTACTGAAGAATCTTTTGTTGTCCATTCACCGTCCAATCATGCAACTCCGTCGTCCTCTCAGGATGTCACCACTCCGGCAACCGTCGACAGCCCTGCAAGTACTACGGCGTCGTTCCCCTCGCAACATGCCAGAGCCACCACCTCTTCAGTTCCCGATAGCAGCATATCGACTGGCACGTTTTCGAGGGGACCTTCTGCAGATCCACTCCCTTACCCACATGGATCTTCCTCGTCTTCTGTGGGCGTCGAGTCGCTGAAGGCAGCACAGCACCCATCGTGGGACTCCCAACTCACCCCCGGGTCCGCCTCAAGCACCACGCAGCCCTCCTTTAGCTCTCCATCTTACGAGGCACGGGGCCATTCTTACTCCGATTCGCCGTTCGATCCAACCACCCCTTATAATCAATTTCCCTCTGTCGTTCCAGGCTTACCAGGCTGGGATCCGAATTTCAGTCTGGCATCTACGACTGCTAGCCATCTGGCGTATGTTGGCGCAGCCGTCGATCCCATGGGCTGGGTAGATTCGATCGGCGATCAATACTCGCAATACTCCAACGGCGCATATCCGATTCCGCCATGGCGGGGCCGAACGCTCAGCCACCAAGAGCAGATGGAGCTCATGGAAACATTGGAAGACAACATCCCCGATGTCTCCGCCCAGCTACTAGTCCAAGAGTCCGCCACATTCTACCAGTCGTAGGAGGTTGGTCTTCGGCGTCCATTGCCGAAGGGAGGGGGATTGTTCATGTTTCTGTGCGTTATGTGCGATGGAATATTTGTTTGGGTTCTTTTTTGGAGTATTTTTGTTGGTTGGTTGCATTATCATATCTGTATACCCCAAGGTTATTGTGCTGGTGACCAGGTGTTTGGAGCAAACTCCCTCCCTTGGCAGCGGTCAGGGGAGGGGAACTTGATCAGTCTATGGAAGTGGCGGGCAGCTAGATAGTATCTAGCACCGGCATACCAATTGTAATCTATCTATCCCTCTATCTACGCCTACCTAGGTACTACCTACCTACCTACTTGACTTTTGGATGGAAAGTTCTAGATGGAGCTTATCTAGTAGATCACTACTAGTACTCTTATGTCCACCCGGTAAATAAGACTCGGATGGGGCCGGCATGGAGAGAGAGAGTCCGATGACAGGGTTGATGGCTTGCAGTGAATATCCTCGCCGAGAGGAGTTAATGTAGGCCGGTAGGATGCTGCATCCATCAATAATGTCCGCGTCAATGGGAGGGGGAGAAGGAAACCGCTTTGTTCTGCACCCAAACAAAGAGAGGGCAGTGGATTTTGCCCGATGAATACCGTACCGTACCGGGTACCCGTAAGTATCAGGCCGGGGGTAACGAACGAACGAACGAACGATACGGGCGCGGACGCCGAAAGAGGGCAAATCGAGAAAATGAGGGCGCGTCACGTGCCCAGCCCGGGGCTCTTGCCGTCATCCAACATCTCGCCGTCCGTTTCTCCTCCAGTTGCGGACCAAAGGGCCTCCCCCATCCATCGCCTCTTCACCCACTGCCCACCCCTCGCCAACAACCCCACCTGCCTCGATCTCTGCCCGACCTCATCATCGGGACCTGCTCCTCTCCGGCCTTCGATCCGATTTTGCGCCGACTCGACTGGAATGTGTGACTTTTAAGACGGTCGTGGAACGTCCTGCTCGCCCGCCCGCTTGAGCGCACCTCGACCGGCCTATCTCCAGTCCCCCCCCGTTTTCATCCTAGCCTAAATCTGCCGTGATCTGCCCTTGGTCGAAGGTCTTTGGTCTAGATCTCCCTCAGAAGGTCGCGGGGCTCGGGCTGCTCAGGCTTTGGCCAACCTCCTCTTCCTTCACCCTTCACTCCCAACTCCATGTCTGATCGCGCCTCCTCGGCTTCATTTCGAGTAGGGCCTCTATCACCATCGTCTCCCGCCGCAGGGTCTCTCAAGCAGAGCCAGCCGCCGTCTGTCTTGTCCGATCGAATTCCACAGACCCCGACATCACCTCCGTTGATGTCGGTAAGCGCTCAGAACTATGCCACCAATCTCGCATCCTCGCAAACATCACCTAACCAGGCGACCTCACAACCCGCAAACCTCTCATCACCCCCGTCATCTGCTCCGATGTCCCACCAAGCCTCCCAGCAACCGACGGTAGGTACGGCGAATTCGTTTCCAACGCCGGCCAGCAGCGTCAGCGGGCACATCCCCAATGCGAACTCGTTTGATGAATCCGAACCCGCGGACAAGCCAATGGGGACAGAACCTGGTGCGACTACAGCAACCATGAACGCCGCGGCCATGCAGCAGGCAGAACACAGACGGACAGACCATGACCGGGATCTGGGAGGAATGGGTCCGGCAATCGGAGTCCGCGATTTTGCCGACGTGAACGGCGAAAGTGACGCCATGGATATTGATCGAGAGGCCCCGGCTTTGTCTCTTCACAATGGACCGAGTTTGGAGTCTTTGCAGAAGGACTTTTCGTCGGCCTTTCATCTTTGCAAAAGCTGTAAGAGCTCCCCAGTCCTTGGCGTGGCTGTTGCCGCCATGCACATTGCACTCTTTCCCATGAAATACTTGGATTGAGCTTTGTTAACACAAGTGGCCTTATGAAATATACAGCCTATAGTGCGACTGGTCCGGACCCGGCTGTAGATCTGATCTCATTGTACGGGTTGGGTCCGGTGGCGCATTCTGTTGCGCGGTTGGACTCAGTGACGGGGGAGAAGATCAACAGGCTCAGGAAGTCTTACGAGGGAAAATTGAAGGGCCTGGGACTCGCGGGGAGAAACAAGCCAGTGAAGCAGGAACCCGGCGCGCCCGGAGGGCTCAGACACCTCACCATGTGGCCCGAAGAGGAATGGCAAAACCAGAAGGTGTTTGGGAAGGAGATCAAGGTGGCCGATATGGACTCGGCACTGCACAATCTGCAGATGAAGGCCATGAAGATGGAGCCGGGTACGGTACCGAACAACGACTACTGGGAAGACGTGTTGGGCCACGAAAAACCGTCCAAACATGCAGGCAGTGGTGACGCCGGCAAGAAGGCCGTCGGTGCTCCCCCTAACGGAATTCGAATCACGCAGCCGAACGGAACGCCAGCGCCAGTCACCGATTCGGAACGGGCCCGACCCAGCCGGGGTCGTAAACGGCATTACGACGAGAACAGCTTTGTTGGATACGGCGAAGGCTACGCAGACGATGATGACGAAGGCGCATTTTACTCGAACAGTGAAGGAATCGGGAAGAAAAAACGGAAGAAGGTAGGGCGTTCGGACGGTGAAATGGATTTCTGACATACTGATTACCATCGCTTTTCTTCCAAAGGACCACGTTTCGAAGATATCTACCCCTCTGCCTGACCGAGGTGGAAGTTACGGGGTGGGTATGTTTGGGATCGGGGCCAGATGAGCGAACGGGACGGGGAGTTGAAGGGATGAAAAGCAGTGTGGCCTGTTGGGGGGTTTTTTTTTTCTCTGCCTCTCTTAACTCTGCTTTATGCATAGGTTCGTTTTAAAAACGAGGGCTAGACCTTGCTGGGAGCGCACCTGGCACGAGAGTGCTCGGCGGCTCCCGCAGGACCGTGGTCCTGTCCTCGAAATATCTGTTATTCTCCGTACATTTTTGCATCACGGTGCTGGATATACCCGGCTTTCACAATGGGACGGCGTTGGAGGAGCCATTATTTGTTGCGGCACGGTTGTTTTCTGCTGTCTGTCTTTTTTTTTTTTTTTTCGCTCCTACAATCTCGAGATGGCCGAGAGCCGGACTTGTAATGACTGACAACTTTCGTTGTGTTTGCTGTTGGCCGGCCATCTCGGTGTCATCTGAATTCTGAATTTCTTCTTTGCTGTGCCTGATGATACGCATCAGCGTCAGAGAGCATGTATTTCTTTTCTTTTCTTTTCTTTTTCCCCCTGTGATGCCCGTCATATGTGGCGGATCGGGTTACAGTGACAGTGGCAGGCAGTACAGGACGGAGGCATCGATGATGCTGTGATACAATATTAGATGGATAGGAATGGTATCTGCGTTTATACGTGGAGTTGGACATGGGTTCTAGCTAAAGCTATACATAACACACACGAGTAAAGCTTCTTATCTCAATCAGGAGTAGTGAAAAAGTCCAGACATTGTATTTTTCTTCCTCTGTCTTCTACATCAAACTTTGCATAGCATAACACCATCCAGCAGCTAGACCTCAACTGATCCACTGCCCATCTCACATCTTACATCTCACCATCAGTCACAGATATCACAGATACACCCCGTAAATGAATTGACCTCCCGAAGTATGAAAATCACCCCAAAGAGGAAAACCCATACTATAACTCGCAGCCCTACCTCGGTCCAAATCGGGCAGATTGTATCATCGATAGCATAGCACAACTACTCATGCAGGGGGATTTCCGGACCCATCAAACAGTTTATCATATGATTTCGCATGACTGGCAGCAGTGAAGCTAAATTAAGGCATGTTAAGTTTATGATAAATACCGACCTTGTCAGCCCCTCATCAACTTTACTACCTACATGCTACCTACTATCATAACCCTATACCATCTACATAACTATTACATACCTACTACCTACTTACCAACTACTACACACCATGCCCGACCCCCAACCCCAACCCCAAATCCAAATCCAAATCCACCACCGCTGCTCCTCCCCAACGGGCCTCTCCTCCGTGACCACCCTGCTGACCACCCCGACCTCCTCCCTCCTCATCGACCCTCCGTTCCTCCTCTCCGACGCCCACGCCACCCTCGCCTGGCTCCGCACGCTCACCACGCCCCTCAGCCCCCTCAAAGCCATCTTCATCACCCACCACCACCCGGACCACTTCTTCTCCGCCAACCCCATCCTGGCCGCCTTCCCCGCCGCCAAATTCTACGCCGCGCCCTACGTCCGCGCCCGCATCGACGCCGAATACGCCCAGAAGGTCCCCTACTGGGCCAAAGTCCTGGGCCAGGAGAACATCCCCGCCGCGCCGCAGCGGCCGGCGCCCTATCCGTTCTCGTTCTTTTTGCTGGGTGAGGAGCAGGAGCCGGTGTTTTTGCTGGGACCCGTGGTGGGCGATTGTGTGGATCAGACGGTGTTTTGGATCCCTGGGGTGAGGGCCGTTGTTGCGGGGGATGTTGTGTTTGGGAGGAGTGTGCATGTTTGGTTTGTTTTCTGTCTTTCTTTCTTCCTTCCTTCCTTCCTTCCTTCCTTCCTTCCTTCCTTCCTTCCTTCCTTCCTTCCTTCCTTCCTTCCTTCCTTCCTTCCTTCCTTCCCTTCACTTCCCTATTTCATCTTCCTGCCTCTTCCTCTTCCTCTCCCCTTCCCCAGATCCGGATAACTAGTTACTAATCTTCCCCCCCAACATACAGGCTCGAAGAAACCGAAACCCCCGCCCTTCTCTCATCCTGGCACTCGACCCTCAACCTAATAGCGAGCCTCAATCCCGTACACATCATCCCAGGCCACATGGAAGCCGGATGGGAGCTCGATGCGGAAGCTGATCTCGCGCACACGCGTCGATATCTGGACCTGTTCGCGGAGAAAGTCTTCCCGGGTGCGAGTGGAAATGGCAATGCGAATGAAAACAGCAATGAGAATGGCAACGTGAATCGAAACGACAATAACAACGTACCAACCAAACCACCTGTCCGCGAACTATACGAGTTCTTCGAGAGGGCATTCCCCGAGTGTCGCGAGAACAAGGACTTCTTTCTAGGCCACCTGGCGAATCAGTTCGGGGAGGGGGGCAAGGTGTGGGAGGAGAATAGACATCCCGAGGTGGTGAGCGGGAGGACGGTGGAGGGGTTGAGTGGGTTTTTGCTGGGTTGAGTTCGGGGTTGAGGTTGAGGTTGAAGTTGAGGTTGAGGTTGGGGGGTGTTGGTATCTACTAGGGGGACTAGGGGTGGGATTGGTTAGCTGGTTGGGTTTTGGTTTTGGTTTTTGAGGGAGGGGGGTGGGTTCTTGTATGTGTATGATAGTATGATAGTATGATAGTATGATAGTATGATAGTATGATAGTATGATAGTATGATAGTATGATAGTATGATAGTTTGTTTCTAGTGGATGGAAGGAATATGATACTCGTAGGGACTGTGGGTAAGTAGAAAATTGGATTTGGATTTCAACTTACCCCATACCTACAACCTACAACCTACAACTTCCTATACTGCATCTATAGAGACATCACGACTTATATCTTATACCTTTTTTTTTTACTCCGTACAGTAGTTAAAGTAAGTATGGCTTGCCCTTATCGCCCGCCTATCAGCAGCGCCCCCCCCCCCCCCCCTCCCAACCAAAAGCCGAGCCGACGTCGGCTCGGCCAATCCCGTCGCCGGTAACTAAGTATTTGCTAGTTAAACCAACTACCCCCAACTTGCCAACTTGGACCTCCAACTCTACCTAACTAGTATCGACCAGAACATCCACCTTACTTCTATCCCCCCCGCGCCCCCCTCTTCCCCACCAAAACCAACCAAAACCAACCAAAGCAAAGCAAAGCAAATCAAAGCAAAGCAGCAAGACTGCCAACTACCAAAAAAATGGACCCCCTCACGCTCTCCCTCCAAAAAATCGACGCCCTCCACTCCCAAGACCCCACCAAAACCCCCACCACCAACACGCCCTACGAGCTACACTACGCCCAAAAAATGACCAGCTACCTGTACAAGCACACCGCGACGCCATCGCCGGCGCTCCAGCTCGCCATCCGCGCCCAGCACCTCAAGCGCTGGGAAGTGCCGCGGGCGTCCTACCCGGCCGGGAAAGCGGGGTACTACGCGTGGCGGAGCGGGCTGGGGCGGCGCCAGGCCGAGATGGCGGAGCAGGTGTGTCGGGAGAGTGGGATTGGGGGGCAGGAGGCGGAGCGGGTGGGACGGTTGATTCGGAAGGAGGGGTTGAAGGGGGAGTAGGGGGGTGGATGCGGAGGCGCAGGTGTTGGAGGATGTGGCGTGTTTGGTGTTTCTGGATGATCAGTTGGAGGGGTTTGAGGGGGCGTTTGAGGAGGAGAAGGTCGTGGCGATTTTGAGGAAGACTTGGGGGAAGATGTCGGAGCGGGGGAGGGAGTTGGCGCTTGGGTTGGAGATGGGGGAGGGCGAAGGAGTTGGTGGGGATGGCTTTGGAGGGGCTTAGAACTTTTTTTTTTTTTTTTTTTTTTTTTTTTTTTTTTTTTGCTGTTTTGTTTTGTTTTTTGGTCTATGGATATGGATGGATGGATGGATGGGATAGATGGGATAGATAGTTAGGATAGGAAGGATTGGGGTGTATGTGAAATAATGCTTTTTTTTTTTTGAATTGGAAAAGAAAGGAGAACAGTGTCCGCTCTATGGGTGGTATCTAGTATTACAAAGTCGTTCAAGGCATGATATGATGTTGGTTGGGTGCTTTTGCTGGGAGGTGAGGGTGAGGGAGGAGAAAGAAAAAGCTAGACTTCTCCCGTGTCGATCAAACGGACCAGAGCAATGGCCGCCCCGGCTGCCACTCCGCCCACGAAGCACATCTGCACGCCGCCCTTGATGCCCGCCACAATGTTGTCGCGCCCGGTCCAGCCGCGCACCACACACGTCTTAATGTATCCGAATGCCAGCAGCGTGATCGCCATGACCCCGATGCTCATGTACAGCGCCACCATGACCTGGTGCGCGAAGAAGTATGGGATGAGGGGGATGAACCCGCCCACGAAGTAGCCCAGGGCGAGCGTGATCGCGGAGATCCAGGCCTGGTTGCAGTCCGGCTCGGATTCTCTGTGGTGGAAGCTGACGAGGAAGTCGAGGAGGCGGTCTTCCGAGGCGTGCAGGGAGGTGTTGATCTGGGCAACGGTGTCTTCGGGGAGACGGTACGACGCGAAGATGGATTGAACGATGGAGCTGGTTTCGGATGGCGATGTGCGGATGAGTTCTTTGGCCTCGCGGACAGTGGTTTCGTACGACTCTCTGTATGCTGTTAGGATATATCCGAGCATTCGGTGTGGAAGGGAACATACGCTTCACTCTTGGCGCCGACATATCCTCCCAAGCCCATGGAGATAGCACCCGCCGTCAACTCTGCCAGGCCCCCCAGCACGACGACCTTGGTATTGCCCAGCGCGGATAGACCCGCACTCAGCGCAAACGGCACCGTCAGGCCATCCGACAGGCCCAGAATGGCATCGGAAATGATACGCGGGTTGATGCGCGACCGGGTGCTGGTACTGGTGATGGTGCTGTCGGTCTCGGAGACAGGGGACGAGGCGCGGAATGTGCTGTAGGACCGTTGGGCTTCTAGATCGCGATCACCCGGTAGGGTGTCGGTACTGTCGGTGGATAGTAATGGTTTGCCTAGTAGTAGTAAATAGTACGTACGGTCAGCACGGTTCGGTCGGGTTTCAATTGACTTGACGGCAGGTGGACGAACCATAAGGACTGGTCTGTTTTTGCTTTTCCCCAGGGAATAATTTCTGCTTGAGGAATAAGAGCGCCATGGCGTGGTCGCGGAGAATATGATCCTGGTGATTGCCGCGGTGGCAGCGATGCCTATTTGTTTGGCTGCCTGAGGCCTGACGTCAGGAGCCGGAGTTCGATGGCCGAATCTAGACCCTCGCACCAATTCCGGTAAGGCTGAAGGAAGGGTTCTGGAAAGCAGAGACGTCCAGGGCCAAGAAAGATGAGTTCGGGGAGGGTGATATCAGAGCAGATTTGGATTCTTGAATGAACGGCAGGCTTAGCAGAACGCTTCTGGAAGCACCGTATTTATAAGGGCTCCCTGTTATCCTTTGCGAGAGTCGAGCTTTTTCTGGCTGTTCTTCAGACTCTTCCAGGCTGCGCCCCTGCCGGCCAATCACCGGGCGCGTAATAGTCAGCTCCCGCAGATCGGTCCTGCTCCGCACCGACTCTCGTCGGGGTTAAGCCAATACACCGAGACTGATTGGTGCAGGGGCAGTATCGCTGACATTTACCGTGAAGATGAGTGGTCGGCGCGCAGCTTGGCTGCTTTCTCGATTACGCACTGGGTTGCAGTGCAGTAGTACACTTCGGACTCCGATGCGGATTTGGGCCGTCCGAGAGGGGAATACACCGAGCCGACCAGCTTGGTAGGTGTGGCGAGAGTGGTAATGTTCGACAGAGGTCAATGCTTCACACCGGTGTAAGGATTTCAGGGGGGGACGCGATTCGTGTCGGTTGCTCGCCTTGTTGTTGCGGTCCAGGGCGGTTGACGTAAGTGATGGGCGAGGCCATCCTGAAGATCGATCCCCCAAATCATATCACTATGATGCTGCACACGGTTCGATGATTTCATGGCTCGCCATGATCAGACTCTGTGGGGGAACGCTTTGATGAGAAACCACGTTGGTTATCTGGTTCGGAGATTTTGCATACCTTTATCCACTGACCTACCTTACTATCTCTATACCATCTATGTTTCGAACTCTCACCTCCACCGCAGCTGTCCCAAGACAGTATCGACGCGGCAACACAGCCTCAAAGTTCGGGGGTCCGCCCTGGATGATACCAATAGATCCACTTTGTTTCAACTTTCTACTATTACTAATAGTATTATTAGCAAAGGCTAATATCACTAGGAGGATCTACGGAATACATATCCCGTGTATAGCACTTATCAAACGGAAAGCCGTACCCTCGTGGCCAGAAGGTTGGCAAATCACCTTTTGGAGCAAATGCCATCACCTCCACAATGCACTTCTCCGGTTTCATACTACGAGAAAAGAGGAATATACGGTCCATTTGCATCGCCAACCCCCTAGACAAACAGCTGCCGTGCGTGGACTAGACGGTCACCAGAAGGCTGTCATCTGCCAATTATGGATGGTGTTGTGCCGGGGGGATCCATAAAGACGCCAATTAACTATCGGAGATATGGGCTTAGCAAACTATACCTCCTGTTCTATACATCTTCCTTGCTTTTCTGAAGAGCCAGTGATTGGGAATGCAGCCGCCCACTAGTTAGGTACCTGGCACCGTGTTGGTCATTATAGAAGACCATACAAGTTGCTCCGAGTAATGCAGCAGAGACGTTGCCAAGATCTGTTTGAAACTTGCCGTTAACACTATTCGCTAGTCATGATCGATTCGAGGTTCCTGGTCCTGCATTGAATTTCAAAGCCCAATTACCTGTAGATAGCCCATGCATACACATTCATCCTGAGCTTTGTATATTCTACTCCCATCTCAGGAAAGCCAATCCACAAGGCGCAGCATCTAAGATGTTCAGCCAATATTGATGAGCCCAGTCATATACACGTTATAATATACGAGCGGTCCATGTCTATAATCCATCATTCTATAGATTTATGGGCCACAAAGAATTCCCCGAACCTTACTTAACCTTAAGCCAACATAAACAAAACTCCCTCTTTATAATTTTCAACAAGTATAAATGATGATATATTGGGCTTGTATATGGCAGATATCCAATACATTATTGTTATTTCGTCCGAATTGATACACGGAGCTAACTGAGGACTCATAACACTGTTAACACATTGCCGATCCCATATTCTTAACTTCCTACTAAGTATATACCCGGTGGTATAGCCATCGGTGATAGCGCCGCACCATGATGAGCTGACGCTGAAACAGAGGTAATTGAGTGAGTGCTTTAAACATCATAATATGATAGATGTCGACACTGGTGTTGAAGCCGACGGGCAGCCGATCTGGCCCCAGGTGGGGGTATCGAGGAGGGGCTATTGGTCTCCAGGCTAAATGTAGTAGCACTAGCACCATCCGTTCCCCTCTTTTCCCGTTCCCCTCTTCGTTCTCTCATTCTTGTCCCTTCACTCCTCCTTTTCCTCCTAATCTCGATTAGTATTTTGATCACAATGACTTGACTTGACAGATTTTCTCTACTTCGGCCCCCATTATCTCTCATGCTTCCCCTCTCCCGAAACGGCGCTTACCAACTCCCCCCCCCCGGTGAAGCTCACACAACTAAAGATGCCTCCCACGATCCCACACATATTCAATCAACCAAAACAACTGCATTCACCCCCTACGATCATACCACTGCTGATCCTTTTGACCCAACTCCCACGACCATACCGCACCTGCACAACCGCGGGATGAAGACAACAAACCAAACAAACGGGCAGAGCGAGCTGGCTGGCAGATTTGGTGTTCCGCGACCCCTCGCTTACCAGCCAATCAGAGCGTTGAATCCTTACCCGCCCGTCCTATATAACCCATTGTAAACAGGAATCAAGTGCCTTCGGGCATTTGGTCAATTTGAAACGATACAGAGAAGATTAGCATGGCCCCTGCACTAAGGATGACACGCTCAATCAAAGAGAAGCTACCAGTTTTTTTTCCAACTCTTACAGGCTTCATTTGGAGGTGTGGTGTTTTTTCGTGCCAAGAAATGTGTGGTTGCATGGGACTACATGCAGGTGAGGGGGGTGGGTTCGAAGCGCGGTGTTGGCTTCTTCCTTTTTTTTCCCCCTCTCTTGCCTGACCCGACACTCCTTGGTGACAAGCTACGTAGATGGACAGGACAGGCCAGCTTCTCATGTGGACAAAATGGATAGACCAAGCAAGATAATCTTTCATCAGATCAGAGAGGAGTGGATCGTAGAATTTGCCTAAAAGCAGAAATATATTCACATGCTACTAATAGTCTCAAGCTTTCAAACTCTCAAGCTCTCTCAATCAGAGTAAAAAGATTCACGCACCCCCCTCCCTCTTCGCATACTCCTCCTCGATCCTCTCCTCATACAACCTGTCCGCTTCCTCCTTGCTCAACGGCGTCTCATCCTCCGTCTGCAAAGGCCCTGACTGCATGCTAGGCGGGTATTCCGGTGCCGCGGCAGAGTTCATGTCCATGCCCGTACCGTAAATTTTGATCTCGGAGAGGTCCTTCGGGGATTCGATGGAGTCGGAGGTGCGGTCTGAGGTGACGGGTTGGCCGATGGGGGATTGGTATGGCATTTTGAGTTTGGGATGAAGAGGATGGATGGATGGATGGATGGATGAGATGTTTGGTTTATTGTGTGGTCAGAAGGTTGTTGGGTGATAAGACAGATATTCTTCAACGTCAGAGGGAAGAAGAAGTTCTTATATGGAAGGAAGCGTATAGCTAATCAGACTGTCACGTATACTGAATAAACAGATAGACAGATGATGATGTGAGTCATATACAATGAATGAATGGACGGATGATGGCGAGTTGCTTATTATATATCCATCCATCGGTCGCCAGTGGCGAGAAAAAAAATAACGTCATACGCGCAAGACAGCCACAAAGAGAGACCATGACAGTAAGACCCCCTCCATTCATCCAGCAGCAGCAACATGAGATTTAAATATTAGTGAACATGAGGCTAGTTACAGGATACGCGAACCGCGGTAGAGTTGCGGACAACGGGCCGTCCATACAAGGAAGCCATACGGATCGTCTATGACGGATATCTTCAAACTCTTCCCCACCCTCGAGCCGCTGGCCCAAGGACTGATGAAAAGTAGGTTCTCCGAAGAGAGAGATGCCAAAGAATACGCCTGTCAATGACCCGTAAGCCGTTGAACAGACTGTTCCGCCGCGCTGTGCAATGCAGGGACCAATCTGTGGTGAACCGCCTTCTTGATCGCAGTCACCCAAACAAGGTAAGTATGAAGAAAAGAAAGAAGAAAAAGGTCTAAAGGGGGACGGGGGAAGAGGGATTAAATAGAAGTGAGTGGGGTCGCCGGAATGGCGCTAGCGGTAAGCGAGGCGAACTCGGTCAGGTGACTAAATGCTTTGGGTTGGCGGGCGTGCATAGCAGGCTTTCTTCCACGATGTACGGGTACCTAAGGTAGGAAGTACTAGTTAAGGAGTACTTTGCACAGCTAAACTACTTTGATCTGTATGTACCAGGTCTTCCAGGTAGAATTCATGCCTACTTCTAAACATTTACAAGGTGTAGGGGTTCTCTGAATAGTGATTGATCTATTAAGTATGGCCACCACTCTCAGTAGTATTACTATATGCATATGATGTGGTTCAGGCAGTAAATACATAAACGGCTTCGCTTCAGCAACCCCCCCCCCCCCCCCCTCGATGAATGAATGCTAGCTAACCCCTCAAATTATGCACCTGTCCTTAGTCTAACTCTGCCAGCTCCTCTTTACTCGGCACTCAAAGCGAGACACGCATCCACTGCCAGCCCGACCCTGTACACCGGTGTCAGCCACATCGCCTTCGTCTTCAAACGCAGGGAATCAGCTCACCTTCCTTCCTTCATCTTGACAACATCATCGATTACATCGCGGTCGAGGTTGGGGAACATGTTGGACAGTGTTTCTACAACATTAATGTGCTCAGCACGGTGGATCCTCCGTGCCTCTGCATCCTCGGCGCTGGCCTGACGGGCAGCAGCGTCCTGGGCACCGGCCACTTTGGCCACCTGCGGCGAGGCTGCATTGCGTGGCCTCTCGGCCGATCGCCTGCCTTCGCTGCTACTACGAGGCGGCTGGTACACGTTCGGTGTCAGTCGTGGCGATGCCCCAGACTGCGATGGCCGTTCCTGCGGCGAGTCTGGCTCGTCGGAAAATATCCTTCCTATGGTCGACAATGGCTTCTGGATGGTCCGCAGCAACCCTGCTACTGGTGCCGTATCGTCATCGCTGGACTGGGGAGCTTCTCTCCGCACGGCTGTGCGTTGGGTATCAAGGGATCTTCGGGGTGGAGCTTGCGCGCTCTCACCTGAGCGATCTGAAGACTTTCGCTCGACAGACTCGGATTCCCGGTTCTGCTGGGCAATGGCGGAGACAGCAGCCTCAACGTTTCGCTCGAAATCTTCATCGCTCACTGTCAGACTCGTGCGGTCTAGGGTCTCGATGAATTGAATCGCTCCTGACTGTGGATATGAGTCAGAATATCGCCCCAGAGGCAGCATCAGGGCAACGTTGACATACCAACGAGGATAGATAGTACCCGGCTTCCCCTCCAAGCTTGTCTTGGTTGCGGAAGCGCAGAATGTACTGAATGTTGGATACCAGATGGTCAGGATTCGCCTGCAACACCACGTATATCAAAAGAGGCACGAAAGAGTCGGCAGACGTATCAGATCTCTTCGAATTCCTCAGCAGGCCTTGGGAAACATCAGGAACTCTTCTCCAATCCATGACATGACCATTGCCACTCACCGAATATGACCTTGCAGCAATTGAGGATACAAATTACTTTATCGCGGGGAGCTCGGTAGCCATTGATTTTCAGCAGTTCTGCACCTTGTTAGAAAACATCCGGAAATGTAGACGGGGGACCGCCACCCACCTTGTTGGGCCAAATTCAAGAAGCGCCGGCCGTGAGCGCTTACTGGCGGTATGTCCAAATGCCCCTCTTTTACCCAGCTGTATATGCGCATCTTCTGCGCCAGCACCTCATCACGCTCTATATCCTCCTGATGTTGGCCCCGTCTCCACGGTCCGTGGTTCCGCTCCATTTCTCGCCGTTTGCTCCTACTTGCACTTCTTGGGATTGTGGGCGGCCCAGGAATAGCCGGAGAAAAGGTTTGGGAATACAGTCTATTCATTACAAGTTTCTCCATCCCTTCCTTGGCGTTGTCGAACTCGCTGTCGGAGACATCGCGCCAAACTTCACACTGAGCCATCTTGTTGGTGATGAATACCAAAAAGTCGCTGATAATCTTGACTTGTTCGTGGACCATCCACTGTCTCTTTCCGAACTCGTGGAGGAACGAGCGTAGAAACTTAGCAACCGGATCCGCAGTGCGGTGCCGCAGCTGCTCTAGAAAGCGATGGAAATCAAATGGCTGGTCAGGCTCGGGCTCTGGAGGTGGAGGAAGGGTTGATGTCGACGAACGCCGGCTCAGCTTGGCCTCGTCGGTAGCGGAACCCTTTGGAAGCTTCGCAGGCTGTTTTTCAGCCGAGATAGAGGGCACTCCGGCTACAGGCTTTGGCGCACGAGAATCGTCAGCGACGGGTTTGCTCTGATCCAAACTTGACTGCCGTGGTGGAAAGTGGCTCTGCCCACCGAGAAACTGCTCAGCAAGCTCTAGCCGAGGAGACATGATTTGTTCTTGACCATCGCCGCGCGTAGAGTCCTGGAACTGGTCCATAATGCTCTGGATTTCTGACTGCGAGTCATCGTCCCGACCGTCAGCACCAGAGGCGCTCTTTTTTTCATTGTAGTAGTTGCCAGGAATTTCCGGTAGTTCCTTCTCAGTCAACTCGATTGCGGGCGAGTGCGTAGGAGCAGGCTGAGGGCCGGAGTTCTGGTAGGGTTTATCCTTTGCTGGAGGGGTAGGAGGTACATCTGTGCCAGGCGATGAGACGGGTTCTGGGGTTGTAGTCGATATTAAAAGCCCCTTCATCCGCTCCGGAAGCGACTCTCGTTGGGAGGGGGCGGGGTTCGAAGGTTCTAGGGCGGATGGCATCGGGGCCACGTTCGAGGACTCTGTCGCGGTATCCGGCGCTTCACTTCGAGAGTTCTCCATCGTCCTGTCTTGTTGCGTGTGTTGACTAGTTTCCGGAACCCCTGAGGGGTCATCCTGTAGCTGCGCCGCCGGTTCGAGGCCACTAGACTCCACCTGCTGTTCAGTTGTAGCGGCCGGCTCGACCTCGCCTTCCCTTGGACCACTAGGAGCCGGGGATTCCGAGGGTCCTGTCGCAGACATGGAAAACCTGCATGCACGCCAAAGCTAAACAAATTATCGAAAGAGCTCCGTTAGACAGAAACACGGATCATCATGAGGGGGTTATCCGGAGATACTATTCCCGGGGGCTGTCGCGTAACAGACAACGGCTGTCCGGACAGATGATGCAGGCAGTGAGACGAATATATCGATTCCAGCCACTGGAATACTCCGCGAGAAAAACTCCAGAAGGAACAGCGGGGGGCATTGGGAGGAGGAACGCTCCAGCAGCGCCAAAGAGGTCAGCCCGCCATCAGCGGCGGGGGATCATCGTTCCCCCGACTCCCGCCGCGCTCGTCCAGCTCCGGTCGCTTTCCGCCTTCTGGTTCTTTCTCATCCTCCCCAGGCGACCCCACCATGTGCGGCATCTTCTTCTCCCTGAGCGCGTCAGGTCCTGTCCTTCCGAACGAGGAGACTTGTGCCTTACTGAGGAGCCGCGGACCGGACAATTACCGTGTTCATAATGTTGAACAAAATGTGGCCACGACACAGTCGGGCAACGGGGAGCCCGTCACTGTGTATCTCAGCTTCGTCTCCACCGTGCTCTCAATGAGAGGAGACCATATTGTTCCCCAGCCGCTGGTGGACGATAAATCCCAGTCCGTGATGTGCTTCAACGGGGATGCCTGGAAGATAGCTGGTGAACCGATAATGGGCAACGATGCGGAACTGATCTTCAAGCTGCTACTGCAGGCTGCCAGGGGATCCTCGGGTACAGATGTGTCGGAGGATGTCCCTACGAAATCCGTCCAGAAAATCCTGAATGTGATCAGTAGCATCTCTGGCCCCTTTGCCTTTGTGTTTTATGATGCGGTTAATTCCAAGCTTTTCTTCACCCGCGATTGCCTTGGGAGGCGCTCATTACTTGAGGGTCTTAGTGAGGCCGGCGATTTGAAGATTTGCAGTCTCTGCGATGGCACTTCTTCTACCCACTTCAGTGAGGTTGAGACAAACGGAGTACATATGATTGACTTTAAACATACTATCTTCCAGGTTAAATCAGACCCAAGCGCCAACCCCCGCACACTTTCCTTTGCGACAAATAACATACAAACACTCTTATGGGACGAGGGGGATTCAGCCACTCCGCATGGCCTTGTATGTTCGCTCCCGACCTTGTCCTTGCATGATGCAGTTTCTAACAAGCAAACCAGAGGACTTCGATCCCATCAATGAATAGGACTACCCCAGAAGGAGTACCACCTGTACTTAACGTCGAGACACCCGCGGTTAAGGAGCTCGAGCAGAAGCTACGCCAATCGGTTGCATTGAGGATCCAGAATGTGCGAGAGCCCCCGGCTACTCCATCCGGAAGCAGAGTGAAAATTGCTGTACTATTTTCAGGAGGCCTCGATTGCACCGTGCTTGCTAGGCTAGCTCATGAGATCCTTCCGGAGGGCGAAACCATCGATCTACTCAACGTTGCATTCGAGAACCCACGTGTTGCGGCCGCGGCAGCAGGCAAGGAAGGAGCAGCGGGCTCTGTGTACGAGAATTGCCCGGACCGTGTCACGGGTCGATCAGCATTTGCAGAACTACAGGCAGTATGTCCCGGTCGCAACTGGCGGTTCGTTGCAATAGACATTCCATACGCGGAAACCGTTGCACATCGCGAGACCGTGAAACGCCTAATGAGGCCTCACAATACAGAGATGGATCTCTCCATCGCCTGTGCATTATATTTTGCTTCCCGAGGGCAAGGACTGGCTTATGATAGTATCCAGCCTGACGCCTCCCCCACCGAATACACCACCTCCGCCCGAGTACTCTTGTCCGGCCTCGGAGCGGACGAGCTGTTCGCAGGTTACTCAAGGCACGGGGTGGCATTCTCTCGGGATGGCTTCAAAGGCCTCATCGATGAGATCAATCTGGACGTCAGCCGTCTCGGCAAGCGCAACCTCGGTCGTGATAACCGAGTCATAGCGAACTGGGGCCGCGAAGCGAGATTCCCATTTTTAGATGAAGAGTTTGTGTCCTGGGTGGTGCAGCTTCCCGTGTGGGAGAAGTGTGGCTTCGGAACTTCCCCGCCAGAGAGCCAATCACCGGAATCAGGACTTGACTCGGAGAAGAAAGCTCTCCGTCTCGTTGCTTTGAGGCTCGGTATGACAAACGTCGCCCGTGAAAAGAAACGTGCGATCCAATTTGGGTCTAGGACAGCCAAGATGGAAAAAGGCAAGACAAAGGGAACCGACGCGCTAAGTTGAAAATGAAAGGAGCTTTTCAAACAAACATATTTCCCCAATCACCGGCCCTCCACCCACCTCCTCCCTCCCTCCCTTCCCAACCAGACCAGCTATGATGACAAAACCGGATCAGATACTTCTGAGACCGCCTCTTTATCTGTCCCCCTCGACTTTTCCGCCCTTTTGTCTGAACCTCGAGCAGCCATGATATTCGGTATCCCTCATAGCACACGCATAGCCACATCTGTTCTTTTCACACTGCGGGATTGCAACCGCCCTTCCCTGCCCAGGCATCCTCTGCACCGTGCACGGAGCGAGATGTCCAGGCATTCATGGAAGAGGACTGGTACTTCCCACACATAGTGACCGTTGGCGTTTCCGAGGAAGCAAAATGAGTGTGCTTGGTACTGGGTGTCATACCGTTCGTAGGCTAAGCATTGGGGTGGTGGATCGAGTAGAAAAGAGGTTTGTTTGTCTATGAGGCTCGCAAAAAGGCAAGTCTGAGCTGCGTCGATCACATAGAATTTTTTGTTATATAGATCTAGAAGTTACATAGGCTGGGCCTCATCTGTAACCTTAAAACATAGATCGATAGACACTATTTTACTAGTAGTGAGACTACCGTAAGTTTAAGATGACCATGTAATATTTCTTATATTCTGGGTACCTGGCAAAAACGACAGAAGAGGACGAACGGACAGACAAGACGAGACGAGAAACACTCCATACGATTGAAGCTTACTGGATAGAGACAACGCAAATTTAGAAGAAAGACTTAGGAGAAAGATTAGGAAATGAATTCAGTGTTATCACAGTTCACAATCTGATACATAAACTCAGGAGGAAAATAAAATAACACAAAAAAAAAAAGAAAAAAAACACTCGGATCTGCCAAGTACATGAAAAGTAAATTATTAGTGGCCACGAGTCAATCCCGCTAACCGGGAGACGTCAGAACCGGCCATTGAGCAGAAAGCAGAATAACCATCAAACGGACCCCCAGGGGTAAGTAAGCCAGGGAAGGAAGAGAAATAAAACACAGCGGCGTGATTCACAAGCGTGAATCGACCAGCATCAAATACAACAAACGGCCTCGATAGTGAGGGACCGAATAAGAAGAAAACTTTTTGGCTGTCGGAAGTGTCCTGCTACCCGCGTCACCGGTAACTGACTGTTGCTTCCGACGGCGATGGACGAGAGGCTCCACGCCCCCGACCCACTAGGGGCACAATAGCACAAGCAGCACAATACATAAGCCGAACCCGCATACCCAGACCAACAAATTAAAAAGAAAAAACCCAATTGACTTTTGTTCACTTCGCGCCCTTCTCGGCCATGTCACGCCAGAATTGTTCGCGCTGTTGAGACTCCTCGAGCATCTTTTCGAGCTCCATGATCCGTTGCTCCATGACTCCTTGACGCTCCAGCTTCCGCGCCCGAGACTTACGGGCAGCTTCGGTATTACGAGCTCGCTTCAAGGCAGCCGGATCGCCAGAGTCGTACTTGATTGGCGGCAATGGCTTCCGTTGACGGGCATTGACACCAGCCACTGTAGAGTGCTTGGTGCTTGGGCGAGACGGAGCTGGAGAAGCAGATGGCGCCGGAGACGCACTGGAGCGTATCATCGGAGAGGGAGGAGGTCCGGTAGCCTTGGACTGTTGCAAAGATGCAGCCAGTTCAAGAGTGGCGGTGTCGAAATCCAGGGAGAACCCATCCTGAGAAGGAAACAAGGACTCCCACTCCTCTGGGGCTGCGTTCAGATCCATCTCAGTGTTGATCATGGGAGATGTGTTCTGACTGAAGTAACCGGGCGTGTCCAGAGGAGGAGTGCTGAGATCGGTAAAGGTGGCCGAAGGGGGAGCTGAGGCATCAATAAAAAGATCCTGGGGCGAGATAGTGCCCGGCGGAGCGGCATCCCCCAGCTGGCCAAAGAGCGAATGAGACATCTGTGGCGAGAGCATGTTGGACTCCGGGGAGCTGAAATCGTCCCCAAAGTGATTGGACGGAAGGTCGAAAAGTTCGGGGAAATCTGGAGTGGTGTGAGTACGGACACCTGAGGCCTGTGTTTTCCCAGGAAAGTGCGCACCTTGGGAAATGTTGGGGGTAGACATCATGCGGCGGTGTTGTTTCAAGTAGTAAAGTGCTTGCTGTTTCTTCAAAAGTTGGTTGTGCTGATTCAAAAGGGCAGAATAATTGTGCGATCTATCGTTGAATAGAGGGACGGGTGGACGATTAGGATAGGCAGTATTCGTAACTGCGGGTGTAGAATTCGAAGCGGCAGATGTTGCGTAGCGACGCACGAGATGCTTCCGCAGAGCAGGATTAGACCGAAGAGACGTAGACAGAGGATACCCGGTAGATTGCGACGCTATTCTGGCCGAATAAGGAACCTGGGCAGGCGAGATCGGAAGCTGTTGTTGCAAAGCTGAGGAATGTCGTCGAGCAGGATATCCTGATTGAACCAGGTGGGGTTGATAAGCGGGCTGTCTAGGGGCAGAATTGAGCAGTGCTGGCGCACACGAGTCCCTGGGTTGAGACTGGGGACACGGGGCAGGAAATAGCACAAAGTCCTCCTGTAGAGAGCTGGGGTTGTTGTTGCTGTTGTTCAGATTCGAATTCACTTGAGCCGGTGGCTGCTGGGGCGGGGGCGTGGGGGGCCATGATTGCTGGTGGTAATCCGTGGTGAACGACGTAAAGTCGAACGGGAGAATGCTGTTCGGGGAACTTGAGCTACGCAAAGCGATGCTTAAGTTCAGAGGTCCTGGGACAGGAGACTCTGAGGGGGGTGAGAAGAGATTGGGAAAAGACGAGGTCCGAAGAGGATCTATGATGTCTGTCTCGTGCGAGAAAGACGGAGCTGTTGCGGGGGAGGCGTTTAGAAGGCCATTTTGCAATGCAAATGGAGAATGAGACGCTGGATAAATGTGGTTCTGTATGGTGACGGGTAGGATAGAGTGAAGATGGGAGTGGATGAAAGGAAGAAAAGTGGTGTGGAGGGGAAAAAAAAGGAGGGAGGGAAAAGAGAAGCGCCAGGCAGCGACGGGAAGCCAGGCACTTCTTAACTGTGTGTGTGCGGTCGTCGCGGTTCGCTGGGCCAATCATCCGCCTCTGCAGCCCCGCATATTACACTAGCCCGACTGGGTAAGGGCTATCTGACGCGGTCAGCAGGTGTGAGTCATAGGGCCCGACGGTCCCATGATTGGCTGCCAGCCCTGCCAGTGGGGCCCATCGGGGCCATTGGAGCCCCAGGCATTCCCGTGCCTGGAGCAGGCTGCCAGGCAGTCTCAGTCGTACCAGGCGGGTACATTATTGCACCTCACTCAACCCGCGACGGGCGATGTCACTCGCAGATCACTATCTATCTATCTCGTCTGCTCGGATTCTTGTAGTCGACCCCGACTCCACAGCCAGAAGGCCGCGCGGGCACGATGCTACCATGCTACCGCAGGTAGGATGCCTAGTGCTAGTACAGTGGACTAGTATTGATGATGAAACCGGTTCACACGCGTGCCTCCGGCCGGACCCATTGACCAACCAGCGAGCCCGTTGCGCCTCGGGGCCTCCATGACCGCCCGTCGGGGTCTGTATTGGGTGCAGCGCCCAGGGTGCAATTGGGGCTGAGCCTGAGCCTCATGTCTCACTCTCCACGACCTGGACAGGGCATTGGCCCTTGACCCTGTCCCATGCGACCGATCTGCTTGTCAGATTTCCGACGTGGAAATGTATAATCTTGACTGGCAGCCTACCTGCGCGACTTGATGTTAAACGCAAAAGAAAAATCTTCGCGCGGGAGACAGGCGGCCGGAGATCAATTTCCCAATTTTGTCCCCGCCCTGCAGCCCCTCGTCAAAGTCGCTCAAAGGGCGTGGAATTCCACCCGCGGCAAACTCTATCAAGACACCGGGACGTTCCGGCCTTCGCCTGACCACGAATGGTGTAATTAGCGGCGATTAGCGGCTGGGGGCCCTTCAGAGGAATTCCCAGGTGTCTCTATCTATCTACTCCGTACTCCGTACTAATCTAGATATATTGGATGGGGACCATCAGGATCAGGGAATTTTCCCTCCAGGGGTATTGGATGAAATGTGCTTCGTCGTATATTCCGCAGTCCGTACCAAATACGTGCTCCGTACTGGACTAAGCGTAAAGCGGAGATTGGTGGAACCTTGGATTAGTAATTGGCGGGAACAACCGGCCCATGTGAAAGTTAAAGTCAATTGCAGGAATCACCATTCACACTACGGAGTACGGAGTACTTGGGTAGACTAAGGCATCTAAGTTACGGAGTACTCCGTGCGCACTCTTTCGTCTCTTTTTCTGTGCTATGGATTAGATACTCGGAGACAGGAGTCTAGAAGAAGTGAGAGGCAGCAACTCCGACTCCGAACCTATCATGACCCGTCAAGTAGTCAATCATGTCTAATCATCGATCAGGACGTGACGGAATAGATTATCTACCTACTCCGTATCATCCCCGGGTGCCCACATTCTTGCAGTTGTACATAACCTACTCCGAGTGGAGATGCCAGTCCCTGGCGTGCATCACTGCATACTCCGTCAGTACTCCGTACTCCGTACATCAGCCGCATAGACATCTCTGCGGTATATGCAGGATTATGATGTACAGCAGCATTCGTCCCCAGGCAGCCACCGATGACGAGGTCTCGTCGGCACTGCCTACCTACAAGTCCGCTACGCATAGTCAGCACTAGGTGGTGCTCTGGGTGAAAAACCAGAATTCCAACCAAGCTTTCGCGGTGTCCAGACTGGCTCCTTCGTACTGCAAGGTACACCTACCTCAGTACAAACCAGTCCCCTTCGTTCATGCAGGGAACCTTGCGAGATGCGATCCCATTTTTGGGATAGCACCGAGTAATGATCCAGATGTCTGCCCTTGGACCCTAGTCCTATCATATCAGCTTAGCACTTGAGCTATTGTATTGCTCCTGCGCTGCGCCGTTTCTTGTACGGGTGCCTGGGTCCTATCTAGTGTCTTCATGCCGAGTCCATGGCCGGCCAGGGTCCCGTGTCAGGCGAAAAGGCTACCGCGGTGTGTTTCGCATGTAAATATAGCAACACCGATTGATGCCATTCCTTGTTTATCCAATAGTTCAATGTAAAGATGTATGCCAGAAAGCCGATTATTCACTCACACTGTTGTGCGGGCCACTTCCGCTCTCCAGAGTAGTTATCTTACGGGTATCTAGTAATCTGTGAAAGCGATGCCACAACACTACAGCCGATTATCAACATCATGTTAGGAGAACAACATGGTCTGCTATTGCCTACAATAAATGTTAAAACCACGAATCAAATTTATCCCTCCTATCTCTATCATAGGAGGTCTGTTTACTGTCGAAGGCACCAACAATCCTTTCCCCCGGATCTACACGGCCGCCTGACCAACCACCAAATACATATCCATCCAACAAGAGTGTCACGATCCATCCATGTACGCATTGCCCCAAACATCCCAGGCATCGATATAGGCCCAACGCGTAAGCACACAAAGTTTCAAGATTCATCCTAGGCTACCTTATACATCAATCGAATCATCGCATTCAGGTATATTGATGCCTATCCGACTCACCCCTCTCGCGAATGCCACACACAGCTTCGTTTATTCAGCCCATCCCCCAATACCCCCCCCCCCCCCCCCAGGCTCCAACAATAGAGGCAGGTCTCAGCGAGCTCTAGAGCATTCATTTCACATCTCCGATCCACCTGTGATCATCCGATAGTGCCATCATGCAGAATGACACTGTTATAGAGGATAACTGGCTATTAAGCCAGTACTGAGACAGATGTGTAGGGGGAAGCTAGCTATCGTGATTTCTAAGCAGCTTCAACTAACTAGTTAACTAACTACGGAGTAAGGGATCACACACACACGTAAGTTTGTGTAAAGTGTAGGTTCCAGCCCACGTGGCAATACCTACTGCATGTACCTACGGAGTACTTCGTAGCCATGAGGGGAAGGAAACCAAGTGTTGCGTGCGGCCCGGATAGAAGCGTGGGTGGGAGTGGCACATGTGCAATAACATGCAGGAGCGAGCGCAGGAGGATAACTCAAAATACTTTACATTAGGGTGTTGTATGGCAGGTGAGTGTAGTGATAATTTCGTCCATGATGCTGCCAGATTCGACTTGGAACATATTCAGCGAAGGAGGGCAATGGAGATGGATGAAATGGATTCGAGGAGCAAAAAAAAAAAAAGATTTGAACTCCGATAGGGGGAATCGAACCCCCGGCTGCCGTGTGAGAGACGGCGATGTTAGCCACTACACCATATCGGATTATTGATAGTACTCCTCAAAATTACCGTATATAACTTAAACTTATGTTTTTATCTGGGTCCTCCCAAACACCTTCCCCCCTTCCCCTCGTGTAGCGGCGTTATTTTGATCAGGGGCCCTCAGATCCTCTACTTAGTAAAGCTCGCCTCCTGCAAGCCGAGATCATACTCTATGCTCTGCACATAAAATATGTCGAATTTCTGTAGGCTTACAGTAAAGCTTTCGCCGCCTAGTCACAAGTAACTGGATCGATAATATCATCTTAAGATTCATTGAAACGTTTCTTTATTAGTATCTCGATTTACATAACAAAACCTTCCACCCAAGCTGTTGATAGTGGTTTTGGGTAGAAGGAGAGGACAAGGGACATAACGCTGAATCTTGACACCACAATACGGCCATGTCATACGGATAGCTGAGGCCATCGCTCAGTGACCCATTAAGCACTGGCACCTCGATATCTTCCGAGTTTGTAGTATGCATTATTTTCCATTCTTTGATGCAATATTTACATATGACCATGTAGCCATTCATCTTCCGCTAGCTCCTTCGCTGAGCTACGCTTGCCGGGCTCCCATTGTAGCATTTTGCGCATGAAACGCAGAAAGGCTTCTCTCTCCGCTTTACCCTCGAGAGTGGTTTCCCTCTGTTCCAGTGGCACTAAGGTGGTTAGTAAATCCGGGTTCAGGAAATTGCCTGAAGTGATCTAGTCAGTGGATTTGGACGCCGAAATTCACAATGTAACCAAAGAAACTTGCCTTCATTCGAAAAAAACTTGTCTCTTAGCTCCCCTTGTATAAGAAGGCTAGGAGGTGGGGGACCAAGAAGGTTGATCATCTCAGCAAGATGGGCTCGGCTCCGATATCTCTCAGATTCGGGGTCGTGGCCTGTAAATAAGGAGCCGCCTTCGTATATGTCCCAGATCTATACAATGGCTATTAGCAACTATCGGCTCATGATCTGGTAATTACGCTTACCATGCATCCCACATTCCATATATCGGCGCTAAATGTCCATGGAACGCCCAGAATGACCTCTGGTGCTCGGTAGATCTGAGGTTGAATAAATACCGAGTGAGACTGCTCACCGTGTACAGCAGAACCAAAATCGCAAAGAATTGGAGAGCTGACTTGTTTGGGTATTTTAAGTTCTTGGGACATATATATTATTCTCCCGCCTACCTCTTTTCTCGGAACAGGTTTTTGAAGCTCATACTCTTCAAAATCAGTAAAGACTGAATCATCCTTAATTCCGAACATGATGTTATCAGCCTTGATATCTAGTAGGAAATAGGCAAGTAAGTCAGCATAATCCCAATAAGATACAAGGGGCTACGAACCAGTGTGTGCAATATGGCACTCTGTATGAAGATAGTCCAATGCTAGAAATAGGCGATGAAGGACAACTGCGATAACCGGTGAGGGTAGTCTCTCAATTGGATTACGGCGTAAGAAAGCCAAAACACTTTCCCATAATGGTAGATGTACAAGGCATCGATGCTTGTCCTGAGGTCCGTTGATATAGAATGTATCAAGTAATGTTCTTATCACGTCGCGCCCGGGATGGGCCGTTGGGGACTGCTCCATGTATTTATATATATTAAGCTCATTATCCACTTGCTGACCCATAGATGAGGCCTGGACGAAGATTTTGAGCATAACATAACGCCGATTACTATGATTATTAGTGTATAAGTATCTCTGATAGGCTAATTTGGAACCCATGAGGAATCTCACTCCATGTCCCTTGCAAGCCACACAGTGGACGTAGACCCATATCCTAATTTACCGATGACTTGATATTGCTCATTGATGACTTCTCCGATTCGAGTTGGATAAAACTGCGAGGCGATGTAGTCTGGGAGAGTCTCCTCCTCAATCTTGTGCCACTCGGGTATCCGGACAAAGTTGGGGTTAGACAATTGGAGAGGTTTCCATCTCCGCCCGAGTGAGGGAAGAGATCGTAGAAGCGACGAGAACATAGTCTGATGGGGAAAGGAGAGCGATTATTGGGGCGGTAACCCGAATATCAAAGAGACAACGTTATGGTTATCAAGGTTGGATTGAACATGTTCAATAGGTTGAAGTTGATATGCGCAAGCAGGCAGACAGGCAGGTTAAATCAGTTATATGTACTCCGTGCGGAGGGCCTACTAATAGGCCAGGGATAGGCCAACCACAATAGGCCTATCTAGCTAAAGTGATGAAAAGCCAACCACGTGAATAATCCTTTCCTAAAGAGGAAGGGGAAATCGGGTGAGAGAGGGTCGGCGGAGCAGCGCTCTACTATCTATACGATGCGCTTAGATAGGTTAGCATGAAGCTCACCACGTCCGAGCTCGGAAATCTCGATGGACCACGGAGGAGGGTCACGTGGGGTGCACAGAGTGGTTGACAGTCCGATTACATAAGTATGACTCACCCCTCCCTAGGGCTTGGGGTACAGTACGTACCGCCGGCATCGGCTCCTAACTCCTCTCCGTCCATTTAGAGGATTCACTCACTCACCATCCCCGTTCATTAGAGAATCACCTACCATACCTACCTGGAACAAAGATGACGGGGAGTACAGATAGTCTGCTGCCTGATCCGGCAACGGACTTGAACTGGAACAACTACAATGGAGGTAAGTGCTCTCTATGTATTGTGAGGTCACCTCTCGAACTGACATGGCACCCCGCCTCTGCTAGCAATCCACGAAATTTTCTCGCGCAACGCCAATGCTCACCCGGATAGGCTCTGTGTCATTGAAACTAAGGGCATGCGGTCTCCCGAGCGCCAATTTACCTACAAGCAGATTAACGAGAGCTCCAATCAACTAGCCCATTTCTTTTTGTCTAATGGGTGCGAACGCGGCGATGTTGCCATGATCTATGCATACCGAGGGTTCGTACACTCCTCAAAATGGTACCAGCGCGGAAGCGGTATGCTGACAGGTGGCAATTGGTAGTGTTGATCTAGTCGTTGCCTACATGGGAGCTCTTAAGGCTGGTGCCACAGTCAGCGTGTTGGATCCACAATACCCCCACGACCGTCAAAAGACGTTACTAGAGGTGGCCAACCCCAGGTTCCTCGTTCACATTCAGCGAGCCGCCGAGGAATCCGGTCCGATCGCCGAATCCGTCTCTCAGTTTATCGCTTCCTCATTGAGCATCAAGGCCCATGTCCCGGCGCTCAAGCTCCAAGACGATGGACAACTCATCGGCGGTCTTAGCGCTGGTCAGGACCAAGACTGTCTCCAGCCCTACGAGTCACTTAAGCAGCAGTTGCCAGAAGTCGCCATTGGCCCTGACTCAGTGCCCACTCTCAGTTTCACCAGTGGCTCCGAAGGCAAGCCCAAGGGTGTCCAGGGACGTCATTTCTCCCTGACCTATTACATTCCTTGGATGCAGCAGAGATTCGGTCTTTCGAAGGATGACAAGTTCACAATGCTGTCTGGAATCGCCCATGACCCAATTCAGCGTGATATCTTCACCCCCCTCTTCCTCGGCGCACAGATTGTTGTGCCCCACCGCGACAGTATCGCCCACGAGCTTCTTGCCGAATGGATGAAGGAGCACCGTGTTACTGTTACCCATCTCACACCTGCGATGGGTCAGATTCTAGTCGGCGGTGCTACCGCTCAATTTCCTTCCCTACACCATGTGTTCTTTGTTGGAGATCTCCTAACCAAGAAGGATTGCCGAAGACTCCAAGAATTGGCCCCTCGTGCCTCCATCGTCAACATGTACGGAACCACGGAGACCTCCAGAGCCGTTTCCTATTTCGAAATCCCCAGCAAGGCTCAGCAGCCTCTGTATCTTGATGATATGCCGGATATCATCCCTGTTGGTCAGGGCATGCTCGACGTTCAGCTTTTGGTCGTGGATCGTAACGACCGGTCTCGCATTTGCGACGTTGGAGAACAAGGTGAACTGTTTCTCCGAGCAGGAGGTCTTGCGGAGGGGTATCTCGGAGACGACGCTCGTTCCAAGGAACTCAATGAACAAAAATTCCTGACGAACTGGTTTGTTGACCCTGCAGTGTGGACTCGCAAATACGAAGAGGCCGCTTCACAGGCCCCGCAATCTTGGATGAAGCTCTACAAGGGACCACGGGATCGCATTTACCGAACTGGCGATCTCGGTCGGTTCCGCCCTGATGGTGCTGTGGAATGCACTGGCCGAGTTGACAACCAGGTCAAGATTCGTGGCTTCAGAATTGAGTTGGGTGAGATTGACACTCATCTCTCCCACCACCCTTTCATCCGTGAAAACATCACCTTGGTCAGGAGAGATAAGGACGAGGAACCAACCCTGGTGAGCTACATCGTTCCAGAGGCAAAGAGATGGTTCCAGCAGCTCGCTGAAGATGGGCAACTGCCTTCCGAGCCGGAACCGTCCACCGAGGACGAATCACTGGTCACCATGCTTAAGAAGTTCCGCTCGTTGTCGGAGGATTGCAAGAAGTTCCTGAAAACCAAGGTTCCCCATTACGCAGTACCGACGATGTTCATTCCTCTCGCGCGTATGCCTCTGAACCCCAACGGCAAGATCGACAAGCCTGCCCTTCCCTTCCCGAGCACCAGCGATCTTGCTCTCCTGAACAGACGGGCTTCAAGAAGCTCTTCACTTCAAGTAGCCCTCACCGAGACGCAGCAGAAGGTTGCCGCGATCTGGGCCGGAGTCCTGCCAAACATTACCGCGAGGATGCTCGCACCCAAGTCCAACTTCTTCGAAGAGGGTGGACATTCTATCCTCGCCCAGCAAATGCTTTTCAAGGTGCGCAGAGAGTGGAAGGACATCGATATCCCAATGAGTGCCATTTTCCAGTCGCAGACCCTGGAAGCATTTGCTGCCGAAATCGAACACGCTCAAGACCCCATTGGTCTCCGCCTTGACCAGAACATCTACAATGGCTCGACAATCGCGGATGAAGCCTACTCGGCAGATGCCCGTGATCTTGCTGGAAAGCTCCCGGCTACCATCCCCAAGTCGACCAGCTCCGAGACCGCCGGAACGGCCTTCCTCACCGGTGCTACGGGTTTCCTTGGCTCTTACATCCTCCACACCCTTCTTGAATCAAACAAGCAAATGCGTGTCATCGCCCACGTGAGATGCCAAGATGCCGCAGCGGGACTCCAGCGTCTTAGAAGCATCGCCGAGACCTACGGACTCTGGCGCGAGGACTGGAACGGCCGGGTCGAGGTCGTCCGCGGAGACATTGCCAAACCCCAGCTTGGCATGTCCTCGGAGGACTGGGATCGCATTACCCAGGAAGTCGACGTGATCATCCACAACGGAGCCCAGGTGAATTGGATGCTGCCGTACTCCAGCCTGCGCCCGGCCAACGTCCTGAGTACCATGGAGTGCGTGACGCTTTGCACCAGCGGCAAGCCAAAGCGTCTCGCATTTGTTAGCTCCACCTCGACTTTGGATACCGACCACTACGTCAACCTCTCTCAGCAAAGTGTTGCGTCCGGTGGAACTGGTGTCCTCGAGACCGACGACCTGGAGGGTAGTGCCAAGGGTCTGGGCACTGGCTATGGCCAGTCGAAGTGGGCCAGCGAGTTCATTGTTCGCGAGGCTGGCCGACGTGGTCTCGTGGGAGTTGTCATCCGCCCCGGCTACATCACCGGAGACCCGGTGTCTGGCTTCTCCGTCACCGATGACTTCCTTCTCCGTCTCTGGAAGGGCTGCATCCAGGTCCAAGCCCGTCCGGATATCCCGGGCAACACGATCAACCAGGTCCCCGTCACCCACGTCAGCCGCGTCGTGGTTGCCTCGGTGCTCCACCCGCCCGTCGAGCCTCTGGGAGTCGTGCAGATCACCAGCCACCCCCGTCTAACCACCAACGAGTGGCTCGGGTCCCTGGAAACCTACGGCTACAATGTACCCCAGGTGCCCTACCGCGAGTGGTGCAACCTGCTGCAGAACTACGTGGCCGATGACCGCAACACCGAGTCCCGGGAACTTGCCCTCCTCCCCCTCTTCCACTTCGTCGTCGGCGATCTGCCCTCGAACTCTATCGCCCCCGAACTCGACGACGTCAACGCCGCTACCTCTCTGCGTGCCTTCGGCACCTCACCAGAGGAATTGAGCGACCGCGCCGTCAGCACCGAGACTATTGGCCGATACATCGCCTTCCTGGTAGCCACCGGGTTCCTGCCCGGCCCGACTGCCACCGGTATCAATGCCATTCCTGATGTGGATACCGAGAGACTGCAGGCGATGGGCAGCCTCGGTGGACGGTCTTCCAAGTGATGATGATGAATGGTTTATAAAAAGCATTTAAATGTATTTATTTATTGTTATTGTACTTGACTTATTTGTCGTGGTTGTTGCGTGTTGCGTGCTGCTCGGTCAGCGTCATGATTGCTAGAGAAATGATTGTCTGATTGATTTAAAAGCTGGAATTGCAAAATACTTGAATGGAACTTATATATACGCATTCTGCATACTTTCAACTTTCCACTTTCCACCATCCCTGAATTTCATAAGTAGGTTGTTCCCTTTCACTCTGTACATATACAACTGACTTACCCACTCCACCCTCTCACGCCAGCAGGAGAATCCAGACCCTCAGCCCCAGAGAGTCAAAAAAAAAAAGAAAAAAAAAGCTCAATCCGACATCCCATTCTACCATCCCATTCTGCCGTTTCTATCCCATCCACCCCCCTGCAACCCCAGCCAGCGACCTCGGCCGATACGATACACACACGAGGAGAGGGCAAGAGAGAGGAGAGAGAGAGAGAGAGAGACTAGAGAGAAGAGAAAGAGACCCCCCCCCCCCCCCCCCCCCCAAAAACCCCAAAGCGCAAGAAACGAGGAAAACAAAAACAACCTGACCGATTCAGCCGCCAGGAGCATACCTACCTACCTACCTACGTAGGTACCAAATATGATTCTTATGTACTCCGTAAGTTTCACCGTATCCAAATTACACACACACAAAAAAAAAAAAAAACGTCACATAATACCTACCAGCCAGCTCCAGATGGGAGAGGAATTCCATCTACATCATACTTACTTAACATGCAAGAGGCCCGGCCCCCCCTGCAGACTTTGCAACGAGGAGAGCACAGTGCGTCCGTCTTCTAAAAAGAAAAGAAATAAATAAACACCTCACACAACGTGCGCTTTTCAATAATAAATAGTAAACTACCTATCTACTCACTCTATTCTGACTTACGCCACATCGGATATTTTTTCGATGGTAGGGAGGGGACTTGCGTGCATGCATGCATACATACATACATAATACGTATGTACATACACATACATGCACACATACATACAATGGCTGTGATGAATAAGTCATCGAACTGAAATAAGATTAACCTCTGTCCCTGGCTCCCTGCAACAGTAATCTGCAATCTGCATAGTGCATATCGTAAAGCTTACTCGGACTATTATTCTGGAGGTTTCAAGACTTCGGCCCCCACCCCGTAGACCAAGTGGGCCGACGTACGGAAAGCTACTAGGCGCGACTGCGAAGGGCGGGATGCGCTACGACCAAGTCATTCTTAATTCTTAAATCAAGGAGATGGCTAGTGACCAGATTGCGAACAAAGCGTTGAATCTATTAATTATTACCTAATGACGCGGTGCCATGTATACATGGCGCTATCAACACGCTGCCACACCATGTAGTCATGGTAGTCGACGATTTGGGTCAATTTGAGTGGACGGACGTCCCATCCAACTGGCAAAAAGCACCCTTCCTCCCAATAGGGTATCAAGCCAAATGCATCAAACGGCAACGAAGGGAAATCTCACACACACACAAAAAAAAGCAGGAAGTAGCAGCAAGTGGTATCAATCTAGTTTGGACGGCGCACAACATGAACACACAAGGCCAGTTGGGTATCCTTGCGGAACGCATATCATAAAGGAATGAAACGCAGCACCGGACATCATCATAGACATCAGGGCACGGAAATGACCGCCAAAGCAGCAGAGGGTATCATTGACACTCAATTCGGCGTACCTCGCTTGGTGTAAGACAAGGGGCACGAAAAGGGTGGCAGTGGAGACATCAATTAAACACAGGAACAAGAATCACGAGTGTTTTGGTACTATTTTTTTTCTTTCCGATTTTCCTCATTTTTATAACGTATCATCGAGGTGTCGAAGAGTTAGGATAGGAATATCGCCGGTCCCACCATTTCTCAAACTCGATCCCTGTGTGGGGAGCGCTTCATGCGGCAGCCTGGACAGGGGTGGAAGTCGAAGCAACGTTGACGGGCTTGTTCTCCTCAGCGGGAGCCTCAGCAGGCTGAGCGCTCTCCTCAGCGGGGGACTCCTGGACGGTTTCCTCCTTAGGGGCAGCCTCGGCCTCGGTGGTCTCCTTGGTGTCCTTGACCTCGGACTTCACGGCCTTGCTGGGCTTGCGGAAGATGCCACCAAGCTTGTTGGTCTTGGACTTGGGCTCGCCATCGGCACCCTCGTTGTCGGAGTCGCCCTTCTTCTTGCCGAAGTTACCGAAGAAAGAAGTGCGGCGCTTGTCCTTAGGGGTCTCCGCAGCAGGAGACTGAGCCGGGGTGGCTTCCTTGGAAGCCTCGGTCTCAGCGGGAGCAGTCACGCTCTCGGGCTCGATGGGCTTCACAGCAGCCTCCTCCACGGGGTTGTCGAGCTGAGGAGCAGTGCTAGCAACGGGGGTCTCCACAGGAGCAGTAGCTTCCTTCTCGGACTTCTCGTGAGAGGGGCTGGTGACCTTCTGGAAGAAGTTGCCGAAGAGAGAGGCACGCTTGGACTTCTGAGCGGCAGGGGCATCGGTCTTCTTGTCCTCCTTCTCCTCCTTCTTGTCGCTGGCCTCGACAGGGGCGGCAGCAGCAGCAGCAGCTGTTGTAAGATTAGCCTCGGTACGTTGTTTGAGTGATAGGTCACATACCCTCAGAAGCCTCAGCGGGAGCGGGGGCCTCAGCAGGAGCCTCAGCAGGAGCATCAACGGGAGCCTCATCAGCAGTCTCAGCAGGCTTGGGCTCCTCGACCTTCTCCTCCTTCTTCTCCTCGGTTTCCTCCTTCTTGCCAAGCAGAGTTCCGAAGATGCTGGCCCTCTTGCGAGACTGAGAGCGGCTCTTGGAGGCAGCCTTCTCCTCCTTCTTGTCCTCAACAGGGGCAGCCTCCTCCTTGGGCTCGGCAGCCTTCTTAGCGGGCTCGGCAACAGCGGGCTTGCCTGGTGGCTATTAGTCTCCAACTCCTGATACCTCACGACTGATGTGACTTACTCAGCTTCTCAAGCTCAGCCTTGTAGCCCTCGCTGGAGGTGACAGCCTCCTTCTCAGCCTTGGCCTCAGCGGCCTTAGCCTCGAGGGCGGCAATCCAGCTGTCGCGCTCAGAGGCGCTGGCAGCCTGGAAAGTGTGCTTCTGGCCGTGGACCTTGAAGTGGAGCTCGCTGGAGCCTTCCTTGGCAATGTCCGAGATCTCAGCCTGTTAATGCGGTCAGCAGCCTGCGCCATCGTTCATCATCACATCGGTTACTGACCAGGTTGAAGATACCGGCGGGGGTAGTCTTGTCCTCCGCGCGCTTGGTGAAGAACAGAAGGCCCTTGCCAGTCTGGCTGGCCCAGGCAGCGATCGGGTTGGCGACGGCAGGCTTCTCGTTCTGGTGGAACACGGAGAGCTGCTTAGCCTCGACGGCATCGTCGCTGAAGTAGAAGAAGCGCTTGGCGAAACGAAGACCCCTGTGGTGTCACACATGATTAGTCACTGCAGGTCGTATTCACGATGCGACAAGTGGCGCCTTACTTGACAAGACCAGGCGCCTTGTAACCCAGGATGCCCTCCGATGCGGGGGTCACCTCCTCCTTCTTAGGCTCCTCCTTGGTCTCCTCGGCGGGGGCATCAGCCTTGGGTTCCTCGGCGGCGGGGGCGGCCTCGGTGGTCTCAGCGACAGTCTCCTGGGGGGCCTCGGTGGCAGCGGTCTCGGTAGCCGGGGTCTCGGTGGCAGCAGGCGCTTCGGTAGCAGGAGCAGTGGCGGGCACGGCCGCGGGAGTCTCCTCGACGGGCTTCTGGACGTCAGACATGGTGTCGGGCTGCGATTAGATGGATAATTATAATCGGTATGGATGGATTAAATATGTGTTAGAGAAGCTGGCGAAGCTTCGGAAAATTAAGGCGCGGGTCGAGTAGGGTATCTCTTAAGGGGTATCTCAACAGAAAGAAACAAAAGCTCTTTCAGCGCAAAGCTAGAAGAGCTCGGGTATCACAACGAAGGGGAAAGGGGAGGGGGGGGGAGAAATGAACCCAGACGGTCAGTCACGATTAGAATGAATATGGGAAGAGAGAGAGAAGAGAAGAAAAGAAGAAGAAGAAGAGATCAGGGAGGCAAGCGAAAGAAAAGAGGGGAGAAAAAGAAGGAGAAGGGGCGAAAGGAGGGCCAAGGCGAGGGCGAAAATGAAAGGGTGTGGGCGACCAGGCCTGGTCATTGGCGCATCGTCCCAAACAGGCAGGGAGCTGCAGGGCGGCACTAGAGCCTAGACTGAAAGAGGGTGGGCCTGATGCTGGGATGGCCGCTCCCCGGCTAGCCCGCCTTGGGTTTGGCGGGTCTTGGGCGGGCTTTTCTTTTTTTTCGTTTCTGTTTTTCTACTTTCCTTTTCGGCGGGCTTAACTGTTTTTACCTAACAATCAGGGGTTGCGCCATGCCATTGACTCATCGTCATCCCCCCCTCCCCTCCTTCTTCTGCTCCTCATCAGACCATTGTATGATTCTGATTGTGCAGCCCACCGAGCTTGGATGGAAGCATGTAGTAGGATCGATTCTAGTACCTACTGGAAGACTGGAAGTCTACTCCGGACCTCCAGCGCGTCCCGTTGGACAGAAAATCCACCATTGTGAAGAAACGGCAAGGAAGCCCGGAGTAACTCCGTCACGGTGATACTGATAGACGTTCGAAAGGAGTGGTTATTGGGTCCAAACTATAAATCAAGCCGGCGGTAGGTCATCCTCTAGACGAAATTTTTTCTGGATGATGGCTCTTGCGCACGCGAACGAGCCTGTCTTGCCCAATAATAGGTAATAAGCCCTCACACTGTTCCCCCTCCCCCTATGAGACCTGGTCAAAGGTGGTTGAAACCATGGTGAATCGTTCCCCAAGACAGACAACTCCTGGGACTGGAAGAAGCTAGATGGACATTTACCTCCTGATGACTCGATGAGGGGATAAATTGACAGGTCAGAAAATGGTCGTCGTCCTTGGCTGGCTACCGGTCGTGCAGATTAACGGCTCGCCGTTGACTTGATTACTTTATCATCAGGAAAAAGTGTACGGAGAGTTCTATCTAAGGTACGGAGTATGGAGTATCGTCATAAGAAAAAAAAAAGTGGAAAAAAAAAAAAAGAGTCACCCGCGACGCGAAAAAAGGGGGGAGAAAACAGAAAAAAAAAATCGATTTAAAGGAAAAGAAAACCCAACTGCCTGATCAAACCACTTTTGATTCTGAAGAAACATGTTTACTCGTATCACCTGCCCACCGTGTTTGTGGGACCCAAGCTACCCATTCGGTTCTGATCCATGGTCTCCTATTCAGATCATCCTGGTGGGTTTAGCTTGTAGCTGGTCCGTTGCACAACCATGGTTGGGCCGAATGGCTTGTTCCAATAACTATCCCGCCAAGTGGCTTCTTCTTGGTGTATACCCTCATCCTCCGCTTATCCATGATCGTGGTAGAGTCACCTCACGGGCAGGACTAAGACAAGCGACCACGGCGATTGTGTATCAAATCCATCGCAAGCAGCGCTGTTTCACATAGACAGCTCGGAATCAGGACACTTCCTGCCCAACCGATCAACAAGATCTCTCGAGTCCTCGATTTAGTTCCAACCATGGCATGTTAGTCAGGCGTTAAGCGCCGGGCTATAGCAGTAGTACGCTACTGCTGGTATTCCGTGTTTTAGTCTAGTCGGGGTATCCTGCCCGTAGCAATTAATTAGACGCTCGGTTACCAACCAGTCGACTTCGTCTCAGTGATTTGCAGGATCCTTTTGGGAGAACTCTTTCGTCGTCATGTTCATGTTCATGCGGCGATTGTCCAAAAATCTACAGCTAGTAAGTAGTACGACAATCTGGTTCCAAATTACTAGATAGTATGGAGGGAAGTCCTCCGTACCAATCCCAGCGACAATCATGGAAATCCCTTCCCATGCGACAGGACCGCCTCGTGACAGCCCGGCATTGTTGAGTTGCAAGGGCCAACCAGGAGCCAGGCACCCCCTCCATCTCACGTTACCTTGCCTTGTCCGGTAGAGAGCAGGTGGCTCGCGTGACAGAAGGGATTCAGCACCTTAATCCTTCACCCCGACGCGTTCTGCGAGGTCTCCCTACATCCTCGAAAATTCATTCCATCTTCTACCTCCCTTCCTCCCGAACATGGTCCATCAGTTCCCCCCCCGATTCGTAACTTCTTACTCACCTTAGTAAGGTAGGACTGGATAGCGCCATGGCGGGCGGACCAACGCCCCACACCCAAGAACGCTATCATCCCCTGTCTCAAGTTGAACTCCCTCGAGTCCTGAACGCCGAACGGGTAGACTAGATAGATAGCTAAGGTAGATAGACAAACGCGATGCAACAAATTCGCGACCGAACAGCCCTAAACTGTATGCTTAGATAGTTCTAGAGACCTCAAAATAGGGAATTCGAAGTCTCTACTATTTGAAGATCCGGACAGACACTCTACTATGTACTCCGTCCCTGAGCTCCTTTCTACATAGAGAGAGAGAGGGACACTCCATTCACTCCTCCAATCCCACGATGCAGGTATACAAAATCCCAGCAGTAGTAACTAACTGCGGTGTATATGTACCACGGAACCCACCCCCAACGCCAGAACCTAGTCCTCCTACTCTCCGGCACATACGTCATGTCAAATCACATACCTTTTCTAAGTAATATCATTGCGCCGCGTCTCCGTCAAATCACAGACAGCCATTCATACACAGTCAACGCGCCCTCGGGGCCCTGACAGCTCATTTCCGAAACAGGTAATTCCTTCATTAACCCAAGTGTACATCGTCATTATAGCTTATTACTGTATCTACTGGCTACACACCGTCGACAAGTAAAAGTACTCTACTTCTACTTCTACTCCGTAGAAAGTGTATAGTAGATACATACGTAGTAGCTTCCACCTGCAGGGCACCACCTTCCCGCCCGCACCATCCAATGGGCCACTAAGGCTATCCACCCACCCACCCCCTTTTCGCCGTTTCGACAATCAACCAACGAACTTGCGTCGGCTACCATGAACCAATCAGACCACCGTCGATCTGATGATCGGGCTTGGCCCGTGTTGAATCATGAATAATGATGGTCCCGGGCCTTGTTAATTGTTACAGTACGGAGTAGATACATACATACATACATACCTACGGAGTAGGGATGGACAGCCGCCTGAGGGGCCTTTTCCCATCATCAGGCTGGGTGAGAGATTGATAGTAAGTAGATAAGTGGTACTCCGTCGTATACCAAAGAAACAAAGGCGGAGCCATGTGACCCTATCTATAGTATCTATCTACCACATACCCAACAAACAAAGACCGTTAACCATACGAACCACCAAACCAAAAATTTCCAGAACCCCTCAAAGACCGAGGGAGATATAACAAAAATAAGTAATTATAGCATTAGGATTCATACCCGTGTCTTGGGGAGTTTCAGAATCAAGCCCAATCCCATCCATCTGGCACCATGAGCCAGAAACAAAGAAATGGACCCGAACCGCGGCGAAAGGCGGGACGGGACCTCTTCTTATTCTTATATTCAAGTCTTGGAATTAATCCCAAATGCGAGTGTTGGTTTACATTCGATGAGATTAGAGCAGGTTTCTCATAACAAGATTTCCGCAACTCTTTCCGGGCCGGTATTGTGCAATATTGAGCGAGCAAACTGTACCTTACAAGCTAAGTACATACTTAAGGTACATACCATAGGTAAGGACATAGTAGCACTAGTTAGCACCTGTACTTTCTACATGACTATACCAATCCCAAACACTCATCCATCAAAACAAGCTACTAGCTACAGAGTACTGCATACCTTCAAGTATGTAACAAATACCATTTCTCAACAACACTATCTACCAAAGCACACACTATAGATAGGCACGGTGTACTCCGAACAAACGAAATTCAGCCCCAATAATAATTAATAGATTGCGCCATGTCGCATCTCCAACCCTCTGCAATCAGCACCGCCCGAAGAACGGCCCCGTACTTCAATATGTCCCCCTCCCCGCCGCCCCAAACGCCGCTGTATCAGAAGAACAGCCCAGCCCGCAAAGATGAGATCAAACTCCTTATCTCGGATGGAATGGAGAAAGCCCGTGACCGAGCCTGATCGACCTACAGGAGTACTATCTAGTATCTTCTGGGTTAGTACAAAGATACTATCTACTAGTAGGTACTCCGTATGTACTCTGTAGTTCAACCCGAACGGGCCACATGACGCGATGGGGACTGTTATAACGTGACCCCCTCATAAACTAACCAACCAACCAACCATCCGGGTGATTCTCGTGTCGGGGCCAAATAGGGCTGGAGCGGGAGGGGACAGAACTGAACTAGAAGCGTATTTATCGACAAGATCAGTGGATGTTGTGTCATCCGTTGGCGAGCAGATAAGCAATAAGCATGGTGGCCACTGCGGAGCGGAGGGGCAGGTCGCCTGACTGACTGACTGACTGACTGACTGACTGCCTGCCTTCTTTAGTACCCTACCTGTCACGCCATTATGGGATTGATGGTTGATGTGTGCAGGGGGTGGGTGGTGGGCAAGGGATCCCATTGGTGGGGGTGGGATGATCGCCGCGGTCGTCCGTACCACCGCACGGCAATGACACGAGCTATTAAGCACATTGGTACTCCGTACAATGACTTTGATTTCTTATTAGTGTTAGTGTTCCATTGTAAATAAAAGGAAGGACTTTAGTAAGTTGCCCCTCCCTAATCGGTGGTCATGCGCTGCCGTCTCTGCCGGTCTGACTGGGTTGGTTAAGTGGGCGGGCTGTCTCATTGATGCCGATGGTGGCGTGAGCGAGTGGCTAGTACTACCGTATTGACGAACGTCCTACATCATCGTCTCGCGATGTGAGACCGGGAAGGAGGAACCGGAACAGTAGTACGTGGTAAATAGTACGTAACATTTACAGATTCGCATTAGCTCACTACATATGTAACAGACTGCCACCATGATGCTATGCAAACATACTATACCCGGACCAATCCTCTGATTGCGTCCCTCATAGATGGATTAAATTAGATCAAGCCGCCGTCGTAAGGACATAACTAGGTCAGGTCAGTGCTGCTTCTTCAGAGCTTGTAGGAGGAGAGGAGTCACTTACGAAGTAATGCTGTCCATCCGCTCCGTCGTCAACTTGAGGCTGACTGTCAATAGCTCCCGCGCGATCTCCGGATCCTGGTTCCGCAGCGCCTGCCATTTTTCGGTTGTCAGACACCAACTCACACAGTCCTGCTCAGCTTTGACCGTCGCGGTCCGTCGCGTCTCACTGAAGAATGGCAACTCGCCGCACGGCCGTCCGGCTACAATGATCTCGAAGTAGCGCCCCTGAGGCAGCTCATACTCGGCACGCAACATTCCCGACTCCAACAGGTAGAATCCCTTGGGCACATCACCTTCATGGAACAGCACTGTGCCGGCGGCATAGCTCTCGCGGACAAAATATGTGCAGACCCGGAACCAGAAGTCCTCGTTGCGTGTGGTCAGGCCCTGGAACGTCTGCAGCAGAAGTGGGAGGGGCTGTCGCATCGCAGACCACGCAGCCGGGGCCATGACTGCCATTTCGTTCTCGTGGAGAGTCGTCCTGGCGGCCTGCTGCAGATATTGCTGACGAGGCGAGCTCACCACCGCGTCACCGAGATGCGACTGGCCTTGGGCCATCGGGACTTCGAGAAATGCTGATGCCTTGTTTTTTCCGTTCAGCAATGCCTCCCTGTGGCTGTAGAAGACCTTGAGATAGTCATTCTCACAGAACTCAAGTGCAGAGTTCAGGTCTTCGAATATTTCAACACCATTCACAGGTTCAAACAGTCCGACGTTCTGGAGACTTCTCCCGACGTCACCCTCGACATCAAGCCCCGAGATCGTCATCTGCACGTTCCTCTTTCTGAGGATCCGATTGATGCGGGTAAAAGCTTCTGCTGCAGAGAAGTCGATTCCATAGACCCGAGAGAAATCAAGAGTTAGGAACCTGATTGGCCGTCGGTTGAACGCTTCCTCTTCAATGAGCCCCCGCATGGTGTTCTCCACGCTCACAATAGTCCCGAAGAAGAGATAACCGCCAAGCTTGATTATGAGTGTCTGCTGTCCCGCCTCCTTCAAGAACCGTTGCTGAATAGGTGGGCGCCTGACCGTCGAGCCAGTGATCTTACCTGAGAACGTCGCGCGAATGGCCGATTTCCGTGAAGTTTGAACCACAAAACTTAGGCACGCAAGGATGATGCCAACAAAGATACCCACAACAAAATCCCAGGCACCCATAGTCGCGACAATGATGACAACCTAAAAAGTTAGCCAAAAGGGTCTCAGGTAATGTGGGTGACCAAGCCTACCGTCAGATACTCATGTCGGTGTAATTTGCCCCATGTGTCAACCAACGCCTCTTGCATCAGTTCGATTCCGAGCAGGAATATAAGAGCTCCGACGACCATAACTGGGATGAAGCCTACGATGACCGGGCCAACGACAAGAATCCCTGCAGTGGCAGCAGCAAGCATGATCCCTGCCAAACGAGAGTTGCCACCGCTGTCGATGAACAGAAGACTGTTGGTGTACACAAGGTAGTTCTAATACATGTCAGCGGTTTAACCTTCACTAGTATCGGGGCCTAAATACCTGGATGCTCCCAATGCAGCCGGAAAGAGCATTGGTGACACCATGTGCAATGAGCTCACGGTCAACATTTAGGTTATCCTCGCCGGTAGATATTCCCAATGCGGGGACGTTGATAGGAACATGGAGAACCCCAAAAAAGGTGAGTGCGAACATTGCCGGGATCGTATCAAGGAATGCCGACCAATCAACAGCGGCAAAGTCTAGGTGGGTTAGCTGGGCACAAGAATCCAAAGTGCACAATTCTCACTTACCATATAGGGTATAGAAATGGTACCACGGATTCGACGAAGACGGAGCATCGAAAACCCATCCTTTGCTGCGCAAAGTATCCATGGGTATCCCGGCGCTGAACTTTACAATATAGAATATAAGTGCCACAGCGATGAAATATCCACCAACCAGGAAGTTAGAATGCAAGAAACGCTTCAAAACAAGAAGACCAATCGCAAGCAACAAGGGTATCGTCCACAAAAACACCGTGTCCAGCTGCACGAGCTTCTCCAGCGTTTCCAAAGTGAACTCCAAAGTGCCTGGTAGTCGGGCTGATACTTCAACACCCGTGAGCAGCAGAAAGAACCCCACGCCTCCAATGCACCCGATCAAAATGTGTCTGGGAAAGAAGCCGATCAGCGCCCCGAGCTTGCAAGTCCCCATCAAGAAGAACACCAAGCCCGTAAGAATTGAGCTAACTGAAAAAGACAGAATCGTCGTTGCCAGGACGGCCTTTGGGTTATCCTGGCCTACCCGATTCAGGATCGTGAACGCCATCTGGTGAAAGAATGGGACAACTTCAATCATTTCGCTTCCAATTCCCCCTTTGAAGATGGAGCCTCCACAGGAGAAGACTAATTGTGCAATGATCGTACTAACGTAGAACATTGAGATACCGTCCGACCCGAGCTCAGAAAACACTGGTTCACCCAGTGGGAAAAGAATCATCCCGTACGACAGGGCGTCGAGAATGTTGAGTAGGAGACCGAGGAACACCGATGGCAAAAGACTAAGAGGGTAGACAATGCCCTCTCGCCATACAGTTTTACCATTCCACGACTTGGGATTCGCTAGCACCCGGAAACACATCGTAAGTTGTGAAAGGGCCATAGGGAAGTTCGTTCCTTTCCTCCTCGCATAAGTTTGGTTTTCAACGTCACCGGTAGCTCCGTAGCTCTGAAAGGGCTCCGTCTGCGCCGCTTTAGGCAATAATGATGTTTGTTCGGTGGTAGAAGCCTCCCCGGCATCAGCCACTGGAGGATGATCCTCAGAGAATACACTCTCGCTTGTCCCACCCCATTCTGAAGCCTCATCCCGGTGACTATGGTCCGTTTCATGGATATCGGGGTTGCGGATCAACTGCGTGAGAACCGATGAGCCAGTGGTAGGGATGGAGGAAGGGCCCAGCTCCGGATTTGCTCTGCCGGATGTTGCGAAGCTGATTGCAGGAGACGATGAGCGGTATGAACTCCGGTTAGGCTGGAAGACATCTAAAGACGGGGGCAAGGTGCTCGATTCATGCGACAGGGCGAAGGAAGCTAGTTCGGCGGTTTGCTCTCTAAGGCCATGGGAGGAATAATGCGCCGGGTCTGGACTGCAGAGTCAGAATTTGAGGATCAAGCAACGATTGGCACTTCGGGCAAAGCAGAGGTGGGAAGGGGGAAATTATGTAGCATCCGTACCCGCTGGGCTGTGGAATGACCGGTGAAAAAAAGACCGACTCGGGGTTCGAAAGCTGGTGCCGCCAGACACCATTGACTCTAATCCTGAAGATCGTGGCGGACTGCCATTGTTGGCATGCTCGACTGGGACCTCGGTCCCATCCAGGTCAAGGTCGCCATCCAAAGGTGAACGATGAGAAGTTGAGCCGGATATGTGAAAATTGCTGCTGTCCCGGGGTCGAAGAACACCCATGGTGAATCGCAAGCGGAAGGTAGACGGTCGCGAGGGCCGTCTAACACCAACAGTCTGCCAGCGAGGGTCGCAAGAGCCCACAGAGGAGGGTGGGAGGGGCCGTGAATCAAGCCCGTAGGCCGCGGGTTGCGAATGTTTTTAAGGGCGCAGAATGAGGAGAGATGATACCAGATGACGCAAGAATTCGATAGGGACAAAAGACACGGGCATTGCGTCGCTATTGGGCGACCGGATGAGGGGGGAAAGGTTCAGATCAGAGGCAGGGAAGAAGGAGAAGGACAGCCATCGGGAGGGGGGTGATGAAGGCCAGAAGGGTCTGGGAGGACTCAGTAGTGTGGAGGTCCAGGCATGGCTCGAGGAGGTTGTTATCGGAGCTGGGTGGGCGGAGTTGACTAAAAAGGCCTTATCACAGGCAAGTTATCACTGGTCCACTTGCCCGCCAAATGGCCATCCTGATGGGGATCGGAGGGCCTTGGAGGGCCTACAAGGGTTGGTCGCGACCACTGAGGGAACGCAGACAAGCTAGACAGAAATCGACCCTGGCTTAGTCGGCGCCATAGGAGGAGGGGATCTCGTAATTCGTAAGTGCGACAGTAGAAGCCGCAGAAGTACGGAGCCGGAGATGCAGCACTAGCCCGATGCCATTAGGTAAGCACCACTGCTGGCGCGCCGCCGTCAACGGTGCTGCAGCGACTAGGCTGATTGGTGTGATGCCGTATTACTCTACGCAATTTGATAATAAGTACTAGCTAAGTAGCTACCTTGCAGGCGTGCAGCGTACTAAGTAGCACCCAGGAGACTACGGAGGACCAGCATTCCATTCTCATGCATTAATCAATGGGTATCATAAAACAAAACGTGCATGATCTGAAACTCTTCGCTCGCCTTTAGCCCAGTCGCTCCAGAAACCCCTGCGCGATCAACCGTTCGACATCCCCTTGCCGCACGTAGAGCTGGCTGTTTTTGGTCAAATTGATCACCCTGCGTGATGTCAGCATTCCAGTTCCACAACAACTGTCACACACACAGAGAGACAGAGAGAGGGAGAGACAGAAACATAGAAGAAAAAAAAATGCCTCACATACCCATACTCGGTCTGAATCTCGCCCGCATCCTTCAAGACCCTCACATCAATAAACAGATCCTTCGGGGGCTCCAAAGTCCCCGTCAGATCAACGTCCGTCCACTGTCCCTTATAAGCCGCCAGTAGATCACTATACTGCCGAAAATACTCCTCTTCCTCGGGACTCAGCGAGCTATGGTTCCCACTGGCGGATGCCATCGCCGCCCCGTACCCGCCCGCTCCCTGGCCTGACGCACCTCCGGGCCCTTCCTCTGCCGTTGGTAGCTGCTGTTCCAGCACATCCACACCCGTCCAGCACAGTTCCTCGAGCTTTTCGGTACGCACGCGATGGTAGGCGAGGAGGCATCGCTTGTTGCGGCGCATGCAGAGGTGATCGACGAGGAGGGCACACGCGGTGGCTGGGTCTTGGGAGGGATTGAAGCTGCCTTCGAAGGGGGAGAGGAGGTGGGCCACGTCGCGGTCGAGGTCGCGAACTTCGCGAGCTACGGCGCGGACCAGTTCGGTTTGATATGGAGGGAGATGGGTAAGGGCCTGGGTGCGTTTGGCATGTTGGACCTGTGTGTGCGTGTGCGGTTTCTGTTAGCAAGAGACAGTACTCGCGGGAGCGTAGCAGAGCCGAAAGGGGATGGATGTACTAATTTATTGCCATGTTCGCCGTACATGATGATGGATGTTTCACGAGGTGTACATCTGCTTTTGGCGGTCGGTCCTCGAAGTGCGGGTCGTGTCGGCACGCGTGTCGATTGATGGTAGGTACTATACAGCCGAAAAAGTAGATGTCAAGAATATGTTGCTAGTATTCGTTCCGGGTTGACGGCTCTTAGTCTGTATCAGATGGAGGTTTCGAATTAGTTAACTTCGAGATCGAAGTCGCGGATCGCTTGGACCACCACCCGATTGAAGATCTACACGTGATGGAGCGCGTGCCTGCCAAGCCGGATTGGATTCTCGCCCATTTCGAATCGAACCCAAACCTGACTTCAGCCCACTTCCTTCAACCAAGCGATCATCTGCGCTTTCTAGAATCCCGAAAGAACGGATATCATGGCGGAAATTGATGCCATGAGGAGAACCTGATTTTCTACCCATCATACTCCGTACCTTGTGCCGGATTATGCAAGCGACTGGACACATTTTAATCAAGTATAGTATACTCCTCGCAAAACCAACCTTCTGCGCAACTTAGCAATAAACATGATTTGCTGTCGGCGAATACGGAGACATGACGCGAGAATAGTTGGTGCCTAACTCAGATGCCCGATAAATGCGAACATCTCGCTTTCTTACACGCTAAGCAACGGTCGGAGATATGCCGCCGCCTCTGGATATCTATAGTACCTACCTAGGATTGCAGGCCGGTGAAATATCCGCCTGGTATGATTCGCCCTGAATTTCATGCTATACCAAAAAAAAGGAGCAGGAGCAACTTGGAGACTTCCATTGCAAGGCACTGCAGCAACAAAGATCTCCTAGATGGACTCAACCACTCATATCAAGTGAGCGAGAGATGACGGGCCTAAGTATCGGAGGTATCGTTTCAACTTTCAAGAGCAGAGCAGCAACACAGAGTGTCCGAAAACCACCAACTTCATGCATTTGATTTATGGTACTTGGTCTCGAACAACCTATCGATCCGCTAGTTATCCAAGCATATACGGATAGGTACTTATCCGGAAAGGCCAAATCCCCAGGGACGGATAGGCATTCAACCAAAGGACATATGCTATCCGCAGAGTAGTAGTAGTATCCTTCCCGCGCTTCTCGCGCCAACAACACAACCCTTCACTCTAGATAGCATAGAAACAACACCCTCGAAACAGACCAGACCAGACCAGACCATTTCATTTCACACACACCCAACCTCACATGACCAAATAATACACCACAGACACCGCGCCACCGTATAGATAGACATCTCCGCCACGCAGCACGCTAGACCAATCCAATCCGCCAAACATCAACTCGCATCGCAGCACGAACTGCAAAACCAAAACCAAAACCAAAACCAAAACCAAAACCAAAACCTCTAGCACAATCAATTAAGCGATCCGGATAAGGTCTTCTACCTCCCGACCACGAGGCAATAACAAACGATCAACCAACCCATGTGGTCTCAGATCACGCGCTGGGAATCTTAGCGAGGTTTCTGGTACTCCCGGCTAAATTTTGTGGCGTTGGGCTTATGCACGCCTGGGTGTTGGGGCTGGGATATGACTCAGGATAGTGATACTAGTGATAGTGATACAGGTTACATACCTAGGTAAGTAGTCGAGGAACTGAAAGTAAAAAGTACGTTCAAAAGCACCTGCTTTATAGGTGGGTAGACGGGTAGGTAGGTAGGTAGGTAGGTAGTTGGCGTAAGCGGAGTAGATCGTGGAGATTTCTTTGGGTGAGAAGAGTGCACATGTCCCTGGAGTTGATAGGTATGAAGCCGTAAAAGCAAATATCCTCATGAAGCATTCATTCTGTCTCTGTCTGTCTCTGTCTCGAACATACCTGGCCAGCGAACGTGACGAAGACAGAACCCAGAAGTCCTTAAATCTTACTTAATTCTTAGCTATACGACACTACACTACACTACACTACACTACAGCAGTACGTCGTACTCAACATTTCACTCCATATGATGTAAAAAAAAAGAACCATCCAGACCCTAAAACATGGCATAAGCACAACACAGCACAACACAACACAACACAGTGTCAGTCAAATGAGCAAGCACTAAATAGTAGGCAACCTCAACCAGCATAAGCAGTCTAATTTCCCACCGTGAACCAGATATGGTATATACTCCGTACAGTAGACACTATAAAGCGACTGATTCAGCCTAAAGGCGCCTGCATGCAGGCCGGGGGGGGGGGGGGGAGGTTTGATGACATTCGAAGCGCCGTTCTAGAAAAAAGGGGGGGAAGATTATACTTATTGGGGTTATTGCTATCCCTGTCTGTATCCCTGTAAAATAAGAGTGGGTGTTATATCGCGACCTAGGCATCTACAATCTACCTACCTTGCCTGTCTAGAAGTATCCAAGATTCTGGTTTCTGGTGCGAAGACGGACCTCAGGTGTCGTACTGTTTGATAATTTGATGGACGGGTGGATGACTGTGATGAGCTGTATGCAGGAAATGCTTTCTGCCTTGGGAATATGGAACACACTACAATACACACCATCTAGAAAATAGTCATAGACACTGGTTAATGAAATGTATTGGTATCTTGTTACTATGCAACCTCCAAGCAATCTAATGCACCGAAGCCCGCAATTATCATGAAATAACCACAATAGTTCCAGCAAAGACACCATCCAGAAAGAGGAGAACAAGTCCGTGTCCATACCCATAGCTCAACAAGAAAAAGAGAGATAGAGAGAGAGAGAGAGGAAGAAGAGAGGCCCCGAAAAAAGCATACCAATTGATAGGTAGACAACGATAGAGGTTCACAAACCGTTACAAGAAAATAAGAACCCAAATTCACTATTTGAAAAGAAAAGAAGAAAGGAAGAAAGAAAGGAAGAAAAACTTATTTTCGCCGCCATAACAACTCCGGCCCCGAGGTCTTGCAAGCGAAGTAGATGTACACCCTGGGAATCAAGATTAGAAAGCAGATACACCACTAGATGGTCAATGAATCTCATTGCGTTCGTCATGGTCGTGACGGATTCGGAGCATTTTCTAGAATCCTTGGCCCTGTGGGTTTATCCAGCGGTCAAACTCGCCCCCCGCACCGTCCAGGGTCGTCTCATGGCCGGATTCCCATGTCTCACGATTGTCTAGCGGGTGCATTGTCGGTGGATAGACCGACCCTGCCGGATACGAAACCGAGGTAGGGGCCACCGACGCTGGAACAGGGGAGTAGCAATTGCTAGCGGTAGTCTCTTGCCATACACCGGGATATGGGGAATTGCCGAACAACTGCGTAGGACTCTGAAGCTCGGTTTGCATGGTCAACAATTGGGGATCCAGCTGACCACCACCTGGCATCGGATTGGACGGCTGCAGAAGATCATGATGGGCACCTCCGGGCAATGCAGCCAACGACGTTGATGGAACGTATTGCATGTCCTGCAACCCAGACTTTCTGAACCGTACATCTTCCACATGCGGCATGAGGCCCGACTGCATCGCTTGATGGAGGTAATGGGCCGTTGGTTCAGAAGAGGGTATCATGTGTGGCCGGCCATGGTTATTTGCATGCCATGCAGAAGGAGGTAGAAAAGGCTCACGGGGCAAGCCATGGTCGGAGTGAAAATCAAATGGTGTCGAGTCACGGCTTTCCCATCCACTGCTGTCGACTTCGGACGAGCTCAGAGCGCGGTGTTGGAGCAGAGCTGGGCTAGAATCGGGGGTATTCATCATAGGCCGCCCATCCTCAACTCCAGTTCGCTTTTTTTTATCCTTTGCCGGCGAGAATTTGTATCCCGGATGAGCCTTCAGGTGATTATCCTTTTCGATACTGGCCAGACGCTCATATTTTTCACGGATTTCCTGGGTTTCAAGCCTCCAGCTGTCCCCTGCTGCCTCGGACACAACCTGGTGGTTATTTTGTGAGAACAGTTTCTTGGTTCGGTCCGCATATGCTGACCGATAGAGCATAAAGGAGTTCATGGGTCTGGCGACCTTGCCCTGGTTCTTGCGCACATCGTCCAGTCTTTTTTCAATCGACCGATGCACATATTCTTCCATGTCTCGAAGCGGAACACTGTCCATGTCCTTGGTAAGTTGGCTCAAAGGGCCCTCGAGCCGGTGTCTCATCTCCCTATCCTTTGCTTTCCTCGTCCGGCGACGAACCCTAGTCGGTCTAGATACCCTTGCCTTTATCACCTTTTTCTGGGATGGGGGCGAGCCCCACTGTGACAAGGAGTTTGGAACTAGACCCTCATCCGCAGCGGGAGGCGGGGTATTGACCTGAAGCCCTGCCATCTAAGCCATCGTTAGCCAAAATGCTGTTAGACGTGAAGTGAGATAGTGGGATGCATACCTGATTCTGCAGTGGGAAAGCTCTTGAGTAGTCACCGGAGGAAACATACTGCGGGGGCGGGGAAGCGTAGCCCTGGAGAGAGTAAGCCATGAAAGGAACTCCTTCGTAGAATGCCGCGGGTCTCACCACAGAGGGTCTTTGATCATATGCCGTCTCTCCATGCCTGTGGGTCCCCGGCAGCCCCGCAGGCGCGAAAGTGTCAGGGTGTCCATAAAGCGACGGGAGCATGCCACAGGAGTCCCGGTGGGCTTCGGGAGCGGGATCTCCATCGGTGGACTGCGGTGGGGAAGGCGGCTGCCCGCGAATCAATCTCGCTGTAGCAGCAGTCATGGTGTCGAAAGGAGGTAGGGTGGAGAATGTGTCAAGTGCTGATGGAAGGAGCCGGTTGTTGGAGAGGGCAAAGGACGGCGCAGCTGAAGTAGGCGGAAGAGTGTAGTGGATAAGAAGTTAAATGCCGGATCAGCTGTGAGGACAGTCGGATGGTTGATATATGGATAAGGAGAGAAGCCTCATTCAAATTCGTGGGAAGGGTGCAGCGACCCGTGGGGCGGGACAGGCCGGTCAGTAAGGCACGGAAGATGCCTGGCCGGGAGCTGCCTGTCAATCAATCGTGTGCGCCGAACGGCGTGAGGAGGGGAAGAAGGCTATCGGGGAAGTTCCCCAATGCAACAAAGAAGAAGCAGGAAGAAGGGGATCGGAAACAATCGATTAGGTTGGAGACCGCAGCTGCAAAGCAGGCGGGCAGAAGAGAGGGGTGGGGACTGGGGGAGCAGCAGGCTTGGAGGGAGTATTATGACGGGAATCTCAGACCTGAGACTGGATGAGGAGGTGGAAGGGGCAGGCGATGGATGGACGGTGAACACCTGTTTGGAGGAGAGAAAGGAAAGGAAAGGACAAACAGGGTGGATTTGGGGGCGGATATCAAGCAGTTTAAGGCGGGATGGATATTGCAGCACGAAGTTCTAGATGGGGACAATTCCCATGGGATCCCCAGCGGCTGAAACCCTGATGGGCAGCCTCCACTGGTTGGCGGCGGTGGTTCCCATCCATGTTGGCACGGGGTTGCTGGATGGTGCGGTCTTTGTTCCACTGCGCTGGGACCGGAGGCAGACATGGATGCGTTCTCTTTGGGATTTTGGTTTTCGGTTTATTTTAGCATCTTGTTCGCTTGTCCGCCATTCTCTTTCTTTCTCGGGCACTGCCAATGTTTATTTTCGGCTTGCCATTGCCCTTTCTTCTTCTTCCCTCCCTCCCGATTCATTCTCATTCTTCCTCCTCTTCTCCTTCTTCTTCGGTTGTGTGGCCTCTTGCATTTCTCTTTGTGCCAAATTGGGATCCCGTTTTTTTTTCCCTTTTGGGAAGAGCGAGTGGAGAGGGGAGAGTGGATAGACTAGAGAGAGGAGGAGGGGGGGGAGGGAGGATTCCGAGAGTCCGTGCTGGACCTGGACATCATCCGTACTCCAGATCTCTGAGGTGGGACAGAGTAGTTACCAAATGCGGACATACTCCAACCCAGGCACCATTTGGTATTACGGGTCTTATCATGTCATGTTGCTGGCCATCGAGACTGGGTGGGAGATTCCTGAGTCAGGAGAGTCCCAGCAGAACGGAAAATACGCAGTAGTAGTTAGTAGTTAGTATCATCTAGTAGCATCGGTATCGGTATTTTCAGTACGCAGGGCGCTACTTCCCGAGTGAATTTCGATCGTGGATCAAATCATGATAATAATTAAAATATGTGGGACCCAAATTTAAATCCTTCCTCCTGGAAGAAGAAAAAAAAAAAAAAAAAGAAAGTGAGACTGACAGTCTAACGTTCGGGCATTCGTCCCACCCTTTGCTCATCAGCTCATTAGTACGATCTACTATCTATCCGGGGATAGGGACTAAGGCAAGCAGTGTCACTGGTTGGATTTAGTCCTTCCCAGGAGTGCCCAGATTTAGTCGAAATGGCCAGATGGTGATAGACCTGTCATCGATCATGGGAAAGATGAATCGCTTCGACCCTCGGGCAAATACTCGGGTAGGAGGGTGGGGAAACCGAGGAGAGAGCAAAAGAGATTAAAAAAAAATAAAAAATAAATAAAAAAATAAGAGCTGAACAGCCGTTCAGCGACCATCTTCAATAACACTCATCCACATGGTAGACAGAGTTTAAGAAATATGAATTGAGATGGCCATACTCCATGGACATCGTAAAGTAAGGTCCCCCCCATCCGAACAGCCTGGAACTCTGTCTGCAGGATATCTTCCCCATCAGCCAACCAGGTTCCGGCACAGGAAAGAAGGCCCCAAGACTTTCCATCCATGAAGACATGATATGATGTATGACCTTTCGGTCCATCCGAGCCGACTTTCAGGAGGTCTAGGTACCTGCTTTCCAATGAATCGACACCTTCATCATCTACAGCGCCGACGTAAGGAAAAGCCAATTCCATGGTTCCGTCTTCCCCGGCTTCCGGGACGTCTACCTCCTCTCTCTATTTCCGCTTAACACCGACCAGAGAGGTCTTCATGTCCGACTGTCCGTATTGACTGTGTAGGTGTGTCTGTAACCGGCATATGCTTAGTGCGGATCAAGAACTACACTATTGCTTGGCTCATACCCCACAATTGAGGCAGTGGATCGTTCGTGCCCTTTTTTGCTTATTTGATAGGGAGATTAAACAAGACGGTGACTCGAGGTCCGAGGCGATAGGAAGAGAAGCGTCTACAGTGGCTTAGACCACATCCCAATGCTCCAAGTGGGTATCCTACCAGGCCGTTGGAAGATGCTCCTGCCCCCCTTCCGAGAGATAGATATCAGGCATTCATTCGTGTGGGTAAGCCAGTGGAGGGTGGTTTGCATGTTGGTTCGGGTGCAAGCAGGCCCATGTTTGGAGGGTGCCAAGACTAAACCGAACAGACGACTCCGCAAGTATTTGCGATTATTTTCTGGGCAAGTGAGAGATTAAAGTGAAATACTAACTGTCATATGCAATACGGCGGAGGTACGGAGGTACGGATCCAGGGATTATGAACGGAAGGCAGAACATGCCATTCGAACTGTAGGAATCCCACAGCGATTCCAACCCACTTCCCTCCATAAAATTAGGTTTGCCGTGCATTTCAGTTGCCCGACATCCGATCAGAGACCCCCCGCTCAAAATTACTCCTAGCTCATAGGCGCAAGGGCATCGGGGACCATGGATACCGAAATACGCCATGCGATTACTATTGGTTTATCCATTGGTCGGGGTCACGTAGCCGGCCGCCTTGGACTGGCTCCAGGCTGCCTCCAGCAGATCACTGGACCACGCTAGCGTCATGTATTGAAAGTGGCTAAACCCAATCGGGCGGCTTCGGGCTCGCCATGCCCGCGAGGTCGCCGGTGGAAGCCTTCACGGCGCCCCGGTTGCCTTTGCTGCTAGAGAGGTAGTCTCCTCCCTATTTTACCTGGGCGTGGTACTTCCAGTACAAGTACAGAGTTCGGCACGGACTAGCCCGCGGAAGGGGGATTAATGACTCGTGTAGTCAGGTATTATGGATACGGTGGAGTCGAAATTATGCTGCGAAATAGCGAACAAGTATCAGTACCCAAATGACTATGTACGAACGAAGTGTTCCGTACTGGAGCTGCGTATGTAGCTCCCTGCATACGCGTCAGTGCTTGCCAGTGACCATCTTGACAGGATGGATGGGGACTGCATGCAGCATGCATGCATGCATCGCAGCTCAGGCTGAGCTGACTCCGTTGGAGCTAGTACAGCAGTTGCTTAATCCCGAGCGAGCTTGTTTGCCCTTTCCCTTTTTCGGGCATGGGCTTTCCTGACAGCTGGGTCCTTTTCGGTCACGTGTGTCAGCCATGTGTGTCAGCCATGAGTATAAGCCATCTACATACTACGTATGCCTGTACTACTACATAGGTATCTCTAGGTAGTAGAGACCCTGATACTTGTAACACTCTTCTTCATCGCCTCTGCATTATCTTGTGCCATCTGGCAATCGAGCATTTTACCACCATTGGGCTGCCGTGTAGTACCAACAATGTACACCTATTTGTCAACAGTTATTGGCAATTAGCATGAGACATGCAGCAGAACCGAAGCATGTGGCTGTTACACTATCAACAGCACACCTACAATACATACGTACCACAGTCAGGCCACCTACCCTCCTCCCATGCTTGGGGTTGGACTGAACGAGATCGCAATACTAACACACAGATCGCCGGCCTCCACTGATGGCTGATCCAGATCCACATCGCAAACCTGCTCTTCCAATTGATCCACGACCCCTCCCCCATCCCCCCCTCATTTCATGTCGAATGGGTCCTCCCGTGAGCCGTACGAAGTCCCAGGCTCTCGGTTCAAGGTTGAAGGAGCACCCACAGACCGCTTGGCCTTCTGGTCAGGATGAATGATCTGCGGCTGGAGGAAGAGTGGATTGCTAGGTTCTGACAGGACCGCGACCAGACCCCGATGGCTTGCGCAGGAACCGAAGTTGCCCTGCGCTATGATTCTTTGTCCTCGGGTTTCCCTGACTATTCTCGGGCGCAGGAACGTCGCTGAAGAAGAAACCTTAGTGGAGACCATTTCCTTGCTGTTCCTTGTCCTCGGGAGGGGGTCTGAGCGACCCTCTTGACTTTCGAGAGGCGTCTTATCTTATCGAGTTACCCAACTGCCAGCTGGTGCCATGGGTCGCCTCTTGCGATCACCTCGTGTCGCCCATCCGACAGCCCGTTCCCGCTTACCTGAGCGGAACCGGAACGAATGGCGTGCGTAACCTTCAGCAACACCTTGGCGCCGCATGTGGAAAGTTATACAATAAAGTACATAGATATGGGATGGCTTGCATCAAGGCGCTTCTTTCCAACGTTATCACTGCGTAACCGAAGCTTTGCTCCTTTCTCGTTGGCTGGTACCACCCCGAGTAACTTCCTGCTTCCAGTTGCAGGAGGGATTGACACAGGGATCCCTCCCTCATCCATCCACACCACCTGAGCATTCGATGGCCTTCTGGAAGCGCACTAGATTGACGCCACGCGGCACACCTCTCCAAGTCCGGCATTGGTTCTCCTGCCACAGGCCCCTCGACTTGCTCGACCTGGCGGTCTGCTGGTCTGCTGACTGCCAGTGGTGAGGGCTGGGACGTGCCAAGCTCCCTGCGCCCTGCATTCGACCTACCAAGACTGCTGGCTTGCTGCATAGAGGGGCAACATGGTCGAGTCTATCCGGATCCGGCAGAGCGAGCTAAGAATAACAGTGGTCTTTCAAGTGTTGTACTGTTTTAAAATGTCCTCACCAAGCCTCGTGCTTTATCCGTTTCAGGTCCGGTCCGGATTCGGGTCTCATATACCGGTGGATGATAATGATAGGGGGGTATGTCATGGGATACTACTTACTGTGTCGGATATATGAAGAATAGCCGGGGGGGGTGGGGGTTGGGCTGGAACCTTGCAATTTCCGCCCACGCCCCCCGGGCTATCCCAGACATGCCTCCTATATTGGGGATAAAGAGAAATCTCCGAGAACCTCGGAACGCAACCAAGTAGCGCCACGCCTTCTGCAGGGATCAGGGCTGGCTAGGGGCCGTCGAACTTTCCATAAATCACGGGACTGTTCTGACACGAAGTAGAACCAGAGGGGACCTTGCGCATACAATCTACGGCTGGCTTTCTAGTAGGCCTTGGGCACATTGGAACGGAGTACAGGCACTGAAGTGGCGATAGCTCGACCCTGTTGTTCGACTTGACTGCCTCGTGACTCCTACCCGCATGGAAACCAGCGAGCACCCTATCGCCATGATCTATCTCTACCTCACCTACACTCCCAGATTTTTACTGGATACGCCCTTACCGCCGGATGGGTAGCGTATACACTCAGCCTTGGATAGAAGTAAAACGTGGTCCAAGACATGGGGATTGTCGGTCAACCACGACAACAGCCGTTGAATCACCATGCATACAAACCACATATTTTGGCGCCTATATCGGGATAGGCCACGAGATCAGCAGGGAGGGGGGGGGGGGGGGGGGGGGAAAGCCATAGGTAGCAGGGGAAAGGCTGGGATTGTACCAATCTACCTCAACATGCTATTATGGGGATAGTACGGAGTACTTTTCCCTCTGTGTATGCATTCGATTGGCTCATCAAATGGGAGTGCGCTGCACAAAAGTGACATTTGTAAGGTTTTGCGGCCCTATATTTGATGTTTTATGATCCCGACACAGTGGGTATTGGGTGGTTGGAGTGAGCAGGATTGCATTAGTGTCTGAGTCACCGTCCATCATCCCAACGATCGGTGAGGGAGATACTAGTATGTTGGTGACCGACCAGCGAACAGCAGCAAGGCAGGGAAGCGAAAGAGGGAGAGAGAGAGAGAGAGAGAGAGTCAGGCCGACGTCACTGTTCAGTTGGTTACACAGAGGGGAGCATTGCAGATTTCCAGATACAATAGATTATTATAGTACAGAGTACAGTAAGAGGTCTAACCCAATGTTCGG